CCTTCTTTGCTCTTTCTTTACTGTCTTTATTTGTTTTTAATTCAGGGTATGCTCATTCAGAGCCTTGCTGATGTCTCTATTGGGTCTGAATTTGAGCGTGTGCTGCGCGTGGGAGTTATCTACGTTCTAAGGTCTTTTGGTCTCAGTGCCGCAAGGAATCTCTATCGTGCATGCTCATTTGATATGATAATAGAGTTGTCAGCAACAACTATTTTCCAGGCCTGTTCTCTACCTGCAGCTGAATTTCCAACTGATTCCTTTGAGGTTGTTCCTTATAGTGAGCTGTCTAACCGTTCAGGGGACAATCGTATCCTTGCAGGTGATTGTTGCGTTTTCTTGACTGAAGTGGATTGGGTTTTATGTCTTCTTACTGCTCTTTTTTTTCCGTCAGATGTTGTCGGCCGTCTTCATTCTATTAGCGGGATTGATCATCAGGTTACTAATCACGGCTCGACTCCAAAACAAGTTCTGGTCCTTGAGAATGCACAGTAGGTCTTTCTGTTATTTTATTTTTCCACTGGGGAATACTGTTTCGTCACCTTCACGTAAGATCTGATCCTTTGTTTTGCTGTCAGGGGCCAGAGAGTGTCGATCACGCTTTGGAATGAACTGACGGCAGTCCTTGATCGACCTGCTTTGATTCAGGCGGACTCCATTGAGCCAGTGATCGTTGGAGTTTGGGGGCTCATGGTTGGTCGTTTGATAGGTGTGTATTTTAACTCTTTTCCATTCTGCTTGATCATAAATTGTGAACTGATTTTGTTTTTGTTGTGCAGCTGGTGAATATTCCTGTTCGAGCTCCTCTGGAACCCGTATAGTTGTTAGCCCGAGGATACCAGAAGCTTACAGCCTCGCTGCTTTGTGGGTTCTTTGTTGCTAAACTGTGATTTTGTTGTTCTAGATTTGTTTTGTGGTGTTTGATTTGCTTTACTTTTTTTGTGTCCATCTATGCAGTTTTGGTGGATCCAGAGTTCCTGTTGCTGATTTGCCGGTCAAGTTTGCGACCCCAGGGGACGCTGTTGCTGATGCTGAGCGGAGAACCAGGACCATAGCTGAGCTTCTTGATTTGCACCATGGCGGTGCTTCTGTCGTGAGTTGCATTCCCATGTAGTTCTTGATTTAAGAATGGCCTTCGGGTTGTCCATTTATTTATGTTTTTTTATTTCTTTTTGGGATTGTCAATGTTTATATTCAGGATGAAAAGCATCGTTGCGGTGGTATAGTCCGATCGGTTGAGTCCCGGAGCCCGTGGTATTACATGTCATGCAGCATGTGCAAGAAAAAGTGTTCTACGTGGCGAAATGGTAACTACTGGTGTCCTGACCATTGGGAGATCACTGAGCAGCAAGTGACAGTTGGGTGTGTGTTTTGTCTGATCATTAGTTGTTGTTTTTGTTTATTTCATTGTGTGCCTGTGAGGACTTAAAGAATTTGTCTAATTTTTTGAGTTTGCACTCCTATGCCTTTCCTGATGGAATTGTCTCTGTTTTTTACTGTGTCGTCTCTAGCTACAAGATCCAATTGACCCTGCATGATGCCACTGACGAGGCCCCTTTCATTATTTTCGGCCCGTGTGGGAACAATTTGGTGCTCACATCTGCCCAACTGCTGGCCCAGAGATATCCTCACAGGTCTGGCCAGTTACCGCCTGAACTTGAGGCTTTGCTCGGCCAGTTTGTCAGGTTTGAGGTCAAGCTTTCTATGGTTGGGTCAAGTGGAGTATCTACGGGTGAATTCCGTGTTTTCCGAGTTATGCCCCGTGATGTTCAGGGCCCAGTGCTTGGTCTTACAGGAGTTCCAGATGTCACAGGCAGTGTTTCTTCGTCCCAAACCTTAAGTCAGTCCTATTCTGGTCAACAAGGAATGTTGATGCTGCCTGCTCCAGGTGTACCTTTCGCAGCTTCAGCTTCTGCTGTCATACCATCTAGGTGAGCGTTGTTTGCTCTATTGTTATGTTTGTGTTAGTTAATTACGGGGGTTTAGGTATGGGTTTGGGTTAGTCTAATTATTAATCTTTGCTGTTACAAATCTAGCTCATCCAAGGGAAAGGAAAAGGTTGTTGACTCAGTGTCGCCTGGAGGGACGAATCCAACATTCCAGATTGGCCAGGTTGCAGGGTTGCCTCTCAGGTAACACATTTGGACTGTTTTACTTGATTTGGTATTGATGCATTAACCTGTGCTTTGTTGCTGTTGTTGCATGGTAAATACTTATGTGCTCATTTGGCTCTTGCAGTTCATCTCAAGTTCCTTTGGCAATCAAGGAGAATGCTGTTGTGTCCGACGTGATTTCGCCAAATTTGCTGCCTCCTGTTTCATCTATTGCACCTTTGCTTTCTGTTGCTGATGTGAAAGGAAAAGGAACAGGTCCAGGGGCGACTGTTGTCGCAGCTCCTTTTACCATTGCAGATCCTTTGAAGGTCTCTAATATCCAGTCAGTTGGTGCTGTGAAGGGTGCAGTGGGGACTCCTGGAACTCTGAGTGATGGTATGGATGTGATGATTTCTACTAGCCAGGGAGTGCATGGATTGTCATCCATTGCTGGGCTGGGTTCTGAAACTCCTCAGAGTAAAATCAGCAAGTCATCTTCGGCAGTTTCGCCTTTGTCTTCAAGGAGTCTGTGAGTTTTTTACTTTTAAACTTATCGTGTCATGGTTAGAGTGCAGTCGGAATTTATTGTTTTGGTCTTTGACAATGCAGCTTGATATCACCTCTGGCTAAGGTGAAGATTGAGAAGCTGGAATCTTCTGGAACTGGATCTCCTAATGTGAGGCAGGATGATGAGCAAACAGAAAGTTCGTCCCCTTTTTCGCTTGCTGACCAAGATTCACAAAGGGCGCCTGGGAAGCCTTCTGCTGCTAAGCGTCGCCTGTATGAATCTTAGGGTATAAATTCGAGTCTGATCCCTTTGTGTGTTATTTATTAGTTTTGAATGTTGATTGGTTATGTTATTTACTGGATCTAAGTTATGCTAGGTGCAGGAAAGGAGGTTGCCTTTTGTGAGTGCTGGATTTGCTGCAAGGAGGCAGTCTTTTTAATGGTGGGCAGGATGCTTATGTTGTTGATCGTTTGAAGTTGTGCTGGTTGGAGGGTTTGCAGCTCTTTTGTAAACTTCTTGGGAACCTGTTTGTAAACTTTGTTCTTGCCTTTCTTGGCTAATTTTGGAAACTTTGTGGAAATTATGTTGTTGGTTACTAGAAAAAACTAATGGTACTTCGGGTATCTGTTTATGAGGTGTAAGTTTTAAGTGCATGTAATTTTCTGTGCAAGATCAGGGTGGTCAGTTTGGACACCTGAAATGTTGTGACCCCAGAGTGGGCAAAATTCTGGCCTTTTGGTCCCTCTTTTGTAGAATGTGAATGCTCAGCAGTTTTTAAGTATTATCAAGGAATATAGTTTTTATCTAAGATGCATGTGTTTTACATTTATGTCTTAACTGTATGTATATACAAATATAACAAAAATGTTCTTTACATCATGTGATGGGAAAGAGTAAGCATTGTCAACAAGAAAAATATGATAAGAACAAGCGAGATTAGTAATGGATAGCAGACATGTGCTAATATTAAAAGGAATCTTTTGGGTTGCAAGATTTAAATAATTTGGGTTAATTATGTGCCCAAAATCTAAAGCATTAAATGCAAAAGCCATCATTGTTTACCCTTGGTTACAGAACCAGCAGTCACAATGACTACTTGGATAGAGATTAGACACCTGATATAAAATTATATATTGATTGTATAATATCTTATCAAGGAACACATCAGATATCAAAGAGATTTCATCAATGGACCTTCAACTCTCTCTTTGCCCTCTGGTTTTTGCTCCTGTGTTCAGCAAGTAATTCTGTTTGTGTCGACTTTTTCCCTCATTGGAGTATCAACTAGCTGGAGTATACAGCAAGGTAAGACCTGCTGATCAGCTGTTTGGAGCTACAAGTCAGAGACACTCATCATTGGTGATATAGACCACATCATCAGATACAGTTAAGCATGTCTGTATTCGTTATTCTTCAGTTTCACATTAATGGAACCTCTTTAAATGATTTGGATCCTCTTCTTTGTCTATCTAACCAAGACAGAACACTGAAGTTTGCAGTTATTGAACTTTTGTTTTTGGCTCATTTAAGTCTGACTGGATATCAAACATTTACTTCATGTAATCAGAATGACACCTAGAAAGAAGAGAGCGACTTCCAACCTGTTGAGGCGAAAGAGAGGTGACACTTCTTTCACAATCGAATCCTCCAGGAATCCAACACACAACTTTACAGATATGAACGTGGATAACACCAGAGTAAACAAGAGATTGAGAAGCCTGCCGTTCATTCTCTCAGTGGAAATTTCAAAGTCGACAAATGCTCACAACAGTGAGTTCGTTCCTCCAGATCCTTATACAGAAATGGGTGGTGATGAGGCATCTTGCAGTTTAGCTACAAATGATCGTCAATATCAAAAAGCAAAGAAAGCATCAGCTGATGTCCCAACTGCAAGGAAGCCATTGCACAATGATAGGCTGAGCGTTGGAAAACCTGACTGTGTATGTCAGTTCTGTGGTGCTTTTTTTTGGTATGCTGAACGATTGGATCGACACAGGAAATCCTTAAATCCTGTGTATACTCTTTGTTGTCAAAAAGGAAGAGTTTGCATTCCCCTATTAAAGCCACCACCTCCATTGCTTGCTCAGCAGTTGGATCTTAATGGAGGTGCAATGTCAAAACATTTTAGAGACAACATTAGACCCTACAATGGTTCTTTGTGTTTCACATCTTTTGGAGCCAAACTGGATCCACGCTCTTTGACAACAAGAGGACCTTATTCGATGGTTATTTGTGGTGAGAATTACCATAGGATTGGATCCTTACTTCCAGTTGATGGAAATAGGCCCAAGTTTGCTCAGCTATATATATTTGAACCTGAAAATGAGGTTAACAATAGACTTGCAAACTTCGCATCTCGAGAGGAAGTCTTGCTGCCTGAGTTACTTGCAAGTTTGCTTCGAATGCTTGATAAAAACAACGAGTTGGTCAGAACATTTAGGCGCATTCGACAAGATCTCCAGCTTTCCTCCACACCAAATCTCCGACTCAGAATCTTTGGGATCAAAAGTAGGAATCGACAATATGACTTGCCAAGTAGCTCTGATATTGCAGCCTTAATACCTGGTGATTTTGTTGCAGATAGGGAAGATAGAGATATCATTGTTGACCATCGAGGAGAAGGGCCGAAACGCATAACAAGCCTCAACCCAAAATTCGAGGCTCTTCACTTCCCATTGCTATTCCCGTACGGAGAAGATGGGTTTCATCCTCAAATATCTTATAATGCCTCCTTTTGTCCAGCATCAATGCGCAGAAAATTTGTTACTCAAAAAGAGTATTATGCTTTTAGACTTCAGTATCGATTGAATGAGGGGCATACACTGGTTCAAAGTGGCAAGGCATTGCAACATTACTGTGTTGATGCATTTTCAACAATTGAACTCAATCGACTGGCATTTCTTAGAACTCATCAAAAAGATTTAAGAGCAGAAGTTTATCAGGGGTTACAGGATGCATTTGCAAAGGGAGACATGGATGGAGAAAAGCTTGGAAGAATTATAATGCCATCATCTTATACAGGAGGACCAAGATATATGCAGCAACTATATCATGATGCCATGGCAACCTGTCAACATTATGGTAACCCAGATTTATTTGTTACATTTACCTGCAATGCTCTTTGGGAAGAAATTGTTGATGCTTTTGCAGATATGGTTGGACCAAACAGCGAGTTGAAGCCTATGGTGGCCTGTCGTGTGTTTCACATGAAGCTTGCCATATTAATTGACGAGTTTAAAAGAGAATCATATTTCGGAAAAACGATAGCCAGTGAGTTACCTGTAGATGACCTTTCATTGTATAAAATTTCTTTTATTATTTGAATGAGCTATCAAGTTCAAATGATGGATTGTTTTTTCGCAGTAATCTACACAGTTGAGTTTCAGAAGAGGGGCCTCCCACATGTCCATATGCTTATATGGTTAGCCAAAGAGGATAAGCTAAAGTCAACATCTGACATTGATGAGATGATTTCTGCAGAGATACCAGACCCCAATCTAGATCCAGAAGGGTATGCTGCAGTGGTTAAGTTCATGATTCATGGACCTTGTGGTGTTAACAACCCCACTTCACCATGTATGAAAGATGGTAAATGTTCGAAGTATTTTCCAAAAGAATTCTGTTCAGAAACTTCGTTCGACAAGTTTGGCAATGTCGTGTACAGAAGAAGAAATTCCGGCATTCAGGTTCAAAAAGGAAAGGCAATGCTGGATAATAGATATGTCGTTCCATACAATCGGAACTTATTGGTTAGAGCTCAAGCCCATATTAATGTGGAGATATGTCACAAGGGAGGCTTAGTGAAGTACTTATTTAAGTACATTACTAAAGGACCAGATAGATCTCTTATTGTTGCAGAAGACTCGACAAGCTCAGTTCAGGTGCCATCAAATATAACAAAAAAAACCAAAGACGAGATACAAGAGTTCATTGATTGCAGGTCGCTGTCCTCATACGAAGCTATATGGAGAATCAACGAGTATTCTATACACCACAGAGAGCCTAATGTGGTTCGACTTGGTGTACACATGGATGGACAACAGAATGTTTCATACAAGAGAAGGTCAAATATTCAAAATGTTTTGCAAAATCCAAGGGCAGGCAAAACTCATCTTACTTCATGGTTTGAACTTAACAGACATGATTGCAATGCAAGAAAGCTTACATATGCTCAGATACCAAATTCCTTTACATGGAATGAAGAATACAGTGAATGGACTCCAAGGAAAAGAGGTTTCGCAATAGGAAGGATAGCATATGTTCCTCCAGGAAGTGATGATATATTCTTTCTTAGGCTGCTATTGACCAAAGTAAGAGGAGCAACAAGCTTCCTCAATTTATGAACAATACAAGGGGAAGTTTGTAGTACTTACGAAAGAGCATGTCAAAAGTTGGGGCTTCTGTCGGACTCTTCAGAATGGATTCAGGTATTACAAGAAATTGCAGCATCAAGTATGCCACACATAATACGGACTACATTTGTTTCAATGTTGATGTTCTGCGAGATACCTGATCCTAATGCTCTATTTGAATCTTCATGGAGGTTAATGAGTGAAGATCATGTTTATTCTCTTCGTAAACAGCTACACTCAAAAACTTTCCAGCCTTCAGATGAGAGACTTAAGAATTGGGTGTTATGGTTCTTCACTTCAGCAATTACATCAGCTGGAAACTTTACTGAGGACTTATGGTTCTTCACTTCAGCAATTACATCTCCCAAGACCGACAGATTCAGAACCTGACGATGGATCAAATCCCCTGATTAATGAGCATCTTAACTTTGATGATGATCAACAAAGGTTACTGGCAAATACTATGGTTAGCAAACTGAACACAAAACAGCTAGAGGCTTTCACACTCATTATTCTCTCCATCAACAACAACCTTGGCACTTCATTTTTCCTATATGGCCATGGAGGAACAGGCAAGACTTTTCTCTACAATGCAATCATTGCAAAATTAAAAAGTTCCAGAATTGCTATAGTTGTTGCCTCATCTGGAATAGCAGCCACACTACTACCAAACGGCACAACTGCTCATTCAAGGTTCAAGATTCCCCTTCATATAGACCATGCATCTACATGTTCCATAAAGAAAGGTACTCATTTAGCTGAGCTAATACATGCAGCTTCATTGATTATTTGGGACGAAGCACCAATGACACATCGAAATGCATTTGAGGCTATAAGCAGGACGTTTTGTGATTTGATGGACATACCACTATCAGGTCCAAAACACAAGTTGTTTGGAGGGAAAACAGTAGTCTTTGGTGGTGATTTTAGACAGACTCTACCAGTAATTTCAGATTCAGGAAGGGAACAAACAGTGGATGGATCCATCACAAGGTCATCATTGTGGCCCTTTTTTAAAGTGCTCAAACTGTCAAGGAACATGAGGCTTAATGATTCACAGGATAATAGAAATCTGGTCGGCTGTGGAATGAACTTTGGTGAGTGGATTTTGGCGCTAGGAGATGGAAGGCTTCCAACAAAATCCTTTATGGCTAATACACCTTCAGATTGGATTGAGATACCACAAATACTCTTGATATATGCTGGAAAAAATCCAATCGAGTCAATCACAAATGACATATATGACGCATTTGAGGAACAACACATGAGCAAAGATTACCTAAGTGGAAGGGCAATCGTTACTCCTACTAATGCAGTTGTGACTGAAGTGAATGACTTCATGTTGCAAAAAATTCCTGGACATTGCCGTTGCTACTATAGTTCAGACTCTATGCAACTTGATACAGAGGTATCTCAGCTATTTGCTGAAACTTACCCAACAGAATTTTTGAATGCTCTTCAGTTCAATGGTGTTCCAGATCATGAAATAAGACTTAAGGTTCACACTCCGATCATGTTGCTGAGAAATTTGAGCCCACCAAACGGCCTGTGCAACGGTACGAGGATATTGATTACGAAATTGGGGGAAAATATCATTGTTGGAAACATCATGGGAGGATCTTTTGACACAAAAGAGGTTGTTATACCACGAATAGTACTCAACGTAGAAGACAAACGCTGGCCCTTTATATTGAAGAGGAGGCAATTCCCAGTACGGTTATGTTATGGGATGACTATAAATAAGAGCCAAGGTCAAACGCTGGACAAGGTTGGAGTCTATTTGCCCAAACCAGTATTCAGTCATGGACAGCTTTATGTGGCAGCATCAAGAGTAAGATCTGCAGGTGGTTTGAGATTCTTGAATGAAAATGAAGAGGACATTCCAGCCAGTTACACGAGAAACATTGTATATTCAGAAGCCTTCACAGATATTGCACCTGGTTAATTTTGGAAGCATCGAAGAAGCTCGAAGTGATTATTATGAACTCTCCCAACTTTTTGAATTTTACGCCTGGAAAAATTTGTTCTTCCAGTTCTTGCGTTGTTCTTAACAAGAGACACGTTTTGTGTTTTTTATTTCGAAACTCAAAGCTAGAAAGCAGTCATGAGTTATGATCAGTTAACATCGGTTCGGACTATCCAGAGAGAACTTAGAAAGAAAATCGATGAGCCCAACTGATACAACTTGACAGACATTCATCGCAGGAGCGTATTGTAGCCTTTTCTGTAAAAAGGCCTGATTCAATAGTTAGAACCCATTGCATATCATACAGAGCCCAAACACGATGTCAAGGCCCAAACAATCGATCCAAAAAGGACTTACCCTAAGTTAACCCTGGCTTACATAAACTACCGATTGTTTTTTATGCCTTCTAAAATCAACCGCGCAGTCAAGATACAAACAAAAAAGGGAAACCAGGATCTCGAAGAACTGGAAGCATTCTTCTACCCAATAGATTTACAGTTGTATAGTACAACTGATCCGTGAGATTCCGTGGACCCACACAAAATGGACCCGAACGAACTGAAAGGTAAATACATTGAATCTGGAAAGAAATCCGACAAGCGCATCTCGATTCCTATGCAAGTTTTTCCCATTTATTATTTATCGATTCGTCTTTAATCGAATTGCAGAGTCTAGTGAATCAAGCATGTGCTTTCGGGGACTGCGTTTGGGAACAAACAATCGAACCGTTATAGCAAGACATGTCGTTACATGGACTGAGTTCCGAGAAGTGCCTTTATCCACATGGAAGAAAAGGACACATCACATGCTCTGGCTTGACAAAAAGGTTTGACTCCAGATACCCCAACCATATTCATAAATATTCGTTAGAGCATTTGATTCAGTGTTAGGACAAAAGAACTTGCCAATATACAAACACTGGACATCAATTAACCTACTGGCGAATGCTAAAAGAACAAAAACTCTTGACAACATATCTATCTACCATTGACTTTACAGAACAAATTGATCGAAGCACAAGTTGAAGAAGAAGATGCATCTGAGGTTTTTAAGAAAATAAAGGTTGGTTTCCTGCATGAACTACAAGATATTGTGGCAGGTCCAGCAAGGTCAGTGCAACGCGTTGTCCATCGAGAGTTACGCCTGCTCCTCACTTCAGATCAAATTAGGAGACACATTGAAGAAGGAAATGGACCCCAGCAATTCCCAGTAGGATCATACACAGCAGCCGATTTCTCCATTGTGCCTCAAACATCAGAAGACTTTGTCTGCCATTCAGGTAAATATATGTCTCTCTATCCATGATTAAGAACACCATTAAACAAAGCATAACAAACATTAAATCTATAGATGTTACAGGATGTGTTAGAAGACTAACTCATCCAGAAACAATTAAAGGAAGGATTCAAAAATTCGACCTGCTCATACAAGATGTCTGGTATGCACTTAAGATTGTACACTTTTTTTTACTTTGTAAAAATGTATAGTTAACGCATTGGTTTGCAATCAGTGGGGCAAAGGTTTATGTTGAATACAGTGGCCATGACATTGATGATTTTCAAAAGCATGCTCCAGCAATTGAGTCAAAGTTACCACTGATTGTGACAATCAGATCAGTTAGTAGAGTAACTCATAGACATAACAGTAAGTATCAGCATGAATTTCAATCCACAATTGCAAGTAAGCTCATCATCCATTCTTATCAGGACTGCTGCAAGGATGTCATGAACATGTGAGTTGCTGTATATTGGTTTACCCAACTGATTGGTTCAACTACTATCGAGTTAGTGATACTTACACATTTATTTTCAACATGTAGCTTTCTTGCATGTCGCAAACCAGTATACTTCATCGATGATGCTACTTGCAAAAAAACTGGACACCTGCTGAGCAATCAACTGCAAAAGAAATCGCTGAGAGAGATAAAAGAAAGGATGGAGGACCTGTCAGATTTCACAGAGGTAAACGAACAAACACCAGCATTGACAACAACTGTATATTTCCATCTGTTTACCTGTATAATACATCTGACAGTTTTTGCAACAGGTTACTTACATGATATTGATTAACATTCCAAAGTTTATATACAGAAAAAGCATCTGCAAAGTTCGTGGAGAGAACACAGGGTAAGCTTTTGACCATTCTCCCATGTTTACACAAGGCATAATAATACTCTTTGTATAACCTAACAAAAAAAACTTTATTGCAAGACTGACATACAAACTGGAAGGGAAATGTCGCCAAGGAGGATCTGAAATAGATGTGGTGTTTAAGCATGAAGCAGCTTTGTCACTTATTCGTAAGTCACCGTCTGATTATCAGTTTCTGAAGAAGGACCAAATCATCGAATTGATCGCAAAGAACTGTAACAAAAAATATGCTGCGGAGTTGACTGTCGCATGGAAAAAAGTGGGGGACAATGATTCAGAAATGCAGCCAAAAGCGACAGTGCTCACCCTGTGGGACCGATCAGCATTCGAGAAATGATGTTGTCCTTCGAAGCTTGCCATTTTGATATCGTGCAAACAACAAAGGCACGAAACTTCTGAAAACATTTTGTCCTGCTGTTTTCCAAATCTTCAGTCTCCGCCATGGAACTTTTATTAGTTTAGTAGAAATATCGTGAAAAACTTGGCCACACTCCTAACTACATTAATGTTTATTCTGCAAACCCAGTCAATCTTTTGCATAATGACCGCAGTTTTTATGTTTATGACAATGACAACATTTATGTCTATGTTTAGGACATAACAATTATGGTTATAGATTATATTAAATCCCATTTAAATTATGACAGAAATAGTATCCCGCAGCAGAGCGCGGGCTGAGTCCTAGTTCTTATAATTTACATTGTAAACAAGTGACATCCACGTGACCAAGTGCTAGTGAGTCTCCAATGATGGTAAAGGTTGGCAGTTAACCAAAAAATTCGTATGAAATTCGTAAAATTTAAAAGTTTCGAACCAAATGATATTTATGTGCAAAATTGTACTTTTTCTTTCTTTCTCCTCTTGATTTTCCTGGGCGACAGTAAAACAAACTTCCAAACCCATTTCACCAAAGTTGTACAAGACTATAACACGAAGTCTCCCTACCTTCTCTTGTTAAGGAACTAACCACTTGGCCCCAATAACTCGAGTTGTTGGGAGAGGTTCAATCGTGGATCATATACCACAACATTAACACGCCCCCTCAAACGAAAGCCACTCACAAGGGCTTGAAGTTTGCACAGGTCTGAAGACAAGAATACCATGTGCTTAACAAATGGGGGTCACCGGGAATCGAACACAAGATCTCTCGGTCACAGAAGGCTCTGATACCATGTTAGCGAACTAACCACTTGGCCCCAATAACTCGAGTTGCTGGGAGTGATTCAATCGTGGATCATATACCACAACACTAACATCTCTCGAGAAGTCTTCGACTTCTCCCATTTCACCAAACTAAGTTTATTCATCCAGTCTCAATGCATCCTTTGTAAAGAAATCTGTTCAATCTGCAACCAGGAGATTATTGTTTAAATACATGTATTAGCAATTCGAGTATGTTAGACAACAAGGAGCATTATGCTTCATGGAAATGACAATCGCACCCACCAGCCGATAAAACAGTTGTCGAAACATCATCTTCGACCATTGATCGCACCCACCAGCCGAAATATTTCCAACAACCTCCGACGCCATTTCCTGGGACACGTTTCAGGTGCCCGGCCAGGGACATGTACGACTTCCATGGGTCAAGAATAACACATATACATACGAGGAAAATCATCACCAATTATAGAGAATCAATAATAGCTAAATGAAAAAAAGGCCAGGTGCTTTTGTGATGACGTACGAGGAGACAATATTCATGCATGTCTCATTATCATAATCATATAATCATCCCTTTTCAGTCTATTTTGGGCCAACCTTTTTTATTAAACAATCATAGGATGGTCGAAAGTAAATGGGTCACGAGAGTGCCAGGTGCCGATAATGATAAGAATGCATGGGGGAAAAAAAAGGCTGATATAGTGGCGATCTCTTAATGGGCTAGTCGTCGTTGCAGAAGATTCATCAAATCATGCCTAAAAACCTAACCCATTTACTAAATTATCAATTCTAAATTCTAAATATGCTAACAGTTTCTTCCAACAGGGGCTCGAAGTTTGACTGGAAATTAACCCTTTTGAGTCAGATCTCCTGGAGGGAAGCACAATTCGTTACATCACCTGCAATAAGATGGAACCCAAATTACAGTACAGGTGTCTCGGCAGAAATTCTACCGTGATTAGTGTTAATTATCTAGCCATATATAATTATTATTATTGTGCGGATAATTAGGTCCGTGTCTATCCATGTAATCGCAGTTGTCAGTAACCTTAAAAGAGCTTGATGTCTAATCAATAGCCATCATGCGTACTTTGTTATCGCTTTTTTGTTCTGCATTGAATACGTTGACTAATAAGGTTGTGGGGGCGATTTCAGATATCTTTAAAGCGATCAAGACGTCCACCTATATATGGTTTATGAATCATTGAATCATCAACCAGAAGAACATGTCCGGAGGTGTAAGGCTGTACAGATCACTCAAGAGATCAAGACCACCCGATTGCTAGTTCATTAGCTAGATGCTATTAGAGTATGGATAGTACGAGTAGTATTATGTTATACTACGTGTTATAAACGCGCTGCTACGGATCGGGAAATCGCAGGAATCAACAAAGCAAGAATACGAAAGCGAGAATCGAAAACACGACACACGATTTACGTGGTTCACTAACACGATGTGTGTTAGCTACGTCCACGGGCGAGAGAGAGCCAGTTTCACTATATCAAGGAGATTACAGATTACAGAGGAGTATGAGAAGTATTTATAGTACTTCTCCATGTGGGTCTAAACCTAATCCAATCTGGCAAAGGAAACCCCCGATTACCAGTCGTAGCGGCTGATAATCCTATTCAAGTCATATCAACAAATCTCCACCTTGACTTGAATCCTCTTCCTCTGAAATCTCTGATGTACTCTGTATCACTTCCGAAGCTAATTCCCACATCAGGTGTACCCTTAAGGTACCGAAAGATCCTCTTCACAGCCTGCCAATGCTCCTTCCCAGGTTGTATCATAAACCTGCTGACAACACTAACAACATGTGCAAGATCAGGTCTAGTGCATACCATAGCGTACATCAAGCTACCTACTGCACTAGCATATGGGACTCTCGACATGTACTCCTTCTCAGCCTCTGACTGCGGTGCATAAGCTGAGGATAGATGAACATTTGAAACATTAGGAGTATTTAAGGGCTTCGCTGAAGACATGCCAAACCTCGACAGTATCTTCTGGATGTAGCTCTTCTGTGACAAGAAAAGCTTCTTCTTCGACCTGTCCCTGTAAATCTCCATACCCAAGATCTTCTGAGCAGCTCCCAAATCCTTCATCTCAAACTCAGCACTGAGAAGCCCCTTTAACTTCTGGATATCAGACTTTGACCTCGCAACTATGAGCATATCATCCACATACAGAACAAGATAGATCATCGAACCATCCTCCACCTTGTTGTGATACACACAACAATCATATGGACTTCTGCTGTAGCCCAGCTCAAGCATGTAACTGTCAAATCTCTTGTACCACTGCCTCGGAGACTGCTTAAGTCCATACAAGGACTTCTTCAGCTTACAAACATAGTCTTCTTTTCCAGGAACCTCGAATCCTTCTGGCTGAGTCATGTAAATTTCTTCCTCCAGTCGTAACAGCTGATAATCCTATTCAAGTCATATCAACACTACAAGTACTATTATGTAATTTAACATAGTTATATTCCTTATCAGAATCGTAGAAGTTCAGTTTCCACCGTATTCTGATTTACCAACAAATGCTAGGAGAGACTATACGGTCCGGTCCGGTTAAATTGGTCCAAATTGATCTGGTCCAGTCCGGTCTTTTTGAAAATATAAGGACAAAAGATTGGATTGGATACAGTCCGGTCTTGACCCGGTCCGGTCCCAATTCGGTATTGATTTCATATTGAGCCTATGGGGATTTGAGTTGCCTAAGGCCTGAAAAGATGAGGAGTTGGTTAAGTTTTGTACTAAGTGCAAAGGTTTGTGACCGTTTATGCAAATTACCCTTAAATTTGGCTGCTGAGCTCTCTTATCCGGTCTTTATCTAGTTTTCAATCCGGTCTCGAACGGTTTTTCACCTCAATTCTAAGCCCAAAGATTGGATTGGATTGTTTACTATCCGATCCCGGTTCGGTCTCGATCCGGGTTATACGGTCCGGTTTCGGGTAAAACCAAAAATCCAGGACCAAATAGCCAGCCCTAACAAATGCCTCAAGACGTCAGTGTCTTGGGTCGCACACTTAACGTACAAATGCCTCAAGACTAATCCATATTGAGCTCGAAGAGTTCTAGCCTAACGATTTTATTAGACGATGACATCTTGCTAGGTTGCTTGTGACATACACAACTAAGCCTTTTATATATAGCATGTGAGCACTTACTAGGGGGTCGATTGGATGGGTTAATTGGCAAAGTGGTATTTATGATATCAAATAACTCACTTTTCTACATGTGCATTTGTGAAAATTAAAATATGAATTATCTTGTTTGGATGGACCAAAATAATGAGTTATTTTAAATGCGGTATTTGTAACATTAAGAAGTGAAATACCATTATGAAAATCAATAATCAAATTTCAATAAGGACTGTCGTTTCCACTCTCATCCATCAACATTAAGAGGTGAAATACCTAAATGGACCTTCCAATAGCAACAACCAAGCAACATTTAGCAGCACAACAACACTAACCAAGCAGAACATAAGCAAGTAGCAGCAAACCCGAAAAGAAGTAAAATAAGCAGAAAATGGCCTAATAGAAACTGTAAATGGCCCATAACTTGCATTTTTTAAACAAAACAACAAATTGATTTAATCCTTCCCCAAATCTTTGATAGTGAACTGAGTATGTAGATAATCATAACGTCTTGAATGATATTGCTTCGAGAGAATTCTGACTACTCCTCTCTTGGATGAGATTGATTTAGAGACTGCTGACTTTACCTTTCCACGTATCCTCGTTGATTGAATGAGTTTGAGCGAGGGACTTCAGACTGGGCCTCTCCAAGCAAGCTGATAGAATGATTCTACGAGAATGGATAACCTCTTTGATATGATCGATTGATGTCCACTCCACCTTCCTAATTGATGTAAGAGATAGACATAAACAAATACAACATGGTCTATATGCTGAACTGGACCACCAACTATGTTGCTTTATGTTGATCCCCTATACGCCCCCCTCAAGCTGAGGCATGAATGTAGTGGATGCCCTGCTTTAAAGTTGAAAAAAGAGCAAGACAATGAAAATGACCAAATACGTGTCAGGAGGGACCCAAGGAAAAGAATCATAAAACCTTAATACAGAGAGAACTGAGGTTCGTTGTCCTATTCCAAAGAGATAAATTCCTTTCACTTTCAATGCACAAAATGTGATCTCCTTTCGTTGATGGCTTTGTGACCTTGATGAAGATAACATGGCTACAACGATAACAAGACTCTTCGATAGCCAAAATTTGTGCTTGAGACGAATAGTACGTCGAGAAGTATGGTCAACAACATAAGATGGTTGCTTACTGATGAAAGCGAACATAGTTTGGGGTGTTTGAGAAGATTTGTGATGGGAGAATAAAAATGCAATGAAGATAACTTGATCTTGTTGACCCGGTTGAAGGAAAGTCATGATCATGACTTCCCGGTTTTGACTTCCTTCGGATGGTAAGCTCGTGACTTCTGGATTCCGAAGATATGTCATAGTCAAAATGGGAAGAGTCACTGCCGTATCATTCACACAATCTGACCTGTACTTTGGATTTTCTTTCAGAACTTCGAAGCATGTCAGAGTTGGAGTGTGAAGAGTCACGACTATGAGGCTAAGCTAGACCTGACTGTGACTTAATTTGGAGAAGTCACACTTCTATAGGTTCAATCATAAGCTTTCTTAGTCTTTTGATCATACTTCTCTTCTTTTTTCAACACTTTCCATGTTCTTTTGTGAAGTATTGCTTCCTAGTTTTGATTATCATTAGTCTCCAAGCAAACTAAGGTATACACTTTCATTTTCCTTACATGTAAGTTCCTTGGTTAGGTGAAAATTGTGTTGAGCACTTTGAGAACGTTGGTACTTTTGTAGGCCGTGGCATGAATTCTAAGTGCCCCTAAGTGTTCGAAGAAATTCCCCAACCACATAGTTTACAAATTGTTTAATCCTATACTTTGCATTTGAACTTATATGCTTATGATTGAACCTTAGGTGCTTGAGTTATGTTAATTTGTGGAGATGAAGGCTTGAAACATAGATGCTTGCTAAGGATATTAAAAGTTCATATGTAACTTGATCAATGAATTTATGGTTTTTGTGTGTGGTGTGTTTACTTCTTTTGTAGGATTACTCAGAGAAAAAAGTTCCTACAATATTGTGAATTCCCATTCTCCTCATCTTCGCCATGGTGCTAGAAAGAAGAAGAGTAGATCACAACCAAAGGAAGTAAGAGCAGCAAAATCTAATTGCCTCCCAAAAGAAAGAGTGGCAAATTAGTACAATAACTATCAAAACATGACAATTTAGTTCTTAACAGTCCATTTTATAGCGCTCCTTTATATTTGATTAATTGGTGCTCGTTGACGTAAAAAATATTTATTAATTAAAATTTGTGCCAACAGTTATAATCAAAGTTGTCAACCCGAGGGTTTACGCGCATTGACCCTTACCAGGTGAGATAAACATTCACCACACACACGCGGGTAGACCCACATCAAGGTTCTGCGATTGGGGGTCACACGCCATCGGTTTTGCCTTTGATTTGCAAATTGCGCCTCTTCTCTGGATTTCTCATTCGCCTAACCTTTTCTTTGGAATTGTAAGTTTTGAACATTTGAATATTGATATTATATGAGTGTTTTGAATTTTCACCATACGTTGGATCCAAGTACAAACTTTTATTTTGGTGTAATGTTGAATGTTATTAACCATATGTTAGACGATATTTGATATCATTCATAAATGTATAAACAATATAATTACTTTTTTCATAATCCGGTCTTAACCGGAATAAAGTGACCGAACCATTAACCCTCAACCACTTGCTTGATTGGACCAACAGCCTAAACCGAGTTGACAACCTTGATTATAATAACATATTTTGAGATGCAAAAAAATTGGAAAATTCTACCAGAAAATAGTGAAAATGGCTATCACTATAACGATTAGTGAAGTATGTATGGTCTCTTGTTTAATGGCATATCATAGGAAATGCACATTGAAGATACGTCTATACAGTGCATCAATCCATGAAACTAATAATAACATAAACAATAACAAAAGATCTCTAAGATGGGCGTAGTTACATTATCAAAAGAAAATGGGCGTTGTTATGATAATGGAGTGTGGGTGGGGTTTGATTTCAATCATGCATAAGTGTCTATAATTGTATGCAATCAACTTAATCACACCAATTAAGAACTATTAATTAAACTAGCACGGAATTAAAAACTATTAAACTACGTCATTATAATGTAAAAGTGTGAAGCTCATTCAATATTATCTCGAGTCCAGGTACATCACATGCCCTATGCTAGTGAGAGGAAACTGTGTTTTTATAATTAGTGAGGAAATTGGATTGTGCGCTACAGCACCCAACAGATTTATGGTTAATTATTAGCTAATCTGTCCATAATTAATGCTTGATGCTGATCTAACATTAGCAAATGGATTGATACATGCATGTATGTTGGGGAATGAAGAATGTCCTACTTTTGAATATGGCAAGAATGAAAAAGTCCTCTTATTTAAAACCCTAATTATGAAATCCCTTCGTCCCACTTCACATTGCGGAACACATCACTCTCCTAGAGAAATGTGCTTTTGCATCTTCTTAGCCTGAGATGGCTGGGGAGTGGAAATGTTCATTTCCAGCTACTTCGAAAAACAGATCTAGTGAAGACGAGGTGGAGCCTGTAGCTAAGAGGATTAGAGCACATGGCTACGAACCAAGGTGTCGGGGTTTATTCTCAAAAGGTGTTGAGTTGGGATCCCCTTGTAAATAAAGATTCTTGTGATTTCGGAGGATCCAGCTACATGAAAACCACGAATGAGCTTCCTGTCGCCCCATTTTTCTTCCCCACTCTTTGATATGGATTAACTCGATCATTCAAATTGGTTTTTGAGGAAAATAGGAATAGAAAATCAGACAACTTGTTGAACATTTTTACTCGAAACTGGAGCAGATAATTTCTATTCTATCTGGTTTTAGTCCAAAGATATCGTAAATTTTCCCCCCTAAAAAAATTTAACTCAAATTAAATAAAAAAATAAAATATACGAGAACAATTCTCGTCCAATACTCGATAGCCACTTCAGTCTCACCGATGACACGTAGAAAGTACTATTTTCTTACCCCTAGTGATATTCACTTAGAATTGCTTGGTAATCACTCAAAGGTGGGTTTAGTAACTCGTAGGATTAATTTTATTATTTTGATGCACTTTTGATAGTGTTTCAAGTATTTTCAAGTCAAAGTATTCTAGTAGACCATATTGTACCAGTAAGGAACATCAAGGGCTAGCTACTGAAAGATAGAAATCGAGAATGGACCGAAGTCCAAAATTGTCGTGAAATTTAGTTGCCCATATCGAAAATCGGTGACACGGGCGCCATTCTCTGAATGTTTTCAAATTGTCTAGATTTGGTAGGAATATGCTAAACTTGTTGCCAAGCTGGAAAAAACCCCTTAATGACTCAGCGAACGTGTTTGAAACCTATTTCGAGCTTGTGTGCATGAGCCCAACACGAACTAGAGGCAAAAAGAATGTACTTAATCTAAAAGGGTTGTCAAGTCGTGATTATCAAATTCGTACTTCTAATTCCTCGGTATCTAAGTCATGTACAGGTGCAGGTAGTTTGCATCTTCACATACATGTCTATTTTCACCGAGCCTATAGTGCCTAGATCGTTATGCCTCACAACATAAAAAGATAGCTTTTTATAGGAAGAAGATAGCTTTTAAGAGAAAGCAATACACTACTCTTTTTCTTAACCTTCTCTTCCAGTAGTGTTCAGAAGCGAAAATAATAAATATCAGGACGAGGATTACAGTTCCTCCCCATAAGACCATATATAGATGGCAACCAATTTAGTTGGCGAGGGTGCCAATTTCGCATTAGGCCAATTAAAACCATTATGCAGTAGGACGAGGATTACAGTTCCTCCCCATAAAAATCAGACGGCCCCAGTAGTGAAAAATTATGTAAATTTAGCGGTATGGGCACGATTTTTGCACCTCCTAAAAAAAAATCTGGTTTCAAATTCTAGATAATCATGAAAACTTTTCTCGAGGTGATGTGAGGAAGAGAAGCGGACGTACCCCTTCTTACAGTAGTCGTCGAGATGCCTATTTCGATACGAGTCATTCAAAATCTTCGTACCGCTGCCTCATCAATGATCTTCATGTAACAAGTGCTCTCATTGACATAGGGGCATATGAGCAAGAATGTTTTAGCCTTTGAGACAACATGAGATGAGTTTTACTTAGGACCACAACAATTAATACCACATCTAATCAAAATTAGGACCCATTGTTCTTCTGGTTTATTGCGGGGGGAAAAAATGTAATTAATGGTGATGCAGCTAAAACACTTGGATTAATTAATACGTACAATTATTTGGTTCAGCTGTGAGGCTGTGACGTCTCTCCACTTGTCTGCTTCTGCTTCCTCGTCTGTGGCATGATTCATATGATCATCTGGGGAGCTAATCATTCTGTTAGAGCCCTCCACTGAGAAATTAAGGCCAGGCCTCCAATTATCAAAGTCGACTTAATGCTCATTATTTATACAATTAAACCATATTAAAGAAGCAATGACATGTGCGGACTGTGTTAATTGAACCCTAAAAATGAACTTAGACCAACAATTTATTCCAAAGATATGCGGACAGAATTACAAATAAATCAACCAACTACGCTCGGACATTTCGAATGATGGACGGACGAGAAGGAAAGTAGGTTCAGGCGGTAAAAGAGCAATTCGCGTACGCTCATTCCACTAAATGGCCCTCTATATTATATAATATGGTTCGCCAAAATTCAGACTATGGGTTGTTTGGAGAACAACATTTAGAGCGTGGATTCATTGAATCCGTAGATTTTGTGTAAAGTTATGATTTTTTTTTTTAATTGTGAATTTTAGATTTAGAGATTTCAAATCTCTAAAATCTGCGGATATCAAATCTCTCATAATCAGAGGGATTCTATATCTCGATTCGTGCGATATTTTTTCTCTTACTTTTATTTATTTGTCACGTTAAATATATTTATCAACATAGTTTTTAATATTTCTCGAACCACTTTAATTTTTTTATTAAGGATAAACATGTTAGTTACCATAAAAATATTATTTTTATTTTCATTGAATGTTAACAATCACAGTTACCAAACAATAAACATTTTAAAATTTGTTTTCAACAATTCAAAGAGTTAGAATCATTAAATTGTTGACAATTTATAGATTTAAACTCATATTCTACAAACGACACATTTCATTGGTTGGTTTTATTCTTCTTATTATTTTATTTTATTTTATTTTACCAATGATGTTTGTTCTCTTTATATTTATTTATATAATCTAAACTTTAACTGACAGGAGGGCGGTCATTTTTAGTGTGATTGATGTGGATCAATTATAATTAGGCTCAAAACATAAAAGTTAGCTGAAAATTAAATTCACCATCATCTGATTTTTTATTAATCCCAAATTTCAGCATTTAGTACATGATTTTTCATTGATCCTGTCTTTCGCCTATCTAAATGGTTGGACCAAATCTTGTGAGCATATAACATATCTTCAACCTGGTGACAACTTCCCATGGAGGATTCAAATTATCATATGTGATGATTGAACTGGAATCAGTTTTAACTAATCTCTCCATTGATGAGTGTATAACTCAACAAATTTAGGAGTTTGAACATTTTGATGGTTGTAGATTATTCAATCAATAGTAAATTTAGCTCTGAAATGCTTTGTATAACCCATGCTCACCATTCAAATTGTGATCAGTTTTGTCACACATAGGACTAAAGCGAAAGAAGCCATTAAATATCCTTATATGGGCTCTTAAAAATGTTTTTCAACTTCAATATCTAATGCTAATAAACCCATAAGGAATTGAGATGAGTTCAACCTTGTCATCCAAACAACTATTACGTAGGACCCAGTAAAATATTAAATCACCAAAAATGGATTATAAAAGTGTAGATTCTGCTCTATTATATCCTCGCCAAATTATCGATTCAACTAGTGATTTAATGAAAAATAATTTTTTGCTCGTACTACATTTTGTCAAGTAAACTTGTAAAAATCATAAGCTCTTAGGAGATAAAAGCAGAATTCTGACTACCTTGATTTTTTTTTTATATAGAAATGACTACATTTATTCTATATATGAGTTCCAATAGTTTCTTTTCCCACTTTTAAGTGTTTGGATGAAATTATTTTTCTTCTCATCTTTCTTAATAAACCAGATATGCAAGTTCTATGCAATTGGGAATCCGTTTGGGTCAAAGAGCCATTCAACGGATATTTAAACTTATAGCAAATTTGACTTCTGCGATAGTAAGTCATCGTTTTGAAGTTGAGTGTTCAAACTACTAGTATTATTGTATAGGTGGAGGAACTGAATATGAAATTGGGTGGTTTGATATTTGCTATTATTAAGATTAATGTATTTTCTGAATGCATATATGTACTATATAAATGTATGATTAGTGGACTTTAAGAATCCAATATTTTCTTTCTATGCTAGTGTCATAGTGGTTTAGTAAATTAAAAGGGTAAAACCAGTTTTTTATAATAATAAAAAAATCCATAGTTACCCATTCTTGATTAGTGGAAGAATGCAAAGTTATAATGAGAATCCTTAGAATTTTGTTAGGGTCACAAATATAATATAATATAATATGTGTTTTCTGTGTATTATTTGTCGTAATTAATTCAAACGAAAGGATTTATATCTTATGTAAATAGTAAAATGAGTTTGAATTGCAAAAAAAAAAAAAAAAAAAATTAAGGTGACAGTAAAGAGCAAAAACACGATTCATTTTGCTTGATGCTGTGAAAAAATCAATTACATTCACTCACATCACTCGCAATCAGTGATATCAGGGCCATGAAAGCTTCAACTGTTCTCGACGATTCCCGAAGATCCAAAAAAAATACACTACTATGATAAGTTAACTGTTGAAAACTGCTCACAATATGTCATTTATATATCTGGTGGTTGAGAATGAGTCTCATAAGTGAGGTTGCTAATTAAACTACTAATTACTGGTTTAGCGTGCCGCCAAATCTGATGCTTAATTATGCAGCCAATTGCAATTAAGGAACAGATTTGCTTGATTAAGTAACCAAAAACCCTCCAAGTTGGAGGGGCAGTTGTGACCTGGATAACAGTCACCATATTACCAATGGTTGGCTCAGGAATCAGGATCAAGCCTACGAACTACTGTAATTACTATTATTATATAAACGAAAAAAAGGGTCCACCTTAATTGCGACTGGACACATACCTAACGTCTACCCGCAACAACAAAGAGCACCAACTTAAACCGTAAAATATTTTATGCTGAAATCATGATTCAATTTTTTTTCATACCATTAAAAATTACCAATCGATTAAAATATATTCGAAGGTTTTCCAGGTTGGATCGCCGATACGGTCTATCCACAACAAAGAGCACCAACCCATTTACTATAGCATGCGAACAACATATAGAAGCACGTCTCTGTCTCTGTGTGTATAAATATAATTGTGATTCTCTCATTTGCTGTAGCATGCACCAACCCATGTCACGATTGGAGGAGACAAATTAATGTCTCATCTTCTTAACTCAGGACGAAACTTCAATTGCCTTTTTTATTTATTTATTGTGTGACAGAGGAACTTAAATTGTTTGTTTGATGAATTAGAAGAAAAAAAATTCGGTTTCTGAGATCTGGCGGATGCAAGATCTTCAGTTTTATCGATGTACATGTCCCATATGGCAAGTTGTACTCTATTTTATCTGTATTTAATTTGAAGTCAACAAGTTCTTGTGCATGGTTGAACTTTGAGAAATACTGAGGCCTGTGCGCATTCATAAGAAACAAAGAACTGTGCATTATTTTTTAATGAAATAATTAACAATATATTTACAAATATGAGGCAGTTTTATATCCTCCTCCAAATGGAACTTTGGCACACAAAATTAAAGGACCATGCCCGACTTAGTACCATAGTTAGTAAAATACAATACGGGCAAGTAATGTATAATATACGTACTGATATTTTTATTTTTCCTGAAAACTAATAGTAGGCTTAATAGTATGTTAATAGTTATAAAATATATGCAATAAATTATTTTAAAATAAATTAATATATAAATTATAGTTAAGTTATCCATTTAATTCATTAAATACGAATATTAAACGTGTTATACGGATATTATACGTGATTAGTACGTGAGTCATCAAATGAACAGAAAAAATAAACCAATTTGACAATAATATTAATATGAAATTTATAAATATATGAAATAAATACACTCATATATACGTGAGTTAAAGGAAAAATTTACTATCGTCGTAAAAAAAATCAAGCTCAAAATCCCTGTAAAAAAAAGGGTAATTAAACTTAAGACGTGCAAACCAACATAAAAAATTAGCGAAGCCGCTGCATGACTTGCAAGCTTGACGCAATCATCCAACATTATGGCGTGATCACTGAAAAATAGAATAAAACTAGAGGTTAGGGATATCTCTATAGCATTACTAAACATGCATGAAGCTTTCGTTTTAGGTTGTAAGGGAGTAGTTAAATATCATATATCATTCCCAATTATTTGAGTTATTGTTCATGATATCAGAGTAAGTTTGTCTTTAAAGTAATGTACGTGTTCAAGTTCTTACGACCATTAATATTAATTGTTGTCTTTAAATTACATGGACCTCTAGCTCCCATAATTTGGCTGTTATTTGAGGCAATAATATCAAAACGTTTATATGAACCTCTCTCACAAACTCGAATTATTGGAACCAATTGGTTTATAATAGAGGCAATAATATCAAAGCTTTTAATCCAAAAGATATAAATGTGTTGACTGGATGACAGAACGAGCTTTTACCGACTCAACGGGATGGACTTGCTAACAAGTTGGTAAAATTGACATGCCGACAAGGCAGTAGGGTATCAAGTGAGAAGACGGGCTTGAGACCGAGATGACAAGTTGTCACCATGACGAACTCCCCGAGATAAGCCGGCCCATTGAGTTAGGTCAATGCGTTAAGCTGTGAAGTTCAAGGCCATCAAGGTTATGCCAACTAGTCACCAAATCGTTGATGGGACCTTGAGGCGGTTGGAGCAAACAACAAGTTGGCAGTTATGAGAGCGAATACATTGCATGGCTATGAATAGGTGAAACGAAAATTGTAAGAGGGTTCTCAAAATCGACACTGTAACACACATGTCAAGTTTATCCTTTACATTTTCTATTTCATACAAACTTCAAGTTTATGAGTTGGCTTTCGTTTGAGGGGACATGTAAGAAAGTGATTAACAATCATACGTGGACCTATATTAATAACTCGAGTTTTTTAGACTAGTATTTTCTATTCTATTTTGTTATTTGACTTCCCCGATCTGTCGTAATGTACACGGCACCATGTATTGTTTTGTACACAACCTAATACTACCAACTTGTACGTGGAAAGCAACTTTTGTAATATTACTTACTTGCATATGCATGCATTGGTTAAAAACCCAAATGTTTCATCTTCAGATGATATCACAGGTCAGTAGAAAACAAACACGAAGCTAAAACGTCGTGACTCGTTCATTTGAATCCCTGATCAATTAGTAAACGATGACGATTACCACTATGGGCATATTTGTGCGCTCTTCAAAAACCATGTGAGTGAGACAGACGGGCAAAATATATATATAATTAAACCGAAGACGTGCAAACCAACAACAAAAATTAGCGGAAGCTGGATGCATGCCTTGCAATTAAGCTGCTGGATGCAATCGTGCAACATTATGGCTCCATTAGCTCCAAAAAGAAGTTAATTAGTGCCGAAAAATCGAATAAAATAAAACTAAGAGGTTGAGGCTAGCTATATAGCATTACAAGCTGGATCCCGGATGCAGTGATATTGAAACATGCAATTCTTTTGATAATCCCAGTTGCCAAGAGGTTCCAATGAAATTTATGGTAATTTTTTACACGTATCAAAAGTTAGATTTGTTGGGAACAATTGAACTACCACATAAAAATAAGGGAAAGTTTTCATTAGTGACTATCTAACTTTATCAGTATGAGGTTTTTTAAAAAGGCTTTCCAGAACAAATCGATGCGTGATTGGAATAAAGTGACAAATCACGATACTTGTGATCGTTAGAGGTGTAGTCACGATTTCGCTTAGTGTGGGTCTACTTGAAAATATACACATGATAATATAGCTTTTGTTAACTTTTTTAATCATTCATGATATAATCTTATATTTGGAGTTTTTTGGTGCATTAAGATACATCGAAACTATCGAGAATATATCCCTTTGTGTACCAAATAATTATTGATGGCTTAGTTATACACGCTCGGTGTTCTTTTTCAATAACTGTTTAGTATCAATAACTCAAATTATTGAGATGCATTTAAAAATGAATCTTTACAATTATTCATAATTTAATTAGTCTTTCGTTTTAGAATGGTATTCTTTTTTTAAGTACCGTTTAGTATAAATAACTTGAGTTGTTACGAGATGTTCAATAATATATCTTGTACCATTGGCATTTACCAACACATCCCCTCATAAGAAAGTCAACTTATATGAAATTTAACTTTACACACAAATATGAATACCATGTGTTTAACCAATGTGGTCACCAAAATTCAAACACAAGACCTCTCAATCAACTATTCTCAATTAGACGCGTCCTAATTTTCAATATCAATTAACTTTTGTACCTAATTTAAACGTTCCCTTTCGAGGAACCCACCTTCTCACACTCTCTTCCTCTTTCCCCAATGATCATTTCCCGGCCTAATAAACAGTTGTTGAGGTACAATTCATTTTGAGAAGGTGACCAAAAAAATCCATACAAAATTAGTCCAAAGCATATTCACCATATATCATACGAATGCAAAATATGTTTGTGAAATTCAATTTAAAATTTTGGACAAATCAATTGTATCTCACCTGCTGCTTGAATAAATTGTTAGATTCACTTGCTTGCAAGTATCCTATTTTCTATTTTGTTATATCACTTCCTCTGTCGTAATCTACATGGGTCATGTATTTTTTTTTCTTTTTCTTTCTAAACACAACCTATCCTATCAACTTGTACAAGAAAGCAACTTTTGTAATATTTCATGCATGCATGCATTCGTTGAAACACCAAAAGTCTTCATTCATCTTTCAGGCCGATCGGTAGATAACAAACATTCAGGTCGATCGTTTGATTCTATTTATTCCCAGTTGCAGGAGGAATGGTGCAGTCAGAAGTCAGAACCAATGGCCGGTGGAAAATAGAACCAATTACGTCGCAAACTAAAGCTAGCGAAGCTAAAGCGTCGTGACTCGTTAACTTGAATATACCTCAATTTAGTAAACGATGACAATTACCATGAGTGCTTCATGGGAGAGGTTAATTTTAAACCACTGTCCAAATAATTATATCCAAATAAAAAATAATTATATCCAAATAATTCATTCATAAATTAAAAATAACCGATTATACTATCATACTTTTCAGAAACAACTACGAAGGAATTTCATATAGTGAAAGAAGCGCAAAAACATTCGTTGTCTACACTATTATATACGTCTCTTTCAATGTATCTTACTAAACAAGTACTAGCAAACTGGTCGCCAAATCGACTTGGAAACTTGTTCTTAATATAACTCAAAGCTAAAAATGCTCCTTTTACACTTGTAGTTGTAATTGGTAGATCAAAACTAGTGGGATTGCCGTTGTCGCTAGACGATTTCAGGGTTGTTGGGGAAAGATCGAATAGGCATAAGGAGAAAAGAGACCCGATTAGTTCTTTATTGCAATTGGAATTTCGTTTATTGTATAATAAATTAATTTTATGTCAATTTTTTGGACAAGTAATGAGTTGTGTTGTAGTGACAAAGTACTCTAATTCACCTTGGGAGAGCTTCATTGAAGATCCAATCAACCCAAGGAGCAAGAAGAAGGTGCAAGCAAGGAGAAGAAACTTGATGTCGTCACTCCACTCTTCTAGTTTGTGTTTTCTTCCTCTCTATAATGACTTGAATATCTAATGGTTGTTTAGGGAAGATGAACCCTAGTTTATTGGTTGTGTATGAATGTGTTTATCTAGTTGATTTGAATGCTATTCTATCTTTGATTGTGTTTGGGTAAGTCGCCCTAATCTTTTCTACAAGCCTACTTTATGCTTCTACGCTGGATTGGGAGTTTTAGAGTTAGACGGGTATGTGTCATCAAGCAAAATTGAGGTTAGATAAAACCTCGGTGTGAACGATGGATAGTATCCATTGAAAGGAGTTACGAGCTTAATGCCCCAAATACGATAGCCTAGATCGAGGTGACTTTATATGTATTTAGGGGAGGCGTACTCGGAGGTGTGTGGATAATCACGAAACCCCACGAAAAATAGCTCACTCACCACATTCACTTAACCCTACATGACAACTAGAGGTGGCAAATGGATTGGATTGGTGGATTGATGGATTGGATTGATGGATCCATGGATCAAATGGATCGGATCTAGTGGATTGGTGGATTCATGGATTGGATCAAGTGGATTGGTGGATTATCCATGAATCCAAATGACATCCTCAACTAAGGACCAATATGTAAAATGTAAAAAGTTTAGGTACTAAAATGTCATAATGAAAATTTTTAGGTACCAAAACGTAATTTTCCATTGATATTTTTCGTATAAAAAATTAAAATTTAGGTACCAAAATGTAAAAAATATAAATTATAGGTACTAAACCGTAATTTGTCAATGATCCATGGATCCAATCCATGAATCCACCAATCCAATTGGATTTGGATTAAATGGATTGGATTAGGTGGATATTTTTAATGGATTGATGGATTGGATTGAAATTGCCACCTCTAATGACAACCATAGCTAGGAGGATTTGACCCTAGGAAACCGTCTCATCTCTATCATTCTCCCAACCACTTGGTTGGTTGTTTATTTTGCCTTTAGGAGTAGATTAGATTAGACTTTACACCCAAACTTCTGATTCGATTAGATAGTAGTTCGAAGCGAAGTAATTGTAAGCTTAGGGAATAGGGATCCCTTGGAATACGACCGAGCCACTTTACTACAACCCTAACTAGGTTATACTTGGCTTAGTTATGATTGAATAGAGAGTGTGCATCAACTTATAAATTTAAAGCTCAATCACGCGAATCATACCACTTAAAAGAGGAGCTAACTTTATTTCCAAAATAACTCTACAAAACTCCACGGTTTCTTATTAAACCGAAGGATCTGATTCACCTAGCAGGTTTTTGTAAAAACTAATTGTTATCTCAATCAAGGTATTTGTATATGTGACTCAATTATCATATTCATCAATTAAATACCTAATTTTGTTCCTATGTTGACGAATTTTGACTGATCAATGAAAGTAAGAGGCGTTATACTCTCCTTATTTAAGCCAGATTTCTCTGAATGTTTGCCTCAAGAAAGACAATGCTAGAGCCTATGGAAATCTTCAACACTACTAGAGTACTCAGAAGAATTTGAAAGCCTCACTAAGATCTCCTATGGCACTAAAATCACCTAGAATTACCCCACACAGAATTTACACCAGTTTAATTTTTTCAAGAACTTCACACGACTACCTTCTACTAGATTCATCAATTTGAAGCATAGACAAATATATCTTGTGAAAGTCATCCAATCTTATGTTATCTTTCACTTATTATTAAACCTAGGGGTGGCAGACCGGTTATTTCGGTTATAACCGGTAACCGATCAGCCGGTTATCGGTTAACCGAAATAACCATCCCCCTACCGAACATCGACCGAAATAGGTTTTAGTTTTTTGGTTATCTCGGTTATCGGTTAACCGAACCACTTTTAAGACAAAAAAAATCATTTCGTCCAACCTCAGATAACCGACCGAAGTTCGATTACTTCGATTACCGATTAGTAAATAACCGGCCGATTATCGGTTTAACCGCCCGGTTAACCAGTAACCGGTAACCGAACTGTCACCCCTAATTAAACCAAATAAGTTCTTCAGACCAACTAAATATTCATCTTCACAATATATCAAAGTTTTTGGCTAAGCAATTTACACAAGAATAAGAAATGTGCTAATAAATTCAAAGTGTAATTTAATCAAGGAACACAAACAAATGTATTTGTGAGAGGTAAATAAAAAGAAAGATAAAAAAAGAATTATAAAGAGAATTTGGCAGAAGGATCAAATGGAGGGTTTGGGAACCATAATTTTCCCAAACAAATACTCCAAGTCGTTCTGCAACGGCGTCAGATTCAAATCCAGCCCAAAGAAGACGCGTTTACTACTACTCGACCTCCTCAGCACAGCCACCTCGTTCGATCCCGGTCCGGCGGTCCCACCACCAAAGCTCTTGGTGGCCACCGGAGCTGCTCGATGCCTCCGCATGTGACCGCCCAAAGCCTGGCCCAACGCAAACTCGACCCCGCAAATGGAGCACTCGTACATCTTGGGCTTCGTCGATGCCAGCTTGAACTCTGCGTTGCGGCCCAAGCCCAGTAAATTCCTGGGCCTCCTGTGGCTGGCCCGGTGGCCCCCCAGAGCTTGGAAGGACGGGAACTTCCGGTTGCAGGTCTTGCATTCGAATGCGGCGGCGGGGGAAGGATTGGAAGTGGAATTAACGGTGTTAAGACCGTGGGAGAGGTAGACCAGACATTTCGCCATGTCGAACGTCTCTGGTAATTCTGCCACTCCGCCGCTTCTTTTCACGGCCATTGACGGAATGGTGTTGAAATGTGATCGAATGAGAAAGAAATGGGAGAATATGGAAGGCTGGAAGGGGAGTTGGAGGAAGCTAATATAGGGACATTGATTTATACGTAAAGGCAAAAAGGAGTTGAGGGGGTTTTTGACTGGTGGGAAGGCGTTGAGTTTTTCGTGTTTTGCAACTTGTTGACTCTTCTTTTCGATCAGGATGAGTTGAAAAAACTAAATGGAAGGTGGGAGAGGAGGTGAAAAAACGGCGACGTTTAGTGGTGATGGAAGAAGCTGAAGCGAAGCTGGGTAACGGGTAAAGTAAGTGGCCGGAGAATAATGATATTGGAAGGTTCGGAGGAGTTTGGGGACGAAGAGGTGGTGGCGGCGGTATAATAATGCGAATGGAGAATTGGAGATGGACTGAGTCACAGTCACGAGTGGCGAGCTATTGCTCCTTCCTGCTATATATATTCTACGATTTTGCATGTGTTCCCAGAAACTAGCGCGCCGGTGAGAGAGTTAGTCCAAACCGGATAAAGACGAGAGGGGGTTCTGGTGAGCAGTAATTTACTGCGTGCATATACCTAGAAATGTCAAATATACAAACGAACCGTGGTCAATGAAACCGTACCGGAAAAGTCAACATTATGATATTTTATGGTAAAACCGTGGTTTAACCGTAGTTCAACTGTTAGATCGTTAAATACCGCCTACCGATTTAGTCATTTAGCCTCTGATATTGGTATTTCGTGGTTGAACCTGTAAAATTTAGTTAGAAAAATCACCAAATGATAGTTAAAAGACCACAGAAAGGATAATGTTAGACCGTACCTTTGTTCCACTGTATATTCTCAGAGTTCGCAAAAGTTGTTAGCACATTCATATTATATCAATAACGATATATTCAACCACACAATTATTCATGATTTTGTCACTCATTCAAATATTGAAGATTGTATTTCACGTACCTTATTGCATATGTAGAATGCTGGTAGCAAAGCTAAATTGCTTCATTCAATTAATGAGTATGATCCTAAAAACACAAAACAAAACAAAAAATCTATTTAATTAATTCTACAACACACCTCTAGTCTATCTTCGCGCTATATATAATACTGTAGTTAAGATTTCACATCAAATATATCATTGTCGGATAACTCATTATTAGGATAAAAAAAGCTTGCGAGTTTCAACAAGATGAGGATTTTGTGGAAGAAGAAGAACAACAAAATAAAAAAATTGAGACCGAAGAATGAGGTTGGAGTTTATTTTCATATTATTCATGTAGAAAATAGAAATTATTATATAAATGATGATAAACTAAGGTAATTATATAGTTGTAGTTAGGCGGTTGAAATATTGACTAATCTTTATCTTACCAAAATATTATGACAATTTAAAATTAACATATTGTCACATTAGCACTTAAAAGATTTTGTAAGTTGCCAAAGTGGACAGCTTTAACATACAATAACTTAAGTTAGTGATATATATTTATTTATGCAACTATCTTTCTTTTTGACATTTTCCTTTTTCTACTTTTATCATATAATTTCTTTTTACTTTTAATTTTCATTGTATATGTGTACGCTACGCAGCAACGGTATACTCATGTTTGCATAGTGACATATATCGTGTTTGTTTAAACAAACAAAATAACTTATTAAAGCTTACTAATGAGTTACATTTTGACAAAAAAAAAATTAACAAATTCACACGTAAGTAATAGAACTTTGCTTCGGTGACTCGGCGGTAACGGTATACTCTACGCCTGACCGAAAAAATCTTTCGGCTCGGCGGCGTTCCGATCGTAATTTTTTTTCGACTCGCCGTGTTTCTCGCCGGAAACTGGAAAACTTGTCGGAAAATTAAACTTACTTGTTTTCCGACGATTGAGGGCGACGGGAGGTTGGTCGGCGACGAAGGCACTGGGCTCGACGACAGAAGTTTTTGTTGGAATGAGTCAAATGTTAATGATATCCGAATTTATAGAATGAAAGGAATTGAATTCAAAAAAAAATTTAGTTGGCGGCAAATAGACGTTCACATAATAAAATAGCCAGTCGTGTGAGTTCGCAGTGAATTAGTCATATTCACGTCGAAGAGGGATACCACGTAAAACTCTCGTGTTTTGTGTTATTTCAATTCCGTGTTATCAAATTCTTCATAGGTCATCCACATGTTATAAGGTTCTTGGCTATAATTAAAAATAAGCTGTTGTCTATTGATATTGTTTTCAGACATAATGATGAACGTGCTCATTTTTTAAGGGAAGATCTCTCTAAAAAAACCATTCATTTCGAGTACAATATTTTATTTCGTCACTTGATTTAATTCATATGATTTTTGGGTCCACACATGTGACTTCTCCTCTCGATTTTGTTATATTTTTCGCTATTTATTGATTGTGTTGTATTATTTGTGTGAGTCGATCTTCTTCCTCATACCCATTTGACAACCTTGTGGCAATTTTCGGCCGGACCAAAACTCAAAATCTAACCCTGAATATAAATCCCGCTGAAAAGTGTATGTGTAACTTATACAAGAACAAGAAATGGGCTTAGAGTATACATCAATGAATCAATCATTTGTACATGTACAGGCTACAAGAAAGAAATGTGAAAAAAGAATCGGAAGAGAAGATCAAATAATGGAAACTTTGGGAGCCATCCTCCCAAACAAATACTGCAAGTCGTTCTCCAACGGCGACAAGTTCAAATCCAGCCCAAAGAAGACGCGTTTGCAACTACCCGACCTCCTAAGCAGCGGTAGCACCTTGCTCAAGTTTCCACTCTCCGACTTAGGAGCCACGGCGGCAACGGGACCGAAGGCGGCGGCGGCTGCGGCTGCTCGGTGCCTCCGCATGTGACCGCCCAAAGCCTGGCCCATCGCAAATTCGACCCCGCAAATAGAGCACTCGTGCACCTTGGGCTTCGTCGATTCCAGCTTGTTGTGGCCCAAGCCCAGTAAATTCTTGGGCCTCTTGTGGCTGGCCCGGTGGCCTCCCAGAGCTTGGAAGGACGGGAACTTCCGGTTGCAGGTCTTGCATTCGAATCCGGCGACGGGGGAAGGATTGGAAGTGGAATTAACGGTGTTAAGACCGTGGGAGAGGTAGATTAGACATTTCGCCATGTCTAACGTCTCCACTTCTCTGCTTCTCTTCACGGCCATGGATGGAAATTATTCCTAGATGAAGATTTGAATTGGGAAGTTGGCGAAGGAAGGGGAAGTCGATGGAAGTTTTTTTTTTTTTCTTGTTGGGAAGTTGAGTTGTTGTCGTTGGAAATGTGGGAGTTGGTATTTATAAGCGCAGAAGGAGGTGGAGAGGTTTGACTGACTGGTAACCCAAGCGTTGAGTTTTTCATTGCTTTGACTCGTCTGGTTTGGTTTTGGGTTGCGTTTGACTTTGACTACTAAGCGGTGACGTCAGCGGTGATGGAAGGAAGGAAAACGGATAGAGAGTGGAAGGTTCGATGGAGCGAGAGAGTGAACAAGCGGTGGCGGCGAGACGTGACGTGAGTGGTACAAAATGTTTTTCGAAAATATAAATAGGAGGGGTCGCTTGGAAACTTTGATTTCGGAAATGGTGTATTACAAGAATGTGTACTAAAAGAGTAAAGATTATGTGTATGCTAAGAATGTGTGAGTTTTAAGAATGTTTTGTTTAGAAAATATAAAAAGAATGTACGGATTATACATGAAATGAATTGTGGATATTAAGTCTCATAAAAAATGTAAGATTAAAGTATACATCATTTTCTATGTATTATGATTACATCATGCATTCTTTATACATATATATTTTGTAATTAAAACATGTCAAAAAACACGTTGTATACTATATTTGTGTAAAATATAGTATTAGTTTTATAATATATAAGATTAGTATATACAATAAAGTTGCTTGTAACCTACTTCCTACTGATGTATTATTGAAATCCATGAACATGAGGTACTTGATTCAAATCCTACAGCCAATGTAGTTAAAATCGTGCTTTAAAACTTAAAAACTTACGATTTTACGTTTCCAAGTCACCAAAATACTTATATACATAATCTCAATTTTTATAACTAATGTAGTTAAAAACTACGCTTTAAGACTTAAAAGCTTACAATTTTACGCTTCTATATCACAAAATGTTTTTACGTTGAAACGCGCTTTTGACTACATTGCCTAGTTGTAGATATGGAGGAGGAAAGGGAAGACAAAGGGAGAAAGGGCCAGGTTCAATGATATGAACGGAAGATTGGATTTCAAAAAAGGCCATAAATGTCTGTTCCCACAATGCGGTGCACGAGATTATGACTGCGAAAAAATTGGAGACGGGTCTCACATTGGTGCAAATGTGGTATTAAATAAATAAAAGGATATTTAAACGAAGGAATTCTGTTTTTCCCCCAAGTCCCTAATTAGACATATTCTGTTTGGATTGGGGTTAGATCATCGGAGAAGTACTAATACTTTTTATATTGCTTTTTAACATGTAATCACCTCAAGTATAGTGAAGTCGACTTTCTCCGTGCCCGTGAAGTAGCTAACACGCGTTGTGTTAGTGAACCACGAAAATCTTTATTTTCTTTGCTTTTTTGTTGATCGATGTCTTTCTTGTTATTGTCGATTGCCCTGGTTCGTGCGCGTGACATAAAGGGTGGTGGTGCATAAACTATTTAGAATTCTAATACATGAGTGTCTTGATATTAGTAAAATTTGTCAAGGATGTGAATACTGGATGAACTTACAAGAAGATGAGCACATAGTTATGTCATGGCTACCAAAACGGTAATGGGAAATCGACGACTGCCAAGATTAAAATCGGAACCTCTCAAATCCTAACATACACCTTTACCATCTTCTATCATTTCTTTGTGGTTAATTAAATGGGTTTTGTAGGAGAAGACTCTAGAAAACTTCATTGGATAATTTCTGACTGGTTACTTTATTGGGTAATTGAACGAGAAATACGCAGCATTGTGAGAATATTGAGCGAATACATAACGAGGATAATATGGGTAAAAATATATAAATACTAACTGACGCCAAAATATCATCACCCCAAGTTGTGTTTTCCAAATCCATCTATTTTTGGTGCACACATTGCCACTTGATTTTCATACTATTGATGTATTCAATTTTGATGTCCATGATTAGGTGTTTTTTTAGTTTATTAACAATAAGGTTAATTACCTCCCAAGTGCATCTACAAATTAATATAGTTAGCTTTACATATCAAATCACATTCGTAATTGAACGAGAAATACGCAGCATTGTGAGAATATTGAGCGAATACATAACGAGGATAATATGGGTAAAAATATATAAATACTAACTGACGCCAAAATATCATCACCCCAAGTTGTGTTTTCCAAATCCATCTATTTTTGGTGGAATTTAATATAGTTAGCTTGACTAATGAAAAGTCAGAAAAGAAAAACAAACAGTTAGTGGAATTTTATTGGTCAAAGGTCAAAACCAAACACTTTTCTTCTACTAATTTCCTAGCTTAGCAGTAGGCTGCAGAGCTCCACTAACCCACTAACCTCCTAATTATTGATTCTAGCTAGCATAAATCAGCTAATCAAGTTAACAAACCAATAGACTTGACTTCCAAATTCCAACAACCCTTGAAAACTCGAAATGAACTGATTTGACACAATACATAACCAATGAACAAAAACACAGATAACAAAATTGACACAACTTGGCCACAACAGCCTTATTTGAATCTTGTCTTTCCCGCTACCTTCCAGACGATCCGGGTTCGAACCTGGCAAGCAAATTCTCTCCTTGAACAGAAGTCAGTTAACTCAGCTTCGGTTCAAACTTCAATCTGCAAAAACACGTTCACTTGTCTCGACAACTCCTACTCTGCCTCTAAACAACTCAAAAGTGTCGAGCTTGAGTGCTTTTGCTATCACATCAGCATAAAACCTAGGCTTAGGGATGTCTCCCACAGTGGACATGGTTGATTTATCTAAGTTAATCTAAAAGCACACAAAAATAATCATTAATCAAGGCATTTACCACTTGATCGCAAGAAGCATCACAGAATATCAGAGTCTCGTCCGCGAAGAGCAGATGAGTAACTTAACTTCTCCCCTGCATGCCTTGCTCAGAAATCATGTAGAAGCTTCCTTTTATCCATGGGAACACTAATAATGCGATTAATAATTTCAAGTACAAGTCATTCAGCTATATATATATATCTAAAGCCTGCTTCTTCACGGAGCTCATCAGTTGATGAGCTAAGCGAGGCATACATCAAGAAGTGAGGGATACTCAGCAAGTAATTCTACATCTTGCCAGCTGCCCTTTACCTTTCTTCCCCTTCTCAGTTGACATCACCAAGAGGAGCTCTACTACTATGAACCAGTTGCGGGTTCTTGCTCTCAGTCATCTGATGCTGCTGATGATGACTCCATTTTGACGGCGAAGACAATCTGTGCCCCACATTCTCTCCCTCTTCTTCCACACTTCCATTTGCGGCCGCTGAGAACGACATTCTCATCTTCTCAATGGAGGACATGCTAGGCACAGATATGACCCTCCTTTCAGGCCTCGAGCTTGTGTCCTCGTCGATCTCATAATCCTGGGTCAGGCACTTGTCTGCTTTGCTCCTGATGCTTGCTATGCTTTCACCGTGCTCCTCTTGTATGGTCTTCAGCTGATTCATGCACAACGTTGCCATGGCATCCATCTCCTTCTTACTCTCCTGATCTCTCGTCAGGGAATCTAACTCGCACAGTTCCATACAGTTTAGTCAGTTTGCAGATCGAACAATAATGCGATATTCCTACGGATTTTTAATATGTGTATTTTACCTTCGACTGCTGCCATAACATCAACTGTCCTGCCACAAAATTCTTCGTCAACAGCTGAGGATGCTGACAGAAATTGCTGCTGTGCAACATTGTTGATGCTGATTTTTTCTCTGCATACAAGAGTAGTATGTTATTCAGCCAGTGGCGCAAATAGGAAGAGGTTCCTTCCAGGCAAGAAAGGAAATAACTCTCACCTCACAGCAGCTTCTACTCCCAGAGCACTGCTTCGATTGAGATTGCTTACTTTTGATTGCGCATTTTCCAACTGCTCCTTAGACCGGTTCACCTTATCCGAACTGCACCGTGATCAATCGAGGGTAAACAAAAAAAATTGTCTTAGTTTAGGGAAACTGATAGGAAGGAAGAATGTTATAAATGCATTATTTTCTTTCACGCTCTTGACTATGTTCTGATTTACTATTCAATCAAACAAGGCTGAACTTATATACCATTCTTGGAGGACAGTTTCCATGACTACCCTTGACTCGGCCACTGAAAATGAGTCATCCATGAAGTTTCTCTTCACTTCCTCCGCATGTCTCCTCAACTCCTTATTAGCATCTAATGAGGCCTGATGAATGTAGCTCATCTCTTGTTGCATTCTCTTATTTTCATCTGTTCTCATACCTTGCATGCTCCTGGATGCCTCCATGACCTGAAGCACAATAATGCCTTAGAAATGTCAGCTTCACCTTGATTCTTCTGAATAATGAAAAGGATAAATAAAAACATTGACTTACATGAGCTGTTCTTCTAGAAGTCATGTTGCCTAGTATTTTTGTAATATCTTCCAGAGCTTGTTTCTCCTCTCTCGCTGTCTGTTCCTGTATCAACAGAGTAGACATCTGTCGGAAGGCCCATGCATCAGTCAAAGGGAAAGAAAGTAAGTACTTCCAGATTTCTGCTTACTTGAAAAGTCTGCTGGAAATTGTTTAACCAATCAGATTGTTTGGTTTGGCTTTCTTCAAGAACATTCATAACTTTAGACGCCTGAACGTTGATGTCATCGAAAAAGTCCATTGTTGCTTTTGATATCACTTGAGTGTGTCTCAAGCTTCTTTCTAGTCCCTATAATGTGCAAAAATGTCATTTCTTCAAGTGCAGACGACCATTTAAACCAGAGAGACAATTAGGTGATGTATTCGAGTGAAATTACCTTCTCTTGTTGTTGAGTGGAGATATATAAGATATGTTCTTGTTCACGTAGAGAGTTCTGAATATCCTCAATACTACCTTGGGCCTCTGATACAGTGACCACCAACAACTGTAGAAATCGAATGCAACAATTTTCCTCAAGTCTAGGCAATTAACTGAAACCACCATTTAAGTTACACATGTTTGTCTATCTCACCTGTTCAATAGCAGACACTTGAGATGAGATTGTGGCGTTTAACTGCTCCAGGTCAGAAGAAGAGTTCTCCTTCATAGCATTAGCAAACTCCTTCAAGGATTCAATCCCTGACGAATATGCATCTGCCATTTTCCTTATCCGTGATTCCAAAGCCTTGGTTGCCTGGCAGGTACCAAGACCAGTGCATCAGCTACAACTTCGAACTCTTGAAAAGATTTTTAAAAAAAGGTAAATCCTTACATCACATTTGCTGGCAAGGAACGACTGGACATGCTCTTCCATGCATCTCATTTGATGCTGTTGTTGAGAGACTGACCCTAGAATGGTTCTGTGCAGGTCTTTCAAACTCTGGTCTAGTTGAGAACCAAATCTCAAAACCATTCTCTGGTTGTCTGTTTCCATCTGATCCTTCTGATCTGTTAATAAAGTGTTTTTTTTTTCTATAAATCTTTCGTTCTCAAAATGAGATCATAAGAGAAACTTAGAGCTGGAGGTCGACATTGTCATTCATGCCAATCAAACTCATCCAGTACCTAATGTTGTGAATAGTGAAGTAATATCTTCTGAAGCAGATTGCAAGCCATTCCGCAACTCCTTTGCCCTTTGAACTAAAGAATTTTCTGTTCATTCAAAATCTAACATCATCAGCACAATGCGGCAATAATAAGATGGGTAAATTGCGGAAAATCACACATGTACACTCACCTGAATACAGAAGCTTAGAGATGATAAACTCTTTTTCCTTTAATGTCGAGATTGCGACTCTATATTGTTCTTGAAGATCTAACAGGTCCTTGTTACTCTTCTCTAGATTCACCTTAAGAACAGAAAATTTCATCATGATGAGACGTGGCAATCTGACTAAAGTAGAGACATCCACGGACCATGAAGAATAAGTACCTTGCAATCCTTGAGCTCACTTGTCACTTCAAGTTTTTCTTCTTGCTCAGACATATAGAGCTCACGGAACCTATCAAGTTCCTGTAACCAGTGAAAGTCAGCTATTCTATTACACTTCACATTTTGATGTAGGAGACGAGAAAGTGAGGAACATGTTTTTACCTTCTCATTGAGGTTCAACTCGATCTCCAATTGTTCTATCTTCTGAGCCCTGGCCTGCAAAAGATTGTTAACTGCTCAAATCACAATTAAGCTAAATCAAACTAGATACTGCAATTCAGAAACCCAGATAAACAATCAAGAAATGACAATCAGTTATAAGTGTACTTAAATGCTGAATCTACCATAAGAGTCTACCTTCTTTTCTGCTTCTTCCTGGGCAAATCTATCATGTGGAACATACACACCATTTCTTTCCCTGGCTGCTCGAACATCTGCATCAGTTTACCACAGGAACAGCAGCGTAAGGTTTGGCTTTGCGAGAACTTTTCACCACACAAGATTATATGAACATCTCATCAGCACCTTCTTTCATTCGATCAATCTCTAAAAACAGATCTTTGAGCAAAACAGTCTTGGATATTTTCTGGTTTGCCTGCAAAGACAAACTCTTTTATCAGGACAACGAGACAATAGGTTGAAATGTTATTGAAGAAGCAAGACAGATATATAACACACCTCGGGCTTGTTTTTTATGTTTTTAGCACGATACGCATAATCAAGAGTACTCAAAGTTTCCTCCAGGGAATGGCCAGATGGAGAGATTGTTGCAATGATGCAAGTTTTGGTTTTTCCTCCCAAGGAATCTCTTAGTAGTCTCGTCAACTTGCTATCTCTATATTGATGGACAAAAAATGTCGCTAATCAGCTACCAAAATACTTGGAAAGAATAGAATAAACAAACAGAAATGCATAAACAAGTGAGAGATCATAACCTATAAGGTATATGAGCCGAATGTTCTACCAATGCATTTATAACACGGCCTAGAGTAAGTAAACTCTTGTTTATTTCCCCTGCTTCTCTAGCACGACCCTGCAATTCGATACCAACGTCAGCAAGTTCACATTGAAAAAAGAACTTACAGAAATGAGCAGTAACGGAAGTATCAGGCAGATATTTGCTTATACCCGTCCCAACACTCGATTATACATAATGCAGAAGTATTAGGTTGCTTAGAAACTTGAACCATGCCAAGAAATTGTATATATGAATTGTACCTCTCTCGCCCCAGAACGCGAGATGTTTTCCGATCCAGCCAAATCAACCAGATTAAGCTTGCCACATTTGATGAGTTCTTCTTCCCCAATATTTGCTTCTTTTATGTGGACAGTAATAGAAAAGACAGAGTGGGACCGACTGCAATGGGAAAGAAACAAACTTTAGCAGACTCTGTCTGCTCCTAGATGCAGTCACACTAGTAAAATAGAATGTAGGAAAGACCTGCTGTGCTTGTTCAAAAAAGTGTCTGCTGTACGCCTTCTAGCTGCTCCTCGTTCTAAGAGTGTGTATATATCATTTGCACTGTACACTACTTCTTCTTCAAGCCCTCTTAAAACAACACAACCCTTTCCATCTTCCATCAATGAAACTGGTCTCTTTTGCCTATCATCAATGGATCTCGAATTGTCTTCTGAAGCCAGCAAATCAGTTATTTCTTCATTGTACAGCTCCAGGAACGTCACTTTCATGCTGTAATCTGCATTTTGGGCCTCCAGAATGTCGAATATTTGGCGAACAGCTCTTGGGATAACACCAGCCTCAGCAGGCAAATCCCCACCCTATGAAGAAGCAACATCAAGTCCTTGAAAGGAAGCATGGTGAAGAAAAAACAGAGATACAAGCACAGATTTTCACTTCCATTTTACCTTATTTCTCATTCCACCCTCCATTGTATACGTTTTGCCTGTCCCCGTCTGGCCATAGGCAAATACAGTACAGTTGAAACCATCAAGAACTTCATTCACTATGGGCGCAATCGCTTGGTCATAAATCGATCTCTGCTGCGCTTTAGGCCCAAAAACCTGACACAGACTCCGACCTCTCAATACAAGAGCAAACCGAAGAGCCACATCAAAGCTAGAAGCGAACCGAAAAGGGAACTCTTACCTTGTCAAACGAAAAAACCCTATCCACTTGCTTGTTAGCAACACTTTGCAGAACAGTGACTTCTCGTCTGTTCTCATTGCAAGAGATCACTCTGGGCACATTCGCTCTTTGCTCTTCATCACTTAGCGGCCTGGTTTTCCGAAGAAGCAAATTTCATTTTGATCTTCAAACTTACTAAAAGAGAAAGCAGCAGAGAATTGGAAGCAATTAGAACAAAGGCGAACCTGCATCTAAGAAGGACCTGGACGTTAACCTCTTTATCTCGGTCCTGACGGTTGGAGCTGAGGTCGGAACTCCTGGATTCCGGCCGGCGTCTCTCCGGGCGAGGCGTGAGGAACGGAGCTGGAGACGGTACGAGTCCGAACCCTGACTTCCTGAAGTGATCAGGCGTGAGCGACATCGACATCGTCTTTTTTTCTCGCTTGCTCCCTCTTCCAACTCCCCCAAAGTCCAAAACCTAAACCGAGAGGGAAAATAAAATTGGCAAACGAGACAAGAGCTTCGATCAGGTTACGATCATCCATTTCAACTGACAATTGCCCATCTGAGTTCCGAATTCAAATTCTGGTGCATAGTTCATACTTACAGTTGCGATGGGTATCCAGGCGAAGCGATCAGAAGAACTCGCGCGCTCCCTTTCCACTTCAGTAGCAAGAAAGGCTGTGATTCCGATTCAGTTGCTTCCGTGAATCTGGAGAAAGGAACTTTGAGCCAGTTGCTTTTCGATCTGTTTGGAATTGAAGTTGAGAGTGAAATTTGGGGACTGTAGGCTTTTGATCGGGAGAGATGATTTTTGAAAAGAGAAATACCGGGCGTCTGTCTTACCAGAAGAGTGGGGGATGGCGTTGTAGAGATAGCCGTTAGGTTAGGAGGGACACGCGGCGCTTCATTCTTGCCTTTTCTGGGAAACGTCAAAATGTGGGCCCAGGTGAAAATTTCAAGTTCAAACGAAGCGCGGATTCTGGTACTTGGAGGACTTGGCGGTTTTGGCCTCGAAATAGAGGTGGCAAATGGATTGAATTGGTGGATTAGTGGATTGGATTGGTGGATCCATGGATCAAATGGATTGGATCTAATGGATTGGTGGATTCATGGATTGGATCAAGTGGATTGGTGGATTATCCATGAATCCAAATGACATCCTTAACCAATGATCAATATGTAAAATGTAAAAAGTGTAGGTACTAAAATGTCATAATAAAAAAATTTAGGTACCAAAACGTAATTTTCCAATGATATTTTTCGTATAAAAAATTAAATTTTAGGTACCAAAATGCAAAAAATAAAAATTATAGGTACTAAACCGTAATTTGCCAATGATCCATGGATCCAATCCATGAATCCACTTATCCAATTGGATTTGGATAAAATGGATTGGATTTAAATGAATTGGATTAGATGGATATTTTTAATGGATTGATGGATTGGATTGGTGGATTGGATTGAAATTGCCACCTCTAGCTCGAAATGAGGTCGGGACATTTGGACTTCAAATAGAATCACTATACCCACATCCGGGAAAGGAAGCCCACGGTAAGCCACGGTAGGCAAACGAGGATTGTTAATTGTCGTCCTAGATTTTATTATAATTTTAAAGTTGAGATTACTGATGACGTGTACTACCTCCATGCATTTCTCCTTTGCTGTTAGTAGCTGTTGTAGGTTGTTGGCAGCCCCTGTATCCACTACCTTTCTGTTCCTCATCTTCAGCAGCACGTTTGGCTGCATTGTACTTTAAATACTCTCAATCAATAATAGCACAGCAAGCCTTGAGCTCATTCATGGTATCAGAGCGTTGAGTCACTCTAACGAGTTTTCTTTCCTCCCCAATACTGCTTCTTCTTCCTTCGCCACAAATGACTACTGAGTCCGCCTCCCTTTCTTCTACCTCCTCGTCTGGAGATTCTAATTCTGCACCGATGCCCTCTGTTTCTCTTCCAGCCAATCCGCAATTGACAATCAAGCTTACACCCACCAACTATCTTCTGTGGCATGCCCAAATCACCCCTCTTCTTCGATGCCATCAGCTTATGGGTCACGTCGACGGCTCTACTCCTGCTCCCCCAGTGTCTATTGATGGCCGCCCCAATCCTCACTATTCAACCTGGTACATTCGTGATCAATATGTGCTTACATGGATTAATTGCTCTCTCTCTGAGTCGGTGCTCCCGCTTGTCATCAACAAGGTCACCGCGTACGAAGCCTGGTCGGCTTTGCATATCATCTATGCCTCTGGCTCCAAACTTCAGATTCGCCACTTGACCAAGGAGTTGCAGAACCTCCGGCGTGGTGATGCTACTATTCATTCGTATCTTCAAACGCCCAAAGGGAAGGCCGACCAACTTGCTGCGCTTGGCTCTCCGGTCAACAATGACGACTTAACTGCCTGGATTCTTGACGGACTTGGTGAGGACTATCGTCCGTTTGTGCGTCACATCGAAGCACGCCTGGAGCCAATCACCTTTGAAGATTTGCATTCTCTACTGTTGAGCGAGGAGAGTCAGATTCACCGATTCTCCATGCGCTCCGATTCCCCAGCACCGACGGCCTTTTATTCAAGCGCCGGTGGGTTTCATGGGCGCGGCGGCCGTGGTCGTGGGCGTGGGTCGCCCTGCGGCCGTTTCCCCTCTAACCCTACTATGTTTTTTGGCAGGCCTAATTCCACAGCAGGTGTTCTTGGATCCAGGGCCAATGCGGCGGCGGTGGTTTGTCATAACTGCGGTGGGCGGGGCCATATTAAGCCCAACTGCCCAAGCCCACCCATATCCGCCCAGCCTCATTCCTTTTCCTCCCAGCCCGCAAGTCATCCAGGCCCAACACCTCATTTTGGCCCCCCTGCTCCTTTTTCTGGCCCGCAAGCTCATATTGCTTCCTCCCCCATCCAACATCTCAATCCTACTCAGTGGCTCCTCGATTCTGGTACTAATCATCATTTAACCTCGGATTTGGATAATCTTGCTCATCATTCCGAATATAACGGCACTGACCAGGTCACTTTTGGCAACGGTAACTCCCTTCCCATCTCTCATTATGGATCGTCTCAAGCTTCTCTATCTCATATACCTCTATCCTTACCAAATATTCTTCGTGTGCGTGATGCTCCATTCAATTTATTGTCAATTAGTGCTCTCACTAGTGCTAATCCTGTTTCTATCGAATTTTTTGACTCTATTTTTGTCATCAAGGATCGGCGCACAATGAATGAGCTTTATCGCGGTTAAGCGGTGGATGGTCTCTATTCTCTTCCTCTACAAATTTTTCGTCGTCTTCCTCCTCTTGCTTGCGCCGCTACATTGGATGTGTGGCATCGTCGCCTCGGGCATGCTAATGAACGCGTCCTCAAGCAAGCTCTCCATCAACATCAAATAAAATTTGTTCCCTCTAAATCTTCCTTATGTCATGGTTGTGCAGTTAGTAAGATACATAAGCTTCCCTTTGCATCTTCTACTTTCAAAGCGTCTGCACCCTTAGAACTTGTTTGTAGTGATGTTTGGGGACCTGCTCCTGTTCTCTCTTATGATGCTCAATCACATTACATTCTTTTCTATGACCACTATAGCAAATTCTCTTGGATTTATTTTATCAGATATAAATCACAACTGCTTAGTGTCTTCATTCATTTCCGCCAATTAGTCGAAATTTTTTTTGGCACTCCCATCAAAACCTTTCAATCCGATTGGGGCGGTGAATATCAAGCTCTATCCTCCTATTTATATGATCATGGTATTGCTCATCGCTCCTCTTGTCCACACACACCAGAACAAAATGGCTGTGCAGAACGCAAACATCGTCATATTGTTAATAATGGCCTCGCTCTTCTCCATCACTCTCAAGTTCCCCAGAAATATTGGTCCCTTGCCTTTGACACTGCTTGCTATCTTATTAATCGAACACTCCCTTCAATGTCCTCTTTAAACGTCAACCCGATCTCACTACTCTTCGTGTTTTTGGCTGCCTATGTTATCCATGGCTGCGTCCTTATACTTCTTCAAAGCTTGAACCTCGATCTGTTCCCTGCGTTTTTCTAGGATATAGCAAGCTTCACAAGGGTTACCGTTGTCTACACATTGCCACTGGTCGTATTTATATAAGCCGTCATTTTCTTTTTGATGAAACACGATTTCCCTTTTCCGAAATTCAAAATTCTCCTGCCACTGAGTCTTCGCCCTCCTTATCCATGCCAATAAGTTTACCCCTACCTCCTCTCCCAATTTCTCCTAGGCCCATCGACCCCCCAAATCCGCCTGTCGAACCCTCCCTAACTCACACCCCTCCTTCGGCCCACCCGACGCCTTTGGCCCATTCCCTGCCTTCGGGCCCTTCCTCGCCCAGCCAACCTCACCCTGCTGGCCCATCTCACCCTGCTGCATCTACCTCTCTTCCTGATCCATCAGCCAGCCCAACCCCTGCCCCATCCCTTACCCCTCCATCGTCTCATCCTCCCAGCCCTCCTCACCCTGTTGCATCTGTCTCTCCTCTCGATCCCTCCTCTGCCCCATCCCTTACCCCTTCGCCGTCTCATCCTAAATCGACCCCACTTCCGCCCCGTCGTCCTCTCCCCTCTCGTCCCCCATTCACTACCTCCCCTCGACCTATACCAGTTACAAATCCTACCTCGTCTACCCATCCAATGGTGACTCGCATTAAGACCGGCAATCTCAAACCCAAACCCAAAACCTTTCTCACCCATCTCCCAATTGATGACACGCCCTCCACCGTCGCCCAGGCCCTCAAGAATCCTCTCTGGCGCTCCGCCATGGCTGACGAGGTCACCGCCCAACTACGCAACCATACTTGGGACCTGGTTCCTCCACCTCCAGGCTGTAACATACTCACCAACAAGTGGGTTTATCGTACCAAGGTCAAACCTGATGGCTCGCTTGATCGGCGACGGGCTCGGCTGGTCGCTAGGGGATTTCAACAAGTTCCCGGTCTGGATTTTGATCGGACCTACAGCCCGGTTCTTAAACCCGCCACATTACGGCTCGTTCTCGGCATTGCTGTTTCTCAGGCATGGCCCTTACATCAAATTGATATTGCTAACGCCTTTTTACATGGTGAGTTACAGGAAACAGTATATATGCAACAGCCTCCCGGATTCGTTGATCCATATAAGCCGCACCATGTCTGTCGCCTACGCAAATCAATCTACGGTCTTCGCCAGGCACCCCGAACATGGTTTCACTGTCTTGCTGCGGCTCTTACACGTTTTGGTTTCTCGGTCTCCCGGACCGATCCATCACTTTTCATCTACAAGTCTGGGTCTGTTCGGCTGTATATGCTTGTTTATGTTGACGATATCGTCATCACCGGCAACGATTCAGCTCTTATTCAGCGGCTAATGGCCTTTCTTCATGAGAATTTTGCTCTTCGCGAGCTGGGACCACTCTCCTACTTCCTCGGCATTGAAGTTCAACGCTCTTCCAAGGGTATAGTCCTCAATCAGCGCAAATTCATTCTTGATCTTCTAGAGCGCGCCAAGATGTCCATGGCCAATCCCATTTCCACTCCTGCCACATCAGATCTGCTCCAGCAAACAGCCCCTGCTCTTTCTCCACGGTTTGCTGATCCTGCTTTATATCGCAGCATCGTTGGCGGGCTGCAGTATCTTAGTTTCACCCGACCCGATCTCTCCTTTGCGGTCAATCTTGTATCTCAATTTCAGCAGGACCCCACTGATGCGCATTGGGCGGCAGTTAAGCGCATACTACGCTATCTTAAAGGAACTATCAATCGTGGCTTGGTCTTCTCCCAATCCCCTACTATGCATATTCATGGGTACTCCGATGCATCCTGGGCATCTTGTCCCAAGGACAGGAAGTCAATCACAGGCTTTGCCGTCTTTTGTGGATCCAATTTGGTCTCCTGGTCTACCCGCAAGCAGAAATCGGTGGCTCGCTCATCCACAGAATGTGAGTATCGTGCTCTCGCCACGCTTGCCTCAGAGGTCCTCTGGCTTCGTTCACTACTTCAAGAACTGGGTCAAACTATTCCCTCTGCCCCTGCTCTATGGTGTGACAATCTGGGCGCCACCTTCCTTGCTCATAATCCAGTCTTTCACAATCGATCGAAGCATATGGAGATTGAGTTTCATTTCGTTCGTGATCAAGTGAGCAAAGGCCACCTCCATGTTCACTATTTACCTGCTACAGATCAGATTGCTGACGTACTTACCAAACCGCTGCCACGGGTATCCTTCAACAGATTCTGTTCCAAGTTTCGTCTCACGGAGCCTCAACTTGCGGGGGCGTGATGACGTGTACTACCTCCATACATTTCTCCTTTGCTGTTAGTAGCTGTTGTAGGTTGTTGGCAGCCCCTGTATCCACTACCTTTCTGTTCCTCATCTTCAGCAGCACGTTCGGCTGCATTGTACTTTAAATACTCTCAATCAATAATAGCACAGCAAGCCTTGAGCTCATTCAATTACTAGTTTATCCTTTTTTTGTATTATTAAGAAATATCAAATTCCCATAATCACAATTAATAAAAAAATTATGTTGGCGCAGCTGATTCTGGCGCCCTCCTTGAGGAATAAAGAAGCTAATCAATACATATTTGAATTTCCACGTATATTGTATATCTATAGAAGAAACTAGAAAGGGCAACAAGGAATTCTATGTTGTATCTTGCCATGTTGGTTGTTGTCGTTCTCACTTTGTCAGGGAGGGCGGCCACGAAAGTTGTTGGTTCGGACTTCGGACGTCGGCAGATAAGAGGTAGGGTTCTGTCGAGGGCATCAGTATCAGGATCAGGACAATTACGAGTTTGATTTCAAGAGCCTAGGGAAAGAACAGTTGGCCAAGGCTAATCCAGTTAAAGGGAGAGAAGCTCCACAAGATCCGACTAGGGCTTGGAAAACGGTAGCGGTTTTGCGGTTAAACTCTTTTGCGGTTCCGATTGCTAATGTTATCTCTTTTGCGGTTTGCAGTGTAACCGCACTGAAACCGAATTAGACAGTTTAAGGGCCTGTTTACTTTCATTTCGGTTTCCTGTTTTTGAGAAAACAGATGTTGAAAACAGGTGAAAACAACATTTTGTCGTTTCCGAAAACAGCAGGAAGTTGCCACTTTCTGTTTTCATAGTTGGAAACGAATAGAAAACAGAATGAAAAGTAAACAAGTTTTCTCATTTCGGTTGCCAAATTTATCACATGAAAACAGAAAACAGGAAACGAAAATGAAAGTGAACAGGGCCTTATTAGAGATCACCAACCCAGCAGCCGTCCAACTCCAACCTTCAGCCCACCAGCACAGCAGGCCCACGACCGACGACCCTTCCCTTCCTCCCCACTTCGTCTACCCAGGACCAGGTCTTGGATCTCCCTGTCCTTGGCTCCCTCGACCCTCCTCTGATTCTTAGACTGCAACAGGAAAAAAAAACCTAACTCTCGCCCTCGTCAACTCTCTGTCTCTCTCACCTCCTCCCGACGACTCTGCCCCTCACCTCTTCTCGGTCAATCAGCGGCTCTGCCTCTTTCTTCTGTTCGGTGGACATGCTTACCGTTGCGATTAACCGCGATTAACCATTAACCGCACATTGCGGTTTGTGGTTAACCCCAAACCGCACGCGGTGCGGTGGCGATGGGCTGATATGGGTTGTTTGCGGTTGCGGTTAACCGCAAAATTCGGTGCGAGACCACGACGGTTTGTGGCTTGCAAGATCTTGAAAAAATATGTTGAATCAGAAAAAATTTCGCTACGATTAGATAACCGAGCACAAAGTTACGTTCGTTTAAAGTTTCAACGCAAGTCGGGCTTTCACCGCAGCCGGGAAACGCGGTGAAGCCTTCACCGCACATTCACCATCATCCTCTACCGCGGTGATGCAATCACCGCCCTCCTCTACAGCAGTGAATGCCCAAACATGTTGTGTAAATTGGAAAAAAAAAATTATAACATTTGTATTTTAAGATTTTTTTTTTAAAGAAATTAGATGACATGTCGCTCCTACATTTTTTTTTACTATACGAGCTCAAATTTGATTAGTTTCCATCGCACAACAATCAGAAGCTATGTCAAACTTATTGTGCAGGACAGCAGGATACACCAGTTTCAAATAAAATCGGAGAGGCACATTAGAAACCTTACAGTTTCACAAAAAACGGGCATGTGAAGAAGCCAACATCTGCCAAAAACTTCAAAGTGCCACAGAACCGTAGAACACTACTTCAGCCGGGCCAGTCATGTAAATATGGTTGTCTTCCTCCCTCCACTCTATCTCCAGCGGCCCTCCAGGCAAATCCACCGTGCATTTCTGTTCATACAAAGAACTTTAAGCCGAACACGAGAACAATTTGCAACTGAGACGACTACTAGTTCAAAAGAACTGCACTGAAAGAGAATGGTTAAGCAGTCCAGCTCATGAATTTTCTTTCTTACCCTTCCAGCACGACCTTCAAGAACTGCAGCCACCACTGTGGCACAAGCCCCCGTCCCGCATGCTAGTGTTGCTCCTGCAATTACATTATGGGTAGTTCTAGATCAGGCATATCTGAGATTGTAAAAAGTGAATTCTGTTTGCGTCAATTTTTTTTCTGTGACAATAACTCCTGCATTTGGTGCGATGGAGCTAACCTGCTCCACGTTCCCAGACACGCATTTTCAGGTGCGAAGGGGAGCAAACTTGGACAAACTCTGCGAGTCCAACCACATATCAAATAACATCAAGTTACCAGAAATGATGATCTCAATATGAATATGACTAAAACGCAGCAGCACAAAGAAGAGGTCCACATGCTGAAAATCGTAGTAGATAAGAATGTCTCAAACCACGCCGTTCAACCCAAGACTCTTTTCTTCTCCCATATCTGCCATTTATACTGTGGAAGTATATAAGAAGGTCTTGGGGAGCAACAACACATTTTGGGACAAGTTCAGGTGACGGTTAGGGAAGAATCAATGCAGTGCAACACCAGAGAGCAGAGGAAAAGTCTAACCTGTATTTGTTCGTGCAGGAAACATAACATGATGCTCAAATTTAGGGCCGATTTCAGCCAAATTTAGCTCATCAACCAATAGGCCCTGGTTGACAACAGCACAAGACAAAGTAATGAATATAACCGAAGTTCCACTTTGGACTACAGCCTACAGGTGAAGAAACGTAAATAGATATGGACAGCACCAATATCATTGTTCCGAAATCTTTCCCACGACTTATGATGTAAGATGCAAAGAGGGCCCTCTCATATCATCCAAAAGATTTCAGCAATAAAACCCATCCGATAGGTTATTTCCATTGAAGAAGTCTATATGCATCAAAACAACGAGCTGAAGTGTGCATACCTTGTTTTCTATGGTCCCAAAAGTCACACAATGAGGGTTTCCCATGCTGACACAAGTCACATTCCAGGTTACCCCATCCACATCCAGTTCCGATTTAACGACAGCTTCTTGTTTATTTGCTGGAAGTCCAGTTGGTACATCAGCTGCTTTCAGTATTGGCTCGCCCATATCAACCCTCACCTTCCCATCACCTTGAATTTCTGGAACAATCAAGCCAGCACCCGTATGCACTTTAAAGCTGTGGTTCCCATGTAAATTCTCCAACTCAGCAATGAACCTTGCGAAGCACCGTACTCCATTGCCACACATTTCAGGTTCACTACCATCAGAGTTGAAGATCCTCATGGTGTAATCAGTGTCATTGGTCCCTGGCAGGGCAAATATCACTCCATCCGCGCCAATGCCGAAGTTCCTGTCGCACAATTTCTTAGCTTGCTCCGGACTAATTCGAGGTTCAGTAGAGTCCCTATTGTCCACCTGATTGAATTTACAGGATAATCAGTCACAAACAATTAAACAAAACTGATTCAGTTCAGATGTCGAGCTGTTCACAAAATCAGAAGAGCTCCCAACGACAGTTCATCATATTATGTAGCGAATCCAAAACAGAGAATCGCGGCAGGAGAAGAGATTTTACCAGGATGAAGTCATTGCCGAGGCCGTGGTACTTGACGAAGTGGAGGACGCCGCTCTCTCTTCGATCGAGGAATGAAGTCGAGGATGTTTGCTGGGGAGCTTGGATGCTCATCGAAGTAGCCGAAACGCGGAAGCTAGGGTTTCGAAATGAGATATTTGATCTGAGAGAGGTTATCCGGAGGGCGGGGGAGAAGGAAACGGAAACTGTTGTGGAGGAAGAGGATCGGAAGGGGTTGAAAGCGGCGGCGGCGGAGGCGGAATGGCGAGTCGTCGGAGAGACAGAGAGCGAAATGGTGGCGGATATGGCCATGGCTTGAGAGTTGGTGTGCGGGAGGTCGGAGCCGTTCTTTGTCGTTCTGTGAGCTGTAATAAAATCCAATTCGGCAGCCGATTAGTACCTAAACTCAGTTAAGCCCAGCGGCGGCGGGGAGACTTCTTCTCTCTCTTTTTTTTTGGTAGAAATGCGACGTCGAGCGTCTAATTCATATTACTAATTATCCGATCATAGGAAACTCCCATGATATCATGGTATAACCATTGCCCGAGGCCCGGTCGCACACATTGAAGTAATGTGTGCCAAAATTAACATAATGTCCCCTATCTGCTAGGTAATCCGCGGCAAAATTAGCCTCCCTAAACACATGAGAAATGACAACTTCCCATTCAAGATTGAGCAGGTTGCGAAACTGTTGGGCAACGTGACCATGGCGATGTTCATCGTCCTCATGGTTCTTGATAATAGCAATTGCAGTGGATGAATCCAGGTTCAAGTGGATTCTCCTATAGCCTTTGCTCCAAGCAATTTTCAGTCCTTCAACTGCGCCTTTTAGTTCTGCACTAGTAATAGAGCAGGTCCCCAAATTGCACACAAAAGCTTCTTTACATCTTCCTCCGCAGTCTCTGATCAGCCCTCCAGCCGCAGCATGTCCTGCTGGAGAAAGAACTGATCCGTCAGTCTGGAGTTGCACCCATCCTTCTGGAGGGGGAGCCCATCCCACTTGTTGGTTTCTTTTGAGAGAGACAGTACCAGGCCATGTCCTCTCTTCACGTTTCCTGGCCTGATCCACAATGTTAAGCCAGGCATTGATCTTGCATTGCAGTCCTTGCTCGGAGAACGATGCTCCTTCCATGACTTCGACATTTCGTTGTTTCCACAGCATCCAGCAAATGATCCCAAAGTCCACCCCTGACTTCTCGCATTTGAGGTTTAACAGAAACTAGTCCAGAAAAGGGATGTTGTAGTCCTTCACTTTGATTTTATCTTTGAATCGACCCCAGACAGTCCTAGCCTTAACACAGCCCCTCAGGATGTGATCAATCGAGTCCTCCTCGTCTCTACAGTGATTGCAGCTGCTCGTTGTTGCAATCTTACGTCGTGTTCTCTCCTTGTTTGTTAGCATTCTCTCGTGTCCCGCCAACCAGAGGAAATGCTTAACTCTGTTAGGCCCCTTCCATTGCCAGATCACCTTCCAGCTTGGTGACTCTACATCATTGTCGATGTTCGCCGCCAGGTTGTATGCTGATTTGAGCCGGAATCTCCCATCTTTTTCAAGTCCCCAAAGCATCTTGTCCTCACCAAGCTCCAGGTCGGGTGTGCTGGTACCTGCAATCATCAGGAGGATATCGTCAGGCAGGAGTTCCCTTAACCTTCCCCACCTCCACTCACCTTCTGCAGTGACTCAGTCTGCCACAGTCGAGTTATTTTCTTCCTCATTGATGTCCTGCATCAGGTGGTCCCTCAGTAGAGTTCCACAGTCCAGCCATGGCTGGTTCCAAAAACTTGTATCCCTTCCATTACGTATGCTCCAGCAGGTAGCCTCTTTCATAAGGGGTAGAGCCTTCACAATGGCTCTCCAGAGATTGGAATGGTTGGATTTCTTCATTGAAACGATCTCTCCATTCTTGTGGTTGAAGTATTTCCCCTGCAAAACCTTAACCCAAAGCTCGTTCTCCTTGTTAAAAACACACCAAGCAAGCTTAATCATAAAGGACATGTTCAGGCAGCGGGCAGATTTCAGACCAAGCCCTCCTTGTGCTTTGGGTTTGCAAATTGTGTCCCATCCCACAAGGTGGGCCTTTCTTTTCCCTTCCTGTGACCCCCAGACAAACCCCCTAACCTTTCTATCAATCAGGTCACACACAGAGAGGGGGATGAAAGTGGTTTGCATCGCGTAGGAAGGAATGGCATTCAACACAACACTAGCCAAAGTAACTCTGCCTGCTAGCGACAGAGTTCTGGCTTTCCATGTTGTTAATTTCTGATCCATCCTGTCAAGAATATACTTGTAAGTATATCTGGTCAACCTACCATGCAGCACAGGTACCCCAAGGTACTTCCCAAAATCATAGGTTTCTTGTATTCCAATTCTGCCACATATTTCCTGTCTAGTGGAGTTCTTAACGTTTTTGGAAAAGAACACCCTAGACTTCTCCCTACTGACCAGTTCCCCAGAAGCACAGCAAAACGATTCCAAGCATTTCATAACCACATCAGCATGCAAAGGGTTGGCTTCAGCAAACAGGACTAAATCGTCCGCAAAAAACAAGTGGGACAGAGGGGGGCCTCCAGGAGAGAGCTTCATTGGCTTCCATCTCCTTTCCTTGACCTCATGCATGATACTATGACTAAGTCGTTCAACGCATAATGTAAACAAGTAAGGGGATAAGGGACATCCCTGTCTAAGCCCTTGTGTTGGAATGAACCTTTCAGTTTCACCACCGTTCCAAAGTACTTGGAAACTTGTGGTAGACACACAGGCCATTACCAATATGATGAAGTTAGCTGGGAGACTCGCAGCCACCAATGTTTCCTCAATGAACCTCCAGCTAACCCTGTCATAGGCCTTGGCAAGGTCCACTTTCAACAGCATGCTTCCTTTCCTTCCTGTTTTCCTTCCCATTGAGTGCACAGCCTCCTGCAAAATAATAATGTTATCAGTAATGTGACGTTTAGGAACGAAGCTGGATTGATTGGGGTGGACAAGATGGGGCATTAGCCGTTTCAGGTTGTTTGCAAGGCTCTTTGCCACCACTTTGTACCCCACGTTGCAAAGGCTGATAGGCCTGAAGTGGTTCATTGTCACTGGTGCTTCCACTTTGGGGATCAAGACCAGAAGGGTTTCATTCACTCCACTGATGTTGCCTGGATCACTGAAACAGGAGGCAACAAAGCGGGAAAAGTCAGTCCCAATAAGGTTCCAGCACTTTTGGTAGAACAGTGCGTGGAATCCATCCTTCCCAGGTGCTTTAAGGCCATTCATCTCCATGATGATGCTCTTGATATCTGCACTGCTTGGAGGGGTTCCCAATCTTCTCGTCCAATCCTCCTCCATGTGTGGGAAATCAGCAGGGATTGAGGTGTTTTCTATGTTCTCAGTCCTGGTGAACATATTGGCATAGAAGCTTCTTGCCATCTCTTGGAGGACATCAGGGTTGGTGATCCACTCTCCCTCATCGTTCCTCAACCCCAGGATTTTGTTTCTCTTTCTTCTACTCAGGGTACTGTTGTGAAAGTATCTCGTATTCATATCCCCATGCACGACCCAATTCGATCTTGACTTCTTCTCTCTAGTTGGCCCTTTGGAATGAGTTTGCGAAATGGAATCGCTCTTTTTCTTTCCGCTGAAAATCCAAATCGAAACCGCATTCCAATGAACCGAACCCAAGCCCAGCTCCAAAACTTATTGTCCTGAGTTCTGACCCAATGAACATCCTACCCAAAATTCCCCCGGAAGAAAACCCAATTGCAGAAAACAATCACACAACACAAACAATTTGTGTGGTATCTCCGTTCGATGTGAACAGAACTAATCCACGAAGAGCTCCAAGGAGCTTTCGGCTTGGCGATGTTCTTATTATTTAATGATTGAACAACTTAGCTTCTTACAATGACCTGCAACTAAGTTTTATATACAACTGTTAGGGCACAATCCTTAGAAGGACACGGTGACTTCTTTACTTTCGGGACAAGGAAAGGAAAGAAAAATAAAACAAACTAAGGGACAGTTGACTGTGACATCTGTGTTCTACACTGATACTTCTACACCTCCTCATCGCACTTTCTTCAGCAGTCGTCGAGTCATCTGTTTTTTCTCCTCTATCCCACGAACGAAATCTCTCCTCCCTCCCAAATTGTACCTGATTTTCCCCCTTCTTCTCGATTAGCATCCACTCACTCTTCTACTTATTCTCCATCGATCGCCCATCTATATTTTGAACCCTAAATCCCCTCTGCCACTGAGTTCTTGTCCACCCCCACCCCACCCCAGACTTGCCAAGCACACAACATCAACAAATCCCCCAAATCCACTCTTTATGTTTCTTTTTGACTACTCTCAGTCTATTAGTCGACCACACCACATTAACAGTTGAATGACTCGGCTGCTCTTCCCTGCCCCCACTAGAGCCTCACTACGACACCACCCATCACGATCCTCCTCCCATTACGACTTTGTGCATTTGTAAACTCCAATTATCAATGATAAATAAAATTAAAAATAAAACATATTTGCAATCCTTGTTTCACGGGAGTATGGTGTTAGCACCATACTAACACTTACTATAAGGGTATTATAGTAACTATCTCTTCTCCCTTCCTGTTTACACCTAAAAAATAATCTTGTACCACATTGATTATTCACAAGACATCTATTGTCTTTATAAGGCCAGATCAACTATAACAATTAATGTTATTTAAACTAAGCCTTAAGGTACTATATTTCTTAGCCCAAACCACTAAGTCTTCAAGAAGGAACTAATCTTGTCGCGTGGATAGAGACTAAGTCTGGTAGACCTCGGTGGTCGCGAGTCTGCTAAACCAAGGTGGTCGCGAGATCTAGAATGCCTTAGCCGTGAGATCTAGACCATGTCCAATATCTAAACTAACAAGTTGGAAGTAAGAAGGCAAGCTACGTGGGAGAGGAAAGACCGCGTTGGCGTCAAGTCTAGTAGACCACTATGGTCGCGAGTGGGCATCATCAAGTTTGGTAGACCTCGTTAGTCGCGAGATCTAGACACCATGGTCGTGAGATGAAAAAGACCATCGTCTTGAGATCTGGAATGGTCATGGTAAAAGGGAGGCAAGTAACAAAACGTCAGTTCCAACAGAGAGAGCAGGTGGTTAACTGGGCAACTGCCGATTATCCCACGTTCAAGGTGTTAGTGTTGTGGTATATGATCCACGATTGAACCTCTCCCAAAAACTCGAGTTATTGGGACCAACTGGTTCTTGACATGGTATCAGAGCCTTCTGTGACCGAGAGGTCTTGTGTTCGATTCCCGGTGACCCCCATTTGTTAAGCACATGGTATTCTTGTCTTCAGACCTGTGCAAACTTCAAGCCCTTGTGAGTGGCTTTCGTTTGAGGGGGCGTGTTAGTGTTGTGGTATATGATCCACGATTGAACCTCTCCCAACAACTCGAGTTATTGGGACCAACTGATTCTTGACACAAGGACACGCCAGTCACGTCTGAGGAAGAAGGGAAGCAGTTCCTTTCGGAAATTTACTCTCACACGGTTTTCTACGATGGTTACATCTTCAAGGCTATAAATAGGAGGAGGAGTTGACAGAGAAGGCTTTCCCAAAACCAATACTCTGACACACATGTCAAGTTTATCCTTTATCTTTTTCTCTATCATGTAGCCATATATGTAGTTCGTAGTTTGGAGCTCTCATTGATTCTCCATAGGAGTAGAGTAATTTAACTTAGTTTTTCTCAATCACCAATCAAACACCCTCGTTCGAACTGTGTTTGAAGATGTTTGAACTGTTTCTTAGTAATCGTTGTCCAAAGAAGTCACAGGTGCAATCCATCTCAATTCAACACAAGTTTTCTTGCTGGAAAACAAATTGGCACACCCGCTGGGACCTTGTGTTTGATTTGATGGCTCCAAGGAGGAGGAATCAATAAGGTGAAATTCCGGTGGAGGAGCAGGTGGCCAACATAGAACATGGTCAATCATCAAAGGCGGTGGCCAGAGGTACTGGTGGGGTGGAGATCTTGCCAGCAACCTCGCCAAATGGAGATCTTGGTGAACCAATGGGGGTCCTTCGTCAGATGATAGATAAAGGAGAACCACAAGATGATGACGGAGAACCACCAAGTGATGAAGGAAAATCGTCAAGTGATGGAGGAGAATCGTCGATGCATGGAGGAGACCTTGGCAGGTACCCATAAGATAATATCTCAACTTGATTCTTTTATTTGAGTTTGGATAGGCGTGTGGATCAGATTTTGGAGATAAGTAAAAATGGTTTAAGAGATTTTGGGCAACTTTTAATAAAACCAGCGTCGCAATCAATGGTTTTGCCACAAAATGGTTTAGACCGATCACCAAATAATACAGTTGTGTGCAAAAATATTTCTCCCTCCAGTGGTCGGAATACCCAGCCACGAATAGGGAACTTGCTATATCCAGTGGCAACTCAACCACCCCCTCTACGTGAGAGTTGTGGTGAGAGGTTCACCTCCACTTTGAACACCAGTGATGGGATCTTTCATGTACAAGGTGATGTTCAAACACTCGTTCTCGAGACAATATCAGGTGAGACACTTGTCAATGAACGAGATGGTGAAGATCCATTCAACGTAGACCAAGTATCACAACGTGCTTGCCCATCTCTAATGCCACCCATATTGAGTAGGCAAATAGGCTATTCTAATGGACTCAAAACACGTACCTAGACCTCAACGAGGGGGGCATGAAAGTCTAACTTCCCACAAGCTGAAGTCGATATGTCCGTCTGGGGGACATGTGGTGTCTAAGAGACCACATCAATCACAAGCAACACATGCTTGAGCTAAGCATACTAATTTGGTTAAGTCTGGAAATGGGGGCATGTCTCCAACCACTTGTAATGGACAAAGGGGCATATCTAACAAGTCACGATGTGAGAAAGCCAATAAAAATTATTGTAGATTTGAAAATTTGGTTAAGTATGGACAAGGCATGTCCAAGAGGCCATATGAAGTCCAGGCCACACATGCATGCGATAAGCATGCTAGTTTGGCTATGTCTGTACAAGCGGGCATGTCACCCACCATGAAGAATGAAGTAGGAGACATGTCCAATAAGACACCACACGTCCAACCCACTCGTGGCTTACGTAAGTATAAGAGCATGGCCAAGAGTGGAAGGGGGCAAGTCCATGTCCATGTCCATGATTAGTAAGTACTTATCACCAACCCCAAAGGATGAACAAGGGGACAAGTACAAGAAGTCATAATACAAACAAATCAAACATGATCGTATAAAGAGCCAATTGTGGTTGTGTGCTAGTGTAGAGGCCAACAAGGTTTAGATGTTGAAAGACAAGTCAAATGGACCACATGAGTGGTAGTCGACTTATCAAATCTAGGCATCGTCTCCAACAACATGACACGAGTAGACATATCTTAACTAGGAGGCAACCAAGGCAGTCAAGTAAGGTAACCCAAGCAAAGAAGCATTAGACCTCATGCAAGGCCACCAAGACAAGACATGTCTACCATGTACAATCCACTAGTAAGATGAAAATTTCAAAATCAATTTGTAGAGAGAGTCCTCTCCCATAGAAGGAAAGAGTCTTGTGGTCTATGGGTGGCTTGTCTGGTTTGATCTATGGACTAGGCAATCAATCTCAATTCAGCGCAAGTTTTCTCGCCGGAAAACACTTCCCCTTCCCTTCTTTTTCTCCTCCCCTTCCATTCACGTTGCTTTTCTATGTTTCATTTACAAATTACAGTTTTGGTACCAAACTTAATAGATATTAATATTTAGTACCTAAAATTAATTTTTTATATTTCAGTCCTAAAAAATTATGGAAAATTATATTTTAGTACTAGATTTTTTTTACATTTTAGTACCTAAACTTTTTAAAATTTACAAACAGGTTCACCGCCAAAAAACTTCTGGCTTGCTTTGAAAAACTTCTGGTGTACAACCTACTTTGAAGTTCTGGCCTACTATGAGGAGGTTCTGACCTACTTTGAGGTTATGACTTACTTTGTGGAGGTTCTGCCATACTTTGATGAGCTACTTGCTTGTTTTGAGATTCTCGCATACTTTGTGGAGTTTCTTGCCTACTTTCCTGGTCCCTCTCTTTTCCTCACATTTAATGTAAAAATGACCGCGGGTACCCCTTCCCCTTCTCCCAATTTTTATTAATGATCAGTGTGGCCCTTCTTCCTTTTCCCTTCATTAATTGTGGTCAACTTTTAAATGGAAAAGTCACCAAATGAAATGTTTCTATTGGCTGAAGATAGTGTTAGTACCATGGTAAAAAAAGTGTTAGCATACTAGCCTTTTCCTTGTTCAACAATTATCTCCAATTATCTCGAAGGCAAAGAATAAATGTCACATTTGGTCACCGACATTACTAAATTATGTCATGTTTAGTCACTAGAAAAATTTAATATCAATTTTGGTCACTCGAATTATTGAAACATGTCACATTTAGTCACTCTCCTGTTAGTTTTCGTCCAACTTCATTAACCGAGCTGGAGGGAAGCTAACGAACAGTGACTAAATGTGACATGTTTCAGTAATTCGAGTGATATTCATAAAAAAAAAAGTAATTCGAGTGACCGGTGTTGGACGGAGCCTAACAGGAGAATAACTAAATGTGACTGTTTTTTAGCAATTTGAATGACCAAAATTGATATTAATTTTTTCCCGTGACTAAATATAATACGATTTAGTAATCTCAGTGACTAAATGTAACATTTACCCAAGGCAAACGGTAGAAATCATGATTATTTGTTCTTTCTGTAGGTTCGGGCCGAGTGAAGAATGGGAATAATAACGAAGGGGATTGGGCCTAGGGCGGAGTGGTTTACTGCTTGGTTTTCCCATTTGGCATGTGGTGGGCCCAGGCGTCACGTGGGGGTTGTAAAAAGAGACAAGGGAAATAGCCTGCTTCCGTTCGTAGTTTGTTAAAAACAAGCTCCGGCCCTAATCTCGTCTCAACCAATCAGCAGCCTCCTCCCACGTGGGCCTGTGGCACCATCGCATAATGACATCATCCTGCATTATTATCACTAAGTAGGTGTCATTATTATTTTATTATTTTATTGGTAAAATCATTATTACTTTATTAGTTTTAGCGTACGTTGTCAGGGTGGCTATATGGTCCGGTTCGGTTAAATTGGACCAAATTGATCCGGTCTCAGTCCGATCTTTTTGGGAATATAAGGACCAAAGATTGAATTGGATACAGTTCGGTCTTGATCCGGTCCGGTCTTGATCTGGTACGATCTTGAATCGGTCCGGTCTTGACCCGGTCCGGTCCCAATTTTATCTTGATTTTAGGTGTTGGGGGTCTCTTATCTGATCTTTATCCGGTTTTTTACCTCAAATCTAAGCCCGAATATGAGATTGCATTGTTTACTATCCGGTCCCAGTCCGGTCCCGATCCGGGTTATACGGTCCGGTTTCGGGTAAAACCAAACAGTCCGGGACCAAATGGCCAGCCCACTGGCAACCTAATTTGATTCACTATACGAAAAACAAAGGAAGTGGGTGGATAATTGGGTATTAAGATTGTCAATCTAGTTTAGCTCGTTGGTTAGTAAAGCAACTGGATGAATGATTATTAATTTAATTATTTTAGTTTGATTTAGTTCGTATATATAAAAAAGTTATTATATTATTTATATATATATATATATTATATTATATTATATGTTATCTAAAATAACAGTAATAACATATAACATTACAGTAAAATAATAATTTGTAAATCAATCCAATCTATATTAAAAATTCAAACACACTTAATTTCATCCTATAAGTTGATGATTGTCACCTTGAATGAACTTGACAATCGAATCAAATTTGGGTTAACCTGCGGATCGACCCGGGTTAGCAACCTCCGCTGGTATTTAACCTTTATACATTTTTTTTTTTTTTTTTGCCTTTTTACGAATAGCGGAAAAGTTTCCAAATTTGGGGCACTGATACAAATCGCAGAACAACCGCCATTGTTTTTTGATTTTTTTCTTTTGATAGGATCTCTAGTTGTTATTATTATCCTCTCTCTAACCCACCGCTTCTTTCCTCTCGGCTCTGGCATTTCTACTCTTCTCTATATCTTAAACATATCATCTTCGATTCAGAAAAGCCATGGATGAGTCTCCCGCGTCGTACATACACTTGGTAAGTCGATTCGTATATCTCTCAATCTCTCAATTTCTGCTGTCTCTGAAGAATTCTGAAGTAACAGAGATAATAATAATAATAATGGTTTGATTTAATTATTGCAGGTGCACAGGCTGATAGAGGAGTGCCTGGTGTTGAAGATGAGCAAAGAGGAGTGCATGGAAGCTCTGTCGAAGCACGCCAACATCAAACCGGTGGTCACCTCGACGGTGTGGATGGAGCTTGAGAAGGAGAACCCGGGTTTCTTCCAAGTTTATTATCACAACCACCGCACATCATCTTCATCGGCGCCGGCACCGTCGACGCCGCCTGCCGGCAGGGAGCGGCGTATTAAAGCCCTAATCTCCAATTACTCGGATCCAGCGTCGTCATCATCAGATTGATTGGTCCAAGGGCTACTAATTATTGATTAATTAGTGGGTGTGTAATTAATAATTGTCAACTCATCACCCCGTGATCGAAATTCTTGGGGATGGATGGGGTGTAATGGATATTTTATATATATAATATACAATTTTCGAGCCATCGGATCCCAATAATTTCAGGGGCAGCTAGCTGCATGACATAACATTGGCACATTGCCCCCATCCTTAGCATATCGTATCCTAGGTATTTTATATCGTTATCGTCTCGCCATTTATTTTGATTTCATTGTATCGTGTTACTCGCCCGCCGCAATGATAGCCATGACTCACGAGGGAGACGAGGTAGGTGGTGAAGGCGGCGCCTAGAGAGTAAAGAAAAGAGTGACTGGATCAGGAACAAATGGCAGGGATGGGAAGGAAAAGAAACGTATGAGATAGGGGAAGGAAAATCATGTCTTGACTGGTTTAAAGAGGTCTAGAAGAACTTCGACTAACAACAAATCCAGAATTTTGGGGCGGTGTTGTGGTACCTGTGGAAAGAACGATGCAACCACCAGAACAACAACCACAAGCTCGCTGAAGAAGAGATAATCTCGAGGGCTTTGGGTTGGCTTGAATCATTTCTTGAGGCGAACGATGACCAGAATCATCATCGACCTCCATGCAGCAGAAGATCCGCTTCAGATTGTTGGAAAAGCCCGCCGGAAGGAGTTTAAGCTCAACTCCGACGCTTGGCTTTTTCATCTATCCGGAATTGGCTTGGGGGCGATTATTCGAGATTGGAGGGGAGCTTTCAAGGGAGCCACAACAATGAAAGAAGAAGGGAGATGCAGACCGATCGAGGTCGAAGCAGAAGCGGTGCTGATGGGGATAAGGGAAGCTAACATACGAGAATTGAGCCCCCTAATTGTGGAATCGGATTGCCAGGTTCTCATTAGAAAATTGAGTGAAGGAGAAGAAGATTGGATGGAGCTGGGAGTTTGGTGTCAAGAGATTTGGAAATTGGCTGAAGTTAATTCGAGGATGTCTAGAATTCAGGTGAAATGGGTTTTCGCACCTCGCTCTGCTAATGGGGTAGCTCATTGGCTTGCCCACTCGATTGGGGTTTGGAACAACCAGATTGTTTGGGTGGATGAACCACCAAATTCACTTCTGTACTTGTTGGATGGCGATTTGGGTCGGGCACCAGTTGGCCCAGTTTGATCTTTTAATAATATTAATGCAGGTTCCCATCAAAAAATTCTAACTCAACAAGGTTAACTAATCCACGTTCATTGCTCCAGCCTTATTACATTCTCGACTTAAACTTAACCAACTTCTTGCCTGGCAGTTATGAAGATAACACAACAAAGTATGTGTTTAGAGCAAAACAAGTAAGCAAATGTAAATGAATGAACAATGACACATTATTTTTTATTAACCGATCAAGTTCATCTTATTTCCTACGTCTTAGCTCAAAGGTGGCTCACAGTATAAGACCTAGTTGTCTAGCGTTTTTTATTATCTTATTCACTGTCTAACTCCAAGTTGAGTTCCTTTTGGATGTAACTCAAACTCCTAACAAGAATAGAGCAATATAAAACTTCCTCTCTTCCTCATAAGCTCATGCTAAAGAAAGAACCTACAAATTTCATAACACTCAAACAATACAGAGAATGAACACTTATCACTTCTCACACCTATAGCTGATCACAAAGTAATTGCTCTTTCTTTCTATATGTTTGCTATGCCACATTCCTTATGCTTATGTTTGTCTTGTTGCTTTCTTTTGTATACTTCTTTGCTTGACAACAATCTTCCCTTTATCTTTCCTTAATTTTAGAATCTTTCCCTACAATTTCATTTGTGCTGATGGCAAGTAATATCAATGAGAATAATGACTCCTTGGGATTACATGTTAGGTGTTGTATGCATAAAAGGAAAAGATCCTCACATACCTATCAATAGAGTAAGGTTATAATATGGATGACCATTGAGTTGTAGCCTCATTTCCATTGTCTTTGAGGGTCTAAACCTAAAGCTCCAGGGGATTATTTGATTGCATGACCATTGAGACAACTTATTTTTAGAAGTGAAATCAAGTGCATAACCATTGCCTTGATTATTAGCGTCGTTTGGATGATGAATTGTAACGGATCAATTTGACACAATTGTCTCGTTTTGAAATAATTGTACCAAATTGCCTCATTTGCCAACAAAATTTTTGAATGGATCAATCTGCCTGAGGTATTTTGAATTGATCCGTTTTGAGTCAATTTCAATTACCTGGGGTGGGGGCAGGTAATTCGAATTGACTCGTTTTAATTGTCTCGATTATAAAACGGGACAATTGATCAAATTGACTCATTTCTAGATTGATCCATCCAAACGACCCCAGTGTTTCTTAGCAATTTACAAGATAGGAAAGCATTATATGGTTTGCATCAGGTCATAATTGATCCATTTCTACAGGGTTACAACCCTAAGAAGCACTTTACCTCTAGTGATCTCCCTAGTAGTGAGTTTTGTCTCTTTCGTGTCAAAATTTTTAGTTCACACTCAAAACCTTCCATCTTGTTGATTAAATACTAGCTTGAGATAAATAGTAGTAGTATACCTAAAGTTCCCAAGGAATACGACCCCATGCCACTATCATACGCAGTCTAACTAAGATATAGTTGACTTGATTAGGTGTAGTAGAGTAATTAAGCATTGAGTTATATATGAAAATCATTGTTGCTCAATCGCTATAACTTAACCGCAACCACTAAACATACTCAAATTTTCGTTGTGTGGTGGAAAGAATAGAGGATAAGAGTGAAGAGTGTTGCGAGTAAAGAAGGAAACGAGGAGAATATTTATACGATTGGGGTGGATAGGGGATCACACCATAAAAGGAGCGACCAATTTAGGTTGGTGGATCTGGAATGTGATCATCAGGTGTCCTCTTCCTCTTCAGAGATCCACGTCATGAGGGGGCGAACCAATCAGAAAGCTACGCTACAAATCCTCTCTAAGCCGAGTGATTAACCGCCACACCTCCTTTATCACACAAGAGTGGAGCGATCCATGTCATTTCGTCTGCACGAATCACGTGCTTCTACAGCGAACAATCCTCATCACTGCGAAGTGCAACGTTTTGCAATTAAATGTTGAGATTTGATCGATGAAGTTGTTGATCGCTTCTGTTTTCTGTAATCCACTTTGATCATCATTTGTTTCAGTGATCATTTACAAAATTGCTAAAAACCCAACAGTTAATTCCAGCTCATTTAGTGGCTTCTTATGCCCTTTCATCGACAACTCGATATAGTGTCGACTGTCGCGTTTGGCTGTTTAGCGTCCTGTAATATCTATTACCTTCCCGATCTATGAAAAAAAAAAATTCCAGCTCATTTAATAGTTTGATAAGCCCATTCCCATGGCTTTGGCCCACTATCAGACTGGACGGCCTGCCATGCCTACTGATCCAAAATGCCGCCGTCGGTCTGAGCACTGTTAAACGGAATACGGCATTGAGCCGCATATTCCTCTCTTTCTTCTCCTCTTCCTGAGACAGGGTTTTTGATCAGATTGTTTGCCTTCTCCTTCCATTTCATCGCCAAGGGTTTTAGTAAGCCCTTCTTCTCCCCGTCGTTCTTCTCATTCCTCTCCAAATTCCAATCCCTCCGTCTGAATCTCACACTCCAAACGCCATGGCTTCTCTCTCCACTATCCACGGCGCTCGCCAACCTCTCCATCTCTCGCTTCCTTCCAACCGTCTATCTTTCCCTAAACCTATTTCCTCGCTCTCCTTCCATACCCCTCCGCCGCCATCCTCCTCCTCGCCGTTCAAACTCTCCACCGTAAGGGCTTCATCCTCGGGCGCTCCCCTCCATCGGAACCCTAGGATTTCCCCGGGCGAATCCCTGAACCCTATCTTCAAAACCGCGTGCATCACTCTAACAGCCGCCGCCGCACTATTCCTCTCCCGGCTGCATACCAAACCGGCGATTGCCTCCCCGATCGCTGCGCCTCCCTTGGTGGAGCCTGTGCCCGGAGAGGCCGCCTCGGAACAGAAGGATAATGGCGCCTCTCTGGCAGAAGAAGAGAGAGCCCTGGAGGAGCACTTGGCCCAACATCCAGACGACATCGACGCTCTAAGGGCTCTGATGGAGCTCAAGATCAAGTCCCGGAAGCTTCCCGAAGCAATTGGGGTAATCGACCGCCTGATGCAGCTGGAGCCCGACGACGACGAGTGGCAGCTGCTCAAGGCCCAAATTTACAGCTACAGTGGCGACTCCGACTCTTCTACGAAGATCTTCGAGGAAGTGCTGGAGAAGGACCCGCTTCGGGTGGAGGCTTATCACGGCCTGGTGATGGCCTATTCGGAAGATGGGCGGTCCATGAGCGATGTGATGAAGCGAATTGAAGCAGCCATGAACAGGTGCAAGAAGGAGAAGAATGCTTCTGATGCTAGGGACTTCAAGTTGCTGTTGGCTCAAATTAGAGTGATGGAAGAGAAGTACGGGGAAGCTCTGAACGTGTATGATGAGTTGGTGAAAGAGGAGCCGAGGGACTTCCGGCCATATCTGTGCCAAGGGATCATATACACTCTCATGAGGAAGAGGGAAGAGGCGGAGAAGAAGTTTGAGCAATTCAAGAAGCTGGTTCCCAAGAATCATCCTTACAGAGAGTATTTCCTTGACAATATGTTTGCTACCAAGTTCTTCTCGGATAAAGTGGACACAGAGAAGGCTTGGTCCAGGAGCTGAGAGAATTGGAGGTGAAAGAGGTTGGTAGCGTATGTGTAGGAAAGTTATGGAATTTCTGAAATGTTGTTTCTTTATTGCAGGGTTCGGAAAAACAAATTTTGGTTTGATTTCCTCGTGTTATTGGGTAGCAGGTAATTGAAATTTTGCTGATGACATGCTAATTTTTAGTTGGAGAGTTAGTCATATGGCCTTAAATGGTATGTTGATTGTTTGGTGTTTGCTATCCAACTCGGAATTTAATGTGGTTACTAGAGTTCTTAGTTCTTGGTTTAGTTCTCTTAGATTCTAAGCTTAGTGCTTGATTTGTGGTCGAGGTAGAATTTGAGATTTGGAACTCATCTCTTGGTCATGTTGGAATGTTCCTGGACAATGATGGATCATGAATGGATTGGGAATTGGAGGGAAAGAAGTTGTTGGATCCTTGATAGTCTCTTAGGTAATTGGTGTGCTTGTGGTGCAAGCTGTAGGCATGTAATCCTTGTTGTGATGCACAGAAAAATCGAATTTGTTACTAAGGTAAAAAATTGCCGTGCTTGTGGGGCCAAGAATGATAATCTGTAGGCATGGAATTCGTTTCTGTGATGCTAATTGCTTGTTCTTGTAGAGCCAAGATGGAGAAGATGTAGACATGTAGTTTTTGGTTTTGACTGCTGATGATGGTCAGTACTGGATTTAACAGTCAGGGTAGTTACTGCATTGCTTCTTTTTGTTCCGTGTGTGGCTAAGGTCAGCTTAAGAACCCTACATTTTGATACCTATAGGCTATACATCCCAACTCACTGTTAAGGAATTTGGTTGTTCCTTTGGAATGGAACTTAGAGTATAGAAGTGTTGTGTGTCCAAATCTGATGCTAGAAGTGTAGAGCTGAACTGTTTAATGCTGAAAGCTTGTGATTGACTTGGACTTGGACTTGGATTGCTACCTGAACACTCGCTCGGGTTGTATCCATGCTTAGTAGTTCCGTTGCAGTGAATGGGTGTTTATTTTAAGTCTTTGGCATTTCGGATTTTTGGTTGAAAGGGAGAAGTGATCTCTCTTATTGCTCAATTCTCTCCGTTCGAAGGGTGGATTATGGCATCTGGTTTGAGTTAGCTGGATCGTTAGTGGAGAGCGGAAAGAGTTGACGAGAACACTTGCATTCTTATTCATGCCTAGGCAACAGAAACGTCGCTGAAGTTGATTCTCATCTTAAAGTTTGCTGATATCCCTAGTAGAGTAGAGATGTAGATGAGATTCTGCATATGCTGGAGCGCAGAGTGTTTTGGTCTAATGTCGTTGTACTGTGGTGTTTCTGCTCAAAATATGCAGCTCCGACTCCGAGTCTCGGATGGGTCAGCCAGGGGCAGCTAGGCATGGGCATTGAACCTCACCGCATTGGTATAAAGCGCACCACAAATTAGTCATATACCGCATCGCACTACATATAAGACTATAAGCTAATTGATGCGGTCCAACTAAACCGCATAAGTTAGCGATTTAGTTTGGTTTGGATCACGAATGCATGTATGACCGCAAAGTGCAATCATTTCACCAAAATGAAATTTATGACCTTTTTGTTCCCGGGAAACTTATGTGTAAGTTCATCTTTTGTCATGGCTACTGTTGATTTCCATTTTTGCATTTTCAACTAACAAACAAAATGTCAGACAGATATCTAGGAATGATAATTTTGACCCGACTCGTCTTACCGGATCTGTTTAACCGTTTTGAGGCGGGTCACCTATTGGGCGGGGCGGGCATGGGTAGTGGGTTACTGTCCTTCACCTGACCTGCCCCAATGGGCTTGGTAAGCATACCGATTCCAATGGGCTGGGCTAATAGATGGGGCATTTGAATGGAAGCTCGCGATCCAAAATTTGATTCCAGCTGCCGCATTGACCAATTCTTTGTGGTGTTGTCCCCCTGTGAAAATGGCGTGGCATTGTTTCCGTTCCGTAGTAGAAGGAAAGGCCTTTTCTCTGCCTTGGATTCTCGGTCGGCATGGCTAGGGTCGGGATAGGGATGTATGAGCCGAGTCGAATCGAGTTTTGTTTTGTTCAGATTTGGTTCATATATAAACGAGTCGAATACGAGCTCGGCTCGTTTATGAACGAGCTGAGTCGAGCCTGAGTCGAGCCGGCTCATTTATTGAATTTTGGCTCATCATTAGGATCAAAATTTTTGCTCGAGCTCGACTCCAAGATAATTTATGAATTAAATAACCCTAATATTTATATGTTATATATATATATGATACATGCGATTAACTGATTTTCAAGTCATATACTAGACATATTTGCTCACATACTCAAATTATTAAACATCACATGAGGCGTGATATACAAGTTGATAAATATATGCATCATTAACAAAACCAACTCATAAGATATAGATCGATTTTCTCATAAGTCGTAATCAAGTTGGCTCGCTAGTTACAATGTTGAGACATCTCTCACGAGCTCAAAATGAGATAGTTCATGAGTCGAACTAAACAAGCCACCTAATCGAACCAGTTCACGAGCCGAACAAGGGTGAGCTCAAGCTCAGCTCGTTAATAAACGAATCGAGCTTTTATTTGCATCGAACGAGCTGTTCGCGAACAGCTTGGTTCGTTAAAAGCCCTAGCTAGGGAATAGAATAAAGAATTGTACTTTTTTTTTTTTTTTTAGTTCCTTGGATGATTTCCGTATAATCAGGAGGGCGGGGGGTCAAAGAAAGACAAGAAAGAAGGCTCTGTCTATCGATCGATTCACCAGATTTTTGCCTATGCCTATGGGATTTGCTTCATTTTTTCACCACATCCAACCAAACTGGGAAACTAAGAAAGAAAGAAAATATGAGAGAGTAGGCAGCTCCTCCTGGACCGTTGATGAAATGAAGGCTCTTTCCTTCCTTGCCCGTTTGGAGCTACCTGTAATGAATAATGATAACGACTTCTTCCCGCTTTCCTTTCCTTTTGCTATCATCATCAATTATTGTTTATGCCACGTTTCATCCACAACTAAAGAATTGTACATAAACAAATAAAGAATCGTACATAAACAACTACTATCGCGAATACCATCACGAAAAGGGAAATCAAATCTCAACGACACTCACAGACACACAATAGCTGACCACTCGCGACGAAACGCGTTCCCAACCCAACCCAACAGGCAAGCACAAACATGGTGCTATTACGCTATATAATCATATGGCATTCTTAGGGTTCCATAAGCAATACTTGAAATTCCATGAGCAATAATAACAATGATTATATCATTTAAGTAGTAGTAGTAGTATCATTATCAATGCTAAGTTAGTAGCCTAGCTAGCAATCTTGTTTTTAATTTTTTTTTTTATACAAATGAAGGCATAATAACAATCCGACACTGCCACCCCTGTTGGCTCAAATCAAAGCCAGACAGAGACACTGCGCATAATTATCCGCACCGTCTGCGGATTAGGACTTGTAACCAACTTCATTTCCTCATTCTTTTTCTTTCTTCCCTTTGCTTTTGCCCACTTTTACCCTTTCCTTATCTTCTTCTTCTTCTTCAACCTTTTTTCGGGGCTCTTCTTGCCTTGCACGGATTGATCATTACCCCATTCTTGCAAAACTCAGTAGACAGTGGACACCTCTACTCTATATCCAAATGTATATTTCCTTTTCTTGTTTCTTCTTATATCATATTTATGAGATCGATCTCGCCCAGATTTTCTTTCACAAAACGATGAATGTTGAATATTTGGAAGGCGTTCCCCCTTCTGCCTGAATTGACACTTCAGCTGCTCGCCTTGAATCACCCATCTTCTTCAGCCGATTGCGCTGCCATGCTTTCCTAGGGAGACTCTCTCTAGTAACAACAACAGTCCTACAACATTTTTGGGCACACTCGAGTCTTCAACTCCAACAATTTGTTGGTGGCTTAAAAATCTCATTCGTTCCAAAAAAAAAAAAAAATTATCGGGAGTTTCTATCACCTGTTGAATTTACTACACTTATAGTGCCTTGGATTTTCTTTTTACTTCATATAACCGTTTTCGTGGTATCTTCCGTGATAGTTATAGGTATCCGCCATATTAATATTACAAAATTGATTTATTTATGTAATAATTGATATTGAGTTAAATAAAGTGCAACGTCATTACGGAAGTTTCGTATAATGCATTTATCAAAACATTGTGTATGAAATATTGTTGTACCATAAGCTTTGATTATATAAAAAAAAAAGCTGTACCATAAGCTTTGTGCAATATATTTGTATTTCACGTCATAATTGTAAAATTATGTTGCATAAGAAGCTACTGGACAAAGAATCCTCTCCAATGTTTTGTGTTTGCAATTTGCCTGCATCCAATAGCACCATTGGACCCCAAATTCGCTTCAAAAAAAAAAGGGAAGACATCGAAGGGACTCATGTGGCTTAAACCTATCTGTTTAATATAATTGATGTAAAACTGGCATCCTTTTTTTTAATTACAAGTGTTCAATACAATTTGGTAACTTTGGTAGTCATGGGTAATCGAAGTTTATCTTTTCGCTTGCATGAAATTTCCTTGTCGTGACATGCCAACCTTGGGTCTTCTTTGGATTCCATGTGCCGAGGAAGGAATCATTAATGAAAGAAGCATGGAAACCAAACCATGGAAAAAGAGCATACAGAAATGGCTCCAAGTTTCTAATCATTGGCTTATCTAGAGAACAATAATAACACTTTTATTGTATTTTGTACGGAATTTTGGGATACAAATTAAAACATTCTTAATGATTTGGTTTCTATTTCACTTTTCATTTTGTCATTTTGTCACTCACTCTCTGTTCTTTCTTCGATTGCCGAATTTAACAAGTGCATGACACAAAGCAGAGAGAAGAGTTCCATACTTTCACATTTCTTTATCGTCTTTCTCGTTATGCGACATCCTTTTTGAGCTTCTCTTGGTCCCAGGCCAAGCCCTACCCGTTTCCGTGGGCCCAACAGCAGTAATCACGTCGTTTTACGACTGACATGTAGCCAACGATTGTGAACAGTCGAGCGTGTATCATTTACCCTAAACCAAATTGAAAGTTAAAAGAGACAAATAGAACACAATTCAAGGTACCGAGTCGTACCTCGTGGACAAATTTCTGCTGGTGAAAAAGAGCCCTAGCGGTGGCCAGAAATCGGGGCGTTGAAATGGGAAGAAGGAAGGAGAGGGACAAAGGAAAGGTGAAGTGAGTAATGATCAGCAAATGACCCATCCTTTTCATCTGGTTTCCCTTGGAAGCAGGAAAGATGGTTTCTTCATGCAACTTGAAGAGAGAAAAAAAAAGGCATCATAAATCATTTCATGCCCTGCCGGCACTACACATTATCTAAAAAAGCAAGCCCTCTTCAATCAATTACGATGATCAAGCTACCTGCTACAACTGTTCAGTGCTCGCATTTTGCTTCACACGCAAGCTCCTCCCGTTCTCCGCAATCATGTTGTCAACCGGTAAAAAGAGCCAAGGGAATGTTACTAATCATGAGACTTTAATTAATTATCACTTGGGCGCCATTGATTGGATATAACATGGGGTCAACGAAATTGTATTTCCATACTCATAATATTTCTTCCTCTATTAAAGCATATATGTACATCGTGCATTTTAAGTAAAAGTATGAAATTATGTTAATAAGGGCTTGATCTAAATCTATGGTTAAACCATTAATTTCCAACTTAAAAGTTTTAGCTATAAATCGTTTCAGTAGCACCTGAATTAAAAATCCTTTCCTACCAAAAAAAAAAAAAAAAGAATTAAAAATCCTTATAGGAAAAGTAAAATCTTGGTGTGCTATCATATATAGGGTACAAGTTAAGTGGCTTGGGCTAAGAGTGCATTACTATGCATAAGGAGATCTTGTTACTTGATTTTGAGTGAGGTTAGATTTCAATGGCGAGGTTAAATAATTTTTTAGATTTCCTTTTTATTTCTTCTAATAAACTCGTATTTTTTTTTTTGTTTAATTTTGATTTTGGAGAAAAAAATGTATAGAAGAAATGGGTTCATTGTTATATATATAAAGCAATATTAATTTCTTATAAAATTTTGGGGCAAAAAATCAAAGGATCAGCGAATACCTTATTCGGTGTAACTCGATCAAGTTTTACACATAAGTAATGCGTTCATCGTGATTTACAAAACAATATACATTTGTTAGACAAAATTTTCAGACCAGTTATGCCACCTTTTACCGTAGTTGTAGGATGACGGTAGACGGTCGCAGATGGTGGTTAGTATATTTTCCACCACCGTGCATACCACTATTCTACACTATGCTATATTCTTATCATTATTGTATAATCTTATGTACTAGCCTCTATTTTCATAACCGAACCAGGCGTTGAACCGAAAAAGTTAGTGGTTTTAGGTTTCAGTGGTTAACTGTTATAAAATCGTTGGTTAACCGCTGAGAGAACCGTTCGTGATTTATAACACAAAAGACATGTATAATACCCTAATTTAAGAAAAATTTCATTATTGACCATATGAATTTCAATTAATATCATTCATAACCAAAATATCTAACAAATTATTTAAACTATCTAATAAAAGAAATCATTTTTTTATTAATTTAAGTTAGAAGTTAGGATGTTAGTCGGTAATGGTCACATAAAGCCGGCAAAGGGGTTGAAACATGAGAAGAGGAAGCAAAAATAAAAAATTTAATTTAGGCTGGATGGTGTTAGTTTACGTTAAAGTATTTTTTTTAATTGTTGTACTTAAAAATAGTGAATCAGTCAAACCGAGGTGGTTCATATGGTTTCATGTTGAACCATGAAAAACCGTTTGGTCCATAATTAATTGTTCAAACAAATGAACTGGACCGTTATTGTAACTGATTTGATGGTTCTACTGGCCCAACCGTAATCCATTTTGGTTTCTTATAACAATGGTACCACCATGCTTTATCACAATGGTATACTACGGTAAGATGCGCCTCAATTAACATTTTTTGTTGCAAAATATATCAAACTAGATGTCATATTATATAGTATAATTATTATAATTTTTTGTGAACAAAATTTGAAATTTAAATTAAAACAAAAGAGATATGACCTTTAAATTTTAGGACTTTGATACGGTGATATGCATGTTACCGTAACTTGCACTTTTCGGTCACCCTCAGTTAGGATTAGGTCTGCCTCAGTTAGGATTAGGTCGACCTAATCTATTGTTTCCGTGTAAAAACGGTTTCATGGTGCCTACTTTGGAAATTCATATCTTACAATTAAAATTGGAGCTTAATAGCTTGTTTTGAAGCTGGAGTGTCCCTCTACACATTGAAGTGTTTGGGAGTTCGATAGGAAGTCCATAAGACCAACTTTGAACCTGATCAAAAGGCTATGCCAAAACTGGGAAATTGCTTGAAAATAGTTAAGTCTGTGAACGTGTCTGTGAAGCCTAATTTGGAGCTCAATTCGAGAAGCATGGATGAGAGTCGAGTCTAGGGGCCTCTACCAAATGAAAAGTATGTATGTTTGTCTACAAAGGCAAAGCATTGGATGCACTATTGTATATCTGGAAGGCTTCAAACAAAAGGCTCGAATTTGCTACAAAGACCGTTTTTCTGGCAGCTTGCTTGTGATAGAAGGCAGCTTACTTCGGCTTGCTTGTTTAATATTAATTACCAATTCCTTACTATAAATTATTTATGTGAATTAACTCTTGTAGTTGCTTCTTCGTAACTAATTTATTTAGTGTCGATGATTTTTTCACTTTTCTCTTGTATTCTACTAAAACCGTATAAATCGATTATACTACCGGTCGTATCATACCACTTGCTTCATCAGCACAATAGCTTAACCGGTTTGAGAATCATCCTATTATAACCCTTATTACAAATATGCAGATAGTAGATTTTCCAAAATTTTGTAGGAAAAAGAAAGCAATAATAAGAACATAAAAAGTAGGTAGAAAAAAAAAAGCAGAAAGAAGCAGCCACCCAAGTCCAAGTCCTTCGATAATTCAAAATCAGAAAAGCAAAGAAAATAAGATTTGTTTACCTTTGTCTTCCCCTACTTCCCATGGTTAGCTACCAGCCTACTACCTTTTCCCTTCATTTGTACTCTTTAAGCTTGAAACCGTTTGAAAAATTGAACACACCCAGATTCTCCCAAACCAGCCTTTTTTTCTCTCTCCCTTTTCTGGTATTTGTCCATTTACAAAGATTGATGAGAGCTTCTTTCATTTGAATACGCAACCCACCAAAAAAACAATTTACATACTTTAATGATTAGTTCGGATGGATCAATGGTGACAAATTGACAATCCAGGTGAAGCCAAAAACTAAATAGTAAATACAAGTTGCATGCAGTGACAGTACTCAGTGGTCACAACGCAAGAATACCCTGCACGTAAACTTGAGACTTCTCTCAATTGTTGAATTATTAAAATGTGACGATAAGAAGTTGAAGCCAAATTTGTCTTTTCCCAACCTCCGTCGCAGTTTAAAAATGAGATCGTTTATCTCAAGTTGTTTGAGCTTTTGGTACTCATGAGAGTGTGCAGTATGGAAAATGGACAAAAATTGTGTTGGTAGTATTCGATAGGATAATAATACCATCAAAAGTAACAATTTTTAGCGAGATTATAACTTTTATTATTCCGAAATCTCAGTAAAAAAATAAATATCTTCCAAATTGTAGGGGTCAATGTCATTTCTATAATCACAAGCTTCCTGTTGGTTGTTAAAATATCTTCCAAATTATAGGGGTCGATGTCATTTCTATACCTCGATTATGGGTATTGAATCTAGACGAGAGTAACAAAGGTATAAGGCTCGACTTGATGCTTAGGATTTTCGACAAGCATATGGGGTGGATTACGACGAGAATGTTGCTCCAGTGAAGGTATGCATAGTGCTCGCTCTCTTCTTATTGTTGCTTCTTTACAATCAATGGCCTATATATAAGTCAGGTAAAGAATGCTTTTTTACACAGTGAAATAATTGAGATTATGTACATGGGGTGTTCTTAGGATTTATAATCATCTAGTGATAAGATCCGTTTACTTAAACGTTCTCTCTATGGTTCAAAGCGGATAACCATGGTGTGGTTTGAAAATTTTCATCACACTATATTGATTATGCACTTTCAGTAGAATGATCATTATCCCTCACTCTTTACTCTCTAATCCTCTCTTGGTTTGGTTATCATATGGATACATGTTGATGATATGATCATTGCAGGGTGTGATTCATTAGAAATCAAGGGTTGAACTCGTTCTCTGCACTCTCATTTTAAGAAGAAGGAATAAGGTAACTTTTCTTATTATTTTGGGCTTGAGGTAGAACGCTCAACCGATGAAATTTTTGTGTCTAATGGAAACCCACATCTAGAGTCTCGGTACTCAGGTTAGAGAATTGAGTATTGATTGTGATATTAGGGATTTTGAGAAAATAGGGGGATGAAATTAGAGAATAGAGGGGCAAGACTTGGAGAAGAGGGAAGAGAGGTGGGGAATCTCGGCTGCGGCCGAGTACGATAGAGTTAAGAAGAAAGGGAGGATTTGGCTGAGGGAGGGAGAGACGAGAGAGAGACACTAGGTTTGAGAATTCTGTAATTCTTATTAAACTTGCTAATTCAGTTCTTCAAATTTATAGACTCCAGGTTCACCATTCATTCAACAGTCGCTTACTAATCTACTTCAAACTTCATCTTTCCAGCTTCCCACAACCAACATCAGGTGTGTATTAGCACCTTGGTGACCAAATGTTTATCTTTCATTACATTTGAAGCAACGATTATCATGTCGCTTCAGCTCCATTTTTGTCGGAGTCAACTGAACAAAGCCTCTCAACGGTAAGCGAGGACCAGGTCAAGCCACCACTGGAGAGGTTGATACCACAGGTGTCGCAACTACTGTTATTGTCGCAGTCATGGTCACGGCCCATTCACTGGTCGCCATATGAAAAGTGTCTGGCAAGCTCTTGTTCCTTCCTACTTGCAAGTCTAAAAGTAATCCGCAATGAGTTAGGATCAAACACCTTCACAATAGCAGCTGGTTCCATCCTTAGAGATTCCATGCACAGAGCAACCAGATTTTTCTCTGGCATTCCTATACACATATTTCCAAGCTTTAAAAACTCGACCCTGTACTCTTCCACTGTCCAGATCTTCCTGAACTTGGCTAGCTACTCCACAGCCCATCCTTACGCTCTTCCAAATTTGAACTTGAGTTCCTCCTGAAACATGAGTCATATAATTAATATCTCAGCCTCAACATAAGACCGCTCCATCCATTCTCACCACTAGAGGGCATCACCCTCTAGGTCGAAGGACGCCATATGCGCCTTCCTCTTGGCCATTGAATTTTGAGAACTCAATGGTTGAGAGTCTTGTTAGTCTTGCATCGACGAGCCAAATATTGCCTACATCATGCAAATAGTAAGTCAATTCATGCTTCATCTTTGACAACCGCACTTAAACATTGTATTTTGGATTTTGAGATACTTTTAGGGGTCTTCTGATGTTGGAATAATACCTCCATCAGTTGGTCGACTTACTCTTGAATCCTTCTCTGATGGTAACTATGTTGGGTGCATTGAAACTCGATAATCTACTCCTATGTGGTGGGCGAGATTAGGAGATGTGTTATTTTTATTTTAGGAGGTGTAAGAAGTAGGATTGTGTGTCCAAATAGTATATTAAAGTTGAATATCGAACCATGTTGGATGTGATTTTCGAGATTATTTTGTTACAAATTCTCTTGAAGGTGTGGAGTCCATTGCTCTCTTGCTGTTTAGTTGTTTGCTGATAATACAAGTGCAATTCAGATCACAATCGATCAAATTCCTCACGATCAGACAAAAAGCACATGGATGTACACATTTATTACATTCGGCAGGTAGTGAGTGATGGTTTGCTCAAATTATCTTACACTACATTCGAAGATCAAAACGTTGACTTACTTACCAAAGTCGTCCCTCCTGACTGTCACTGGTTACTATCAAACAACTCGATGTTACGAAATCATCGTCGATCTGTGTGAGGCCGTTGAGAGCCGATATTAGAGGTCCTTTATAGCTATATAACTCGGCTTGTTAGGGTATGCGTTTACCCTGTATAGAACCCGAAGATTTCACGCTATAAAATCGCATAACATATTTCGTCTACGTTCTCTCGATACAAGGTCACAATTCGTTCTCAATTCTCTGTGTTTAGATTTCGTTTACATGTAGGTCATTCGAGAATTACACCCACCACCGCAGTATACTAAAAAAATACAAGCTTCAATATTTCTGTACACCCTCAAAAGAAACTAGGGAAGAAGAATGAATACTTGTGGCTAGGGGTACAAATCACAATGTACAACATTGTTTTTTTTTCTTTTTCTTACAAGTTGTTTGTTTAAAGACACCATGTCATTAACTTTCCTAATTCCAAGAGCCGTCCGTGATTTTAACCTAACCAGGTTTGCACCTTCCCTCCCTTCTTCCTCGTTGAAACAGCCGAGAGACAGAAATCAAGGTCACTGTCACTAACAACAAGCAAATGAAAGATCTTAACTTGCCAGAGTTTGCAATTAACTACCCTCCCCCGCTTTCTTTCTTGTAAGTGTAAAACTGAGTGAGGGAGGGACCATTTTTTTTTTCTTCTTCTTCTTCTTCTTCTTCTTCTTCCCTTTATTGATTTAATCTTTAAAGTTTAAATTAAACAGAGCGAAACGAAACAAAAAGCCTGTGGGCCCCACTCCGCCAATAGCCAGAGGAGGAGGCCGACGTGGACTCCCCGAGATCTCAACACGTAGCCATTGATTACCTCTTACGGACGCACCAGATCAGAGAGCGCTTCCTCCATTAATTCACTACTTCCCCGCGCTGTGACTCTCTCTGCCTCTGTCAGTCTATCGGTATTTGAATGTTCAAAATCCTCACTCTCTCTCTAAAAACAACTAAACCTCCGCACAGCACGCACACCCACGTCTCTCTCTCTCTCTCTCTCCTCGCCGGACGCCGCCGGTGGCCGAACTTCTCTTCACTTCTATTACTCGCCGCCTGCCGAAATCCATTTCCCCGCTCTTGTTCTTCTCAACCTGTTTTCTTATTCCGTCCCGTCCCGTGTTCTGATCAAGATCTGGAAACCGAATCTTTCGCCTACGAGGGAGGGAGGGAGGGAGGTCGCTTGACAGTTGAGCTCCAATCTAGGGTTTTGTTTGTCCTCGGATCCTTTTTTTCCCCCGCCTACTGCGGTACAGATTAGATCTCCACATTTCTATATCACCACCCAAAAAAAAAAAAAAAAAAAAATCTCTCCCTCTAAATTTGAAACGTCTTTGACGAATGAGTGAGAAATGGAGGCGTTCTGGCTCAGGAGCAGCTCTTCTCAGAGGCTGAGACAAGGTGACGCCCATGCTCTCTGTTCTCGTTTTTTTTTTGGTTCAGTTTGGTTGTCTGAGAATTTTTTTTTTCTGGCTTCTGCTAGCTGGCAGAAAATGCTAATTCTGTTCTGAAATTCAAGGGGGTTATAATTAGAGGAACTGTTTGTGCAATGCTGTAGAAGTCGTCAACATTCTGCAACTAGGTTCGAGTGAAGTTTTAGCTTTTGAGCTCGAGTGTTCATTAAAGTAGGTTTCGGAAAACTTTCCCCTGTAGTGGCATCGCCATGATTTTGTTCATCTTCCCTTTTGCGAATTAGTTATCGGGGTTATGATTGATTATCATCTATTTTGGGCTCTGACTTGACCGCTGATGGCTCTACTAATAAAGGCATGCGCTTGCTTTATTCCATTAATTGGAGTTGTTCTGTGTTCTGCTTTTTCCTAAATCTCTTCTTGATTAAGCTCTATTCTTGGCTGGGGTACATCTTTTCTTCTCGAAAGCTTTGCACTTCAGCTCAAATTCGCCATTTTCTAATTTTACTAGGAACAGGAAACGGGCAAGACCAGATACAGAGGAACTTCTCGAAACCGGCCTCTGATTCGACTTCTTGGAGCGGTGATACCACGGATGAAGATTCGGTACGCAAGTTTCCTCATGTGTTTTTGATTTGTATGGTTTATTTGGAGGTGCTCGTTTTGTTGTAATTCAGCTGGTTTTCTGGATTTTGATCGTTGAACTTATTCTAACTCCTTGCAGTTCAAACGTGAATTTGGGTTGAGATATTCAAAACAGGCCGTTGGAACACCAATAAAAAGGCTACTGGCTGAGGAAATGACGAGGGAAACCGAATCCAAGAAAAAGTCGCCTAGCGTCATTGCTAGATTAATGGGCCTGGAGGGTATGCCATCTCAGCCTTTATCTCACAGACAAGAGAGGAGATCTTCAGACAACTGTATGAAGGGAACAGTCCCAGCAGTGAAGCCGCATCAGAGAAGTAACGCATCAAGCAGCCGTGGGTCATCGAGGAAAAGCTCGAGGGAGGAGCAAGAGTTTAAAGATGTCTACGAAGTCCTAGAATCATCTAGAAAGGGGGTTCAAGGTTCGTCTTTGCTAGGGTCTGCAAACTATAAGATGACAGAAGCTGAGATGGCATTCATCCAGCAGAAGTTCATGGATGCTAAACGCCTCTCTACTGATGGCAAGCTTCATGATTCGAAGGAATTCCATGATACAATCGAGGATCTGAACTCAAACCAGGATCTTTTGCTGAGATTTCTTGAGCAGCCAGATTCAATGTTCACAAAGCATCTCCATGAACTGCATGGTTCCAGTCCTAGTTCTCATTCTGGTGGGAATGTCCTAGTCTGCAACACAGAGAAGGAAACCTCAAGGAAGAGTATGAAGACACCATATGAAGAACGTCGTCGTGAGCATTCTTGCTTGAAACAAGGTGGTCACCAACGTTCAGGCAAGACGGCTAAAGTGCAAATTGAGGGGAAAGAAGATTCCTCAGCTCTTCCTACGAGGATTGTAGTCCTAAAACCAAACATTGGGCAAGTGCAAAACTCCGCCAAACCAATCTCACCATCAACTCTTTCTTCTCATGGTTTACTTTTCGATTCCAGTCGGGATGGTGAACATCCTTCAACAACCAGCAGTAGGGAGTCTGTAAAGAAGAAGCTGTCTGACAATGTCAGACCTTCTAGATACAGATCTGGAGAGCCTAGAGATATTGCAAAGGAAGTTACTAGGCATGTAAGAAACAGTTTTACAAGCAATTCCAATGCTTTTCCAAATTCTAGGATCAGGGGATATGCAGGGGATGAGAGTTCATCCTGCTGGTCCGAGTATGAGTCAGCAAATGAATTGGATGTGACAGTGGTCCCTTCTAGGCATTCATTTGAATTGGGCGGTCATCGGTACAAGGGTTCACCATCCCGGTCCAATGAATCATCTGTTAGCAGAGAGGCGAGGAAGAGACTTTCAGAAAGGTGGAAGATGACTCATAAATCTGTGGACATGGGAGTAGTCAGTAGGAGCAGCAGCACATTAGGTGAGATGCTTGCAATCACTGATCGGAATGTGGCGTCAGCTTCTAAATCAGGTTCTATTGACAAACTTAGCAGCGGCCATGGATCACCAAACTTGGGTGAACCTTTGGGTATTAGTAGTAGAGATGGGTGGAAGGATCCATTCATTAAAAGCCTGCCAAGATCAAAGTCAGTACCTACTTCACCTGCTGGTGGTATTGGAAGTCCTCAACTTGCTTCACACCGAAGGACAGTTTATGATGACAGCTACAGGACAGTCAGAGAGTTGAGATCCCGTTCAAGAAGCAAGATGGCCAAAGGTAATCTTGGTCAGGGAGAAGGTTTATCTTCTAGAACTTCAAGATCTCGAAGTAGGAAATCCCGTACTCTTGTATATACTTACAGCGATGATGGAGACACTTCTTCCCCAGAGTCCTCTTTCGGTTACCACAATTTCTTGCACAAGAGCATGTCACAGGAGAATCCAAATGGACAATGTCGATTGGTTCAGGAGGCTTCAGCCAGGGAATTAGGAGGGTTACTTCATGAAACTAAAAGCATGGCTGTGGATATGGATATGGTAATCGACTGTTCTACATCAACCAGTTCAGAGTTACCAGCTGATACGATGGTAAAGGCAGAGACTTCTCACAGGGAGCTGGAAGAATGTAGTTCACAGGTTAGCTTTGATGCTATCTCCGTAATTTGCTTCCCTGAAATCCTTGCTCATTTTCTATGGACATTATGTGCATATCTATAATTCTCAGGTTTCCTTCTCAGTTGATTTTCCGAGGCTGTAACACAGTGTTATGCTTATTATATAGTTAGAGACTCAACTTCTCATTTGGAGATATATGCATTTATTTAGTTCCTATTCCATCAGAAGAATTTGAACTCAACCAGATCTTTCACATTGTCCTTGTATCACGCGAGATCAATCGAGTAGTTTATGCATGTCCTGACTCCTTTCTCCTTGTTTTAATTCCAGGAACCAACTCCTTGGCTAGAAAAGTGCTCAACCTCTACAGCCAAACCGATAACGGAACCAGAATCGTCAGCAAGCTCCAAGGAGACTGATCAACCCAGCCCTGTATCAGTTCTTGAAACTCCCTTCCCAGATGACTCATCTTCTGGCTCTGATTGCTTCGAGAGTTTAAGTGCTGATCTCCAAGGTAATAACTGCACAAGATATTTCCTGTTTTAATTTCTCCGGCTTGTCTCCATCAGAATAGTCATTAAATATGTTATTCCTCTCTGTAGGACTTCGGTTGCAACTCAAGTTACTGAAATTAGAGTCAGAATCATATGACGAGGGCCCCATGCTCGTCTCCAGCGATGATGAAGACTCAGCTCCACATTCACACCACAGGCAATTACTACTATCAGCCGAAGAATGCAAGGAACTTAGCTACACATCAGTTGTGTTACGAAGCTCTGGCATTGATGATACAGATCCCAGCACTTTCGCAGGGACAATGCACTCTTCAGACTGCCCTGTAAGCCTGTCGGTGTTCGAGGAACTCGAGAAGAAATATAGCAGCAGCCATGTGAGCTGGCCGAGGTCCGAGAGGCGGCTGCTTTTCGACCGAATAAACACTGCGCTCGTGGCGATAAACTTGGAGTTCAACGATCCACAACCCTGGGTGGGGGTTCAAACGAAGATCAGCTTGAAATGGGATAAGAGTGGGCTGAAAGATAGGGTTAACGAGGTGCTCGAGATCCGAGGAGGCGAGAAAGGTAACAAGGTGGCTGAAGATGAAGTGCTGTCAGGGGAGCTGCAGTGGCTGGATTTAGGAGGCGAGATCGATGCGATCGGGAGAGAGATCGAGAGAGGTTTATTGGAGAATTTGGTGATAGAGCTTGTTGGAGCAGTGTAGAAATGTTGCAGAGATAAATAAACTGAGCGTTTCATTTTTCAGAGAAGGGAACAAGAGGAAGTAGCCAATTAATGTCGTATATAGTGAATTGGAGGATGCTTGCAGGCCTGCGAAGCAAATGATGCAGAAACTCTGAAATGTGGATCCGGTTAGCTTCCTACCGATAGGCGATAGGTTATGTCGCCCTGCTCATAAACTCTGTTGTTGTAGTTAGCTAATCACCCGAGTATGGTAAAGTAGCTATCTTCAGCCGAAATTTGACGACGAATGACTGATATTCCAGAAATGACTACTCTCTCCGACCGTATTGCTTCGTGGTAATATCGTTAATCACCTGCATTATAGCACAAAACTCATCCGTAGTAAGAGAAAATGACACCCCAAATCAACGAAAAACTGCTTCTGTTGGGTTCTTTATACAATTATACCTGTCCTCGTATTGATTGATTTGCTTTTATACATGTCGATTTCTCCGGACTTACTTACTAAAGGGTTGTTAGTTGATTGTTTTGAGTTCTTGTTAGCCAAGCTAGGAGTACATAATATATACTTGCCGGTTTAAGTAGGCATGTGAAGCAAAACTACCTGCAATAGAGTTGATCAAGATGAAGAGAGAGCACTCTGCAAGTTGCAGTGAATAAGTGAAGAAGATGAAGCTAGCAAACAAGAGGCTGGACCGGCCTTCGTTTAACCCAGTCCTAATTAACCAAGCAATGAAGCCAATCAGATTAATAAGATTAAACCCAATCTGCTACTACGCTTACGTGTCATTCAGCGATAGGTTCGTTTAATAGCGACCGTTCGTTAGTTGGTACAGTAAGTTTCACGCGAGAGCTGCAGATTGCAGTCTTCCTCTGTATACATAAGGCAGACTTGTTAAGGCCCGCCAGTAAGCAGAGTCTCATTTCTAATCTCTATCATAGAACGTGGAAATTGGCAGCGCTCAGTTCGGTTACATGTTTTCCCTTCAGTTCTGCACGCTCTCTGGTCTCTTAACCCTCAATAGACTTTAGGGTTTGGGTCAGGATTAAGCCAACTCCGAGGCGCATTATTATAACAACAACGGCATTAGATTTTGTCTTTTTACCATACAGAACCAACATGTCTCTCAGTTGTCAGTTCTCAGCCCAGATTATACTAGTACAAAATGCCACAACAACACAACCACGCTAACAAGGGAGGAGGGAAAAAAATGGGGAAAAGACTTCTCTATTCGTTAATTCACAGTAATCAGAAACAGCAACATCATTGATTCTCAAATCAAATCTTGTTCTTACTTCTTACTATCGGTATCATTATTTCTTCAGCAGCTCCACGTTGGCAGGGGAAGCTAGAGTTGGAGCCGTCCAGAATTGGGCGTTCTTGACCTTGGAGACGCTTTCCAGGACAGACGATGGAGTTACATCTCCCACAATCGTCACTTTCTTCGCTGCAAAATCTATGTTGAACGATGTCACCCCTGTTTTTTTTTTTTAAACCAGCAACCCAGTCAGTACTCAGTAAGCACCTAAAATGACTAGTCGGCAGTCAAATAATTAAACCAAAAAGTAGAGGAAGCAGGTTTCGGTTTCAGTTTCAGGCTTTCAGTTTCACTTTTTTTTGCTGTGACAGCCATAAAAGACTACCGAGTCCTTTCAAAGACGACAAAATTGTGTAGCAGTAGTTCTCTCTCCCTCTTACCTTCCATTTTGGAGATATGTTTCCTCACTTTCCCAGCACACCCTTTGCAGTGAAGCGACACTCTCAGCACAACCACCTGCAACAAGTACACCGAAACATAATTTCAGAAAAAATCAAGGGCAAAAACAGGGCAAAATTATGTATGATGAACTAGAAACAGAGTAGACCAAAAAACAGGGCAAGAACCTGGTTTGATGGCTTTTCCATAGGCGGAGGAGGTTTAGGGGGCGAAACAGGAACTGGGTTGTCATCGCCTCCCCGCTCTAGTTCCAAAGCTGGTACCTTTATCTCGGGCTCGGAAGTTTCGGGTTCGGGAACCGGGTCGAAATCGGAGAATCCATCGAAGAAAACAGAGTCGCTCAACAGATATCTTGAAGAACCGGGTGGGGTCACCAAATCCACAGGCCAGCTCTTGGAAACCACATTTCTGGCTACCGTGAGACTAGTGGAGGAGGAGGAAGGAGCAATAAAAGAAGAAAAAGAAGTTTTCTTGCCCTTCTGAGCGATGTGAAGATCATCACTCTGCTTCTGCTGATGATTTGAAGCTGCGGTGGAAGAAGAACTCTTGTTTTTGGCCTTCTTGAGCTTTTTGGTCTTGTCGAGTAAATTGTAAGGCTGTGGGGAGATGGGAGGCGGGTGGGAAGCAGTACACGGCGGGTTGGGAAGGACGCGAGGGGCTCTTCTGAGATCTCTGATGATCGGATTGTGGCGGTCGATGGCCCGGCCGCCGAGCTGGGCGGAGGAGGAAGAAGAGGAGGGTTGGTCCATGCTCATGCAAATGGCGGTGGAGGCTTGGGAGGCGCAGAAGATGTCGATTCGTTTCATTTTTTTTTGGTGGTTTGAGGATTGAAAGGAATAAATTGAAATGTGGGTTGGCTGCTTCTTTTTTTCTGCCTGAGCTAGTGGTGGCGGTGGCAGAGAATCTAACATTCGATGGTGAAAAGGGAAGGGGAAAGAAAGGCAGAGGAACTTCCGAAGGGAACTTGGTTCTTCTTGGCTTTCTGCTTTCCTTTTTTCTTCCTTCTCTTTGTTTCGGGTGTGGGAGAGTGAATTGGGGAGTTGAACTGTGACACTGTGAGGAATATCAGCAATATTGCGAGTTTGAAAGATTCCTGATCCTGACGACAGTCGATTAAATGTTGAGAACACATTTATTTCACTCCTCGTTTATCTTTCCTACTTCTGTTTCTTATTTGTATTTTAGCCTTTCGGTTATAAATTACATTACCGTTCAGACCACATTAGCTCCTCCATTCAGCAATGACCATCCATAATTCGTCTACCTTACACCTAATTATATTGTTTTCATTTAAATAACACATCGACGAGTTAGAATGGTTTGTGTAATATTAATTTCTCTCTCGCTGAATCAGTTACTTTTATTTCGTAAAACCATATGCAAAATACATCTAAGAAATAATACAACGAAAGAAAAGTTCGGTGTGAGCAGCCATGTAAAACAAAGAACCAAAAGCACCCACTATGCATTACTAACCTCAACTAACTAACTAACAGATTGCCTATCAAGGAATAAGCCCCAACACATGAAGATCATGGTGCACACTATCATCTGCACTATTTAAGTGCATTAGATCAAACAAAATCAACCTTCCTAATTGCAGCAACATCCCAAGGAATTCCATTATGTCGTCTGATGCACCTCTTTCTCTCCACACATGCAATGTAAGCACACCAAAAAAGCCCTGCAATCCTCCCAGCAGCTGCCTTGCTTCTACGGAACTCAACTGCAACATGTATTGCATCCTACCATGTCTGTTTGCAGAACTGCCTCGCAGCACTCCAACTATCCACCACCTGCAATAAACAACCACACCGGAAGAACAAATGTTCTCCGGTTTCATCCTGAGAATGGCAAAGCAAGCAAGTAACATCAGTAATTTTTGCCCATTTCAATTGCTTGTCTCTAGTGACAATACCACCAAGCAAGAGCAGCCTTACCCACGCCCAAAAACTGCTAGGACTAATACTCATAGTCCATATGGTATCTTGTTTCACCTTATAACACCACATTCAGGCCACCCAAACGGCACCACTTCTCATCATCATCAACCAAATCATTCTAACAGTGCATGCTTTGTTCCATGCTAATAAGTCTTTAAGTCCTAGCTCTCCTTCCAGTTTGGGTCGAGCCAATGTGTCACAACCAGTCTTAGCCCCACACCAGAAAAATTTAGAACATACATGAGGACTTTCTTTGGCAATAGAAAAACCTACATCCAGAACTGCAGCATTTCCATAAGCACACAAGTGATTAGTTCAAGCCTGCCTGCATAGCTCAACTACTTGGCTCTTCGGGTGTCAATTTTGTGTTATTTTTGTCACTAATTTGACACAATCAGCTCAGTATAGCTTTCCTAAAAGTAAAGGCAGACCCAAATAGCACATTGGGAAAGTGCGCCTCCCGAAAACAAAAAATCTGAAGTGAATTCTTTATATTGAACTGAGCATCCTCCAAAATACACCTCAAATGTTCCTAGGTAGCATTTAAGACCCAAGAGTAGATAGAACTCATTTAACAATGATTGCACTATACTAAATGTCTACATAGATCCCTTAGTGAAGATGTGGAGATCGCCCGTGGAGCAAAAATGAGTGAAACCAATTTTTTGCCTTGGGAATGAAAAGCTAGAGACTTATCAGATGCAACCTTATTTACTAATAACACCTAAATTGGTGCTATTTATCCTTAATCTTTAGGTTTGTTTCGTGCTAATTTGTGTGCATAATCGGAAGAATATCGTCTACTATATCCCTATTTCGTTCCTATTTGATTATGTCATTATTTTAGGGTGCTTTAGACGATACATGTGAATTAGGTACGAAAAAGGTGCACAAGTGTAGAAAAATGGTGCAAAAACGAAGATCATGGGCGAAGGAGCCAAGATCCCAGCCTTCAGAGTCAAGATCTTAGACTCAGCCATGAAGAGAGTGCATGAACCAGATCACAAGATCTCAGCCTGCAGTGCAAAGATCCCAGCCGCGATCTTCTGCCTCTAGCCCGTGAACTTGACCTAAAGATCGCAGCCTCAAGTTCACGGCCATGAACTTTGGAGACAAGGGTGTGAACTTCAAAATAGGCCAACTCGGGAGAAGTAGAAAGTTTCCCCAGTCGAATCACGGTCCACGACTTCCTTGTCCGCGATAAGGATCGCAGTCGTGGGACCCCCAGATCGTGACCGGGATGTTAGGGCGCGAACTCCACATTTAGCAAGGCTAAAATGGTGACTCTCAAAGATTTCAACCTCTACCTCAAAGATCCATGCCACGATCTTCTGCCTCTCGCCCGCGAACTTGCCATTCAGATCGTAGCCTCAAGTTCATGGGCGCGATCTTCAACCCCTTGCCAGCGAACTTGCCCGTGTCTGCAAAATTGTATAAATAGGGGACTCCTCCCCCTTTAGAAGATGGCTTTTTGGCAGATTTCTAATTCTAGAGAAAGAATAGAGAGAGAAGTTGAAGGAAGGAGAAGAAGTGGAGGAGAGCTAGAAGAAGATTCACATCTCTTGAAGACCTTTTCTTCATGATTTCTTCCCCTCTCTGATGTCTTTCCTTCTCCCCTACATGGGGTGATCTCCCAAGGTACTAGTAGGGATGACAATTTTGTCCATGCTCATGGGTATATTACTATCCAACCCAATTGGGTTGGATATGAAATCCAAATAGATGGTTCATGGGTAGAGTTTAATGGGTTTGTACCCATACCCATTCAGTTGGGTTGGGTTTTTAACAAATGGAGTTGAGTTTGTACACATGCCCAAATGCAAATTACAGTTTGGTACCTAAACTTAATAGATACACACTGCATTTTAGTACCTAAAATTTTTATGGATAATTACATTTTAGTACCTAAATTTTTTTGTCTTACATTTTGGATATTGCTTTCATAATCTAAATGGGTATGGGTTGGATACGGATATCCATTTACTTGAGGGTATTTTAACTACACATGCAAAAATTTGACCTATTTGTAAAACTTGAAAAGTTTAGGTACCAAAATGTAAAACCAAAAAAATTTAGGTACCAAAATATAATTTTCCATCGATATTTTGAGGACTTATATGCAAAAAAATTAAATTTAGGTACTAATATGCATATCTATTAAGTTTAGGTACCAAACTATAATTTGTATTTGGGCATGGGTACAAACCCAAATCCATTTGTAATAAACCCAACCCAACCCAAAGTAGATGAGTATGGGTACAAACCCATCAAACTCTACCCATATCCATCTATTTGGATTTCATACCCAACTCAATTGGATTGGATAGTAAAAGACCCATGAATTTGGGTAAAATTGCCATCCCTACCGTATACTTACCCCTAAAAATACTTTTTCCATTTAAATACCACTTCGACGAACTTAAATAGTTGTGTAATTTTAATTACAAGAGACTATCCAAATAACCTCATTTTTTTCAATATAGAGAGTGAAAATATATTTAGTTTCATCTATTGTTGTGGCAACATAAGTTATCAATACATTGAAAATGTGTTGCAATCAGTTAAATCACTTTAAACAGCTTTCTTGTTGTTTCCAAAAACGGTATCATGTGAGGTCCTATAAGTTGTTGGAATAATATCATTTACAAGAGTGTATGACCAAATCTCACTATACTATCTTTCTACCTATTTTTTTCCTCTCCGTTTTCGTTTTCGTATAACTCATTTCCAAAATCTTATTGTCAAATATTTCTCTCAATTTTTTTCATAATTCATCATGTCACACTATTCCTCATATTATTTTCATACTTTTATCTTAGCCTCAGCATTGTGCTAAACAAGGCGTAAAGAAGTAAGCAAACACTTTTATATTTGTAGTTGTCAACTTAGTATTGATAAAATTTATTGCATAAAAACTTAGTATTGATATTTATTACTTAAATCGATTGCATAATATTTAGGTAACGTCATTCCACAACTTTTACATATGACACATAAATTATGTAAAGGTTAAGAAATGACAATTATTTCCTATGCAGCTGTTTAAAAAAGCCCTTATTAAAGCCTTCGGTAATGACTTTATATGTAAACTGGTAGTCTATAACTATTACGTAAGAGAAACATTAGTTTCGTGTTTTAACCATGATACTCTTGGATCCCACATAAAGTAAATTTTACATAACAAGTAATGGCCATTGTATATCACATAATATAATTTTTATTAACTTACTGGAAGTCATTGTAGTAATTCTCTAACTTAATGTGAAGTATTAAAAGGTTGTAGCTTTGCCTAACCTAATATTCATGACTCCACCTCTGCAGTAATTTTTATGAAGCTAGGGCAAGTAAATTTATGAGACGCAACAACCTTTCCCGCTGCTGGTTTTATTGCACTGAAAATGGGGCATACCAACGATTCCTTCCTTGCATTTTTTTTTTTGGTAGAAAGAGTGACGCTAGTGCGTCTAATTCATTACTGTAATAACACGGTCCTGGGAAATCCCCATTACATCATGAAAGAGCCAGTGTCTAAGACCGACTTCGTACACATCGAATGAATGTGTACCAAAAGAATAACAGTGACCGACATCTGCAAGATAGTCAGCTGCACTATTCATTTCTCTAAAAACATGGGTAATCTTCACCTCCCACTCGAGGCTCAAAAGTTTGTTAATAGTTGCTGCAAGTAGTCCGTGTCTGTGATCATCATCAACAGAATTCTTGATGATTGCAATGGCAGTTTCCGAGTCAAGGTTCAACTCCACCTTCTTATGCCCCTCATCCCACGCAATCTTGAGACCCACTGCAGCCGCTTTCAGTTCAGCGCAAGTAATCGAACAGGTGCCCAAGTTGCACACAAATGCTTTACTGCATCTTCCAAGGTGATCACGAAGCAGGCCCCCTGCAGCAGCACTGCCCGTGGACGAGTAGAACGACCCGTCTGTTTGGAGCTGAATCCACCCTTCCCGTGGTGGTTTCCAGGACACATGTTTCTTACAGGTAGAGGGGCCGCCTGCAGTTGAAGTTTTCCTGACCAAAAGCTTAGCCTGCTTCACAATATTGAACCATGCCTGAATCCTTGCATTTTACTTTGTGAAAAAAGTTACTTTCCTAGATTGAACTCAAATATTTGGTTTTTAATGCACATACCTAATGCAATTAGTTTTGTACGTACGTATTGAAGCTGGTGGCCAAACTTCTTTGGGACCAGTGAAGCCTGTGGAGTAATTGAATATAGCAAATCATCTATTGCTTGCCCTCTGCACGTATTGGGAATTGGACATGGCCTACCAGTTTTAATGTCATAATAATAAACTCAATTACTGAACCTTTCTGATGAAACTCTGGGTTTGTCCCTGTTCACAAATTGTTTGGATTTATTATATATATGTTAAAAAAACTTTGAGGGATAAATGAGGTAGATGAAATATGTCGTGTCGATATGGCAACGACAAACTTGGAGTGAGAAATGAGCAGACAGAGCAGAGCAGAGGTCAAGTTAATGTTGTTGGGGTTAGGGGTGAGGAAAAACACCTCGAATCGACCTATTCGGTCGTCTAATCCGATCCAACCCACCCGTATATATAGTTAATGTTAAGATTTAACGTTGGATGAGCATTTTATTTTGTACAATCCGTCTTTTTTGGGCAAGATGCATATTTTGGATTACACAGTCCATATAATTCGATCCAATTCATGTTTCAACTATTGTCATTAAAATTAGTATCCAAAACATATTTATATTGTTGTTGAGGTCAAGCTTAGAGCAGCCTGTTGTAATATGTTTAAGGTCTGGAGAGCTCCGATTTCACAAAATCTTGAACCACCTCCAGTTTCGTGGGAATACCTGGAAAAAAGTCCCACCGGGGGAAATCCTGGTTGGAACCTCCTACAACGTTCAAATTAGTAACCTGAACGAAACAGAATAAATACAATGACGTTAGACTTGATTCGGTCTCACGATCGTAATTGAGCGTCGTCGGCTATTTAATGCCGCTCGATGGAGACTATCCACGATTTCATGTGGTTAGTCTGCCAAATCAAGGGTGTGTTCATTGTTTAGAGATTTAACACGTTTTAGGTGACTATGAGGAGATAGAAAACCTTTTTAGAGAGAGAGTTCTGAAGATTTGGCTTCGTTTGAAGTTGTCGTAAGTGACTTGGGTATAAGTTGTCTTGTAAAGAGGGAGGGGGTGCTCCCTATTTATAGGAAAACATTGTAGTTGAATTCCTTGGTACATTCCCCAATACTCGTTAATATTCCCGTTACACTTTAGCAATCTCCGTCATACTAGATAAATAATAAATTATAACTATACCTGAAATTAGGGTGAACAAAACAACTCGCAAACCGATCCACCCGTTCAATCTGATCCAACCTGATCCAACCAATCTGTATTTATTAAAATTAAGATATAAGGTTGGGTGAGGATTTTATTTTGTACAACCCGCCTATATTGAGAGGGTGCAGATTTTGGGTTACGCAACCCATAGAATCCGACTCAACCAGTGTTCCAACTATTGTCATAAATGTTCGTGTCCAGAACATATTTGTGTCATTTATAAGCATATTAGTAAGAAAATTAAGATTATTTTATCATATTTTTCTCTTGTGATTTCCCTAGCCAAATACATTCTTCTACTTAAATTTTAGATGTATATTTAACATAGGCTACAATTCACATAATTTTTTGTGTATGGAAATTTTAGAAGAATATTATATTATGATTGCATTCACTTATAACCATTTTAGTTTATTTCGACAAAAGGTTGTGGGAAAAAACTAAACTTATGTTGAAACAAATTGTATTTCATTAAAATACAAGCACCATTTATACATTTTAATACCTTTTGCTTCCATTTATTTGTCAAAAATTTAATTAGCTATATAATATTTTGTGTTGTAGAATAGTTTTTTTGTTGTGTTGGATTGAGTTTTTAATTAAAAATTTAAATAGCTATATAAACAAATCGTAGGATTCTAAATTTTTTGTGCGAGTTTGGATTTAGTATGTTCAAAACCGTAGTGCAAGGGTCGAGTGATTAAAATGACCAAACACGAACCACTTGACTCATGTACACCCCTACCTAGAATAAAAGTACACTATTTCAAAAGGTAAGTAAAAGCAGGTGAATAGTGGGTCCATCAATTGCCACCATTGTCGGTAGGAAATCACAAGAAATGATAGTGATTTCGACACGAGATTTCGGGAAATGACCGTGACTTTTCTATCATCAAGAAGGTGACAATTCTATCAGGAAATCACATAGTCTAGCGATGAAATCCCTAGTGGGCGCTCACTCTGGGAACTAACAAATCCTATGAGACCTGCACTCAGGCCACTATGGTGTTCCCGGAGGCATTTAATGAAAATTTTCGTGAGGGTCCAAAGGACTCAAACAGGTTAACCCCTAGATTTGATCTTACTCCGCCATCGCTCATGCGGTGAGTGCATGTGGTTGTTCTTGGTTTATAAAAAAAAAACCCTGTAATTAGGGGGGGAAATCACTGCAGTGTATTTTATTTCAGTTTTCTGAAAAGGAAAACGTGTTGTCTTTCAAATAGCCGAATAATTGAAAGGAACTGGGTTGCCAGATGAAAGCAAAACGGACCAGAATATATTCGCGCGCGAAGAGATGGATTTGGCGGAGGAGCCACTCGACTCCCTCAAAGCTAGCTTTCTTTGCTCTCTTCTCTTTCTCTCTCTCTCTTTATCTTCTCTATGAACTGGGCCTGGAATTTGATGCTTCACCTTCTTGACTTGTTCCGCTACCTTCTTCCTTTACCTTTCTGTAGAAATTCTTCCCTTTCTTTCAATCATATAAAAGGGGTGGTTATGGCTTTCTTCAACGTTATAATAAAATAAATAAAATCATTCGAAAGCTTTCTGGCTTCTGCAATGCAAACTACACTCTGCTGCTCACCCTGGTGTGCAAAAAAAGAAAAAAGAAAGAGAGATTTCTTTCGTGAAAAGCCAATTTCAGGCCGCCCCCGTCGTTGGAAATAAGTATGAGATTATATATCCGATTCGAAAACAATAAAGCAAGCTCTTCCTTTCTGGTTGTACACCTCCAACATTCCAAATTACTTACTAAGGCAACAAACCAAAAATGAATTCTCCCCTCCTCACCAAATATAACCTAAGCAAAACTGGAGCCTTTTTGGCACTCAGCAACAACAAGTGCAGTCTCGAATTCGGCTCCGAAGAAAGAAAAGAAATAATCAAAGAATATAGAGGAGGATTAACCTGGCAAACGAGTAACGATCTGGTTCCGACATGAACTTGCTATCTGGATTGGATTTCCCATAACTGAGGCCAGCGAGAGATAACAAAGAGAGAGAGAGAGAGGGACCATGGATGTCGAGGCTCGATTATATCAAGGTACACACTTGACCTTCTTTAACGTTCTACATAACAGCTTCCCCGTCCTCAAAGCCCTTTCCCTTCGTCCTCGTTCAGAATGCGATTCCTGAAGTCGCTCACCATGAGTGGCAACCCGTCTTTCAGCGAGATTTTGGGCTCCCAGTTCAGCAGTTCTTTTGCTCTCCCAATGTCCGGCTTCCTCTTGTGCGGATCATCTGCGGTGTTTGGCCTGAACTCTATGCTTGCACTTGGATCAATAACTGTCTTCACCACCTTCAACGTTACCAAACACACAGAGCCAGATCTCAGCATAAGCACAAGAGGAAGCACACACTTTACATAAAGAATCCTATCCACAAAGGGCAAATAAATTCACAAGGTCGTGTAAGGGGGCAAACCTCAGCAAGCTCAAGCATGGTGAACTCTCCAGGATTGCCAAGATTGAATGGACCAACATGCTCACCTCCCATCAGTGCTACCAATCCATCTACCTGTCATTCAAAGGAGCAGCAGCTGTAAGGCGCTGACAACAATTTCACAGTGACAACCAACTGCTACACTCAATTGCCACAACCATGCGACTGCAGCTATCCCTCCCTCCCTCCCTCACTCAAGTTCGCAAGCATTGTGGCCCACTAGTCCTCCTATGTTAGGGTCGCTCATCCAACTTTGCAACTCATTCCAGATCTTAAGTATGAGACATAAACAGTTAGCATGACAGCACCCTGTTCTCAGAAAGTCCCATCATTCGTAGTCTCTTAAGCTAGAGACAAGCAAATCTTTTATGTCTACGTAACCACCGATTTGGTGCATACACGTCGGAAGTTGGTTGCTTGGCCATGCAGCCTAAGGTTGACTAACAGCATGACACTCCTTAAAGGCTTTGGTTTCCCGTCACTAATCAAGATTCAAGGCCTATTCAACTAGCCCTACTTAACAGAGTTTTCAAATGTACATCTGATGAGTTTGACTAATCGCTTATGCATTCACCTATTCTGCAAGTTTCAGAAAATTTCGGAAGTTACCGGAAACAGCCAGTAACAAATGCAAAAGAAATTGGGCATGTTCGAAGGAAAGTAGTATCTGCGATACAAAGTATTAGATAGCAGTATGTCATACCAGGTCAGAAACGTATTGGAAGCTCCTTGTTTGCTTCCCATCGCCATACACAGTCATTGGTTGTTTGCGTATGGCCTGAAAAGATCAAATAACGATTTTAGTACTACTGAAATGCGATCACAAGATTATAAATACAGGTTACTTATAAGTTGGCTGCCAAAAGTAACTTTTAATCCATAAACTTCAAATAAGATCATATCAGATGGAAGTTACAAGTGCTAAAGAGGAAAACCAAACCTGAGCCACAAAATTACTGACAACACGTCCATCGTCCAAACACATGCGAGGTCCATAGGTGTTAAAGATGCGAGCAATACGCACCTGCAAATAGTTAGGACTCCACGATGAACTAAGTACATACAAAACAGGAGTATTTTTAACCAGTGCTTCAAAGTGATCCTGGTCACAATTCACAAATCACAACCTTGTCCCTTATCCATTACCCTGAATGAGACTACTTGTAGCAGCAAAATTATAGTGAAGAACGAAAGCAGATGCCCACCCTACTTGGATCTCAAAGCTCAGAGATCAACCCTCAATGTTCATCAATTTATTAACTTCATTTTTGCTTGTGAATGAAGTAGACTTGACAGAATCATTGGTTTGAAAAGGAAGAAAACTACTAACAAAAGGAAAGGATTCTTAACATTCCATGGCAAGTCCATCCATTTATATGGTCTCGTCGGAAAGCTTAATTCTTCAGATCAATTCACGGAAAGCAAAAAGAAGGACATGATAACAACACTGGATGCAAGTTAAGCATCCAGATCTTAAATGCTACCAACATTTAAAGCAAATCGCAGTTACCTCAACACCAGCACCTCGGTGGTAATCCATGGTCAATGTCTCTGCTGTTCGTTTACCTTCATCATAACAGCTCCTCTCACCTAATCAATTTGCAGTCACACAAGCATTGCAGTCAATGAACAACCCACATCCTTTTCTCAAAGAAGCAAATGCACATCGATCGTTGCAATTAGAAACAAACCAATCGGATTAACGTTTCCCCAATAAGTCTCCTTTTGTGGATGCTCAAGCGGGTCACCATAGACCTCACTGGTACTTGTCAGCAGAAACCTGGCACCCACTCTCTTGGCCAAACCCAACATATTCAGCGTTCCCATCACATTTGTCTTGTAAGTCAGGCAATCACAGTCAAGGATCTCAAAAACCCAATTCCAATTCAAAGCAACAATACACAACAGAAGCGTTCATTAATGGAGACGAATAATTAGAAAAGGATATGATTGTCTTGACGGGATTGTACTTGTAATGAACCGGAGATGCAGGGCAAGCCAAGTGATAGATCTGATCTACCTCCAACAGTATAGGCTCCACAACATCGTGACGAATGAGTTCGAATCTAGGGTTCCCGAACAGATGAACCAAATTATCCTTTCTCCCCGTGAAGAAATTGTCAATCACAATTACCTCATCGCCTCGGGCAATCAACTTATCCACCAGATGGCTGCCGACGAATCCAGCTCCACCGGTAACCACAATCCTCAACCTCCGGCGGCCGAGATCCGCAGGTACCCGGCCGGAGACCGACCTCCTCTGGAATATTCCCGAAGATCCGCGGTTGGAGGACTGAACGACAGGAGAAGAGCCGGACAAGGAACTGGTGACGGCAGTGCGGGCCTCAGAAGGGCCGAGGCGGGAGAGAGTGGGCTGGAGGATGAAGAAAGTAGAGCCGATTAGAACTCCGACGAGGACGAAGAGGAGGCGCTGCTCGCGGAAGAGGTAGTTGATGGATCTGGGAAGAGATCTAGGGTGTTTGAGTGTCTTGGGTGAGTATTGATTCCCCGGCATCTCCTCGTCCCGACGGTAGTTCACGCTCGCTTGCTTGTGCAGCTGCTTCATCCTGTGCGGCTTCAGGCCGAGCTCCGGCGAGCGGTTCCGGTCAGAATTGTCGTGAACGAAAGTTGACGGTGGAGCTGGTACAAGGAAATGTAAAAAGAATTGAGAAACTAGGAGGGAATTGCTCCTGTGAGAATGACAGTTATTTGGGCAGTTAGAAATTGCCACGCTTCATGCGTCCGAACTCCGACACCGCGTAAAAGGAAGAGAAGAAAGAGGAGAAACGGACCCGTGAAAATTGAAGATAACCAAAGAGGAGAAAAGGGCTTCCTCACGAGCCCAATAAAATGGGCTCTCTACATCGAATTCGGGCCTAACTATGGTCCAGCCCAGTTAGCAACGGAAGCTATAAAGATGAAGCATTTGTCTTCTCTGCTTCGGAATAATTTCTAGGGTTTAGGAAGTGGCCGCAGGGGAGGACGAAGTGAAGAGCCAAGCCGCACAAGGAAGCATACAATGGGTAAGTAAACTCAACTCCGACCTCTGGTTTCTTTCTCCGTTGCATTTTCCAGTCAGTTCGATTTGTTCGATGGTTTCCGCTGATTCGATTTCTGATGCGAAATGGTGGCTTGCTGGCGGTGAATGCATCAGCGAGGATTAAGGTTCACGAGTTGAGGAACAAGTCCAAGACAGACCTCTTGAGCCAGTTGAAGGAGCTCAAGTCTGAGCTCGCTCTCCTCCGCGTCGCCAAGGTCACCGGCGGTGCACCGAACAAGCTTTCCAAGATGTAAAGGCTCCTCCTTTTTGTTCCCCCCCTTTCGTTCTTTATCTGATCGATTGTTTACGTGCTTTGTTTTTATCTGATTTGTATGATTTTTGCAATTCGGCAGCAAGGTTGTGAGGCTATCGATTGCGCAGGTGCTGACAGTGATCTCTCAGAAACAGAAGGCCGCTCTCAGGGACGTTTACAAGAACAAGAAGTTGTTGCCCCTTGATCTCCGTCCCAAGAAGACTCGTGCTATTCGCAGACGCCTCACCAAGCACCAAGTGTGTATTCTCTTGCTGTTCGTTTAACTATAATTATGCTGTTATGATCATGTGGAGTCTGGTCTCATAACTTATTGATAATGTGCCTTGCACTAGGAGTAGGAGAATGCTCAGCTTAGAAATAGTTAACTTAATAAGGGTAGAAAGCCTGCTGCTGGAAGCTTGCTTTTGTAGTTGTTTGAAGCTATCCAGTGTTATGAAAGCAATAGAACTGGTGGCAACTTGGTTTTTGGTCGAAGCATCACATCTGCGAACTCGTAAGGTTGGCTTGTGAATGTAGAAGGAAATTGTATTGATGACCTAGGGTTAAGCATCTGGTGTCTGGAAGTGCATCTGTTTGCAGTGAAATGTTGTATGACTACTCTGTGTGAACTGGTACTGTTAAAAGGTCTATTCATGGTAGTCTGTTGCTGATCTTTTCCAGCCATTTTGTACCGCATCGTCGGGGTTGGCAACACAAAGTAGAGAACATTTTGGTGATTGTTCTTTGTTCCGTTGTTATGGTGGTTGCAGGCATCTCTAAAGACCGAGCGGGAGAAGAAGAAGGAGATGTACTTCCCATTGAGGAAATATGCTATCAAAGTTTAGGGTAGTGAAGGATTGCACTTGGATTAAAAATGTGGGTGTTTGCCATTTGTGAGAGCTCTTGATTTAGTCGAATGCCGATCTTTTAGTTCAACCTGTGGGGTTGTTTATGTTCGAAGACCTAAAATTACTCGCTATTTGTCTCAGAATCCATGATCTTTTGTTAGTTCCTGTCCAGACCTCCTTGGTTACTTTCCTCCATGCCGATGTTTGCAATGTCACGCAATTACCTTTGTTACTAGTTTTCCTCGTGGGACTTCGATGATCCATTCATGACTGCCACACTATCTGCTAGTTGAATTATGAATGACTTGCTATTTTGAACGACTGTGAACTGTGAAGTATGTTGAAGATATGTGAGGCTGAAAGAAAATGTAATAGCTGGATGTGTTGTAAGCGTCTTATAGCTTTAGCATATGGGTATCAGGTTATTCAGGTGTGGTTTCCTTTCTCCGAACTCCGTCCATACTATAGTCTATAGCATTGCACTGGTTGGAATCAGTCCCATCCAAAAGAGGCTTTGAATGAAGGCATGAATGGTTTTACCAGCTCTGACAAATGGAGTGTGCTGGGTAAGCGTTCTGAAGGACATTACTCTCATCAGGGATAATCGTCATAAAACTAGCCGATAGTGGGAGTCGAACCCATGACATCTTGATCAGAAGTAAAATACTAATCCACTACTATGAGGTCTGATAGTGGCTTTAAGCCCATGTATTGCTATGCTACTAAGGTTCTAGAAGACGTTAGGTGGAAGTCGGTGATAAGTGCGCTTACCTGGTTCTGAATGACAAAGTCACAACATCGGTTTGACTTGTCGAATGGTTTGGTTTGATGACCGTCCTTAAGAGTATTTGGAGGCAGGGGAGATTCTGTCATCTTTGGAGATTTGGAGAGTTTGTTACGTCTGGCAATTTTCAATTTTGTTTGCATGTGTTTAACTATTTGCATCGCATTTGAGTTTGGCGATGAGGATAGGGTCTGGGTTCATCTGGAAACTTTTGGTTGCGTTTGGTACATCTGGTATTTGAGAGAGAATTCAAGTCAATGTGAAGATTTGTTAGGATATGACTTGAATTTGATTTGAACTTTGTTTTGCGTTTTGGGCCTATTCTGTTGGATTTGTGTTTGGCATTTTCCTTGTAGGTTTGGAAAATGTGTTTGGTTTTCTATTTGAGATCAAAAGAATAGTTCTATAAATACTCTTCATCACCCTCATCTGTTGTTAGGTCAGCCATGTTAGTTTGTTTGGTTTGTCCGTTCCGGAATTTGGTTTGTAACCTGTACTCTACTCAAATCAGTGAAATTTGTTCTTCCCTGTTCATGTATTAGCTAGCACACACTGTATTAGTGAACCACTTTAAATTTATGTTCGTTTGTATTGATCTGGATTATCGATTGCAAACAAGAGGTACAACACAACTTTATTTTGCTGGTCTCAGAAAGAGATGGAGACTCTCCTAACTTGCTGGCATACTTTCGCTCTCAGAAACAAAAGGTCAGATTCAGCCTTTTTCCAATTTACAAAAATTTAAGTTTATGGGTCATTGGAGATCCATGTGTTTGGCTCACGAGGAAATGGGAAAATTCAGCTTTGCACTCACACAATCATGCATTATGGCTACCACAAGGAAACGCCAGAAGACATTGGCCCAAACCCAACCACCTTTGAAATTTAGCAACCAATACGTGCCTGATCGACATTCAACTTCATCATGTCATTTTCATCTTTGCACACAGCGTGAAAATGAAACTGATTCTCAAATTACAATCCCTTTCCATATTAGACGTACCGTACGGAATTCAAACTACGTTGGCACATGATTTTGTAGTAACCGATCGATCGAGCGACGTAAGCAAATAGAACAGCTCGTAAAAGACAAACCAAGCACACAAATACTTAATAGCCTGATCATCCTTTTTTTTTTTTTCAGGATTTTTTTCAGGACTGAGAACTGCAAGTTAAGACGGCGGTCTAAATTATCTGCAGAAACCGCCGTATGGAGAGGTGCTTTAAAGGCTGACCTAGAACCAACCAGTGGCGGATCCGGGGCTGGGCCAACCCAGACCCCGGCCCAGCCCTCCTCCGGATCAAGAGTTAGTTTAGTGCTTATAAATTTTTTCGATTTAGGTATGTGGCCCAGTGCTATTTAAATCCTGTCTAGTTTTATTTGATAATAGGATTTTGTGTAACTAGGAAAATGGTTCAGATGAACATATCCAAACAATTACTCTAAATTTATACTAATTTTTTTATAGCCCCAATGATTTTATTTGAAAAAAGACATGAAAACCTAAAAGTGTAAAGTTTCATTAAAATAAAAATAAAAACTCTAAACTAAAGCACACCCTTCCTGGCAAAATTCAAAAAAATTTCCAATCCCCCCAAAACAAAACAAGAACGAGGAGACGAGCAGACCCAAATGGATTTCTCCGCCAGTCCGTCGAGCTGGTTTTCTTTCCAATCTTTTGATTAAGAAAATATTTACAAACTTGCTGAGTCATCATTTAGATTGCCTCAATTGAGTGCGGCACTAGATTCTAACCGTTCTTTCTTGTGTTTTGATGAAGAAAATATTTACAAACTTGCTCAAGAGTTTAGCCTCGAGACTTTGAAGGCTATGAGATGCATTCTTTGGAGAATGCACTACTCAAGTACTCATGTGAGGAAGATGAAGTTTCTTCTCTTGCAAAATTATTAGAGAAGCTGGAGGAAACAGGGATGGACACATAATACAAATTGATATGTCGGTTGATTTGTCTAGTGTTGACCTAGCCGTTTCAACAACTACCATGGAGAGAATATTTTCAGCAATTGAACATGAACAGATTTTTGCAACAAAATGAGCGATGAATTTCTCATTGATTACTTAGCTATTTTCTTTGAAAAATAGTATATTATCAGTATGGATGGAGATTATCTTATTGATGAATTTGCTAAATTAAAAGACCTTCTTGTACAATTGGCATTGTAATGAAAACTATATTGTTATATATTTTTGTTTATGATATCTAATATTCTATTCAAATGCGGCCCAGTGCTCTCTTATGTACTGGATCCGCCGCTGGAACCAACCGCCTGTTGAAGGAGCGGTTCTACGTTGACAATAGAAACCTCTTATTCAACAGGCAGTTTACCTTGCCAACACACAAACCACACCCCCCAGCGATTTGTGTGCCGTCCCCATTAACCCGACTATATCGTGTGCATCCTAGCAAAAAAATGTAACTTTCACAATAAGTTTATGATATACTAAAGTATAAATCTATTATAACAAACAATTTAAATAAACAAAATCAAGGGTTTTCCAAGATATATACATAATTTCATAAAACAAGCATATTCAATTAATTAAAATAAATAGCATTTTAAATGAATAATAATTTAAAGAGATACATATTCAAATATTTGAAATTAATAAAATTAATTTTGTACACATACACATAAATCCATTACATTATTGTGTAAATCATATTGGTTGTTTTCAATAATTTAATCGAACAAGTACACTCGTTATACTCTTAGAAGAGATATACATCTTCTTAGAAACGCAACCTTTTTTTACAGAAAAAGGGGGGATACGAGGATTGCTTAAAACTCGATTTTCCCAGAAAATGGGAGGATCATGATTATCGCTTAAGACCTCATTTCATTAGGCATGCATCTCTTTATAAAGATTCTAAGTAAGTGGAGCATTGTATTAGCACAAACCATTAAAAATTATCAATACGATTAAAAATTATCAAATTTCTTTACAAACCACTAAGTACGATAACAAAATAATAAAAAAAAATGACAAATGATGAATAAATTGTACGTTACCTCGTGATCATTCCAAACATCCCTTGAATGATGTTTAGGTTGGTTGTACAACACGCTTAGATCACTCGGTCCTTGATCAACATACTATCTATGATTGTGTATATCCACGTCCTCCCCAACCTACGATAAAATAATAAAAACATAATTAATTAGTATATAGATTAATTAAAAAATTATAACAACTACAAAAATTTGGTAAAATGACTGAGATTCGACGGGTTTTGAAGGAAAAACCAAATAAATGTTTTTTTATGGCAGCTCGGACTTAGCTGCAACCAACATACTATTATTTCCTAGATTACGGACTCCTCACTACAGGAAAAATGATCTTTGGCAACACTTGAAATGTGTTGCAAGAAGTGCCAAAAGTGTTGCATATGTGATATGCAACATTTTTAGTAGTGTCCTCTATAGGTGGTGTTGTATAAAGTCATAGGTAACATTATTTTAACTTCTTGCAACAATAAAAAATGTATTGCTTATACATACCACTTTAGACAACACCATTATAAGTAACACCTCAAATAATTTATGCAACACTTTTTAACAGGTATAAGGAACATGTATATGCTTCATTTGTGACCGATTTTGTTGTTGCAAAAGACTTACACGATCGTGGCAACTTTCTCTTGTATCAAATAGAATACATTTGTGTCCAAAATTTTGTGAGCAAAGCTAGTTTTGTGACAAGTTTGTGTCGACACAAATATCTATCAAATGTCACAACTTCAATTTTGTCACAAATTTATTACTTTCGTGATGGTGCCATTGTCACAAAAGCGAGTTTCAATAAGCATAGTGGTGTCATTAAAGTAACTATCTGTGACAAATTCTTTTATCACATATGCATAACATCTGTGACAAATTCGAATTAACTAAAATTATATAAATGTGACGATTAATTTGTCACCAAAAGTATTTACAAATGTAATGACAGTATTAGCATCTTATACATGTGCTAAAGGTATAAATAATAAATACAACAATATTATTCTCAAGGTATTGGAAAGTGGAAGCTTTATATGACTTGAAAGTAGTGCTTCCCTTGGTGACTTTGTCTTCTCGATAGGTCCTCTTTTATCTTCACCTGATTTCTTCTTTGTTTTATTACTACATACCTTAACATTTAAAGCAAATGTCATCAACCAAATAAGAAACTTTGAATTATTGAATCTCAAACTGAAAAATGAGGAGGTATAGATTGTAGCTAGTGAAATTATCAAATTAGAACTAACACACTAACTGAAATCGTAGTTATAAAGTCAAGGAGTGTAATCCTAGCTACATGCAATAAGCACAAAGCCCCAACTACTGTTAAGAATATAACCTATATATACACAGAAGAATCAAACTAACCAGAGAAATTATTTTTATAGTTAAACATGAAAAACAAGGATAACAAACACATTATATGCAAAAGAAGACATCTTGCAAGTTGCAACTGATCTCCCTGCAGGGAAGATATCTCCAAGTTCCTATTTTTCCCCCTACAATCCAATTGAGATGTTTTCACAATTATATGAAAAAGAAGGGGGAAAGCAACGTATGTAAAGTTTATGGACTAGAGATTTACCGATGGATAAATCAAATCCGTGGTTCTTAAGCACCCAATACACCTAGCACAGGAGGAATACTTGAAAAAACAGTGAACGAAAGTATCAATAGGTCGAAAAGTTCATTAATGACTCATCAAATTAACGGAAGAACTAGGAGAGGTACGAAACTGAACCTGATTGTTGCACGCAATAATGCAAGGGTCCTCACGTACAAGTCACAACCCTTCTCCTCTGCAATTCTCTCTAATTTTCATCCACCCATGCATCTTTACTTTCTGTTATCCATGATCCATAATATACGTGTCCTAAAGCCTTTCTAATTTAAATCCTCATTCACAAAAACCTAGGACACCAGCTATCATCCTAACGACAATACTACCACCACTAGTTGCACCACTACGGCTAATTCCCACGTTTACTAGCATTGATCCATCCATTCAAGTAGTTGTTCAATTAGTTCATGTATAATTCCTTGACAAATTATATACCAATCCCTTTGTGATCCTTAATCTCAATCATGAAATAAAAACTGACAACTAACCTCCGTCATTTGCAAAATCCAAACCGAACCCAAGATTGAAGTGGACACGGGAAAACCACCTACTTAATTAGCTTCCAATCCAAGTTCCAGGTGGTGTTACTTCATAGTACCTTGGTGCACCAAGCTCCACGGCTTCCTGTCACCAGGTTGCTTCCCGTGCCCGGCAATCGTCATCCTTCTTATGTACAAAATATTGTACAGCTTTGGTTCCCATATCGCCGTGCGGCTCCATTGAATCCCGACGCCGAAACATCACCATTGGAGACGTCTGTTTCTTCGGATCTGTCTCCGATGCCGCAGCCCGCTATTGATTCTTCGGGACTGCCGTCAATTCTTGTTCCGCGGGTCTAAGTAGGTGGATTCCGTTCTTGGAACCATTGTCGAGAGAGGGACGAGCTGGAAGGCGATTTGGAGATGTGTTTATCGGCTGATCTTATCAAAGAACGGATTTTTCTCGACGGCTTGCTGCTGGGATTATTTTAGGGTTTAGTTTATTTTGATTATAAGGAGTGGAGGGAGGCCGAGAGGTAAAGGAAATTGGCTGCGAAAAAGTTCGCTCATGGTACACAAACTCTTTTTCACATTATTCAAAGTGCAAGTTCAATTTGTTTTAATTGTAGTGAAGTTGTAATTAATTTTAAATCTATGTATTTAATAATACCAATATAAAAGGACTATAGGATTGGTATAATATGTAACATTTTTTTCGTAATTGTTAGCTAAAATATAAGAATAGGCAACACAATTTTATTTTATCACACGAGTGTTGTGTAATATAAACTATATGCAACAATAATTTAAGTTATGCTAATTTGTGTTGCATAAGATATATATTAAGCAACACATTTTGTAAGCGTTGCCTATATTCATTTTACGTGACACTTCTAAAAAGTGTTACAGGAAGAGTGTTGCCAAAGACCACTTTTCCCGTAGTTCCTTGCGCCCTCATACCCTCAAAGCAAGCGCTTTGCTCTGGATCCTGGCTCGCTGACCAGGCATCGAGACCCTCGTGACTTCCAATTGACGACAGATAATCTGTCTTCAAGTCATATCAATATATTTATCTCTAAAGGTGGCAATTTGAATCTAACTCACTTAATTCATTTTATCCTAATCTAATTGGATTGGTGGATTAATGGATTGAATTCATTGATATTTGGAAACTTATATTAGTAGCTATATTTTTTAATATTTTTATGTTTTCATACCTAAATTTTTATTTTTTAACAAAAAGTATCGTTCGTTACATTTTGGAACCTAAAATTTTCATAATCACATTTTAGTACCTAAGTTTTTCAAAAATTTACATGATAATTATATGTTTGGATGTCACTTGGCCACACCTTTTCCTCTCTATATCTTTCCTATACTATGTTTTTTCTCTCTAGAATACCTCCCTTATGGAAATCCATGTCTTGATTTTTATATATGCCTGCACCCAGACTCAGGTTCATGGCCATGATTTAGGAACTACAATTGTAATTAGAAAGCATGCTCTACCATTGAATCGAATGAGAAAATTACGAGCCAAAAGATTAAGAAACGGTTGAAATTGTGCTATAAGTTCTGAACTATAATCCATGAGCTACACTTTGTTATCCTTTTTTTTTCATGCTATAAAGATGGTCTCATTAAGGATCACTTAAATTACTGACGAGGGACTTGGGAACTTAATTTGTTGTTATATTTTAGTGTTAATTATATAGATATATTGGAATTCTCGGTACAAATTAAATATAGGAAAGGTTGGAGGTTGAGTAATATTGATTATGGAATGGAGGAAAAGGTCAAGGGAGTTGAAAAAGTTGGAATGAAGTTGGATTCAGGATCTGGTGGGTTCACATCCAAATATATATTTGTTCTTTTCCCAAAGGGGTTACTTTGAGATGGTCCTATTCCTCCTATATATATATCGTTCCCAGACTTTAAATTCTCTGTACAGAGTAATTTATGTTAAATAAAATTAAAAGAAAATTCCACATCATTTTTTTTTTTTTTGTATGTGAAAGATGAGTAAATTAATTCGTCAACTTTTCCTCACGTTTCCCTGCAGGACTGCCTGTCTAGGGTATGGCCAGTCAAGCAAGGAAATAATTAATCATCCGGCTCAACTTCATGGCAATATTTGTCATCCCACTTGTATAAAAATGCAATATACTTGTAATCTATTTGAAATTTTTGGTATAATTATGAAATATGCGTTTGGTGAAATATGGCTTCTGCAGCATTGGTTAGGTACGTGGGAATCCTGAGCGACAGATCTATTGCCTAGTCGCATTCTCGGATCGTTTGTATAACTCAGATCATGCCGATCAGACAGACGCAAAATTCTGAATCTCTAATTGTTTTCCGGCGAGGAAAAACTTGTGTTTGAACACGATGAATGCACCTTGACTTCTTGAACAACGACAATCAACACGGTTCACACCTTTCCGAACAATGTTCGGACGAGGGTGTTTGATGTTTTTTATGGTATTTTTGGGAACAAACTAAGTTAATTACACCTACTCCTATGGAGGTTCAGTGAGAGCTCCGTAAACTAAGGCTAGGGCTAATTTGCAGAGAAAAGATAAAAGTTTGACATAGTGTGTCGAATGGTTGATTGTGGAACCTTTTTCCGTCTTCGTTTCTCCTATTTATAGCCACTAAGGTCTTCGTTTCTCGAATGGTTGGCCTTTTGCTCCAACCGCCTTAGGGTACCAAGCCCGTATTTGGACTTTGTCTCCATATGGGTATGGCCTCATAAGGGCTGAGCTCGGCATCCTGGTCGATCCATCCATAGTTGGGTGGCTACCTCAGCTAGTCACCATGCCTTAGTCGGATTTCTTGTCTTGTTGGCTTGATACCCTTATGTCTGGCTATCAAGTCCGTCTTGTTGGCTTGTCGGCTTGATACCCCTTTTGCTTTGTGTCACCTTGTCCCAAGACTTAGCTTTTGGATGGCCTCCTATTTGGTACTCGTCTTGGTACCCGTTAGCCAAATTTCTTACTTGGGTATCAGACTATCAGGCCTGCCCCGTTGTGTCGCCTTGTTTACAAGACTTAGTTTTTGTATGGCAAATTTCATACTAAGGGGGTGGAGGCATCGTCCGGCTATGGGGGCCTCGAAGACGGGTCGGCCATCGTATAGAGGGGAAGGGGGTTGGCCACTTAGGCCCAAAAGTCTAACCCAACTAGGCCCAGCTAGCTCTTTTAATCATTAATGTTGAGCTGACCTTATAAATCCATTAATCCCTTGTAATTAATCAATGTGGTATACTGGTACGGTACAAGCCGCTTTTTTATGGGTAAACACTAACCTTCCTTATAAATGCACATCATACGACCAGACGCGACCCACACACCAATCCAAGAAAAAACTTAAAATCTCTGTTTGTTTGGATTCCGTAAAAGCACTAACTAGCCACGTAACGAACGTAACTTACCATCCGAAGAATCCATGCATGCACCAGCCGCCTGCTCTCCTCACGGTGGAAACAGAACGATCAATTGTTTACTTCTATTTCAGAGTAGATGGCCGAGAATGTTGAACGGCGCCGTTGGCTAACTATATATTACCTTATAAATTAATAACTAGTTTAATGGCTGGAGTATATGCTTAAGAAGAAAAGTCGAACAAATTGTCAAAATGCCCCAAGTCAGGAGGAAATTAAAGCTTCTTTCCAATAAAACAAAACTATGTCAGGAAAGTTGGAGTTCTTAAAATGCAATTGGATCTAAACAATAACTTATCAAAAAGATCATAGAAGCAAAGGCTGATAATGGCACTTATTCTTTGTCCCAGCTGCTAGCGTATTTCTGAATGTTTGATATTATAACACCATATATTGTGGTGTACAAACTTGAAAAGTAGTATATATGACAGGATATAACAAGATATCAACCACACCATCCTTATTCTTTATTTCCGATTAATAATTCGCTTATGTTCTAACATCTAAATGATGGCTAATTCTATACTAATTTCGACAAGGGCGGAGCCACGATTTGAGTTTCGAGGGGGGCCTAAATTTTTTTCGAGGGGAGCAACATGTATAAATAAGTTATAATAGTAACTGAAAATGAAAATCAGAACGGTTGATCTTATGTATGATTTGCAAATAGTATATTGACATATTCAATAATTTTTTTGTAACGAGCCACAACGACAATGGTGCATATGAGCACTTAAAAATCAAATGTGTACTTAATTATCAAATATTAATAATAATTTTCCCACCAAATCTAAGCTAATTTATACAAAAAAAAATTATTTCAAATTGGAGCGGAAGAAGAACGTAACATGGTCAACCCCTAGGGAGGAAAATGAATAAATTAGCTATAATAGCTAACTGATAATGAAAATCATGATGCATTTAATTGAGAATGGTTGAGTGAGAAGCCATGTGTTCGAACTTTAGCGACCACTATTTGTTAAGCACGTGGTATTTAAATTTGTGCAAACTTCAAATTCGTATCAGTTGGTTTTCGTTTGAGTCAACGCGTTAGTAAATGGTATGAGATTCATCATTGAACACATCCCAACAACTCGAGTTGCTGATGATATTAAATGGTTTTTGACAAAATGATGTATAAATATGCCACTCCTACGGCATCTAGGCGTAGAGCATTAAATGGGATGCGATGGTCAGCGGAGGAAGATCCGCGGCATCCTATCAAATTTTGGAACCCATTTTCCTGTTACCCAATTTCTCCGGTGTCGATGAGACGACTAATTTGGAGCCCTCGACCGCTTGCTTTCTTAGCCATGAGTCATAACATGACAACTTCCACATTAATCTCTAGTAACCACGAGACTTAGCAAATACATGTTAATGGTGGTAAGCTGCAAGTGTGCACTCTGCCCCACGCTACTACGGGTCGGGCGGGTAAAACCCGTGCTGGTACGGGGCGGGTCGACCCACTCTTACATGTTGTTCAAAAAAATATAAGTAAATTTTACTTTTTACAATAAAACGTAGGGAAAAACACTTTAAGAATGAAAAAAATTGATAATAGAATGAATAATTGAGACTAACAAGTTGAAAGATCGACTCTAACTAGTTGAAGAAAAGTCAAAATAGGAGAAATATGTATAGATATTGTAAGAAATTGAGATAAAATGAGTCTATAACGGGGCGAGATCGGGGCAGGGCGGATCGGAAGTAGATACCCATGCCCCGCCTCACGCTATTGTGGGCCGGGTAGTACCCGCTGGGCGGATTGAAATTGTCATTTCCAGGTCAATGATTTTGTTTTCCCTTATGGAAAATTGGAGCACATGTATATAATACATAAATTGTGTATCGCTTCTATCTTACACAGGGTAAAATATAGTGGTATCACTATTTACTGTCTTTTGTTTACTTTTCATTCTGTTTTCTATTTGTTTCAAACTATAAAACAGAAAGTGGCAACTTCATGCTGTTTTTTGAAACGACAAAATGTTTTGTTTTCACCTGTTTTCAACATCGATCTGTTTTCTAAAAAACAGGAAACAGAAATGAAAGTAAACAAGCCCAAGTTTTCACTATGCAAACATCCCGTAAAACTTAAGAGTAAAAACATTTCTTGTTTTTTTAATATTTTTAAATAAATTATTATTATTAGAAAAATCAACATAACACATTTTCAGTGTTGTGTATAATGAAGTGATACTTCACCAAAAAATATATATAATGAAGTGATACGCATATTTAAGTACCTTCGCATCCCTATAGAAAGAGTGAGACACGTCACAAACAACAGAGAAATTTCATCTACGTTTCAATGGTTTTATTATTATTATCATATATATTTCAACAGTGACCCATATTTGTTTCAATGATTATTAATGGTTGGAGACTTCCAGAGCAGGATGGATTTTAATTAACTTATATTTTCCAAAACTGCTGCCTAATTTTTTTCCAAGTCCACAGCCAGCTTTTCCATCACCAGTTTGATTTTTTTTTCTAACCCCGAATGATGATCAAATAATAATGACCCGTACGTACCATTCGCTATCTATGAAAATGGACAAAAGAAAATTTTGCAAGCAGCTGTTTTCAATAATTTTCGTTTTTTGGTCCTGGGGCGGGATCGAGTACATTCGTACTTAATTACTTTTCTTCCGCCAAAAAGGTAATTAAACTTGAAAAGTCAAGTAATTAGTGATTAAATTAATCCGAATGCTACGTCATCGCTGAGTTTACTTCACGTATCTGAGATACCTGCTGACGCCAATATCCATGCATGCATCTCTTTTTCCTCTATAGTTGAGATTTTAGACCCAGCCAGTTGAGTTTTCGCCAAACGCTTCTCAGTGTCAAACTTATACTAATCCTCCTCATCAAGACAAACTGACATGAAAACATTCCGAGTAGGTATGAACCCGAAACAAATTGGGAAAAAAGGGTGATTCGTTTTCCTGGTCAAACCATCAAATATTATTAAGGAAAAAAAGGAAACATCATTAACTCGGCTAATTAACCCCCGCCTAGAAGATGATTGATTACATGGGCGGATTGGTTCCCTACGCGCCACTCCCATAAACTTCCTAGTGGTTTCCTCGAGAATTAAAATTGTTTTTGGTCCCCTAATATGAGTGAGATCTATATATTTTCCAAGACTCTAACCATTACTTAATAGCTTACTATTTGCTAATTTCACCCTGCCAAATAATAAACCCAACCAAAGAAGCTATTAATTTAGTTAGTTAGCACCAGTAATATTGGTCGAAAAATTGTGCTAGTCACGGAAGAGGATTACGGCGTGCCACGTGTACGCGTGTATGAGGCCCAGAATTCATGACTTTCAATGTCAAAGTCCAACCCCACCCCTAACCCTAAATACCGAATCGGTCCCAAACAACGGCATAACGCCGTCAACTCACCTCTCTCCCCATTTCCCTTCCCCGCCTTCTGTCTATAAATTCCCCCACCAAAACCCCCAAATTCAAAATAACTAAATTCTCTCCTCCCAAATCCGATAAAATTGGAATCCAACATCTCTGCCAATTCTCCCCCAATCCCAACCAACACTATAAAATCATCTCACTCAGCCGTTAAATGCCTAGCAAAGGGATGAGGAGCATCTGCTTCAGCCCCAGAACGCCGTCGTTCGCCCTAGCGCCCACCACCGCCAGCACCGCCAGCTCCCCGGCTCGCTCCTCCCCCGCCAGAAGCACGATTTCCAACCCCAATTCCACCCCGGGCCGCCGCAGCAGCTTCTCCGACTACCGCACCCAACAGATCATCGAAACCGCCTCCGCAATCGTCACCAAATGGGACCCCGAAACCTCCCCCTACGCAAAAGTCACCTCCCTCTTCTACGAGAGCAAGCCCGAAGCCCTCCAGTTCCTGAAATGCCTCACCGACCTCCAGACCGCAATGCGCCTCCTCTCCGCCCAGGATTCAAAAGATCCCCGCCTCGTCCGCGCCCAGCACCTGATGCAGATCGGGATGAAGCGCCTCCAGAAGGAATTCTACCAGATCCTCTCCACGAACCGCGCCTATTTGGATCCCGAATCCATCTCCACCCGCTCCTCCGCCAGATCCAGCCTCTCCGACTTCGACGGCGTCGACGACGACGATAACGCCGCCGGAGCCGACGCAATCGCCGAGGTGGAGCAGGTCTCCTCGCTCGCGATGGACGATTTGAGATCCATCGCCGAGTGCATGATCTCCGCGGGCTACGCCAAGGAGTGCGTCGGGATTTACAGAGTGATTCGAAAATCGATCGTCGACGAAGGGATCTACCGGCTCGGAGTGGAGCGGGTGGGGTCGCTGAGCAGGATGAGCTGGGAATCGGTCGAGTTGCGGGTCAAGGCCTGGCTGGAGGCGGTGAAGGTCGCGGTACGGACGCTGTTCAACGGGGAGCGGATCCTGTGCGACCACGTCTTCGCTGCGTTCGATTCCGTCAGGGAGTCCTGCTTCGCGGAGATCTCGAGAGACGGTGCTGCCCTCCTCTTCGGGTTCCCCGAGCTTCTTCTCGCGAAAATCAAGAAAAAGGACGGTACGGCGCCGGATCGGATCTTCCGGATTCTGGACATGTACGCGGCCATATCCGAGAACTGGACCGAGATCGAGTCGATTTTTGAATCCGATTCAACCTCAGCCGTCCGATCCCAAGCGCTCAACTCGCTCGCCCGACTCGGCGAGTCGGCGAGATCAATGCTGGCCGAGTTCGAATCGACGATCCATAAGGACAAGCACCATTCCTCCAGATCGCCGGTTCCGATCGACGGCGGGATCCACCCGCTGACGAATTACGTCGCCGACTACCTCGCCCTCCTGGCCGACGACTACAACTCCGTCCTCGCCGACATTCTGCAGGACTGGCCTTCCCCGCCGCAGGCGGCGAAATCGTCCTCGCCGGAGCACTCCTTCTTCGACAGTCCGCGATCCGACGATGAATCTCAGGAGCCGGCGCTGTCCGTCCGGTTCTCGTGGCTGCTCCTCGTCCTCCTCAGCAAGCTCGACGGGAAGGCGAAAAGCTACAAGGACGCGTCGCTGTCGTATCTCTTCCTCGCGAACAACCTAAGCTACGTCGTTTCGAGGGCGCGGGGCTCGAACCTCGGGTTCGTGATCGGGGTGGAGGAGTGGGTCGGGAAGCACGAGGCTAAAGTGGGCCAGTTCGCAGCCAATTACGAGCGGCTGGCGTGGGGCCCGGTTCTCGCGGCGCTTCCGGAGGATCCGGCCGCGGCCGTTTCGGCTGAGGAGGCGAGGGAGGTGTTCAAGAGGTTCGGGTCGAGGTTCGAGGAGGCGTACAGGAAGCAGAGCTGCTGCATCGTAGAGGATCCGAAGCTCCGGGACGAGATAAAGAAGTCGATCGCGAGGAAGCTGGTGCCGAGATATCGCGGCTTCTACGAGAAGAACAGGGCGACGGTGGGCGCTCGGAGGAACGTGGGGATATTTGTCAAGTACACGCCGCAGGATGTGGCCAGGTACCTGTCGGAGCTGTTTCTCGAGGTGATTGTTGAGGAAGGGAGCTCGCCGTCCACGTCGTCGACTTCGTCGTCATCTCACCGCCGGTAGAGAGAGAGCTTAACGCGGGTGTAGATTATTTTCATTACCTAGACGATTAATTTTTTTGTTTTACTGAAAAAAAACGAAACAGATAATTATAGTACATAGTTATGGGGACCTAAATGTAATAAACTGAATATTTTTCCAAACGTATTGAAATTTGAATGAATGGGTGTTGATTTCCATAAATGTACGTAAACTAGAAGGGAATTTCCATTGTCAGATCAAAAAGCAGCGAAACTGGAGGCCTCCAATTCAACGACGATGGAGTCCATTAGATTGTAAACGTGTTTTTTCCCATTCCTATCACGTTGGAAACTAACTGCATGCATATACAATTCTTCGCTTGAAAAGGTATTTGTCAAATCAAACATCATAATACTAGAAACTATCGAATGACCATCATAGCAAAATAGATCATATTAATTCAAGGAGTAAATGTTTCCTGACACATATATATATATATTTTTTATTTGAAGGAGTACTGTGATGTGTTGTTCACATAAATTCAAAGTCAGTTTTATACTGCATTTACATCCTCCAATAATATATGGTAGAGTTTTGTGAACTTTTTCTCCATTTCAAATTTCCTGCAACGAGAATGAAAGTAGGAAGGACATTTTTGTCTTTACAATTATTTATCTCATATAAAAATATCAATATGAGGATTCGAACCCGGGTCTTTTAAAACAAAAACAACAATCACAATCAATTACACTAAACAAATTTGTTGTATCTTTTTTAGTACAAAGCATACACAAAGTTAGACTCTGAAAATTGGATGAATCTTTCATCATGATTACCAAGCATACTAAGTCTACCGTATATATTTTTATGGTGCTTGATACTTCAGTTTTCATAGTATCTAGAGTTTCATGTAATTTTCTCAATTTTAAATTTTTTGCTCTCGCCTTAATTTTTTTGCTAAAGGTAGATTGGTAATTGGCTACCATAGAAGAAACTAATTATGTTACTGCGTGTTCTATCCTTGAAATTTTCAATTTAAATTTAGTGCTTTTTATCTTTGTTCTTATCTCTTTTAACTTCCTCCGAAATTCCCTCTATCGTGCAATAGTTTACGCCCCTTTCACTTTTCAATACAAGGCCGCCTTTGAAATCAATCTTTTGGTATCTCTTGGCACTACGATTTTATTATTGGGGATTTAAGCTAGGCAAGTAGAAGATTTCAACTCCGATATCAATCCATGACAAATAGAATGGAGTTCAATAAATGGAGTTGTAGAAGGAGGATTAGAGATTGAATTTTTTATTGAAACATATGTCTCTTGAGATAAAAAAATTTGGTTCTACAACAGAGAGTGGTGACTATTGGACCTTTAGGTTTATGGTTTTTGAAGCTAGGTCGATTCTTTATTCAATCTACTGGAACTGATAGATACGGAGTGTCTAATTTTGTGCCTTATTATTTCGATCGAGTTTATTAGCATATTGTAGGTAACCCTAATTTTGTCGTTTGCTCTCAAGTTTTATTGGTCCCCTCTTAATTGAGTTGTTAGTATATAGTTGACTTGAATCAACAACTCTCCATTTCTTTTTGATTAGTGGCATATTGTTCCTAAGGAGAGCATTGAACCCTTTATGTAGGATTGTGAGGTTTAAAATTGTGTTTCAAACTATCTATGGTGTGTGGGAATTCCAATGAGCTTTTGTACTCTATCTTTCTTGACAATCAACTAACCAATAGCATTTTAATTGGGGCTTAATTATCATTATAAAAATGAGATCAATCATTTTTATATTTTATATTCTTATTTCTCCAAAAGTTCGACCTATATATTCTTTCTTTATATATCATCTAGATCGAAGAATTGTCAATAAAATTAAACGGGTTGATAGAATTAAATGTAACATAAAGATACAAATAATCAAATAAGAACATTCCGGCCAACGGGCCGGGTTATAAGCTAGTAATAATAAAAAATTAAAATGGAAATCTGCACTCTGTTGTATTAAATGACAGTTATTTTTACGTCATCTAGTTTATTTGAAGGAACCCTCAGCAATACGCCGGTCTCAATGTCAAAATACTCAGCAATACCTGTGTGTTTTTTTCCATCCGGATCAAATTTACCCACCTGCGCTTATTAACGAGTTTACATCCATCCACATTATTTTCGAATTTTATTGGATGGGTGATAGATGATGCGGTTGCATTGTGGGTTAACCTGCAAAATAGATTCTCTAACTAGCAATGAAACTGGTTGATTAACATTTACGTTAAATTCCTCTCAATTGGAAGGATAATAGCACTTTAGGCACCTTCATATATTTTATCTGGTAGATCTGACCGGTACTTGTGACACGCATAATGCTCTATTACTTACACAAACTTTTCCATTGTTACCTTTGAATGAAATACTCGTTGAAAGAAGAATAGAAAACTCACTAACCACATATCACTAGAGATAATTTTAGAAAAATAATGGTTATTGTTACATTGATACAATTAATTTTTTTAATTTACATCTCAATATGTAATGCACATTAGACAGCGTAGTAACCAAAACTTTGTTTTTTTAGTTTTAGAATTCAAAGGTTAGTGTGTGATACGGTCAGAAAATATGATCATTCGATAATATGAAGAAAAAACCAAATTTTTTGTCATGTAAAATTCCGTTGTTAGTCATTCCCATGACGCACGACCCGCCCCACCATAACATGTGCGGGCAAGAGAATTATCGACTCATGATCCATAGTCCATACACATTTATCACATGCCCACATTTATCCAATCCATCTATTCAATTCAATCTATCCACATAATATTAACCAAATCAATTTATGAACACACAAATCCATTTAATCTCACCATCCATCAAATCCATATTCAATATATATGCCACCACTTGGCGAAACCCTGCTCACGAACCCAAACCCAAAAGCGTATTATATGGCTGTTGTTTTTTCAACTCTGTGTATTAATTGTTACACGTCTTCGAAACTAGAACCCAAGTTGACATTATGAACACAAATTTTATGGGCAAATATGACTTGTATATCGTTGTCAAAATCGCAAGACTAATTCGTTATCCTGAGTCTTGACGAGACGAGCGCCGGGGCCATGCATCAAAGATTACGCTGGCTCTGAATGAAAGCGAACGGAGACAGAAAGATAGCATTTTTGCAAATACATGCATGGCACGGAACAGCCACCGACAGGCAATCCTGGCCGCGCGCTCGATGGCCCCTTCCTTCGGCGTTTCTGTCTCTTCAATTAAGAGGGGGAAAATGAAAGAGTGGGATTAATCCTCAGTTTCGATACTGTTTTCAATAGGGGTGGTTATGCGATCCGATCCAGTTAAATTGGACAAATTGATCTGGTCCCAGTCCGGTCTTTTTGGGAATATAAGGATCAAAGATTGGATTGGATACACTCCGGTCTTGATCCGGTCCGGTCCCAATTTTATCTTGATTTTAGGTGTTGGGGGTCTCTTATCCCGTCTTTATCGGGGGTTTTTACCTCAAATCTAAGCCCGAATATGAGATTGCATTATTTGCTATCCGATCCCAGTCCGATCCCGGTCCCGGTTATACGGTCCGGTTTCGAGTAAAACCAAACAGTCCGGGACCAAATAGCCAGCCCTGGTTTTCAAACAAATGATCAAGTCCAGCAAGGTGATCCTACTACAAAGATTTGGTGGTGGCAAACTAAAGCAAGCAAGAATCGTTGGTAATAAATGACACACCTAATTACGATTGGGACTCAACTTCAATGGTAAATTACACGATGATAAAAGAAAAATGTATTTCTATCAATTATTATTGTTGGTTTGGAGCAATTGATCAGCAATTGCTTTGAGATGTGGGGCTGAATATTGCTTGATGGTTGGATCACCATTCACGTAATGGGGAGCCTACAAAACAAGCAAATTCCATGACTAATTTGAAATTGGTATTCCGACCATCAAATCAGATGTGACAAAATTAAGCAGAAGGTACGTACCAAAGAAAACGGGTGCATTGCGTTCCAAAGAGGGAGAAATTGTGTAATATAAGTACGACATGCTATTTTGGTGTAATATTATATGTTATAACTCATAAGTTAGATGGGATTCAATATAATTTATCAGAATAGGTACAATATAATAAGTCTTTTTATATTTCCGGACTAAACCGGGCTAAAACGGGTGACTCGTTAACCCTTGATCCACTAGCTCGACCGGGTCCAGATCAGCTCGTAGTTGACAACCTTGGTTCTATAGACTAATTTTACTAACTAAGGCCATTATGACCTAAACACAAACTAGTTTTGTCTCGCCGGATAGATTGCATGTTTTGTTTTTTTTTTTTCCTCCTACAATTTGTCATTTTTATTTAATGGTGTTGGGATCCTATTTCTTATAATTCACTTATTCTGATTATTTGATTATTCCGTATGGTAGGATAGCTACAACATTTAGTGTGCTTTAGCAAGATCAATAATAATATCAACCGATAAGAGTTGTGATTGTTGGAATATCATATTCATGTATATGGTATGGTGAAATTTGGGTTACCGCATACATTGAGTATAAAAAGATTATCTAAATTTTGAATTGACTGATCTTTCGGACATGATACTATACTCTAACCTTTAAAGATCAAAATCTATGTCTTAATTATCTAAATCTTATACCTCAATATCAATTTAATTAGAAATAATAATCAACGGTTATGATTCGTCCAAATATATGCAGAAAATGAATGCACCAAATTAGGATTTATAGTTTATGATTTAGATAATTAGGACCTAGGATTCACTCATTAAAGGTTAGGGTATAGTATCAGTCCCAAAACCCTGCTAATTCGAGGTCTAGAAAGCGTTTTCATACTCAAAGTATGTAATACCCCATATTTCACCCGGAGTACCTTAGAAGCCACCTCACGTATATTTAGTGTTCGAGTGGTCAACAGTTTTATCTTTCATTGATTTTGTGTTTGACGCATCTAAATTGTTTGAGCAAGATATAATATGCATCTAATATTTCCTTCAACGCGACGACAACAACTTCACGTGCATGATTCAAATTATCTTATTTAATGCTAGAATGGAGCCGATTTTCAATTTATCTATTCATTCTACGAATGTATAACTCGCAAAATTAGGAGTTGAACATTTTGGTGATCTTAAACAGTCCATTTGGTGAATATATAACTCAACAAAATCAGGAGTTGAACCTTATGGTGATTTATCTAGCCACCCATAGAACTAAACCGGAAGATACCATAATGGATCCTTATGCACTCCAAAAAAATGCTTTGCGACTTCGTTAACAAACGGTAATAAACTCGTAAGGAATTGATGGGCTCTCGAGCGGCAAAAACTTTGAATTTTCCTTGTCTATGAGAAAGTGAGAGTTTTGGAGTGGCAGAGTCTTTTATTCACGATGTACATTTCTTTTTTATATACGTTCACACAACATTGTAATGTACTTGAAAGAGTCTAAGAGTGAAAGATTTACATGCTTGGTAACTAACTAACTAAGCACCCAAGAAATAAACATTCATAATGGAGAAGGTTGCGATCCAATTAATAGATCAGACCATTCATCGTATCTTGTAGTTTAGACACATAGAGTTACTGGCATTACAGAATTAAGCTTATTGAAGATTAAATTACAGGTGAAACGAAATAGATCATGTTACAGCAAAGCCTCTTTATTCATCCATATCTACTTTAAAGTACAGTAGGAATGTAATTGCATATGGAGAAGTTTCCGTTCTTGTATGTATGTGGCTGTATATGAACATCACTGCACAGCAATCGGCTGATCAACTGGCAGCGCAACAGGTTGCCACCCTGTGAATCGATGGAGAAGCTGCTTAAGAGTTTCTGTCGCGGGCACCACAGTCCAAGTCGGGTAGAATTCGCTGGGATGGAAGATGCATAATTCGTCGCCCATGGCCATTAACCCGGCTTGAGTTCCATTTATGAACACGTCGCCTTCAGATCTTATGTGGCCCGAGCTGGCTTCCTCCCTATCGGTTGCCTGAAAAAACCAGTACCATTTCCATAAGGCTTTGGACAACCCACAAATGGTGGTTCACATCACCATTTTGATATACTTTTGCAGAACTTCGCAGTAGGGCGAACTGGGACACGCTCACCTTCTCAGTGAGGTACTTAAATGCAACCTTCTTCTGTCCTGCTTCGTATATGTTGCATTGGGAGTATATCTGTGGTGATAAAACCACAAAAAAAAAGTTATATCGACTTTCAAACAAACAATTCCGACATAACAATCACTGAGAAGTTGCACTAAGGTATATAGATAACTTAATGATACAGAACCTGTGATTCCACACTTGCGCAAACAGCATAGATGCCCCAGCCTCTGGTGTAATTGTTGTACAAATGCACTTTCCCATATCTAACACGAGGATGCCTTTGCCGCGTTCCATCGAAGAAACAGTGGTGGATTGTGACTCGCATAGTTCGATCGCCAACATTAGATGGGTCTGCTCCGATAAGCATGGTTTTATCATGCCGGGAAAAGTGACACCTGAATATAACTTCCACTGAATTAAAACAGCTAGTTCCAATAGCTGAACTCAAACCTACATCAAAGATCAATCCATTTGAATACTAAGCTGACGCATGAGCATTCAGTGTGTGTTAATGTTGTTGGTTCAGGCACACTCTTAATCATTGGACCAGGAGCATGCCACTGGAACAATCCAATTGCTTGAAATGTGTGAGGGCAATCTGCTAGATCAGGCGAGTAGAACACACCCTGTTTCAGTATAACTATTGAACTTCAAAAAGATCAATAATATAGTTCACCTGGAAATGGTGATGTCTGTGCTCTCTCGAGTGATGTCTATTAGGCCGTCGTCATAATCACTAAGGCTGCAACGGTCGATCCATATGTGCTTCGACTTGGGTTTTATCTGAATGCCATCAACATCGGGGCCCCTCCCGCCTTCAAACTCAAGATTGCATACAATCACATGCTCACATTCTTTAAGCCTCAAGCCTTTCCCTGTAAGCTTGATTCTCTGACCCCGGCCATCGATGGTCTTATAGGAAGAGACGTTCAAGTAAGAATTGAGATGAATGGTGCCTGATAACTCGAAAACAATCCACAACGGCTCTTTCTTCCTGCATGCTTCTCTCAAAGATCCTGGCCCATCATCTACAAGATCGTACCCCATGAAAAATGAGCCACATTAGGCATCCAATTACTAATTACTTAAGGAATGCTAATCGAGCCACCATGTCAGTACACATCTAAACTTTGGATTCATAAGCCATTTACAGACAAACCATTGGCGACGCTGAAATAAAATTGCAGCCTGGGGGCAAGTTCCCTTTTCACTTATAATTCTACAACTAGGGAATTGGAGAGACCTAACCCAAATTCTAGAATTGAACCAAAGCATGGATTAAACCAAAATTCAAGCTCCAATCAGACAGAAAATGAAGCGAACCTGCTAAAGTGGTGACGCAATGAAGAGCTCCATGGAAGCCACCGACAGCAAAGCGGCCAAACCCTTCAGCTTGGCCGGCGAGGGAGCGCAAGGCGGAGTCGACGTGAGCATAGGGAAGAGAAGTTGCCATATTCGAAGCGCCGGAGCTCGCAGCTTGTTGCGGAGGGGCCTGATCTTCTGGTCGGGGCATAAAGGCTGGTGGAGGACAGGGATAGGGAGGTTGGCCGCCGCCGTTATGCTGCCTGCGGTGGTGGCCGTGGGAGTTCCCCATCCACTTTTTTAACGGCTGGGCAGCAGCGGGCGTTACCCGTTACTGCACCTTATCCTTGGATCCTTGGGTTTTGGGTGGTCGCTGCTGAAACTGAAGAAACAAGAAACTTCCCTCTCTATCGCTCTCTGTAATGTCTTCCTCAACAGCCGGCGACAAGAACCGGCCCCGCCGACATTTCTCGGCCGCTCCTTTTTCCTGAAATACCTTACGTGGAGGTTGGGACCGTGTCCGTAGTGACGCCACTATTGGGCTCAATGTTCAGCCCACAAATGTCTAGTAGTAGACCCACCCCGGACCCAAAGGATTCAGCCCGGCTTTCTTGGCCATGCATGATGCAACTGGGCCATTTTTTCTAAGAATTTTTTGTCATACTAGTAGTCATCGAATTTACATTTATTGTTTACTTTTGGTTACTGATCACCCTCCTTGTAATTTTATTAAAATATATTATATATTGATCGTCTGATTAATGAGGTGTCAATTTAAAAAAACTTGCATTTTTAATTTTCAATGCACCACTTTCTCATCCTTCCCTTTTAGCACAAATTGCTGGAATGAATCGCAAATTAACCTTTAATGGTCAAGTGGATGAGGAAATGATGAAGCGAAATTAAAATGAATTTTTATTTATTTATCAATTGACACCTCATTAATTTGATGGTCACAGTAAATTTGTAGACCGTTACATAAAATCAGTTACCACTGATTTAAAAAATTATTACTGAAAAAACAAAATAAAATTGATATTTGACATTATATTTGGTAATTAAAGTGGTGCAAATTCGAGGAATTGTAAGTTAAAAGGAGAAATTGGAATACATAAACAACAAAAATGTAAACCTATATCACTCTTATCCAACAAAAAAGAAAAAATAGTAGATGCAAATAGGTTGAAAAAGTAAGTAAATCATCTTATTTTAAGGTAATGACTGGTATAGTACACTATACTCCATATGATATGACCGTTAAGATCTCCTTTTCTGAGCTCCGACCGATCTCAACGGTCAATTAATATTTTCTATTAAATTCAACTTCAGTTCTGAGTTCAGAGAATCGGGGCCTAGGGTTTATCCTTTAGAGATTAGGATATCGTATCATACCCCAAACTCGGTTTAATTCATGGTCTAGTAGAGATATCCCACTTAAAGTACATGGAGTATAGTATACTCAAAAAGTACACCAAATATGATAATTTATTTTAAATATTTATATATTAAATTTTAATAATGTTATCCCAAAGTAATAAAAATAACTTTATATAATAATCATAAATACAATAAAAATATTATATAAAATAGTAATGTTTAAATAGTAACTAATTATAACAATTGTAATAATTATTGGTCGAGCAACCTCGAAGCTCGAAGTCTAACCCATGTCCAAGACATATAGTTAGCCTATGTCTCTCACCCGAGCGTTGAATTGTCGATATGATGGTTAAATCGGTGTGAAACTAACATATCAAATTGGGTTTAACCATAATTGGTCATCCTATAGGGTGCCCAGTTTAACTTTAATTGGATATGGTGAAACTTAGTCAAATACGTTATACGTTCAAACCTGTAAGTTTAACTATTTGACGAGAAGATTGAACCCCTACCATAAGAACGCCTTATAGCTAGATGGAACCCAGTATGAAACCTCGGTGTGGACGGTGGGTAGTAACCATTGAAAGGAGCTCAGTTCTTAAAGCCCATATACGTGAGCCTATACCGAGGTGACAATGGGGTAGGTAGGGCAAACTCGGAAGCGTGTGGATAATCACGAAGGCCCGCGGAAAAGAGCTCACTAACCACATTCGCTTAACCCAACATTTTCAGACATTTGCATGATAGACCTAAGCTAGGGCGAGGGTTAGTTCCCCGTTGTACCTGCTTTTGTCCATGTTTATTCTCTTTACTAGTTATTTCACTCGAATCCTCCAACACAACCCATTAAACCCATCATCTAGATAACAACAACGTGGGAAGTATGCTAGGGTATCGGAACCCGAGTGAATACAACTTTGATTTCCACTATATGACAACGCCATTTTAGGTTAAACTTGGCATAGAATGTTGTAGTTATTGATACGTACAAACTACTGATAATGACATGCACGGAATGAATCGATCAAGCTTTTTGGCGTTGTTGCCGGGGAACCTCGGTAACTAGTAGAAAACCACCGAGTTGTTAGTTTAGTCTTTATTTTCTTTGTTTGTCTTTATATAATTTTAGTAGTTTTATTATTTTTGTATTTTGTTATCCAACTTTGTACGTCACGGATTGTATAGTTTTTGTGTGTTTTTAGACTATACATCATGGACCGAAAAGAGTTGGAATGTATTGTGAAGGGGATTATCGTTACACTTCTCCAAAAACCTTGATTCTAGGGAGAGAATGATGAAAGTGCTCTCGATCATATGTCATATTTCTTAAGTGTTGCCAAAGCTTTGAAGATACCAGGGTACACTTAGGATCAAATTAATGTGTATTTTCTTTACTCACACTCTGCGAGGGTATCCCGCCATTTGGTATAAGGAATTTCAAGCAATAGTCATTATTTAGAAGAATGATATTGTCACCTTCCAACAAAGAGTTCAAGAGAATTTCCAACAGGCCTGGGAACGTTTTGGTATTTTGACACAACTGAATCTGAATCATGGGCATTCAGAATATCGTCTTTTTCAATGGACTCCTAGAGAAATACAAGGCGATCGTCGAAAGGAGGTATCCAACTGGATTTCGATATAATGACCTCAAGCAAGTGAAGGAACTATGTAGTCAAATAGAAGGGGAGGGAGCTAGCATATCTAGAGAGTCAGCTATTCAGAGGCATATCTTTGAAATTAGCAGAGAGCTAAAGGAACTCACGAGAGAGGGCGAAGAAGATTGACTCGGGTAGAACAAGTCTTCGCACTTAATACGAGGGTACCTCATGGGACTAGCCCCTTCCCTCCACCTCTAGAACATCCTCCAGATCACACCACTGAAGAACCTTGTGGGTCTTGCCAGGAGTTGAAGCATCGATTCGAACGTCTGAAAGAAAGAGTATCAGATTGGGTATCATTTTGTCATCAACGGATGAATGATTTTGATCGATTCGTTCACGCCTCTATAGTGCAAGTGAATTCCTTGAGGGCAGAAAACAAGTTGGTCGTGGACACCCTAAAGATTATGTCTACCTCAGTTAGGGTCCTAGAGAAGATTATAACCGAAAGGAAAAACAAAAGCCTCACAAGAAGCAAGGTGAATCCTCAAAGAGTGAGTTGACCATTATTTCGGAGCCCATGACTGTCAATCCAAATGTGAAGTTTGATCTAGGGAAGAAGGATGACGTAGCCTGAGAGGTTTCACTAACAATTTCAAATTCATATAATCACCAAAATATCTAACAATCATTCAAACCATCTCACAAAAGAAATCATAATTTTTTTTCAATTCAAGTTAAAAATTACGGTGACAATAGGTAGCGGATCACGTAAAATCGACAATAAGGGTGGAAAATGAGAAGATGAAACATAAATAAAATTAATAATTATGGTTTGATGGTCTTGATTTATATCTAAGTATTTTCTTAAAAAAAAATTGGTTAAAATATTGGAACCAGTGAAGCAGTTAAATCGTGGTGTTTCATCTGGCTTTATGTTGAACCGTGAAAAACGATTTGGTCCATCAATAACCATCCAATCAATGAACCGAACCGCAATCGTAATTGGTTTTGACGGTTCCACTAACCCAACCATTGATACCGTTCGGTTCTTATAACCAATACTTGCAACCAATTCAATTTTGAGACGCTTGGTGCATGAACATCACTTTTTTTTTTGTGTCGATTGTAAGTTTGTAATTAACTGAGCCATCATGAAAGAAGTGACGCTTGACTGAGGTTGCGAGACGTCACGTCAGGTGTCTGTTAGCTTAGCTCCCCCATTTCCAGATATTATTATTATATATCAAAATCGCTGGTCAGAGATCGAGTGATGAGGTGCGAAATCTGACCCCACGACGCGTTTAACAAAACTTTCCCCTTCTTTTTCCTCCCCCCGTTTTTTGTTTTGTTTCATTCTCGGGAAGTAAGAAAAGAAATTGTGCTCATTTTCTCCATTTTTATAATAATTTTCCAATGAGAAACCGCGCTCGCACCACTTGTCTGCAGATGAAGCTCGATGGGGATGGAAATGGAATCACAGAACCAGTACTGCGGTTAATTTAATCACGTGCTCCATTTATTACTATTCAAAGGACTGGACAGAACTGTTAGTGTTGTGATATATGATCCACGATTGAACCTTTCCCAACAACTCGAGTTATTGGGACCAACTGATTTATGACAAGAACGACCGATAGGGTCAATGGCTCGCTTTGGTCGGAAACGAAACGACGCAGCACCGGCGGTATACCGAAAGAAGCTGCAACTGCTGAATGCGATTGAGAGCCTCCTCAACAGTCAACAACCACAACATAGCGCCAAAATATCATAAGCCCACTGCACTCCGGCCTCCGCCCATTTGTTGTGCGCCAATCGACTCTTTTGAGTGGTTTACATTGGTCAGATTAATTCAGGTTTAGTCATCTAATCATTCAATTCTTGTAATTTCGGTTTTGAGTGTATTAAATTTAAGGCCCATTTAAAAAATTAGAACCCTATTATTTATTTATGATAGGGTTTGGTCGGGTGAACAATATACTTATAAATAAAATATCAACTCAACATTGAAAAACTTCAACTATTCTACACCACAAATGAAATATTATATAACTAATTAACACTTTAAAGACAAAAAAATCCAAATCGAAAAATATCAAGATGCATAGAAGTTGTTGCATTAATTTTGATGAAGTGCAATTTGATTCAATACGTCTTGTATTTCTCATAAACATTTGTTGAAATACGTTCAAGAGGTTATTCATTTTAAGCGAACGCAAATGAAAAGATAACGTGAAGCATAGCCTGTATTAAATCCGTGTCAAAATTAAAAATTGAAGAATACATTAGCTTAGCGAGATCATGAGAGAAAAAAAGATAACAAATTATCATACCTTCCTCACATTCTTCTATAGATAAAAGCTGGGTACGCTTTTCACCAAAGAGCTCTTTTTACTGTTTCACTTCTTGGCATTTAGTGAATTTCATCTAGAGAGTTTTGCTCTTTCCCCTTTCTCAATCCCTCACGCAAGAAGACTCCAGTCATGGCCTGTCAAAAAGGGGGGTGGGGGAAGAGATGACTTCCCAAGATACTACTACTGCCCTTCACCTTACCTCTGCCTTTTGACCATCGATTAAACTTCACCTTCCCTCCCTCTTCCTGGAAAATCCATCTCCCATACTCTTCCCTCCCAGTCACATCTCCTTTTTTCTCTCATAACTTCTCTTTCCAGACATCCAAACTTCCATTATCATATCCATACCAATCCCTTTTGTCCTTCCGCTCTCTTTCGACTCCACCCACCTAGCCAAAAATTGCAGCGGCAGCAAGAGTGAGAATCCACCATTGACACCAAAGAGAGCACCTCAATTGGGTTCACTTTGATTTCTCTGTTGGAGTTTTCACTCCCTACAAATATGAGAGTAGTGCTTTGGTAGTATGCCCAGCCACGCAATTGAGAAGAGCAAAGCAAGTGGAACGATGATGAGCATGAACTCTTCTGCTGCTGCCGCTAATCGGGAAGAGCTGCAGGATCAGCGCGACGCCAACATGCCGATGGCGGAGAAAATTATTGAACTGGTTGTGGTGGGATTATGTATGTCAGCTCAGGTACTACTGATGCTCAAGAACCCCCAGGCCAACAGTTTCCGCAGATGATGACTGGAAGAATGTGATGTTCGTTGGGGATTCGATTTCGCGGAATCAGTTCGAATCGTTGATTTGTATGATTGTGCCATCGCTGCCTCGGAGGACGACTCAGTTGAACGGCGGAGATCCTCTCTCATCCATCAAGTTCTGGGTAAGTAAATACAGCAGTGTATGACGGTAACAATCCTTTAATCGTTCAGTTTCAATTTGAATACTTTTTTGTACTAAATCCCTATAGAATCGTTCTATGTCCTAAAGTGTTCACTCTACTGCAGAACAAATCCAGATGCATACACATCAGTTGCAGCAGAGAGTTCTGGTGCCGAATTTGGATCTTTGAAAGCTATAATGGCCAAGCTTACCATGTCAGACACCAAAGTTGAAAAAGAGAGCAAGCTGTAAGGAATTTGACATCTCCACATTTTCTTCAAATCATCATTATCGTAGTGGATAATGCTTTGTATGTGTATATCACTGCAATTGAATATGCAGACAAATATTAGTGGATGAAAATAGGGAATAGGGAAGGAATTACTTGACTTTTGGATCTTACATTTTGTGAGATGAAATACTCAAGATTAGTTTGTTCTCTATTTTCTCCAATTGCTTCCTAGCATTCCTGTGTGTTGATTGCTGATATCAAATACCCTTTATCTACAAAATAAAACCTCAAAAGTTGACAAAGTTTTGGCAACCAGATTCTGACAGCTTTTCATTTAGTTACATCGCTTCTGTTTTCTTGCTTTGTGAATGGTAGTTTCGGAGAGGTAATTAGAATCAATGATCAATGTATTTAGAGCACTAAACTAGAATACTAGAAGCCCTTTTCTTTGGAAAGAACTTAACTAGAAGGCAAGGCTGAGTAGAGTGGAAGAAATTGGAGTACCAAAATGTTGAGCAAACTATTCAGTACCGGAAAACCTGCTTCCTGGAGCATACTCTACTAATTCACTTCTTCATATCTTAATTATGCTTCCTTGCTCTAGGTTTTGGTCCATTGTTTAGACATGGTCCAAATTATAGGAAGGAATTTTTTTTATTCAAATGCAAATGAATAATGGTTTCATTGACGCACAAACAATTACATGAATCTGTAGTTTCTTCTGTTTCCTTTTTTCGTAGAGGTGTTTTGATAAAATTTATTTCTAATATGGATGATAGAGGCTAAGTTGAGCAAACTATTCAGTACCGGAAAACCTGCTTCCTGGAGCATCTACTAATTCGCTTCTTCATATCTTAATTATGCTTCCTTGCTCTAGGTTTTGGTCCATTGTTTAGACATGGTCCAAATTATAGAAAGGAATTTTTTTATTCAAATGCAAATGAATAATGGTTTCATTCACGCACAAACAATTGCATGAATCTGTAGTTTCTTCTGTTTCCTTTTTCGTACAGGTATTTTGATAAAAATTTATTTCTAATATGGATGATAGAGGCTAAGATTGATGCCATTGCTTTTATTGTACATTTATTAAAAAACAGAAGTGCCCTTAGGGTTTAATGAATTCTGCATACACTAATTTCCAGGAGATTTCAATTTCTTTTTATGTGAATTCTTATAAATTGTGTGCATCTCTTTTTTCGTTGTAAGTTGTGTAGAGAAGTTGTAGAACATTCATTGTTAGCAACAATCATACTCCAAACAAGGCAACATGGGATCGTTCTGCCAATAGAGCAAATCAACACAAACAATACACCTCTCTTAAAGCTACTGATACTGCATTGGATATCACATTCATAAGCTTTTGGCTATTGCAACTTGATCGAACTTTTTGCAAAGGACAGGTTGTTCTTGCCTCTTAGATACAAGGTGTCATCTTGCCTCTTTTACTGAATTCTAAACTGTAAACTGTAACCATAAATAATTATGAGAGTTAAATGTGTTATTTTTTGACCATGGTGTATATGATCACCATCCTTAGATACGAAGGGGAAAAAATCATTTGCTTGAGTATGTTTGCAGGCTACAAGGAACCATACTGATATCTCCTGTTGTATGAGTGTTATATAGAAAGGATTCATTGAATTTAAAAACAACGGCACGACAAGCTTGCTCTTACTAACTCTGTTCCTGCGGTGTAGCCCAGAGACTAATTCGTTAGTGCTTGGTAATTAGAAGATGTAGTTTGAATTCCTTTCCAAATAAGTAGCAGGGAAAGAACAAAAACCCTTCAGTTTAGAACAACCAATAGAGGTTGCATGCAACTTTGCTTTCTTTAACCTTCTACTATGAAATGGGATTTCCTCGACCTATATATGATTCATTTTTTGTTGTTGAACGGGAAGTAGGGGTTTAAACATTTGTGTTGTCGACTGTGGGTCTAATGTTGCCTAATGCATAGCCACTTTTGGCTGTTGCATTTTGCAGGTGTAGCACCATCACCAGAGGCTGCAAGGGTTTACTGTAATTTCGTAAATTCATGTTTAAAACAGCAAACCTACAGCTGCAAGGGTTTACTAAAAAGGAAGTCCACCCCTCCAAAACTGGAGAAAGATACGGAAAAAGGCTAAACTACCCCAACATAAATAAAAGTACAAAGCCTTCTCCGTCCCCTCTTTTTTTGCCCCCCTCTCCCTGAAAAATACTTCTCGACACTCTTCTCAATCCATTCACATCATTCCCAATTTTCTTCCATCCTCTGCACCCCTTCTCAAATAATTGATTTTACATCTGGGAGTATGGGTTTGAAATTGAGATTGAACTCTATTTGTCTTTCCCAAGCACATTGCTTTAGTACATGGAACAAGGTAAGGCCAAAGAAATATGTATATTTTTCCTATGATTTGTAGATTGATGACACATATGGCATTTGATTTGGTGTTTAGATTCCAATCAGCACATTTAGGAAGTCTTCACACACCGACTCAAGTTTTCAGCTAAAACACTAAATATGTACTGCCAACTTTTGTTCATGGTGGCTTGAATGTGATTGGATGCATTTTGTTGTTTTGTTTTTCTCCTCACATAACTATAATGGGTTTCAATCATAGGAGTGCCCTGTATTGGTTGAGTAGTTAGATCATACTTCTACTTTATCTTCGCAGCCTCTACCATCCACCTCATGTTGTTGTACTTTCCAGAGGTTGTGTATTTTTTTAGGACCAAGGTAGAGATCAAAGAAGAGAGGTAGAGAAGGGCGATGAATCAATGATAGAGATGCAGATGTCAGAGTTACTCAAGGAGAAGTCGAGGAGGTAAATGCATGTCCTCATCTCACATAAATCAATAATCATTCTTATGTTGAATTGAACCATGATCTTGAACTGTAGCTTTCCCAAGGCAACTCTGTGGTTAAGTTTCTACAAGGCTGTTGTAGTTTGCTTAGTGATTGTCATGTAGTTTATACTTAACTGATGGATTCTTAAGACTGTTGTTATAGTTTACTTCGTAGATTTATACCAGTAGGTTATACTGCACTGGTTTCATCATGGGATTTCTTTGTTTTTGTTGGTTTGCTTATGTAGTATTTGGATCGACTTTGAAATTTTGGTTATCTATTGAATGGATGTGGTGCATAGAGATGCAGGTGATGCTTGCCTCCGATGAACCAGGACCTGGAGTAACTGTAAAGTAGCTGCCGGGGAGGAGAATTGACCGCGAGCCGTGAATCAGCAAAGCAAGTATGTGGTTTTTCCAAATCTCCGGGTCAGGTGTTGATCTCTGTGAATTTTCACTGTTGTCCTTTGATTTAGCAGCTCGCCTTTGGTGCTGCTGAATACTTTCGGATTTTGTAGTTTGTGCTTACTTTATTGAAAGAATCGGACTTATGATTCAAGACTGAGTTAAAGTTGGAGATACTTTCTGATAATCTCCCGCTTATAAGTATTAAAGTCCACTTGAATGATTGAATTAATTTTCTTTGATTGGGTTGTTTATGGAGTTAGAAAATCAGTGCAATCTGGAGGAATGCCAATCACTATTCAATTCCTATTATGTGGTACCTTCAAGCTAAAGGAAAAAAAAGCATTTCAGTTCTAGAGTTGTTCATTTGTCACTTGGAAGTTTGTTTGTAGCAGAAGTGTAAATTTGTTACTTAGAAGTCTGCTTTTTAGTAGAAGCATGTTCCTTTATGTTTTCTATTCACTAACACTCAAATCTCACAGGTCAAGTGGGAGAACAAAATGATGCTGCTCAGTGGGATCCAAAAATTCTTCTAATAGCATGACAGGTAGTTCGGTTAGTTAGTAGGGATCAAGAGCTTCACCAGTAAGGGTCATTGTTTGAGTAACTGATAGACAAGTTGCTGAACAAGCCATTTACTAAGTTGAAGACCAACTCTTTCTGTATGAATCTTTTGTTTTTGTTTTTTGTTTTTTTCTAATGAAGGTTGCTCAAATAAGACAACTTGGGTATGGATTGAATTAGTATATGAGATAATGAGTTTCACCTATATAATAATGTATTACTTTGGTGTAGTTTCATTGTAGATTTCGAAAGATGAAAGATGAGGAAGAGTAAACATCGCTAAATTTCCCGCGGCGTAGCCGTGGGTATTGATACTAGTATATGCTTATATACTACACACAGCGGCGGATCTAGGGGAGGGCCACCCTGGGTCAGGGCCCAACCCTCCATTGGTTCCAAAGCTTGTATAGAGCCTTTTCCACCTCTTCTGGCCCCTTATTAATTGGACCTGACTCAACCATCTATCCTCTTTCCTTTGCTAGTCCGCCTACCAAATGCCAAACTTGTAATGACCACACTTCCTCTGCTTTTTCCCTCTTCACTCTTCTACTCTTCTCCTTTAGTCAATTTATTTTCCATTTATCGATTCCCAATTCCCTTACACATACGCACTCCGCATAGTCCTTTTCCCTGAATATTTCCTCTTTCACTTTTTTGCTATTCCCCCGAATAGCGCCTCATCAGCGTCCTGCTCATCTTCTGGGCACGACTTGTTTCTTCTTTCTCACCGGCTTGTGACGCCCAAGTTGCAAGCTGTGTTGATTTGTAATTCCCGTTAGATCTCTATCCTTCTGATTGTTGTTTCATGAATTGGGTATTCAAAATTACCTCGGGATATTGCTCATTGGGTGATCTGTCCCTTGATCTGATGAAAAAGTCCGTTCCTTTTTGTAGTTGTGCTCTCTGGTAGTTAAAAAAAGTGTTATCTTTTCTCCTGGGATTTTGTTGATTTGGCAGGTCCAAATTGTTTGGTTCCTTACGTGTTGATTTCCTGATCGTCTTTGAATTCAATGTTTGTGATTGGTTTTCAATTATCACGAATGAGTGTCTTGATTTTTCGAAGAAGCTGAGGACATCATGACCTCAATAGTTAGCATTAGGGAGCTATTAGATGGTAGTTTCTGGTATCGTATTTGGAATATTATGGTTCTTGCTCATTCTAAAGAACCAATGCGTACTAATACATTCATAAATTAAAAGTTGCATGGGAGTCATGCTACTGAAATTGGGAGAGCTAGGGTAATGAAGCGCAGTGATCTCAGCCAGTGCCTGATAGACCGCAGGGCATAGCGGTGGTCAGGTTGATTGATGGTGGTGATGGTGCTCTTCTAATTTCTTAATTTTCGTTTTGTCTTCTTATACCATGCTCCTTTCTAGTTGTAGATCGGTTGTATGAAGGAATCTTCACTTTTAATTTGTGATGATGGTTGTCGATTATGATGTTAGGTTGTGCCTAATTTGTTTACAATATACAATTTCCTATTCAAATGCGGTCTAATGCTCTACTAAATCCTGAATCCGCCGCTGACTACACAAATACAATTTTTATATAATAACACTCAAAACAATAGTGTTATAAGTTATAACACGAGTTGTGTCAGATAACTATGAGTTCTTTAATCCAAAATTCACACCACTACCCAAAAAAATATGGGTGGTTACAAAAGACAACAATCATTCAGTATTAAACCTTAATGTTAAGGATAAATAAGAATAAATTGAACTTCTTAATGTTAAGTATTAAACCTTAATGTTAACCCTGAACTCATTCGCTCCATCATCCCCTGGGCCCCGGCCCACGATTGGGAGCAGCGACTACCGAGCCGATTCCCCGACTCAATTCTTCCCTTTTGTTTATTCACTCACAATCAATAAAATAAAATAAAAACAAAAAAAACATTTCCTCCTACCACCATAACCACTTCTCTCTCTATCTCTCCCCCTGCGACTCTCTCTCCCTCTGAACCCAGTCCAAGTTTTGAGCTCCATTTTGACCTTTCTTTCTAGAGAGACAGAGCAACGAGCGAGTACCAGAGTAGAAGCCGGAGTCAGAAAGCATCTCACTCTCAACCCCTGAGGTAATCATCTTTGAATTGAAATCAACAGACAAAACGATGATGATGCTGTAAAATCTCCTCCTCTGTTTTTCCTTTTCCGTAATTTTGACTTCTGCTGCTGGAAAGTTGAAAACTTTCCGAGACTTCATCTCCTTCTTCTTTCCCTCCGTCCAGCTCCAATTATTGTTTGCCGCTACCAAAGTTGGAAACTTTGGGGCAGCAATTCCAGATCCCCTTTTACTCACTCAAGGTCACGGAGTCGTCGTCGTCTTCTTCCTTTTTGCAGTTTTTCGTCTGCTTCTCTCTCTCTCTCTCTCTCTCTCTCTCTCTCTCTCTCTGTTTCTATCGTTTTCCGGCCTTATCTTTGTATATATATTGTATGGAAGTCTGTGATTATCCATCCATGTCTGTTGAATAATTAAATGAGGTCAAGAATTGCGTTCTCTCTTCTTCATTATACTGACTGGGAACCGTAAATCTCTTTGCAGGAGCTTGGAATAATTAAGCTTTTGTTTAAAGGGGGGAATCGAGAGGGAACAATCTTGCCAGGCTTTACCCCCCACGTGCCTTCTCTTTGTCTGATTATCCACAATCTCTCTTCTCAATCATGTAAATAAACGGAAACAGAGACGCTTTGGGTTCCGATCCATTTCCATCCTCCACACCCTTCTCAACTGCCAGGGGGGAATCGAATCTCTCTGTTTTTTTGTGTTTTCACCCCCCTCAATAATGGATGCGCCGGCGAGGCAGCAGCAGAAGACGATGACCAAGCAACTCACCGCCAAGCGAGACGACTCGCCGTTTCACGGGGCGGCCAGGGCTGGCAACTTGGACCTGGTCCTGGAATTAATCGGGGAAGCCTCCGAGTCCGAGGAGGAGCTGAGGAAGCTGCTTTCGAAGCAGAACCAGTCCGGTGAAACGCCGCTGTACGCCGCAGCCGAGTGCGGCCACGTCGACATCGTGAAGGAACTCATCAAGCACTGCGACACCGGATTGGCCGAGATCAAGGCCAGGAACGGCTACGACGCCTTCCACATCGTCTCCAAGCAAGGCAATCTCGGTACGGCTCAACTCTAAACCCTTCAATTGAAACGGGAGAAAAGAAAATCACTGGTATAATCATTTTCGATTTTGATCGTGTTTGCAGAAACATTGAGGGTTCTGATGGAGGTGAATCCAGTGCTGGCGATGACATTCGATTCGTCCAATACGACGACGCTTCACTCGGCCGCCGCGCAGGGACACATGGACGTGGTGGATTTCCTCCTGGAGCAATGCGGCACCGTCGCGGCCATCGCCAAGAGCAACGGCAAGATGGCCTTGCACTTAGCGACAAGAAATGGGCATTTGCAGATAGTGAAGGCGCTTCTAGTTAAAGACGTTGCAATCGCCACCAGAACTGACAAGGAAGGGCAAACGGCGCTTCACATGGCGGTTAAAGGACAGAACGCCGAGCTGGTGGAGGAATTGGTCATGTCCGATCCTTCCTTGATCAACATGGTCGACGGCAAGGTCAACACCGCCCTCCACATCGCCGCTCGAAAGGGCCGAACTCAGGTACAGGAAAAAAAAATTCTCAACCCCCAATTTATTTATTTATTTTTTGTTAGCACGACAAATCAAGAATCAACAGTTTTCTTTATACCCATTTGACTTTTTCAATGTATGAAGCTGATATGAACAAATGATTGCAGATTGTTGTGAAGTTGCTCGAGCATCAAGGGCTGGACAAGATCGCGATTAACAAGTCGGGGGAGACTGCATTCGACACAGCGGAGAAAACAGGGCACAAAGAACTCGCAGCAGTGATGGAGAAGAACGGCGTGCTGTCGGCCAAATCACTGAAGCCCAACGGGAAAACGAACCCAGCTCGAGAGCTGAAGCAAACGGTGAGCGACATAAAGCACGAGGTGCACAACCAGCTGGAGACGACCCGAATCACCCGAAAGAAAGTCCAGGGGATCGCCAAGAGGCTGAACAAGATGCACACCGAAGGCCTGAACAACGCCATCACATCGACCACGGTGGTCGCGGTGCTAATCGCCACCGTGGCATTTGCAGCGATCTTCCAGGTCCCGGGGCAGTACGCGGACGATCCGAACAAGCTCGCTCACGGTCAGTCCGCTGGACAGGCGCGGATCGCATCGAGGCTGCCCTTCATCATCTTCATCGTGTTCGACTCCATCGCGCTATTCATATCCCTAGCCGTCGTGGTGGTCCAGACGTCGATCGTGGTGATAGAGAGGAAGGCGAAGAAGCAGCTGATGACGGTGATCAACAAGCTCATGTGGCTCGCCTGCGCGATGATCTCTGTTGCTTTCATTGCATTGTCTTATGTCGTGGTCGGGAGCAAGGCGAAGTGGCTGGCGATTTGGGTGACCGCGATCGGGACGATTATCATGACCGCGACGATTGGCACCATGTGTTACTGGGTGGTGGTGGCGAGGCTGGAGGCTTCGAAGCAGAGGAACATTAGGAGGTCGTCGTTGAGCAGGTCGAGGTCTGGCTCGATGTCGATGATGCCCGAATCGGATCTGGAGACGGATTATAAGAAGCTGTACGCTATCTGATTGCTTCTCTCCATTGTTTGGAGGGTTGAATCAGTAGTTGATTAATGTAAACCTTGTTACAGAGAGGAGGGTTTGGTGCGGCGGAAGAAGGGTTAATGTTGTATATATTGGGGGGGTATATGTGTACGTAAGTAGCAGCTATGTAACTAATTTTGTCACAGGTTTTGGTCATGGCGCAAAACCCTCTGATGAACCTATTACAGAGAATGAAAAGAAAACGAGCAACTGGTTTTGTTGACATGAATAAGTTGGCTTGTGTTGTGGGCTGCCTTTGTTGGGTTTTTTGCAGCTGCATTGAATTTGGGGTGATCGACTGATGTGATTGGGTAGCAGCAGCAGGTCATATTCATTGAATCACGTTGAGCTTAGTTCCATGGTCCATGAAACCGTATCGTACCGGCGGTTCAACCACGAAATACCAATATTGAAGGCTAAATCGATAGACAGTATTTAACGATCTAACGGTTGAATTACGGTTAAACCACGGTAACACAATTCCTCCTCCAATCTTACAACTGCAGTACATGGATTCGGACAATTCCAATTCATTCAAATTCAAGGTAGACTACACGACGGCATAAGGCAGGTTTGCTGAAACTAGCTTTGGGCTGCTGTTCGTGGGATCTTTTCAATGGGCCTTGTGGACTCATTTGACCTTTTCCCCCTTCAATCCCGGTGATTGATGTATGAACTCATTTTTATCTCAGGTTGGGTTCTTGGGTAAGAGTTCGAAACAGAGCGGGGCTCATTGAGTGGCCCGTAAAGTTATGAGTTTGTCGCCTCAATTGTTTTCGAGATTCGACTTCTATTTTTGGCTTCGTTTATCTGTATTAGCCTATAATCATAATGATTGTTAGAGATTAACTGGTAACATATAATTTCTTAGTGGTTCGATTTTGGTTGGTAGTACTTTGCTTAGTGGTTAACCGATAAGAAAACCGGTAACCACCTACTACTACAACCACTTAGTTTTGGACTTTGGGTAAAGGGAAAGTCTCAAGATTCAAAAGAAACCAAACTTGAAATTCAAAACATTCCAATTCACACCTATTGCAAACAACCCTCCACCCGAAATCTCAAATATGTTTAATAGTCAGAACCCGAAAGTCACCCCTCTCCGACTCTTCTTTTTAGTCGACGTAGTGAACCTCCCACCGTAATAGTCTTTGTTTTTTTTATGTCGCGTGAATGATGTTGATCTTGTGGTGCTTGTATTTGATGTCTTGTTAGGTGATACACGCCAATTGGATAAAGACTTTAAATTATTAGTAATTTCCTGTGTTGAAATTTGGACTTGAACTATGAATTCACGATACATGTTGTATGTATTGATGTTATTTATTATAATTATTATATTATGTTAACAAATGTAGAAGTGTAGTAAAATTGTTTTGAATTATTTGTATGATTTTATTTCTGAAATGATAAATGTCGTCCTAAATTTACTAATCGTCGTCCTAATTTTAATACGCAATTTACTTAATTCTCCTATTTAAATTTTAATTTTAAATCCAAACAAACACCTCCCTGTTCATTATAGACTGGGAAGAGTAGGGAATTCTCAGTTTTTCATTTGATAATCCTCTTTATAGCTTATTCCCTCTTTTTATATGACCACCTAATTACAAACTGGTCCCCCAACTAAATCCTAATACAACTAAGTCCACATTCATTACAATCTCGACCACTTGAGTATAGACTTGTCCCCAAATCTGAAAACCAAATGCAGGGCTAACACAACAAGGAAATGAACTAACAAGCTAAAGAACGAAGCAATGGCTCATGGTTGTCTTCGCAGCTGAGGTAAGACATATCATCCGCGTACCAATGATGAAGTTCCCATCTTACGGAGCAATCCAACATCGATACTACGCAAAAACCAGTCCTCAATACCTCCTCTTCCAACCATTTACTAATTTTATAATTAATAATTATGGTGTGAAACATCATTGGTAAGATTGTTGTCAAATTCACTAATATTGTCATAAACCAATTGGTCTCAATAACTCAGAGTTGTTGGGAGAAGGTTATGTCGGATCTTATATCACTCTCTAACACGCCCACCCAAACGAAAGCCAACTCATGGACTTTAATTTTGCAGAGGCCCACCATACCTTGTGCTTTAATCAATTGTTAATATTGGAGATCGTAAAATATTTGAACACACGACCACTTGGCCAAACCAGCTCTGATATCATGTCATAAACCAGTTGATCCCAATAACTCGAATTGTTAGAAAAAGATTATGTTGGATTTTATACTACTCTCTAACAAATATCACCATTTTTAGGAAAAATTATGCTATTTACCCTCATTATCCTCAACATTAGTTTTTTTTCTTTCTTTCTCCAATATCATAAATCCAATAAGATTCACACCGTGAATGAGAGTTTTTTAACATTGTTTTTTCAACAGCTTGACAACAAATACCATATTTAAGTGATACACGCAAGGAATCCTGACAACTGAAAGAGACAGAAAACAAATGGGAACTACTGATCTACATTACATTCTACACCTCTTCCTTCCAAATAATGTACACGTTTTAATATAACGGTATACAAGTATAAATGGGACATGAAGAATGACCCACGATGAGCTTAAGCAGGTAACTGGATTTTACTGTGTTTCTGTTGTGGGTTAGCGAGTCTCCATCGACGGCGGCCGGAAATATTGTACTCAGAAAAGTCTATGTGGGTTAATTACTCTTGTGTGTATCATCCATCAAGATAGCTTCTTGACTGCCAAAAATACTGACCTGTTAAAAAACCTGGTGGTGGTGGTGGTGGATCAGCCGGTGAGTCTTATCTCCCTTCCGGCGTCGCATTCCCACAAACCGAGGTCTTCCGGCGAGTTCCCCCTGCCGTCCGATTCATGATCCAGCTCTATTTGCAAGCGTGGGTCGCGGGCTCTACGCCCATTCACGTTGACGAACGGCAAGCCGTTGCTGTTCCTCCTCTTCTTTTCTTTCTTTTCCGGTGTATCCCCGCCTACTGACTGCCGGGGCGTCTGAGGTGCGGTGGCGTCATGAGACCTGCGGTCGTACGGAGACAGCGATCTTGCACCCGGTGAAGACATCCTGCGCTCCAGGGTCGGTCTTACAATCGACTCGAATTCCTCCTTGATTTTCCCAATCGAATTGAATAACTCGTCAGTCCCATCCGTGTCTTTCCTGAAAAGAAATTTTGGTGACAGATATTCTTACTGATTCAAGTAAACAACCAGGATGGCTGATAATGGGGAGTTCTCTTTGGTGCAGAGAGAATGAATGTCTGAGGTTTTACCTGTAAATGCCTTCATGTTTGGAATTGAATTGCTTTTTCACAGTATCCACGATACTCAAAATGGTTATAATCTGTGGCATTAACAAAGAACAAGGTGAATAAATTCGAACAAATTATGCATTGCAAGTAAAGCTGGTACGTGGATTGTGTTCTTGGGAAAGATAAGAGTACAAACAGTGCAGCCTACCTTGGCTTCAGATTCCAGATATTCGTCTTCCAGGCCCTTCCTTTTGTTCACTCGTTTTGGGTTATCAATGTCTGGAGGTGTTGCAGCTTCTGGCCTGATTAAGAAAAACACTTTTGATCATGCCTCGTTATCTTTCAACACTTAATAAGATATATCAGAGAAGCAAATAGGCAATAAAAATACCCGTGACACAAATGCAGCTCCTCCACAAGTCCTCTAAAACGGGTCACAGCTGGTCCCAATTGTTCCTGTAAAAAGACAGACAGAAGACAGCTTGGTACTTCAAAAGCTAATCACACAGCAATGGAGCAAGATAGACTTCTACACAACATCTGATACCAACCTTGTAAGCGGTGAGAAGATGAATGACTAGATTCTCCAGATAATCTCCGTATCTCTCCAAATCGCCACTTCAACATGCATGTTTACAGAGAAAGTTAACAAAAGTACGGACACCTATTTTTGGTTCTTCAATTTATCCAGTCAGAGAGCATGGAATACATACTTAACTTGCTTCTCCTTTTGCTCCGTGTGTGCACTTTGGAGAACCCATGTGTCTTGGAGGAAATGAATCCAAGAGTTTACCACTTCAGCTTCTACTCTACAAGAGTTTATTGATTTTGACAGCTCCTCTTCCTAAGGTCAAGCAAGTAAGTGAAAAAACGTGACAAGACAATGAGAACAGAATAATACTCCCTGGCAAACAGTATCCAGGTTAGGGATGGAAACAACAATATACCCGGCTTTTCAAGTGCATTAGAATCTGATTACTTGCTTCATCGAAGTTTTCTCGTTCTTCCTTGGCATTATGAATCCTCTGCCGAGCTGAAGTCAAGTCGGTATTGACCTGAAACGCAAAATCAAAAGATTTTAGGCCAGACAAAGACGTGAAGAAAAGGGTAACGCTCAGGTAAAATGAGGAGGACACATTTTTTTATACCCTTTTTAACTGTGATTCAAGTTCATGCTTTTGCTTCTCCAGTGCTTTGATTTCTACTGCTAGTTCCTGTAAATGCCATGAAACTAGTCAGAGTTGTAAACTAACTTATAACCCCTGTCCTGCGGGATACGAAGTGACTATAAGTGTTTTTGAGGCAGCCTCACCTTCTCAATCTGGCTAACCTCGTTGGTTTTAGCTACTCGAAAGTTGAGTGCCTCTTCTTTCTGACACCTGATCAAACAAAGTCGCCGCGGAGGTTAAAAGGTTAATAAAACTAGATGTGAAGATCTTATGAACCGTTGTATTGTCAAGAGATGTATGAACAATATGATTTCTGCAAATAGGCATGCAAGAAATTCAACATAAAAGGGGCTTCCTGAGATGCCAACAGACCTATGATCTACGATGCGGCTTTCAGCCTTTGTGGTGGAACTAATAAGAGATTCTGCCAGGATTTTCAATTTGTCCACCTACACAAGTGAAGCAACAACAACCCACATTAATGAACTAAAGTACATTAGGCCAGCTCGAACAAACACAGTAGTCTAAAATCTAAATAATCATGTGAACTAAACCAAGGAGGGTTCCTACCTTCTCTGCATGGGCCTGCGCGGAGTCCCCGTTGGTCAAAGATCTCTTCTTTATTAGGAGGGCCTCTAAGGTAGAACAGAGCTGAATTCTTTTGAGCGTATCTTTTAGATCCTGCACAAGACCACTTATCATGTTTTGCAATTCCAATGAATCAACCAGGTCGTGCCAACTATTTTACCATCTAATTCCTTCCTTTCTGCTGCCTAAAAGTACATCCAAGTTCAAGACTATATATCTGTGAGCCAGAGATGACGAAGAGCTGTGTTTGTAATAAGTCAGTTTGGTATATCAGCTCAAGGTAGACGGGTTTTTTAGAGGAAACATGAAGATTCGCCATGCCAAAAGTCCAATCCGTTTGCCTTTGAAAGCCCGTTTTCCTCAAAAGCCCATCTCTAGACTCTACTTAAGGCCAATTTGTATGATTTTCAGCCCACTTCAAGGCCCATCTTTCCCGTCAGACTTGTAAACTCCGTGGAGTCGTCAGAAATTAGAATCCATATCAAAGAGACCACAAGGTTGAGAATGAAGTACCTGTGTTGTTTCTTTTATCGACTTTTCAGTAGAGTCACGGGAAGAAGGATTATTGAGCTCTTCCTGCTTTTCAAGTTTCTCCAGTAATCTGCCGACTTCAGCATCTATTCTGAGAGCAGGGACAAGAACATTAAAACATGCATCATATACACAGACAACAACTACCCATCTATCTCATGCCATGTACAGAAGTGAATATTGGGACTTTTCCTTCTCTTTTGTGCTCTGACCAAACTGGACGGTGAGTGGGGAGGTGGGGGAGAGAAGAAAGGGCCAGTATTATGATCCTTGACCTACCTTGCAAGGTCGGCGTTCATCTTCAACCCTGAGATGGCACCTTTAGCCAATTGGAGCAGTTCTTCTCGCTTCACCTGACGACATGAAGCACAAAAGGGCAAACTATGTTGACAGAAGTCGTGCCTTTACAGCAATAAGGAGTAGAATCCTTCGCTTGAGTTTTGATGCATCCATAATGTGAACCTTTGCAGACATGATCAAATTCAGTTCAAGCATCCAATTTGCTTACCAGCACTTCATCGCGGTAGGTGGAGAATGCTTTTGCCAAAGTCTGTATGCTGTCGATGAGCGTTTGGTGAACTTCCTTCCCTCCTGCAAGACAAAGCCTGTATAGAACCAAACCAAAACATGAAATTTTACAGAGCGTGTATGAGAGCTGAAAACCAGAATCCTAAAAGGGGAATTGAGACCTGAAACGAAAAAACTGCGCTCACCCAAACATCTCCAGAAGCATAGAGACTTCCTCCACGCTTGGTGCTTCAAGAATCTGCGTCACACAAAAGAGTTAACATGTGGTTATAATACCTCCATGTATCAGCAAGTCCACAACTCAAAAGAGACAGATGATGGGCAACCAGAAGCTCTAGAAATATTTGTAAAGCCCCCAAACAGCGAAACAGAAAATTAGTGGGCAAACAAGGATTTCTCTAACTTACCATGGACAATGCAATGCCTTCAAGAGCCTGACTGTAGAGAAACACATCGCGAAAATTCATCGTCCCCAAATCAGGATCAAAGTAATATATCTGTGCGAATTGAGGAGCACAATTGGGAATTAGAAACACAGCAAACCGAAATGAGTGAGAAAGAGATCATGATGATGATGATAAGGCTAGGGTAAGCAGAATGTCACCATTGTAGGCTTTTTGGGGGATTCCTTGGAATCGTCGGGGAAAAGATTTTCGTCTGCTGATTTGTTATCATCTGCGGTAAACGAAGCAGATAGTCTCTCGATTTCCTTAAGCGCCACCAACCACCGCCGCATCAGCTGAACCCTTTCGATCCCTCTGTACGAAACTGCGACTTCCTCCAGCCTTTTCGCTGTCTGCCGGAAGTTCTGCAAATTCCGAGAACCCTGCTTTTGAAGCGAGAAAGGGAGAAATTTCTCCTTGTCAGAGACAGATCCCAACAAAAAATTGAAAAATAAAAGCAAAACCGCAGTTCGAATTGAAATGCTGCAGCATTACAATTCGGTCCGTAATGATCTTAGCGCCACCGGTGACGGCATTGCCGGCCTGAACGACGACGGTGTCGGCGACGGTGCGGACGGTGCGCGACAAACTGGAGTGACCTCCGGCAACGACAGCTCGATTCACTGCCGACCTGAACCACGACATCGCAAGGCCCCCCACTTCCTACCTGTTTACGGCGGCGATTTCGGAGCTCCGATCAGCGTGGAACACAGCAAGCAAATGAATTTTGGAATAATCTTTCTAAGAGATCAGAAATCGCAAGGGATGAATTGCGTCATAGCGGCGATCATCGAGCTGCATTGTGAAAGCGCGGAAAGGGGGAGAGCGGGCGGATGGACGGAGGGAGGAAGAGTTTTAACAACCGGGAGGAAAGAAGAGGTCGGACAGATTTTGCGGGCTTCTCCCAATTCGAAGATCGTGCGAGCGTAGCTGCTTCTTTCTTCTCTCTTTTGGTTTTCTTTTTAAATCTTTTTAGGTTTACTGTAATGCCCTCGCCACGCTACGTACGCACGTTGAATTTGCATATTCCCTTTTCTGGCTGGTTAAGCTTTTTGTCTTTTTAGTTTTTCATTATGAATCTCAAAATTTTAGAGATTTAATTGTGAGTTGGTCCCAATAATTCGAGTTTGGAGTTTGGACAGACACTGATTTATGACATGGTATCAGAGCTGGTTTGACCAAGTGGTCGTGTGTTCGAATCTCCATCGATCTCCAATATTAACAGTTGATTAAAGCACAAGGTATGGTGATCGACTGTGCAAACTTCAAGCCCATGGTTTGGTTTTCGTTTGAGGGGGCGTGTTAGAGAGTAGTATAAGATCCAGCATTACCTTCTCCCAACAACTCGAGTTATTGAGACCAACTAGTTAATGACATGGTATCAGAGCTGGTTTGGCCAAGTGGTCGTGTGTTCGAATGTCGGCGACCCCCCAATATTAACAGTTAATTAAAGCGCAAGGTATGGTGGGCCTGTGCAAATTTCAAGCCCATAGGTTGGCCTTCGTTTGAAGTGGCATGTTGCAAGTATGATTAAGGCTAAGAGGTTGATTAAGAAGAGCTTGAGGATTCTGCATTCTTCTGAAGAGTTTGACCAATTACTAATTGGAGGATAGCAACCTTTCTTTGCCAATATTATGTTCTAGCAAAAGTAGCGGTTTTTAGTTGAAATAACAATTTTATAGTATGTTTTTATGTTAGTTCAATTTTAAATGTTAATAACTTAGCTAACCCTCAAGAATACTCGAGGTAAGTCACCAAGAATCGCAATTCCAAATTGAAGAATTAGTGACACATGCGTTGAAATTAGGAAAGCTAAAGATGACATCGTTTTGGGAAGATAAGCTACAATTCTTTTAATCCTTGGTGTAATTGTGCAATTAAGAGCGACTTACTTCAATTAATAATGCCTCTCACCAATTAATCATTGCCTATTTTTTTCTAATAATCATCACTTAGGCCTTATAAACGCCTAATTGTATGCCTAGCACCTAGACAGGACATTTTATCACTATCCAATGTCTAGGCACGCCTGGCATAAAGCTATCCTTTAAATAGCCCTACTCAATATGAGGGGTCGTTTGGATGGATTAATTGTCAATATGGTATTTGTAGAGTCAAATAACTCATTAATTGTTTATGTGGTACTTTAGTATTATTTCAGCAGTAATTGAATTGAAGTATCTCGTTTGTTATAATCATGCAAATGTGATATTTGGAAAAAACTTAGTAGTAAAGCTAGTTATTTTGAAAATAACAAAATGGGTTAGAATTATTTCAAATAACTCATTTTGAATTATTTATAAATAACTCACAACCAAATAATTCATTTGAATAAAATGCTGAGTTATTGTGAGTTATTTAAACCCAAATAACTCATCCAAACTAGGGCTAGGAATCCGGTCCCGGTTTTTCGGTCAAACCGGAAACCAACCAGTTTAAACCGTCCCGGTTGTAACCGGAAACCGGATTCCAAGTAACCCAATCCAGTTTGCGGTTGCAATGGTCACAGCCTGGTCCGATCCGGTTAAAACAGGAAAAACCGGATAGCCCAACTTGAGCCCACCCCATCTCTCCAGCAAGCCCACCTCTCTCAACAACTTAATTAGGCCGGAGCCTAGCTACAGGCCCACCAACCCTCCCAAAACCCTAAAGCCCGACTCCACAACCCTACATCGTCTCCCTCGAGCTCACACTCAAAGGCACAGCCGCCTTTCTTCGATCTCTTCCCTTCTCTCCAATATCTTCCAGCGGCAAAGCCAAAAACCACCCTCCCATCTCCCAAATCCCACTCTATCTCACTCACCCTCTCTGCTTGCCTCTCATCCGATTCCATGGCGGCGGCGGCGACACCAAGACGATCGATTTGGAGCAACCGCAGCTCTGCCTCTCTCTTCTCAGTCTCACCAGCCGATTTGAAGCGGCCATCGCTCTGTTTCTCGCCCGGATCGAGACATGCATGACCTGACCTGCTTTCCTCTGGATTTCTCCCATATCGAAACATGCAAGACCCGCGCACGACGACGACGGCGATGATGGAGGCAGGGAGCGACGAAGAAGGCAAAGAGCTCTCAAGGGAGGAGAAAAGGCAGAGGAAAGATCGAGAAAGAATGGGAGTATGAGAAATTTTTGATTTCCAGAATAGAGAGAGATTGAGAAAGGTAGGGACTAGGGAGTTGTCGAGAAGTGGAGGAAGGAGATATCTTAGATCCCTCTTTTCATTTTTATTTTTATTGATTTTTATTTTTCTTCCTCAATTTTTATTCAAACGACAACATCCTGGGAGAGGTTAATGCCAGCCCACTTTTCGGTTTAAAACCGAATCGGACCCAATCCGATTATGGTTGAAACCGGATACAATCCAATCCCGTCTCCGGTTGTGGTATTTGCCAAGACGGTTATAAAAAACCGGATTGTTTCCCACCCCTAATCCAAACGACCCTATAGTATTTAGATTGCTAACATTCGGTTTCCTTTGATACTATTGATGGTCTATCGTGAGAAGAACGACTGACAATGGGTTGCTGCAACAGAATTGTCCATTTCTCTAACAATCAGTGTTGATCATTTCTCATAGTAGCATCTGTGACGGGATTACATATCTACTCAGAAGGAAACACAGATTGTACTACCACTTAGAGCAGAGGTGCTATTACCACTCAGTCACTCGTACTTTTCTATGATGTAAATTCACTTCTCTGCAACACTGTCACTTGTGCTATAATGTATCTGACTTAACGCAGGATGACCAGCTGACGACATGCGCCCAAAGGTAAGAGGGTGCAGCCAATCATTTTTACCGGGCAACAACTGGTTTGATGCCGGGGAGACATCTTCGGTTCTGTGCTCCCAAATACTAGTTCATTTCGAAATCACTCCATTCTCACAATCTCATATCTTTCCTTCATCCAAAGAACCTCATTCCCTGAAGCAAGTAGAATAAAGACCCAAGCAACTCCTAAACAGCATCTCCATCTCCAACTATCAACTACGCAACAAACTCTTCGATGTCTGGCAATGGCATTTTCCAGAAATTCCATGCGTTGTAATCTTCCTGCAAAACCCGAGCAGCTCAGCCGCAGTGAAAAACAAAGCCAGAACATCCTTAAGCTTAAGCAGGGTACTGTACCTCTACCTGCTCGACCAGTGATGTTGGAGGGAACATGTCATTGACAAGAGTGTGTAATGATGTATACGACCTCACATCGATCCGATGACTAATAGCCACCTCTCCCTGACATTTCAAAACAGCAGTACACTTGAGATATCCAGCTCGCTAGAAAAATGGGGATTAGTAGGTTGAAGTCTAATGGAGATAGAAACCTTCGGGTTTATGATAAAAATCTTCCCCTTTGGAATACCAATTTTGCGGTAACTAAGTTCATCAGTGTCTCTATTCCCAAAGCCTGCATAGAATGGGTTGTAATCAGGAGGAAACAGTTTCCTGATGTCCTGCAAGTGCAAGGGGTATCAAAGTTGGGCCCAGAATCAAAGGCATGGAAACATACAGGCAAAAATGGTTCCAGGTTTCAAAGAAAGTTGTGCTCTTACCTCTAAGCAAGCAATCTTAAACTCATGTGGAGCCCGCCTTATGACTGTCAACCAGAAACAAAGAAGATACAGTCACACAGTCGTTGTTAGCCCGCATTATGACTCTCAAGATTTATATTTTGCAGAATGAATAGAATAATTCTTAAGTGTGTGCATGCCAGTATTATTTATCTAGCTGTCAGTGACCGAAACCAGAGAGCCCAACTATGTAACAAGTGCTTACAGAAAAGTTTCACTTTAGCATCATACATTTCATCAGTGGGATAAGAAAAAGATACATGTTCAGTATTATCAGAAAGGAAATTAGAATAAGATAATCAGCTCCACACCAAGAAATAAGACTTCACCTTCACGATAGAGTGACGGAAATAATCCATCTGGCGAAATAACAACTGGTCCAGTGGGTAGAGTTTTCCCATCCTGTAAAACCCAAAAAACATCGACTGAATTCCTAGTAGTAAGAGACAGTTCAACACTTGTGCCTCTCCCCATCACAGTAAAGTTATGGAGATAACAAACAGCAGATTGTTCTATCATTAGTGATCCAATCATACTATAAGATATTCCATGTTGAAAATGATGACAGCAAAAAAAAAAAAAAAAAAAAACACATACCTGCTTCAAGTTAAAAAGAAAACTTCTGGTCAGATATGCCTGGACAATTGCTCGTGCACTCAGAAACAGTAGCTGATATCCATTCTCCTGTGCAAATCACAGAATTAACTTTTCAGCACCCATTACTTAAGGAGATCACTTCCATTGGGAAGCATGTCAAACAAAAGGCTATGCTTCAACTATTCCAGGGGAGCCTAACTTTGAGATGTGTGATAACAGTCTGTCGTAAAGGAGTCATAAGATAGCAGGTCATATAGTTATTTCCATCAGATGTCCTTAAAGAATTTGAAGGAGGAAGCTCTGTTATTTGCAGTAGCAACAAAATACCCCAAAAAAAAACCCAATAATCCAAGTATCTTTAGAAGGCCCATCTGGCATTTCATGTTGATATGAAACAGTATTGTGGAAAAATGATGTGCTGCATGATCAAGTTCATATGGGGAAAAATTAAAGAAAAAAAATGAAGATGGTTTCTTTCATTTTTCCTGATAGATAAACGATCACCAAAACAAGCATCTGTGGAACAATTTTGATGCAGATGGAACTGTGAGTGCACTGTAATGAAATTGGGAAAGCAAGCATCACCTTTATTGCTGAAAAAAGCTTAGCTACTCCAGATTGTGACCAATCCTTGCCAACCAAAGGCATGAACTGGCCTAAAACATCAGACCTGGAAGAAAAAACAAGGTCTTTACTTATAATTATCTGAAAGCAGGGGTAATGAAGTCGCACTATATTGAAACAGTCTATAAAACTGAAAGATACATGTGAAAGATGTTATTTAACCAACAATACTTTCCACTTTGCCTCGGCCACCATTATCTTACGGTACAAGTACTTTAGTGCATGACTGAACTTTTTAGTGAAGGCACAGGAGTTCACTAGACAACTAGGGATAAAACCATGTTCGGTGAAGGTTATAAGACCAGCTCCACAATGGAGACAAACTCAGACCACGGATGCAATTTTGAGATTATGATTGCAAAGGCAATTTAATGAAAGATTTTATATGAACAACCAGAGTATGAACTGGAAATCGACTCTATATATCAAAGAGAAAATAGATCCAATTAGGTAAGAATGAAAAGGAACGGTACTCCCACGGCCCACAAGGTACTTGATCAGATACATCTGCTAATGGAAGAATCCTTCATATAGGATCAGACGACAGTGTCAGAAAGAAAAGTGAAAGCACTACCATCTTAGTTCTTACTAATTATTACTTGAATGATTGGTTACTGTAGCTTAGTGCACAAGGTAAACACCAATAGAATCATGCAACAGTTATGTGTCATTGGGAGTCATGCCATATAAACATCATTTATCAGTAATAATCAAAGAGGATGAAAAGCAGAGAAAAGAGGACTACAGAAAAGGAATCGAACTCCCTTACTTGGTTATTGTTCCATCAACATCAGAAATCACGATTCTAGCATTCCACTTCCACAAGTATATATGAGCATCTACCTGTTGGAATGGGTCCGGGATCAACAGTTGAACATTAAATACTTCCACAGCTAGCTGTTTATACTCAACTATGGTGGTTGTTAAATACTGATGACAGCAGATATCCTTTGCCAACTTTACATCTTATGGGAGAGTAACAGGCAATATATTGATATGGGCTTTATCTTCTAACCAAAATAACGTAAAATGGTTTGAACTCCCTAGTGCAGTACAGAATGCTTGATGATCTATTGTTTGTAAAATGGGATAAAAGAGCAGAACCGCAAACCTGTTGAGTGCCCAGAACTCTTGTGGAGAAACTGAATTTTATCATATTCTGGCCATCTTTCAAATTCAATGAGGCTATCTGCTCACTAGTTGGAACATTAGTCCTCACATACTGCTTGTGAGGGGACTCTATGCCAATAGAAGAAGCCGAAGGTGGCTCTGCATTTGAGTTTAAAGTTCCAGATTCAGTATCAACGAATAACTCTTCACTTGATGAGTTACTGGTAGTATGCTCAAGAGTTTTGACCCTTCTAAACGGATTAGGCCAGAGCCTCCACCTGCGACTTGTGGGCGTTGAAACTAACCCAGTTTCATCGTCTCTAGTCTCTGGATCACTTTGGTCGACAGGAATTGCATCTCTGGGCTCCACAGGAACATCTATACCAAATGCAGCCATTCCCAGGACAACCGGGGCAGCCTTTTCCCATGGCAAATACTTCTCTGCATACCTAACAATCAACTGTTCATTCTTGATAATAGAGGTTGTAGAACTCTTAAAGTCCTCCACTGATACGCGGTGTGCTTCAAAAACTTTAGCAGCAGCCTCAAAGCCTATACCAGCGTGAAGTTCCTTCCCACAGAGAGAGAGTTCGACCCCTGAAAGAAATAAGAAGTAAGAATAAACTTCATTCTTCAAAAGACAAATAAGGTTACAACTGAAGAAAAGAGATGGCCCGTACTTGTGCTAGAATGTGGAAATGCAGCATTGGATGTTTCTTTTTGAGGTTGCATTGTCTCACTAGTGGAACTCTGATCTTCATGCTTAGATTGTTCTTTAACATCTGGCTCTTCCTTCACTGCAGAAGCACCAAGGTAGCCATCCTTTGGTTCTGGATTTACTGAATGAATAGACAAGGTGTCATTACCTAGACCTTCAGGCCCTAAAACATTGGTCTCAGTGACTTCAACTTCAACTTGTGACGAAGGTGACGCATCAAATCTGGCAGAATCTGAAATCTGTGGGCTGATACTATCATCAGCTGATTCATCAATGACCTTATTTTGAGTTTGATTAACTGCTGAAAGACTGCAAGAAGACTCTTCGATAACTGTCTTAATTTGCAGTGAAGTGTTTACAGCTTCAAAACTACCATTTCCAACATGCTCACCAATTTCTGATAGAGCTAAGCAACTTCCAAAAACATCTCCCCTCCTACTTCTAGCAGACGAATCTTCTGAATCACTTCGTATTGGAATTTCTTCTTCTAGCCTAGGGCTATCTTGAGTCCCTTGACTTTGACAATTATGTTCCCCCTGACCTTCACAGACTTCCAGGGGGTGTTGTAAAGAAAAATCCTCATTGCTAACACTACAAGCTTTATCAGATGCAGCATCAGAAGGAGATGCATTCAGCTTGCTGATATATTCAGCAGCCCAAGTATCATCTCCCGTATTGAATTCTTCGGTTCCATCACCTGGGCCTAAGTGAAATTGAGGTGTACTCAGCTGCACATTCTCAGTGTCCTCTTCTGAGGCTGAAACAGGGGCAGTTAATACATGTCCATCTACACTCACCAAAATCACTTCTGAATCTGAACCCTGCGAGTCTGCAGCTGACCCACTGCCTAGGCCCTCAAATCTACCAGACCCAAATTCTGTTAAGGAAACTGGAGAAGGTGGTTCGTCTTGGAGATCATAGTACCTCCGGTCAACATCAGATTCTGTCCTATCAAGTCGGCTACCTACTAAATCGTGTTCCCCTCTCAACTGCACCACAACAGAATCAGAAATGCTATGTTCAAGTCTTGGCATTCCACCCAGGTTGTTCTGATTCGGGTCAAAACCTCCAGCCTCCTGTGAGAGTTGCGCACCATCAGAATCTTTTACAATGCCACTTTCCTCTCCTCCTTTGCCAGAGTCAATATCATGTATGAAGTAAGCCTCGCCAGAATTATCAAGAAACATGTGGAAATCAGCTTCAGTTCCGTTAACTTCAATGCGCACTATCTTTTCCGCCCCTTTAAGAACACCCTGAAATTTGCCGAATCTAACGTACCAAGGGGTGCTCCGAAATGTCCCATCTTGCTGTTGAACCACAATCACATCAACAGCGCCACCAAAAGGGTGAAAGGGGGTGGCGACAGAGTATACGCCTTGTGAGATAAGGCTCCCAACTCTGCCAACCACATTCATCGGTCTAGTAGTTAACGCCCAGAAAGATTATCCCTTTTTCCCCAACTGAAATTGGACATAAAATTCTCTCTTCTACTGCACTAAGACAAAGCCCAGCAGTTATTTTGTGGCTGATGATCCTCTTTGTTCTACTTCCTCCCTGCATCAAATCACAAATAAGCTTTAAGCTAAAAATCACAAAAGAATCAAAGTTGAGACGTCAAGAGACCCCCTAACATCGAAGGAAACAACAGGAAGAGGGAAGAAACTGGGAATCCCCGTCGCAACAAGTTAGGGCAGTTCCCACCACTGTTTTTGTCGAGAAAATCAACTTCCCAGAAGCAACTGACGATCATCAAATTCAATGAGGAGACTTAGGGGGAGAAAGAAAACGAAGAAACCCAGATAGGGAACGAAGCAGCATTGGCTGAGATCAATAGAAAAATAACGAAGAAGAAGAAAGTACACAAGAAAGCCGGCACAAATGAAATCGAACTTGTATCCGTGTACCAATACAACAAAGAAGAAATCAAAGGCAAAGGTGTTGGTTGCACTCACGGATTGAAAAATCCGCAGGGAAGGAACTCTGAGTCGGATTCAGCCCACAATCCGTCCTTGCTCTCCCTTCTCCGACGCGTTTTATCTGCCGTCTGACCGTTTTTTGTTTTTACTTTTCTTGTGTGTTCCCTTTGTCCTCGAAGGGACGGTGAGGGCTCGAATTAAGATTTGCAGGCAGGAAGGATAGAGACGACTTTGGAGCTTGGTTGGTTGGACCCTTTTATTTTTCGGTTGCTACGCGAACGAAGAAAATGTGTCAAAAACTTAACGGGGTCCGCTCTCCGTCCGTCCAACTCACTGCCGCCGGTGCCATCAAGATCAACTTCCTTTTCTGTAAATTACCGCTGCCGTGCCATCATATTACGGGAATATTCCTCATGGGCTCGGGCCGATATGACTGGCGACTGGGGTTATTTCTGTAATTAACTATTTTCTTGTTTGTAACGAAGAGATATGTGATGGGATATTGGGATATTTTTTTTTTTTTTAGGATATCCTTTTCTTGACAGCCTAGCCTAGTACAACTACCAAATGTGAAACTAATAAAGACAAAACAAAATTGCTGTTAAATTTCTGAATTTAGAACCTTTGATTGGGGAAATAGTGGAATATAAGAATGTGTATTAAGAATATGTGTGCCAAAAATGTTTGAGTTTTAAAAATTTATTGTTGGGAAATATAATAGGGGGATTTTCAATAATAATTGAACTATGGGTACTAAATCTCATAAAAAAAAATATGACATTAAGTATGTATTATTTTTTTATGTATTAGAAAAACATAATGTATTCTCAATACATGCATTTTGTGCTCAAATCAAATATAAAAAAATATTGTATTATGTAGGATACATAAATTCTCGGAATACATCCTTCACGGACATCCGATACTTCGTTGTAGTAGTAGCTGACACCATGTTCATAGCTGGAAAATATTATCATCATTTTCTTAATCTAAGAGGGTACAATAACGTCCTATGTTTTATTATTAAACGAGAGATAATAACTCTCAAATTGTAATACATGAACTTATAGTGTAATACAAGAATGTGTGTATTAAGAATATGTGTGGTCAATAATAAAATGAAGTATGGATATTAAATTTCATAAAAAAGATGATATTAAGTATACATTATTTTTTATGTATTAGGAATACAATAGGTATTCTCAATACATGCATTTTGTGCTCAAATCAAATAAAAAATATTGTATTCTATAGAATACATATATTCTCATGATACATCCTTCGCGGGCATTCGATTATTCGTTGTAGTAGTAGCCGACACCATGTTCATGGCTAGAAATATTATCATCATTTTCTTAATCTAAGAACGTCCTATGTTTGATCATTAAACGAGAGATAATAACTCTCAAATAGTAATACATGAACTAATAGACTATAATAGAGTCTTGGAAATCAAACCATACTTTAAAGAATGGTCCAAGGGATCGGATCATCTTACACAAAATTAATCCTTTATGTAACCAAACTTCTCGATTATTTGATGAGCGAACAAAGGTTTGGTTTAATGGTTATACTGCTAGTATTGAACCCAGAAATCACAGGTTCAAATCTGTTAAATAATACCTAACTACAAAAAAATAAATTTATATCACTCTTATAAAAAATAATAATTATCTGACAACGAGCTAAGCTTATTAACATCGAAAATAAGACACAATTAAAGATAATGTTATCATCCTATAATTATATGCATAGTTTTCTCTCATATATATAAAGCTTATGCCTAATGGTTTGAATTTAATGTTTTGTGGTTTATCAAAGACAAGAAGAATTTAATATCTGTGGATGACGATCTCATCCTCTGGAGTTCAACACCAAAATATTCATTGAACCGATAGATGGAGGAGTGAATGACGATTCATTTATGAATGTGTTATTGGACAGAATGGTTGTATGGGTGCTTTAAAAAAACACTGTGAATGGAGGGAAAAAGAAAGCCAATATTTTCAAGGCCGTGAGAACCAATGCAAAAGTAATTAGTGATTAGATAGAGTATTAATCTTCTACGATAAAATGACTTTTTCCAATAAGTATGAAGAGACATAACATAAAAAAATTAGCAAATCTCACTCCTCTTACACGTAAAAGTCCCGACTAGACTACTACTCAACGTCCAGTCACTAAAATTAAAAGATGTCAACTTTAACGAATAACAACCCACCTAACTCCTAAGCAAGGTTGAAAGAGGTAGTGATGGCATTGGTAAGAGTAATTTGACCCCGTAAGCATGGCAAATGACCGTCGACGTCCCCTGTTGTGTCACCACGTAGACTTGGGGATGCAATTGATGCCTACTCAAACCCATGCAATGGAGACATCTCATACAAGAAGGAGGAAAAAGACGATGACACAACCTCGGTGAAGGAGATGGTCATCCATGAAGAAGCATCTCGATACCCTCGAATGGTGCTGAAATTGATAGATGCTTTGAGAGGAGAAAAGAGTGCCATGCCACTTTTGGAGATCATTACTCATATGGAGAGCCCAAGGGAGAAGTTCAAGCAAGTTCTCGATGATTAAAGGATTAGGAAGAACATCATCAACTCAAACTCCTAATGGACATAACGAAATCATTCGAGTATACGAATAGAATGAGGATCCTGGTCATTGCACAATCATTTGTCTCCTAGATAATCATTGTCTAGAGCAAGAAATGGTGGATTATAGTATCAACATAACATCCTATCACTTCCACTCTATGAAGATATGAGACTAACTGACATGGAGGATATAAAAATGGAGATCAAGATGGCAGAGAGCACTCTGTGTCAACCTATATGAGGATTCCTTACATGCAACATATCATCATTACGAAGAAAGACCTATAATGAAAAGACAAGTTGAAAGAACCTTTAGAAACTCCGAATTTGAAGCTAGCACAAATGGCACTCAAGATAGCATGTACAATGTGAAAGATATTGCTAGAGAAGATTGAGGAAGTGGAGTACGTAGCATTAGGGGACTTTCAAGAGTACATACGCTAATGTGGATTCAATCCACATCCCATGGAGCTAACAACGATGAACGCAACTGGATGGGATAATGAAGGGACGTCAGAACTCGTTTGGCCATCCAATGAGGGCATGACTTCAATTGGGAGTAACATTTATCCCTTTGTTTTGCTTGGATTTAGGAGTTGAAGCATTTTATCTCCGTTATGTTCTTTTTTTTGTTTTGTTTGATCAAAAATCTCCCTAAACAATAAGAGTACTAGTAGACTAAACCCCTATTTTCAAAATTTGAATGACAAGTTAGATAACTTGTTTCAAACTTTTCTCATAGCTCACTATCTTTTAGTCCATTGAGGACAATGTCCATTTTAAAGTGTGCAGATGAATTGGGTGCTACATGTTACTTGATAATGCTTGATACATGACATATCTTTAGTTATTTAATTCCGAAATCGACTAGTTTTATGATCCATTAGAAAAAAAATTCGAAAATACTAAAATTATTTCCCATCTAATGACTTTTAGTCATCCCCTACAAGCATTTTCACTGCTCGTCCTACTTTGAATCAATGAGTCTAGGAACTATCATTCAATCTAGGGAGGATAGTGTAGTGACTATGAAGGATGCGATAGTCAATGAGATATAATGATAGTTTGATGTGTTTGGATGCTATGTTGTTCAATTCATTCTTGGATTTCTAATTATACAAAAGTGTCTATCGTTTGTTAAGATTTGAAGGGTGAACTGTACCTTCTATAAAATGCAAAAATCTACATATCAAGACATGTTTGAATCATTCAAAATTTGTCATGCTATATGTTGAGAAATAAATTGTGGGGTAAGCCTAACGTGTGAAGCATATTTTCATTCCACAAAATTGGGTTTTGGAGGAGATACTAGTTGAGCTTTAGTGGGGAAGTCCTACAAGGTGATGCTAGTTCCTCTCTCGTACAAGTAAAATTTCCACCCCTTGAATTGATAACCAACTTGAGGATGTATTCTTAGGGGCACAGATAGAGCTTCTGACACCCCCTTGATATCAATGGTATCACTCTTGTGTTTAAGACTCTAATGCATGGTTAGTTATTTATGTTTGGATTGGATTGCATGGTGTTCTTGCATATTAGAGTGGTTATGATTCTCTCGTGCTATTATTGACCTTGTAATTTACTTATAATCCACTACCTCAGATCAAGATTGAGTGATGATTTCTATTGTTCATTGAGTTGTATGATTGTAAGTAGTGTTTGCTTGGGGACAAGCAAAGTTTAAGAGAGGGGTATTTCTTATGACACTTTATTTAAAGTGTTTATCACTCTCATATTTGATACATTTTCTCCTTCTATCAATGCATCTTCAGTGGTTTTGATTATATTTCATATGAAATTCATAACTATTTGGACAATGTGCTTATGATAGACCTTGAGTTTGTTTAGTACTATTTGATGTTTTTTTAGTATTGATTTGTGCTTTTCAAGGTTATAATACACTTAAGATAAATATAAATCACCAAGGGAACTAATGGATCAGAAGGAGGTCGGACACAAGCTCACGGGCCCAAACATAGATGGATTATGACACTGTAAGCTCAAGTTATGAACCAGATGATAGTGTTTTGAAGAGCAGATGGGTCAAACGTAAGTCCAAACGAGCTGAAACTTCATGATCAGGCCCATGAGCACAAATGGAAGTTGCCCAGTAAAAATGGGCCGATTTGGAGAAAACCCCCAGCGGCGGGTCCAATCCCCGTAGGGTCACCGCTCATGTCCTAATCTTTTAGAATCCTACCTCAGCAAGTTATTTCATCCACGAGTTGAAGGAATCCAAGTTTAAGTCGTACAATGAAGGTTTTGGCCGAATTTTGGAGGAAAAAACTAGAAACCCCCATTTTGTAACTAGTATAAACAAGAGGCTAGGCTAGAGCTTATGTGCAAACCTTTTACCAGCACGCTGCTTTAGGGTCACGAGTTAGAAATTTATAGAGAGGAGGAGAAGCCCTTCTGGAGCTCGATGAGGAGTCTTCAACATCGATGTATGTATCATTGGTGATGTCTTCCTATTCTCCTATGCATAGCTAGCTCAAAATTGTTTAGGGATGTGACTCTAAGATGCTTCATGTATTACTTTCGATGATTCAACGATGATGCCTATTGTAATTTAATGTCGTTACCGTTGATGCTTGATTTATTTATGCTTGTATCATCTATTGCTCATTCATTTGATGCTTTAATTGTTGATAGTTCTAGTGAGTCTATGCGTGAGACTTCTCTTATATGCTACTATAGTATCATTTATACTACTATCATGGGAGACAAGAAAACTCATCTTGTGTAGTAGGCATCATCTTTAGATGATGCTTGATTCTTAGATCATTGATGCTATAAACCATCGATTATGGCTCATAGAGGCCCACACTTAATCATGGGCTATCCTAACTTCCTTGTTCTTCATTGGTTATGTGATTGCATGAAGCGAAAACATGCATTATTTAGTCAAATATCTATTGCAAGAGGCGCATGCATGGGTAGAGAGTGGACTTAGAGGAAGAGATATGACATAATAATAGATTATTCATAGAAGCATCTTCTTGATGAGTTAGTGTGCATGATCATCTAGATAACACTACCTAAAAAATCCTTTTACTTGTTTTGTTTGCTTTCTTACATTGTTGGTCCTTTTCTTTCATAGTAGCTTAAGATCTCGAATTCAAGGGCACCTTACCACTAGTTTTACATTTCTTTGCATCAACATTAGAAAATATTAGGGTAGCTTTGAGTAGTTACTATCAAAAGACCTCGTGGAATACGACCCGATGAACTCCTAGGATTTATCACTTGTTGCTACATCAAGAAGCTATTGCACCTATTCTAAAGGATATCGTTGAGATTTCTAATCCTATGCGGTCTATGTAAAGATTCTTAAAGAAAAGCCACATGCCCAAAAGCTTAAATTAGAGAACATACTTGCCCGCATGCATCTGCTAGTGCTACAAAAGTTTACTAATCCATGACATTTATCTTAAGCTACAAGGCTCAGAGGAAATAGCCATGCAAAACAAGCAAGTTGGCAATATTGTTTGTTGCATGCCTTAGAGGCATGGTCAAGGATGTGACACTCGAGATTGGATCCTTTTTATTCTCTCTTGACTTTCTAGTACTTGACATGGATAGAGATATAGACTCCTATATCCTATTTGGGAGGCCATTCTTATCATCCCCTAGACCATTTATCGATATTCCTGCACGAAGGATCACTAATAACACAAATTATAGTGTTCTCATTGTCCTATATTTGTGATAACACCATATTCACACATGTTTTTTTCCAACAATTCTCGACAGCTTGGTTTAGCCTTTGATTGCTTTTTGGTTCATTTTATGCTAGTTAGTACTTTTTGATGATGTTTTAGGTCCTTGCACATAAATGGAGGCTGAGGAGTAAGTGACGAAGAATAACCTTGGGAGCAAATTGAAGCGATCTAAGGACATTGGAGCTTGATCTTTCACCCTCGTAGTGTTGATTTCCAGTCTGGAGTAGATTTTCATTCCTCTCATGATGATTTCTCTTCCAAACTTGGTGTTTTATCTTCTCTTCGTGGAGTAAACTTCCTTTTCATCTGGGTATGAAAAGCCATAGTTATGTATGTTAGGAATGGTTGCATGAACCCAGTTTGTGAATAATTGATTCGATATATTCAATTGAGACATTAATCAAAATTGATTGAGTTATGATCAATGGAGATGGCTTCATCATTGATTGTTGTATTGTCCCTCTCTCTTATGACTAGCGAAAGTTCTTATTGTTTAGGGTGTGAATTGTATGATTAAATGATATATTTTTGCTTATGAAATTAAATTTTCGATTCTCGAATTTCTTGATTTTGTGCTATTGACTTGTGCATGTATGATCTGATTGAACACAATTAGTCCTTAATGAGTGACTTATTAGCGGGGGAAAAAGGAGGACCGGGCCTCTGTACTGTGGAGCATAGCTTCATTACATTTTGTTTCTCCTCTAGAGATCGGGCTCAAGCCTCCAGCTAACTTCGGTTCGGATCCTTGATTTGAGTGGGCCGCCAGGATACTTGGGCCTCCCCTCGGCCTCCTCGTTCGTCTCAGCCGGTGACCGTACGTCAACGCTATGGCACAAAAAATGTGTACGCAGATCGCCATTGCAACGCGATGCGACGTCGCGTCAATCCCCACAACACACCGGGGCGAGATCTCATCTGACTCTCTGAGCAACCGAGGGAAGTTTCCATTTCCATCGGTAGACGGTAGGCGCAAAGCAAACGAGACTTCCATTCCACTCCACCTTTTCCCCCCCCCCCCCGCTCAATTCTCTCTTTCACCGCAGGTAGATCTCCTCCGCCGCGCCGTAGCGAAGATGACGAAGCCGCCGGCAATTCGTCCGTCCCTCCTCGCCCTGGCCGCGGCTGTCGCCGTCGTATCCCTCATCGCCACCGTCTCCGCCGAGATAAAAACCCTAAGGATTTCCAACGACCCCAGGCCGATGATTCTCTTCGAGAAGTTCGGATTCACTCACACCGGCCACGTCACGATCTCTGTCTCCGGCGTCTCCGTCTCTTCCTCCATCAACGCTCCCAATCCGGACCCTTCAGGTTTGGGCTTCTTCCTCCTCTCCCAAGAGTCTCTGTTGCAGGTCTTGCTCGAGATGCAGCAAAACCCTAATTTCTGCGTGCTCGGATCCAAATACGTCCTCAATCTCTTCAGCTTTCGCGACCTTTCACCGCCGCCGCTCTCTTCCTTCAACCAATCCTATCCCATCCCTCATCCGAATGAGTACTCTCTCTTCTTCGCCAACTGTGCCCCGGAGACGAAGGTCTCCATGAATGTTCGCACTGATGTCTATAACGTCGATTCGGATGGGTCCAAGGATTTCCTCTCCGCTGGGCAAACACAATTGCCTTCTCTGTATACCGTCTACTCCACTGCTTACCTCGTGTTTATGGGTTTCTGGATCTACCTGTGCCTTACGAACAAGAGATCTGTGCACCGGATCCATCTGTTGATGGCTGGACTGCTTTTGATGAAAGCTCTTAACTTGATCTGTGCCGCGGTGGACAAGCATTACGTGAAGGTCACTGGCACCCCCCATGGGTGGGATGTGTTGTTTTATTTCTTCCAGTTTCTTCGTGTTGTATTGCTCTTCACTGTCATAGTGTTGATTGGCACTGGGTGGTCGTTCTTGAAGCCCTTTTTGCAAGAGAAGGAGAAGAAGGTGTTGATGATTGTGATCCCTTTGCAAGTATTGGCAAATGTGGCTTCTGTGGTGATTGGCGAGACAGGGCCGTTCATTAGGGATTGGGTGACCTGGAATCAGGTGTTCTTGCTGGTGGATATAATCTGCTGCTGTGCCATAATCTTCCCAATTGTTTGGTCGATTCGTTCGTTGAGGGAGACGTCCAAGACTGACGGCAAAGCAGCGAGGAATCTAGCCAAATTGCAGTTGTTTAGGCAGTTTTACATCCTTGTTATCGGGTACCTGTACTTCACAAGAATTGTAGTGTTTGCCCTGAAGACCATTGCAGCATATAAGTATCAATGGGTGAGCAGTGCTGCAGAGGAAGCAGCAAGTTTGCTGTTTTATGGAGTGATGTTCTACATGTTTAGGCCGTTGGAGAAGAACGAGTACTTTGTGATTGATGAAGAAGAAGAAGAGGCAGCTGAGATGGCCTTGAAGGATGAAGAATTTGAGCTCTGATGAGCCACATTATGAAGGAACACACTTCTGCTCCCTCCTCAAAGTTGCAACAGGTCCCTGATGATGACTTGCGTACAAGTTGGTACTTCTTTTAACTTGTTTCTAGTTTTTTCTTCTTCTTTTTCGGGGTCTTGTTTCGTTGTTATAAGAACATTTGCAGAGTTTACCTTCATTCTGTAGTTCTGTACTTTTGTGCTTAATCTACTTAGTGATGTTATAATCTGGATGATGATGATGATGATGATGATGATAGTTCTCGTTCCCTTAAACTGAGTTACTACACCCGGGAGCCCATTTTTTGGGGCTCATTTTGTTCTCCTCCTTGATCATTGCAATGTATCAAGATTCATAATCACTCAATCTGCTAGATCTGCTTTCATTGTTGGTTGGGGGTGGCCTTTGTAAGTATCGGAGGCAGGAAAGAACTTCCTCGTTGGTTGTATGTTCTTGGTACTATCTCGTATTGCGTATTCATTGGATTCAAATTTTGGAATTTTGCTGCGTATCCATTAGATTCATACTGGCAAATGGTCATGGACAGTTGATAACTTCCTTGTTCGTTCTGTTCCAACGTGGGCCGGCTACCTTTCTCGACGAATCTTTGATTGTCTCGTCTGTCTGGGGGTAATGTCCAAGATGTTCGCTCGAATTTATAGGACACTCCGTATGTATGACAGTATGAGTATGACAACTAAAGCATTCAATTTATTTTATTGCTTCTTTTATGATTAGACATCCTATGCTGAATCTTGTCCTAAAATTACTATTTGTCGTAATAATTTTGATACCCAACCTATATAATTAGCCTTTTTCAATTTTGGAATTGAAAACCCAACCAAACAAGACCTTCCCCCCATCTGGTTCTCTCCACCCAGTCAAATGTTTTGATGATTAATTTTTTAAAAATTACAATTAATTTGAGAGAAATATTATTTTTGTCTTTTTTATGGATGATGTGTTTATGGGTGCAAACTATATAAGAGAAGAGAAAAGGGTAAGGGCAGTGGCGGATTTAGGAATTTTAAATAGGGGTGTCCACTTCAAAAAAAAAAAAAAAAAAAAAAATAATAATAATAATAAGAAATCAAATAATTAATAACTATGAAAATATTCAACTAGTAAAAGTTAGAATAAAAGTTCAAACATGTTCCGTATTATGAAAGAACGGTAAAATACATTCGGTGTATACACTGCTCAACAAATCTCTCGTGACATATCCTACTAGACAAGGGTAACCCGTAATTGGGTTTAATCGTTAGGTTTTGAAAATATTTGGGGATAAGAATAACATTTTACTATTATATTTTAATCTAAAACATAACTACAAATGAGTTGTAGTCTAATTGAAACTATATTTGCTAGTAGCAGCACTATTCCCAAGTTCAAATCACATAGACCCTATCCCTTAAATATTATTTGTAGTTTGTACCCATATGTAGAATACTATTGGAGGTTGAATAATCATTTTCCATATTTTAAGGGTGTTCCACTATCACTATTTTTTTTTTACCCATACACAAACAACTATCAAAGGTTGGATAATCATTTTTCCAAATTTTAAAACCTCTGTGTATCCGCTCCTGGGTAAGGGAATAAATTTGATTCCTGTTAGGACGATATATAATAATTTTTAGGATAACGTTTAGCAAAAACTTATGCGGCTTGCATTACTCAATCAAGTAGCAAATGTCAGCATCAATTACATCCCCTATTATCACAGGGTAATTCTCAAACTTAGGGATGGCAATTTTGACATGACCCGATTTACCCGACTTGTTTGGCCTGTTTTGGGGTGGGGCGGACATGGGTACCTCTCATCGACCCGACCTGCCCTGACCCGCCACATTCTCGACCCGTTCTTGCCTAAATTACATATAATCTTAGTTAAATTACTTAGGATTTTCCTCTTATTACATTACATTTTAGATATAATAAAGTTGCAATTAAGTGAAAACCTCAATTTCTTCAATAATTTAACTAGATTTTATCATATTATGGTTTCTTTCTTGGTCTTTTAATGAAAATAACAAATATTTCTAATGTTTTTCACATAAATTTCATACCCATTGGGTCGACCTGCTCCGACCTGCGCCCTATAATAAATTACCCGACCTGAACCCGACCTGCCATGGGACGGGTATGGGTATCGAGAAACCCGCTCCGGATTTGCCCATTACCATTCCTACTCAAACCAACTAGTCTCAATTGGACCTCTAGGAAGCAAGTGGGCTAGATGGCGAGCCACAATATTATGCTCTCTATGAGTAAAATTCCATGCACACACATCCACGATCTCTCCCAACTCCTTGATATCCCTGCAAACGTAAGTATTCTCAAGTCTGCAATCTTGATACTTCCGAATCAGGTCGATGATCATCCTGCAATCTCAGGAGTCCAACTTTCATCTTCTCTTCAGGAGCAAGCAATGACTAGTTAGCCATTGCAATCATGGATAACACACTCCAGACTAGTTTTGCAATCACTATAAAACCCTGCATCCGACTTGAGTTTAAATAGGCGTATCGGTGGCTTCCCCTTCTAGCTTGCTATTGATATTTATTCATTAAGTAAATTGCAAGCTTGGTCATTGGGATTACTAAAAAATGGTAATTTGCAATATGGTAAACTTATCTAAAATCGTCCCCATTGCCATCATCTCAAGGAGACATACATGATCTCATTAGTTACAACTAGCTATCAAATTATACAAGTTGGTTATGACATGAGAGGCAAGCCGATTGATGAGAAGAAGATTCAACAACTGGTGAATTATGCAAACATCTCACTTGGCCAGCAAATGGATTGAGAAGCTCAACAAGATGAGAAAGGATGGACAGAGAGAACTAAAAAAAAGAAGTCTATGCCTTGTGTGTGTAAGGCAAGAGCCAAATGAATAAGGCTTTCGCTATTTTTAGTGTGTTTTATAAACTTGAGTGATTAAACACCAAATATTTTCTTTGTCTTGATCCATAATTAGCACTACTTTCGTAATACCAAAAAAATGGTATCAGAGCTAATGTCTTTCTATCTTCTAAAAAATTCACAACTTTCTAGACTACGCAAATTTCCTCAAAAGGTATGACAACGACTTCATCAAATACCATGTTTGCTACCTCCTCAAATTAAGAGCCAAATGAATAAGGAAGTGGGTCTAGTGATTGCCAATGAGAAGGGAGAGCCAATAATTACTACCTCAATACTTAATTTGTCGTATGAGAAATGAGTATGAGGATAACTGATGTCACGTAGTGACGAGGATGCCTTCACCTAGTACGGAGGGGAAGGTCGTGAGTAATGATCGACCACTAACAAGGTGGGATCACCGGGAAAGAACGGACATGAAGGATGAATGATCGAAAGCCGAACTTATTGCCTTAGAGTTGGAATGAAGTCAGGGTCGCAAATAGTAAAGTTTAGCTATGAGAAAGTAAGTATATACGAGAACCTTTCAAGGTTAATATGTTCCCAATACGATATTAGTTATCTAAGAAGTTATGCTCATTAGGAATAGGGTAACCATGACAGATTCAAGAGAAAAGGGAATCATGGTCATCTCGGGAGTGAGATACATAACCAGCGGATAAGTTAGTTGAACATGTGATGACGTTAACAAAGAGAGTTATCTAGAAAAGGCATCTTTTAAAGATATCTGATGGGAAATGGCGATTATTTTGATCTATGAATAATCATGGGGGTGTACGGTGTACCCCAATGAGTAAAAGAGATCTTGAGGACAATTCCTCGGAGAAAGCCAAAAGAAGGGGAGACTCCAAGTTGAGGAACCATCTAGATAAAGAAAATAAAAAAATGGTTAGGATTCGAAATCTGGTATCGTTGGAACTCAAGCTCGCAACGTCCCGGGCGAGGGCAAAGAGGCGCACCACTCCGGCCGCGTTCCCTTTTGATATCAATATACCAAGCTCACTGTGTGTTATTGTGACGAGTCAACCTAGGAACCCAATGATACGAACTGATGTAGTGGGCAATGAAAGTTGTAAATTGTGGGAGATGCCGATGTAGGAAGTGAGGAACAACTGCTCAAGTCACACTTAGGAAGTAGTTACTTTGTTATCGGCGAAAGTTATAATGTGAGAAACTCGATGATTTTCTCAACCCCCATTGATGAATGGAAGGATTTCGGGGACGAAATCCATTTAAGTGGGGGAGAGTTGTAATATCTTGGACTAAACGAAATGGAATACATTTGAAATGGAAAAATAAAATTCTTCTACAAATTTTTAACCGAGCCTCCATGTGGTGGAATTTGCGTCGTGGTGGACTGGAGAAGTGTTGGGATTTTTTGGGACGAGGGTATACGTACGATAGCCCGAGACTGGGTGATCAAGATTGTGATAGAGTCGTGAACAACGTTCACTTTCCGAAAAGAATATTTCCACCATCTACAAAGCCTTGGGTTACAGGAAATTTCTCCCGAGGATAAAAGTATCTCCACTTTAGGTTCTAGGCTCAAGAACTCTAAAGCATACTTAGAAATTTTTGGAAGAAAGAAGAAGAATATGTTTGATGGTATCTGGCATCATCCACCCCACACATATTTATAGGGGCCGAATCCATGCATTGTTTCATGAAAGGTTGCCTTTATCCATACGAAAGGTTGCCTTTATCCATATGAAAGGTTGCCTCTATCCATATGAAATGTTATCCTTATCCATATGAAGGGTTGCATCTATCCATAAGGTTATCCTTATCCCTAAAATAATACAACCGCCACTAGGCCAAAGGGATGTGTCCCTTCACGGAATTAAAATATCGGTTCGGTCGGTCTAATCCCAAACCAGTTGGTTGGTCCAACCCAAAACCGATTTAGACTTGGTTAGTCCGGTTCCACCAAATTTCCAACAAGAAGATGTAACGAGAAGCAATAAACCAGCACATAAACCACTAGGCTATCTACTATTTGTTGGAAAAGGGAACCCCGACCCAGTGGCGGATACATGGGTCTTTAGGGGTGTCCCGGGAGGGATGGGATTAGGTGCTAACCCTTATAGGGGTTAGCACCGTGATAACTAGCAAAAAATGCTACTAAAAATAACGAAATCACTACGGATTATTATAAAATCAATACAACATCTAAGCTAAATCACTACTAATTCAAACTAGTAGTAGTTTTTCCCTTGGTTAGGACGGTGCTAACTATTGTACAATTAGCACCGTAGCCGTTCCCGTCCCGGGACACCCCTAAAATTTGGGAAAACTATTATCCAACCCCCGGTAGTAGTTTTGATGGATAAAAAAAATTATAATTGGCAATCCGGGACACCCTTAAATTTTGAAAAACGATAATCCTGTCATCGGTAGTAGTTTATCTATGATTAAAAATATATAAGTAGTACTCTGTGTTATTCAAACCTAGGACACTACTATTATTAAACATATTCTCTAGGTTGCAACTCATTTGTTGTTTTATTTTAAACACTATGTTATAGTAACACTATTCTTTATTCCCAATTATTTTCAAAACCTAACAATTAAACTCATTCGAGCTATCCTTAATTTGAATTGATTTTATAGGTATAGTGCAAGAGTTGAAAGAGTCTTTCAAGTTTGAGTTACATCAGGAACAATGTTAGAAATTGAATATGCGATCAGTTCGAGAATTATTGTCTAATATGGTATATTTGCACTAATCAGATATTTTTTTATTTATGAATTATTTAATTAAATTTAATTTTTGGATGAGGACACCCCTATAAAAATTTCCCGAATCCGCCACTGCCCCGACCAGCTATAGTATTTTCCCTGTTCCTATGGTCTATGCGATCAGCCAGCTGCAACCATTACAGTCGTTTCTAGGGATGGCAATGGGTCGGGTCGGGGACGGATAGTGCATATCCGTTACCCAATCCAAAGTAGTTCAGGTTTTACCCATACCCATACCCACATATGAAACAGGTAGAAAATTGAAACCATGCCCATACCCGTTCGGGTTTCGGATATCCACGATTATCCATGCTAGGTAATCATTTCTCTTCATAACTCCAACTAATATGTTAACATTCACACGTATTCTCACATTACGCAAGAGGAAAAGTATGACAATAATTCACTAGAATGAAGATAATTAATTAAAACAACACAATTTCATGAAAATATTATATTTATATGCTAAATATAAAATATGTTAGAGAAAAATAATGACTATTTCTAGACAAAATACATATGTATGTGTATAATCGGGCGGGTTCGGGTTGGATATTGAGAAATCCATGCCCACCCATTACCCGCAATATTCGGGTTCGGGTTTTACCCATACCCACTAAATGTCCTTCGGGTTCGGGTTTTACCCTACCCGATTAGGCCAGGTTCGGGCGGATATCCACGGTACAGATATTTTTGCCATCCTTAGTCGTTTCATTTATTTGTATACAAAGGATATAGTGGTTAATAATTTGTATAGAATTAGTTGGTTTCAATCATTAATATGACTACACATTCATACGTCATAATTATGGGTCATGAGTGCCGAAAGTGCATTTGAAATCGTTGTCAATCCAATCATGCATAAAATGACCCATACTAAAATGTGACCAAACATGTCGAGCAGTCTAAACCGCACCAAATTATCTACCTATGAGGTTTGATTTGACCGAACCAATTATATATTGCGGTCAAATATGCGATGCGATTCAATTAACTTATGATGCGGTACGGTTTGTGCCAATACAATGTGGTATGATTCGACCGCACCACTTGCCCACACCTACTATCATAAAAATAAGGGACGTGGGTGTATGTATGAAAACTCAAAACCAAAGGACTAGAATTTTGATAGAGTCGTGAACAACGTTCACTTTTTCGTAAATTTTGAGGTGATGGATTCGTCCGTAAATTTTGACCTTAAATCAGGTCGATCATATTTCCAACACCTACTTCCACGCCATAAATTAGACAAAATCAACAGTTGCATGTAACTTGTGGGCAGTTTTAGTTTATAGCACATTCATGATCGCGCGACGTATATAATACACATTATAATTAAACAGGTGTACGCCAGAGGATTAGGTATGAGTTATGAGCAATATTTTGTAATTAACATCTACTCAGTGGATGTGATAATGATGGCCGGCAGCCATGGACAGAACTCAGAAGCATGCACGTAACTTGTCTGGGAAGCATAGTATATAGTGATGAATCCCCTAGACCCACAATCCTCTCTTTCGCTGCAGTGGCGTCTGGTGGGTGCTATCATCATTGTCTCTTAAGGTTCTATGTATCTCTCCGGCTGCAACATCGTCTATGAAATCGTACCGGATATCGTATCGAAAAAGTCAACGATATGATATTTTATGATAAAATCGTGGTTTAATCGTAGTTCAACTGTTAGACCGTTAAATACCGTATACCAGTTTAGTTTCCAATACTGGTATTTCGTGATTGAACCGCCGGTACGGTACGGTTTAGCGGACAATATATTTGTAATAATCGTGATCACGACACTTGCCTATCTTAAATCAATAACCAGCTAGCTAGTGTCATAAGCATAATGATAATGATGGGCACTGCTGGTGTTTCCTGTAGGACCTGACGAACCACCATTTTTTTTTTGTCCCGAATGAAACAATTGATCATTACCAACTTAATGATGATGAGCTCCATTGAGACTGCGATTTGCTTTTTGTTCCTCTCAAATGAAGCATGCATTTCGTAATTACGTAATTAGCTAGCCTTTTTTATTTATATATACATGTTATATAACTTGCCCTAGTGGGAAATATGTGAGAATTAGGGCCGGGACATTAGGCTTTTTCTCTTACCTTTTTTTCTACTTTCACTTCCCTCAATTAAGGTAGTAATAATGTAAAAAAAATTGAGGTGGAGAAAAGAAGAAAAGTAACCCTAAGCGAGCTGTTTTGCACAAATCCAACAATCCTCCAGTTGGTAGGTGTTCTTCTGCCCAAGAGACTTGGAATCCTAGGTGAACTCTTTCACACAGCTTTCTGCATTAGGGATACCAGCACCTACTTTTCCTTCGTCACTAGGTCGATACGACAATGGCAACTCCATTACAAAGTAATATCGTACTCGTACTAATTTATCAGTAGTGGAATCTACCGAAATCGATCTAAACTCGTTAAATTATCATATATATAATCATAATCGCGAATGACTCTCTCTATCAGAATTTGCACGACAAATAATCATACAACAGCGTAAAACCAAAAATTTTCACCAAAGCTTATATAAATCTCCATAATTACATCCTCCCTTAATTACTAGTTAACAACTGATTGGAGTTACACACATTACAAAAATCATCATCGCAGGAAGAAGAAGAGGGGGAAAAAAAAACAAAAACAAAAACTCAACATAATTAAAGAAATTATTTGAAAAGAAACACAAATGAAAAGGGAGAAGAAAAAAAAAAGAAGCTAGGGTTTTGTTTTCAAAACTTCAATCTTTGTGATCCACAACATCTACGCTAGCAGCACAAGACAACAACCTGTGGAAGATCCTGTAAAACGTCCGGCAGGACATCTCCTTCACTTTCCTCAACACCAAGCACTTCCTGCCCTTTCGCCGGCCGCCGCCCTTCTCCCTGCCGCCCTCGGTCCCCTTCCGCCGGCCGACCTTGTCCTTGACCCTGCCGAAGCACTTGCGGGTCTTCTCCGGGACGGTTTCCTTGCGGGAGAATGTGTAGCTCCTAAGATACATCTGCCTGCAGGAGATACTGTCCACCACCCTCGGCGGCTGGTGCTGTACGCCCTGGCTCACGCGCCGGACCGACTTTATGAACTCGGCGTCGGATTCCGGCCACTTGTATAGGTTCACGTACGTGGCCCGAACCGGCCGAACTCGCGGGTCTCGCGTGTCCTTCACGCACTTGTCGATGCACGCTGAAGCCATTGGATGTCGGAGTTTTTTTTTTTTGGGGCGGTAGTGTTGGAAGTTGGGGTTTTATACACCAGGCAGCTAGGCTTAGATTGTAAGAAAAGTTACGGGGGAAGAGAGAGGGGGAGAATTTAATTAGCTGTGTTTTCTGTTCGATTTGTGTTGTTTTGTTCTCGACTCGTTCTATCGTGATTTGCAGTAATATCTATTAGTCTTGTATATATTATCGGTTGATCTTTCTAAAATCATATTTTTATCTCAAAGAAATTTTTAAGACTCGATCTTTGAACTATTTATGATTAATTATTCCCATTACTGTATTTCTCGTTCATTTATAAAATATTTTCTCTTTGTCTTCTTGAAAAAGAATTAGATGGCGACATTCTTTTGCAAATAACATATAAGAATTAGTGGACCATCAACCCCGTCCTGCCCCCGTAGCCGTACAAGCATGTATAGCTACTGAGGTACTCGTCCTTCCTCACCCACGGTCATCACTAGAGTCTAGAATCCCTCCTATTCCTCTTGTCCTATTAATACACTTGTAAAAATAATGATTCATAGATTAGGACATGGTTAGTAACTAATGCATAATTTTTTTTTCTATGTGGGTGATGAATGTGCCACAAGGGGCATTGATGGCAGGAAAGAGAGAAAGATCAGAGTATATCAGATATTTCAGAAGGGAGGAGTCAAGTTATGGTGAAAATTTGTTGATATGACTTAAATAAGACTATTTGGTTGCGCCTAGAAGTCATGGGCTTATACATGTTTGGGTTTCTATTCTGGGCTTGCATTGAATCTCAACTAATGATCATTTAGGTGTCACAAATCCATTCAAGAGACATTTAGCAGCAATAATGTTTCCTAATGCAAGTTAGAAGAAGATGGTTTTTGGAATTGATATAAATATTTTAAAAAAAATTGATTCTAAATAACGAATAAAAGAGAGACGATCATAAGAATGTATGAATACTCTCACCTTACGATGATCAAAGACAAAGGAGTAACCTTTTTTGCTTCCTTGGTACTATTGTTCTCTGTAGTCTATAGCGTCTCGATGAATGTTTATGAAGATTTATTATTACTTTTGGTGGCTGATGAATGTTACGATTTACCATTAGTGGCAATGAGTGTGTTTTCTGAGACGTAGAGGTAAGGGAAGAGGCAAGAAAGAATTTGTTTTTAACACAAGGAAGAAAATGTCTCTTGAAATCAGTAACTAATATTGGCAGCATCCAGAATTACTGTATTCCCCATGTGACTGCATGATTAAATAGGTAAATGTGGTGCAAGGCTATTTAGCGTTTCAAAATAATTGTGTGAAGTGGAATCCCTTTAATTTCTTTGTGATCGATCGTCAACCCTACATCACAAGATCGATGTCGACTTTATTGAATGAGGGGTTGATCTGCTTCGACACTGAATTGCATTTGGAAATTTTAGTGCATTTTTTCCTCTCCTAATCCAGCTATGAGCCAGCTTGTGAGAACATGCTCACAAATTGACCAACAGTCGGAATCGTGCGTTCGTACGTACGTTGGGCACTTTGTAATCGTTGGATGAATGTGGTGACATTTTATCTACAAAATTTTCATCGCCTCCGTACAACAATTATAAAGTGATCAATGTGATCTTACGATTGTGTGCCTCTGCGTCTAATTGGTAATAGTTGAGTTAAAGGTCTTGTGTTTGAATCTTTGCGACCTCGTTTTATTCACATAATATTCAAATTTGTGCAAACTTCAATTCCATATAAGGTGGGTCTTTTATAAGGGGATGTGTTAGTAAATGATATAAAATATATTATTGAACCTCACCCAACAACTTTAGTTATTGACAATACGGTTCTCGACAAAGAACACAATTCGAAAGTGAACGAATAACTAAATCATGAATAATTGTTTGGTATAAGATTCATTATCAAATCTCTCTCAACAACTTAAGTTTTGATAAAATACCATAATATAACATGGGAATGTCCAACCCAAATAAGATAATTAGAATTTAATTTGTACACTACAAATTTAAATGCCATACGACATGTCATATTCAATTAATGCAACATTTTGAAACAAAAATACCACATACCCAAAATACTACATCCAAAGTACCCATATGAATTCGAAGTATGTACATCTGAAATGAGTTGCCACATATTCTTTGGAACTTGGCGTGGGAGCAAGGTTCAAAAAGGCGCTAGGCGTAAGGTGGGCGTTGAGAGTTCTCCTAGCACCTAGCTCGCCTAGGCGTAGATTATGCGTGCCTAGGCGCTGGAAGAAAAATAGCTATTCGCACTGCATGATGAATGGAATAATAATCTACAACACTTCCTCACTTCAGCTAAATGATTAATAACTTACTCAACACTTAATGACAATAACATAGCTCACGAATTCATAGAGTCATAGCTCAATAGCTCACAAAGTTCTTGAGCTATTGAAAATATTGATATAGAAAATTGATTTCGTAGTTGACGCTAATTTTCTAATTTAATATTGACTTCCTAGCTCCATCTAGTTATGTTAAAGAGAGACTTATATGTTGCCTTACTCTAGTCGTGTTCCAGTATCTAACTAGGCGCGAAACCCCTAGCGAGGCGTTTTGCCATCATCTTGCGCCTAGGCGTGCCTAAGCGTACAGTTAGACGTGTCTAAGCGTAAAGTTAAACGTGACTTTTTAAACCATGTGTGCGTGGGAGGATAACTGACAAATATGCAAAGGAATTGATTTGGAATGCCGTAGCAGGTGGAAAGGAACATATTCTTTCAAATAAAGCATGTGTACAAATGCTGTCGAGAAAGCATGTGTACAAATAGGTTTGGATAACCGAATGAACTACTAGTGTTGAGCAGAGTATTTCATTCAGACATTTTGCTACTTTATTTAGCTACACATAATTTAGTAGCCCGACTTCCTATTTGATTCCAAAAACAAATACGTGCTAATAACAATGGTGCATTTCAATCATCAACTTGTGCAGACAGAATCAATTTCTAAGCAATAATACCACCGTCATAATAAGAGCCAAAGCACTCGTACACCCTTTGCCTTTGGATATCGCACTTTTGCGTGAAACTTCCATGCTCCTTCACACACTGCACAGAACCAGCAGCCAGTGGAGCACAAGGCTTACAAATCAGAGCTTTGATTCAATCTTAAAGGTGGAACTCGATTTCCATGGATATTAAACGGTGAGCAATTACAAACCTTTTCAAGGAGCTCTTCCCAGAAGTTGGATTGAATCTTCTTGCGGTTGGAGGTTGGCACAAATGTCGGCTCTGCATTAATGGTCATCCCTGAACAAGGTAGAAAGTAGAAACCAACTTTGCCATATCAGTTTCTATATATGTCAAAATTTGTAGCAGCAATATACTTGACCAAAGGACCGGATTTCAACTGCCCATCGTATATATGACAGTCAAATTCTAGGGGTAGTTTGGATTAAGGATTTGAAAAATGAAGGTTTGTGTTGAATTTCGTGATTTGGAAAATGAAGGATTGGGGATGGATTTGGTTCATTTAGCATCAATGATTAGTTTCATACTTTCATTCTCTCAAATCTCATCAAATTATGTGAGATTTTCAAATCCATATACGTTGTTTGCTTGATGGATTTTGTGATGAATTTGGATCTATCATTATCATGAATTTTGTCCAAACTATATTGTTTGCTTCACGTATTTAGGGACAACAAATCGGTGGGACCCACGGACATTGAGGGTCCAAATCCGCGAGCCCCGCAAACTTGGAAATCTCGCCCCTTAGGTAGGAAATGATCATGGATTTTGAAGTTCATATCCAATCTACCCTCCTATTTCTTTTCTTTCTCACGCCAATGAGAACAATAAAAACTAAATTTCACTTCATACATACAATCTAATTAACAAGATCTATAATGAAATTTATAAACAAGAAATGATATTTTTCAAATCTATAATGAACACAAATCGCTCATATATCCATCATTTTCAAAACCCAAAATATGTTGATTTCACAAAGCAAACTACCCGGTCGTCAGTTTTAGGGCTATAAGCCTGTAACTGTGGCCCTTACTACCCGTCAGCCCGGCCCAACCCGATGGGTCGGGTAGGGTCAATTAGTCTTTAGGGCCAAAATAGGGCCGGGTCACATTCTGACCCTAGAGGGTAGGGTATTTTTGAAATTTACTCTTAAAACCCATTCAGGCTCATTTTGACCCATATTAACCCTAAATCCCTAATTACCCGACCCATTTCGGCTACATCCCTTCTTTCCTCGCAATAGTGCCGACTGCGCTATCATCTACATCATCAACCTCTTGAACTCCTCCTTCGGGTTCGTCGATTTCTTCACCACCGCCATCGCTTCCCCCATCGTCGACCCCCCGCCGTCGCATCTCCTTCATCCTCTGCGCCGGTCCAGCACTCGGGTTCACCCTCCCGCCGCCGCCCTCCCCTGCCCCCCGCCGCAACAGCTTCCCTTACTCGTTCTCGTTCCTCGTCGTCTCCCCGGCGCCGGATTTTTTCACATCCGCAGGAGATTGATGGGTGAGGAGGGAAAATAGAGGATCCTCTGCTCAAATCCGCAAGGTTAGCGCACGATTGGTTTACGCTAATTCTAGAGATTAGCGCATTGTGTCTCGTCTCGGATTTTTGCCGTGCTTGCTTGTTCACCCCTTTCTTTTGCATCGGATTGTGGGTTCTTTTATAAGTTGGTTGATGCCCTGGGTATGTATGCAACCTAATGCAATTGCCTCAAACAGACTGAAATAACTGCTCATGTCGTTTAGGGAGTTGCTTCCTGGTTTAACTTGGGAAAAGTAGGAGAATTCGTAGAACAAAATGAAAGGAGACATTACACGGAGTTGATGGTTGTAGATAGTCTAGATATTTGATTTATAAACGTTTATTGATTTTTTCTTAATGATGACGAGGATTTCATAATCTGTGATGCATGTCTATAGTATCCTGATTTGGGCGGAATCAAGGATGGTTGTTTGCTTCTATACTATGTACGTGAAAGTTCAGTTGTACGTTTCATAGTTATATACCATGGTTTAGTGCGCTACATAGGATAGTGATGATATTGGTATATCTGTTAGCGAAAAGGGTTGTTCGCAAGTGCTACACTCGTCTCATTTTGTGATCATAGTTATATCCCGGGCGAGCAGTCGTTCGAGCATGTAGAGAGTCGTTGAATGCTTGTTTATGAATCTTGATTATCGTTAGATTTTTAAATAGATGACTGAGGTACACCCCGGTGCTGTTTCAGAATGGATTCCAATCTTTCTTCTGTGGTTGTTGCAATGCTTGTTTATGCAGTCGTTGCAGCTGCTTGACCCAATTCAGCAGTCGTTGCAGCTATTACAGGACACCTTGCTGTCCATATAGCAATCGAGGTAAGCTACTGTTGTTTCTCATCTGTTTCAAGCTTCCTGCATTGTATATTTGTTGATTTTCTATTTATTTTAGTAGTTCTAGTGTTCTTTACACAGAAAGTTCCTATGAACCTATATCGCAAACTTGTATAGTTACTATTCATTCTTCTGAATCTTGACTTGCTTTGTTGTAATTGATGCTTTTGTGGATGGGTTTATCATATTATAAACCCGTTACGCAGCTAAAAGTTTATCTATTCTTTCTATTAGAAAACATGGGTAAGTTTAATTTAGTAATTAATGTGCTAAACATGTTAGTTATGTAAAGTAAGGATTAGGGGCTTAATTCAACTATACAAGTTTGCTCCCCCATAAAGCCATGACCAAATTTTTACGGTTCCTGTTCTTTTTGATGCATTTGTAGATTGAACAGTACATATCAGAGATTAGAAAGCTCCAAGAATCTGAAGCAGAAATCAAACTTTTTGGTATAGGAATTTGGACTAACTTAAATTTTCTGGAATTAGTTGGAATTTTTGTTATCAAACTTTTATTTTTTGAATTAGTTTAAAGAAATCCAACAGGCTATTAGAGTTTTGGGATTTGTTTACGTAAAGATTGGTTATACGGGAGTTTAAATAAGTTGTTTCAAACAAATGCACCGGTTCATGCTGATCGAACCACTCTTTTTCTCCAGCATGGCGTACGGTCTGCTTCTCAGAGCATAGGATATAATTCTAGCTCTGGCATTTTGGTTATATTGTTCTTCAGCTGAATTGGTCTCTATTTGAATCAGGATTCTGGAAGTTGGGAAGCAAAGGAGGGCAGGATGGTCGATCAAGGATTGAGCCAGCGGATAAAAGAGTAACCCCTCTTTGTGGTTTAGCTGACATGAGATTGAATTGTTCTTAGCTACCATCTAATTTTGCTTTTTGGACTCAGGGACAATCCTCAGTTAGCATCAGTACTGAAAGAAATGAAAGGAGGGTTGGATTTGGTGAGAAGTAAAGTTGAAAGCTTGACTGCTAAGGTAAAGGGTTTTAGGTTTTGAGGATATTACTTTTGAATGCTGGAGTTGCGAGGAGTCTTACGCTGTGAATGAAAGTTCAATTGAAGTCCTCCCCTGATGATTTAACTTGTTGAAAATGAATGTTTTTACCCCTTCTGGATGAGCAGGTAAAAGCTAATAATTATCCTACAGCTGATGGGATAAGCTACCTAGAGGCTAAAAATTTGTTGCTTCTTAACTATTGCCAATCGCTGGTGTACTACATACTTCGTAAGGCAAAGGGTTTGTCAGTTGACAATCACCCTGTTGTTCAAAAGCTTGTCGAGACGAGGTTGTTTTTGGAGAAGGTATGTTCATCTTTGTCTCCCTTTTATGCCTCTTTGTTCACTTGATGAATGTTTGTTGCAGAAATGTGGATATCAATTTGTGATGTTTTCTTAACAGATACGACCAATTGACAAAAAACTTGAATATCAAATTCAAAAGCTCACAAAGGGTGCTTCACAGCCTGTGGATCAAGTAAATGTCAATAGCAATACAGAGGCTCCTAGAAATTCTGAGGATCTTTTGAAGTATCGTCCCAACCCAGATATGCTTAATAACAAATTTGTGGTCGCCTCTGGGGTGAGTTTCGTTTTAAAAATTAGGCTGTCATTGGATGAAAGAATATCTGGCATTTCTTGTTAACTAATTTGGTGATCCCGTGTCCTAGGATGCTGTTGGTGTATATCGGCCACCAAAATTGGTCCCAGTAGAAATGGAAGGTGGCAGAATATCGAGGGAAAAAAGGAATGAAGTGAGAAAAGAGAAAGAGATGGTTAGACGGTCAAGACTGGGCTTCCAAAAAGATTTGTTTGATGACTTGCAGGGGAAGCCTGAAGAGGTTAGTTCATTCTCCGCTTTATTTATTCTTCTTGTTGGATAAACTTTTTCAGGCACTTGAGATCACCACTTATTGTATGTGTACATACCAGGTTAAAGAATCCTTTGGAAACGAGAGTAGGGAGTTCGAAAAATATCAGAGACACTGGGAAGCACGTGAGAAAGAGGAAGAAGACCAATTCATCCGTGCGCCTATCACAAAGAAGGAGAAGAAAGAGTTGAGGAATTTAAAGAGGTCAAGAGGCGGGTATGTTGCATCTTTTGGGGTTAATTTATGAGAAGTTGAGATATTATTTACTGAGCAAGCGGATGGGCTTGTTATTCAAATTTCTGTGATAATTCTCGACAACCTTTCCTGTTTCCATTCCTTTCTGGCAGGTTGGATGGTTTGACTGATGGTTTCGATATCAAATTCTTACCATTGGATGATGGTGCTGGTGAACAACAGAAAGCTAGAAATGGCAGTGTTGGAATGAGGAAGCATAAGAAACACAAGGTATGCTCAGAAATGTTGATGATAGCTTTTCCTTGTTTGTATAAGTCCCAAGTTTGACTTCCTACGTTTTGTACTCTGTATGGATATTCATATAACTAAGAGTTGGAAAACAAATTGCGCATGTGTGCTGCGAGGCTGAGATAATTTAGAGGATAGCTTAAGCAACAAACTATAATATATTGTTTATGGGTAGTATGGATGCTGTTGTAACGATCCTTGCCATGGGGAGTTCTTTTTTTTTTTGTGTGATGAATGTTGTTGCTGTAGTATCTTTTGGGTATATCTCGAGCTGATTTATCTCATCGCTTTATCATATGCAGAGGAGGTATTGAGCACAAGAAAAGCTGATGAATGTTGGATGAAGGATTTACCAATGCAATTCGGAAAAATGGAAGGGCAATGTTGTCGACAGAACTGAAACGTTTACTTCTTATGTAATTCAGGTGCAATAAGTGTTAGAAATAATTTCTTTTAGTATTTTTATAAGTTGGCAGTTTTGCTAATATATGTTGGTCACCACGACTCTCCATAGATTAGATCTTGAAATCGTTCGAAATTATAGATTTACTGAATTTTATAAATTTTGAAGTGGAATTTTATAGGATTTTAAAATTAAAAAATTTAGTAAAATCAAGATTGGAACCTATAGTCTATAGGTAAAATCATAGACTTGGAATTCCAAGATCGGGTATCCGATCGTAGCGATTCTTTTCCGACTCCGCATAACTTTTCGAGGTCTTACAAACTGCAAACAATTATAGGCAGTTTGGTCTCACCTTCGTCCTGAAAAACATCATTTGTTACTACGAACGAACAATTTTTGATTTTGCCAATTTTTGGATGACAATATCTTTGTGCCCCGCACTCTCTTCTCCCTCCCTTTGCTGAGTCCCCCTCTCCCTTCCCTTCTTTCACACGTTCAAACCCTTCCTCTCTTTTCCGTTCATCCCATCAAACCACCAAATTCCCACTCCTTCCCCCACACACGTCCAAAACCCCATTTCTTCCCAATCTCACCGATTCCACTATTTCATTCACCATCCCTTGTTCTGGGTACTCATAAGATTAGGAGTAGCTTTAGAAGCTTTTGATTTGCAGCTAGGCCTGTCGGTTCGATTTGGGTAACCGAACCCGAAAACGATGAAAACCCGAAAACCCGAACTCGAGCCACACAACCCGAAACCGAAACCGAACTGTGCTTTTGTGGGTTTTCAGGTACTGGAACCCGAAATGTATGCAGAAGCGGTTCGAAGCACAACCTGGCACAGATCAAGCAACACCCCCAGGTACCTCCCACTGCCAACTCATCCATAAATCAATTCCAACCATTTCCGAGAAACAACACCCAAAAACAGAATCCCGTCTAAGACAGCCATTCGCCCAAACCCCTAAATTCCCAGTTCCATCCCTGTAAATTCTGAAGAAGCGAGATTTTCAAAGAGAACTAAGGTTACTAGGTGAGGGGAAATGCCCGACGTCATCACGGTAGAGGCGATTGATGAGGACATCCCCTCGGAGGTTCAAGAAGTAGATGGCAGAAGCAGCCACCGGCATCTCTGCGATCCAGTGGGGTGGTCGGGATCCGGGGAAACCAGATTAGCGGGGAGACGACCCAATCCTTCCTTCCCTCAGTGAGACTGCGCTGCGCCTGCGGCTGTTTCGTTTGGCGAGTATCCGTTTTCGGTTTTTGGGTTGCTTTTCGGTTTTGCGGGTTTCAGTAACACGAAATCGATACTATAGATATCGGGTTGAACCCGAAAAAACCGAAACCGAGAATGAAAAAACCGGTTCGGGTTCGGGTTAACCCAAAAACCCGAAACCGAATTGACAGGCCTATTTGCAGCTGTTGTCAATGGTTTTATTCTCACTCAAAGAGAATCAATCGAAGTTAGATCTATCAATAAGAAAAGCCTAGATAATAGATCTCAAGGGGTACACACCCTTGAGCCAGGAAGTAAAGCAATACATCCATGGAATAAGATTAAACGATCTTGGTTGAAACTAAACATAATTTGTAATTCAATCCACAATTATTTTGTAGTGGGTTCACTCGATAATGAGTTACCATTGTATCGGCCACCCAAGTTCGAAGGTGTGATATATCTTAAATCTATATACTAGAAACATATTATGCATTCCGGTTATTGTTGAGGTGATAGCTCACTAGACTATATTGAAAATTAGTTCGATGAGGGTTGAAAATTAAAAATCGATTTTTTTTTATTGTCATGTCATCTATTTACCTATCAAAATTTATGGTTGATTGTTGTTTAGGATAAATTTAATGAAATTGAATGATAGGTGACCAATCACGATATGAGAATTTAAATTCAACTAAACTATGACCAAACTTGCAATTGAGTCCCTAGTCCCTACAAATATATACCTAATATAAACATTTATAGGGACAATTGTATGCTAGATGTGCGGTAAAGGAAACTAAATCCAGCCGGTTGCGACAACGACGAGCAACGCTACTACTGTCTTCTGAACGGCCATGGCTCACGTCGCAGCTTTCCCATGTTTTAGCAGCGTCCTTATGGCCGCCCGCCAGCGACAAAATGGAGGAGAGAACAGTACAACAAGAAGGCAGCAGCAACAGCTGAAAACATCGGGAGGAAGCACCAAGAAAGGTTTCGGCGGCGAGAGGAAGGAGCTTTCATGGAAATGCGTAGAGGGTTGCGGTGCGTGCTGCAAGCTTGCCAAGGGCCCCTCTTTTGCCACTCCCGAAGAAATCTTCTCCAATCCTTCCGATGTCGAGGTTTGCTCTCCAACCTTTATTTTTGTTGCCCGCCTACTGTTCGACGAAATGACCGACCCAACTGGTTCGCTTTCAGCTGTATAGAAGCTTAATAGGCCCGGATGGATGGTGTATACACTACGAGAAAAGCACCCGCAAGTGCTCTATATACGCAGGTAATGCTTAATTTGTTACAATAGAGTTCAAATATTCGCTACAGTTCAAGTTTAAACCACTTTTTGGCTCTCCTTCCCAGATCGGCCATACTTTTGTCGAGTCGAGGTTGATGTGTTCGAGTCCTTGTATGGCATCGACAAGAAGAAATTCAATAAAGAGGCTTGCAGCTCTTGTAGAGACACGATCAAGGCGATCTATGGTTTCGATTCAAAAGAATTGGATAACTTCAACCAGTCACTGAAGAAGTGAAAATTGGCGCTTACATAATCCATGCTCTGTTAGCTTCCAATTCATGAAAAATGCAACATCATCTGTACATCAAAGTAAGAAGCCTACTGAGTATTCATCTACATTGTATCCAGATCCAAATCGTCCTCAATATCATCACCATCTTCGAAAAGTTTTAGAAACCGAGCTTGTTCTTGTTGCCTCTTCTTCTTCAGCCAGTGCTTGTATGCTACAACTGACCCCAGAATCAAAACGGTGGAAACTAGAGCGCTGATCAGTATAATCACAGCAACACGCATTCCTTTCCCCTTGTGAGATGAGCTACTAGAGTCTCCATTTGAATCTGTCGAGGAACAATTATGAACCGGCAACAATTGAAAGTAAGAAAAGCCCTTAGCTATTCATCAACCAGCACAGATAATAGCAGATTTAAACTTAAAATGACAGGGCAACAAGAGTGTAAACCCTGATTGTTTCGCCCTCACAGCACGGTCAACAAGAGGGTAAAAGACATTTGCTTTGTGAAACTGATCAATTTGTGGATCCTAATTAAAATCCAAATAAAGATGGGAAATTTGCTTTGTGAATCACAACCCAAATGACAGATTTCCCATAAAAATGACAGGGCAACAAGAGGGTAAACCCTGATTGTTTCGCCCTCACAGCACGGTCGTGGAATCTGATCAATCTGTGGATCCTAATTAAAATCCAAATAAAGATGGGAAATTTGCTTTGTGAATACCACAACCCAAATGCTCCCAAGCAGTTCCACTGGAAGTTCAAACCATTCATTAATTATTCATTAACATAGCCATGTAGCTGAAAACTGCTTCATGCACAAGAACAAAAACTAAACACATTTTATAACGTCGAAATTCAATCATCTCGAGGTGTTGGGAGAACTCTAAGAATTGATCTAATACCAACCCCACACATAATATGATAGCATAAGAGGCTTTATGGAATTCCTTAGGTGAATTAGGTTCTAGTGATTGAGGGAATGCAGATGGGAAAACGATGGTATAACTATAAACAAGGAAAGTACTGACCAGTTGCCAGAGGCACGCACTGTTTGCACAAAAAGGCCGCATCAAACTCTTGCTCCTTGACACGCCGATACTTGCCATCCGAATCAAAAAAGTCTGAAGGACACAACTCCCATTCTTCAAACACATCGTCGGATTTAATGATGTGTTTTACATAGAACCCACAACGCTTGCATTTCTTGGACGTAAGCTCTGTCAATGGCTTAAATGCAGAACAAGGGAAAGCATCATAAAATTACTTAATGCGTTGCCTTAAATTCTACAAGCAAGGATCATTCCAGTTACTTTTCCATATCTGTACTGAAGCCATGAGTTCTTTCCTCCCTAGAACCAATTTCCTAAAAAAGGAGCTGATTCAACATGCCTTACCTGCCAAGATTCATCGCCATTGAACCTGTACGTGACATTGACTTCTTTGACGTCAGGCAATTCAATTTCGTCCTCCCCTTTGCAGCGGAAATACACCGTCGGGTTCGAACTCTTTAGCCACTCGTGAGTATTGTAAATTTCCATGGAATCCAGCGTGACGTCGGCCGAGAGCGTCAAGCCTGCAAAGAAATCCAGCTGAACTCTCAATCCCTAATGCGGCATAAATTGACCACACCCTGCTCCATTCGACGAATCACGAATATATAATCGATTGATCAAAAGAACATTCCGGTTCCTTACCGGGAAAGCAGCCGAGGAGGAGAATCGAATAGGTCAGAATCAGAGGCGAGAGCCTATAATCCTTCTCCGATCGAATCAACATCGAGAGAGAATCACAAAACCACCGACTCGAGAATCGAATCGCAGATATCCAAAGACGTTCTTCGGAGTTCGACCGGACCTGGATACACCAACGGACGAGCGTAGGCTCGACAACGGGATCAAGTTCTTTGCGTGCGTACACGGAGAAGAATTTTCCGGGAGGAAGGAGCTGACCGGTTCGCACTGCGAGCAATTCTTTTGCCACCTAATTTCGAAGGCAAATGGGGGAAAATAAATTGACACCTACGCCGCGTAGAAGGGTGCGAAGTGCGCCGGCTCGTACCTTTCATTTTGAAAGAATTGGCTGGGCGAGACTCACTCGAGCGTGGACAATTGAACATGCACAACGCCTTAACCTAAATTCGTCAAGGTAACATAACGTTTAATTTAGAATTCCAATGATAATGAGGAAAATCGTGAAAAGAGGCAATTCGCAAATCAAATAAAAAAATAATAGCGTATGATCTTCAACCAAAAAATCTTAATGTGGATTGGTTCGTTTACGGGAGGATACATGTGGCTTTAGCGGTGTTCGGGGATACTCTTAAAATTAAAAAAAAAAAAAGTCAGTCAACCCCCGTTAGTAGTATTGTATAGATAAGAGAATATAATTGTTAATCCGGGACATCCCTAAAGTTTGAAAATATGATTATCCTATACTCGGTAGTAGTTTGCGTATAAATTAAAAAAAAAAACATAAGTGATAGTCTGTGTTATTCAAACATAGAGCATTACTATTATTAAACATATTCTCCATTAGGTTGCAACTCATATGTTGTTCTATTTTAAACACCATGTAATAGTAAAAATATTATTCCTTATCCCCAACTATTTTCAAAATTTAACAATTACTCTAATTATGGACTACCCTTAATTTGAATTGATTTTATGGTTACTTGCTCGCTGGAACTAGAGCTCCAAAGCAGCTAGCAAGCACAAGCGGAGTCTAGTTCCAGTCACACTCATTTATAGAGCATCTTCCCGGGTTAAAAGTGAACTTCAAAAGACAAGAGTCATAGGTGATCTCGTACAAGGCTGCTAGCTGCAACATCACCTGTATTGGTATGAACGGAGCTATCCATGTTGAGGGTGACCCACTTGGGAGATGGCAACTTCCATAAGATCTCCACATTCGTTCATGATATTCCTCATGACAACTATCCAACGCTAAACGCGTTGTACAAAGGCTTCAGAAGTTACAATCTTGCCTGCAAACACACGATCGTTCCTGGTCTTCCAAAAGGACTAGCACATGAGGCCAAAGTCAAGAGGCCTATGTGCTACCGCAGTAGATTAGCAAGAATCAAAGATTGCAACCTGGCTCCAAAGAAGCACCGCTAAGACTTCCTCCTCCTGACTCGTGGCGATGGCGTAAGCAGTTTGGACACTAAATTGTCCGTTAAACTTCGATCCCAAGGTTAGAAGGTTCTCACCTGCTCCTTTCACAGAAGGTTGAACCCACAATAGTATTAGTGACTAGATCATTCCCCTGATTTTCAATAATAATATCTTGTTCCTGTGTTTCTTGGATTTTGTCATTGATAATAAGGACCGCCCCTTAATCCCTAATAGTAGATAGTAATCCTTTCCATTTTTGGTCCTCTTTGTTTGAAGTTTTATTTGGAATTGTTGGATATCTGAGGTTATAATGATATAATTCACCTATCAATAAGTTGTTAGATCGGGAAATTGGAGGATCGATAGGACAAGAAAATGAAAGCAATAAACGAATAAGATACACGGATTTATGTGGTTCACTAACACAATGTGTGTTAGCTAGTCCATGGGTAGGAGAGAGTCAATTTCACTATACTTTGAAGAGATAAGGATTACAGAGGGGTATGAAAAGTATTTATAGTACTTCTCCATGTGGTCTCACCCTAATCCAATCTGATAAAAGAAAAATGTTACAAATCAGGCACAAGCTTTCCCTTTGCCATTTAATTGCACAAGACCCAAGTGACACCCCTTCCCCAAATTTTTATTAATGACCAGCGTGCCTCTCATTTCCCTTCCCTTCATTAATTGTGGTCAACTCATTTAAATAAAAAAGTCATATGACTTGCATGTACCGTCACACTAGAAAGTGGCCAAGTGTAACCACAAACTAATGCGTAGTATAGCGTGTTTAGCTTTATTTGTCAACCTGGGTCCTAGATGTGATGACTACTTCGTGAAGTTTTTGTTATCTAACTGTTTAACCTTAATGAAGTTATAACTAATCTAAGCAAGCAAAAGGCAGTAAAGTTGTGATTCAAGTTCGAGAAAGGTCACCCAGATATTGCTCCCCCTAGATTGCAGTTAAGCCGAGTTGTAATTCACCAAGTCCAGATTTAATGATAGTTATACTGTGGAAGGGTCTTAATCAGTTTGAAGTATCTACCAAAGGTCTCCAAACCTTCCAGTCTGAATACCCGGGGGGCGACTAACCTCCACCAGAGTAAACGAACTGAGGCCTTAACGTGCAAAACCTCCTATACTGGAGCAAATAGTATAGAGCAGTGAATTGACTCCTCGACTCAAGTAGTCAATTCACCACCTTCAATTAAGGGTGCTCTATCAATCTATGCAGATATTCTCTTCCTATGCCAAAGTAGGAACTACAAGAATATGATCGGGATTCATGCAATTCAGAAAGTCATGCCTCAATTGAATATAATCTAGGGTTCTCCATACCTAGGTGAGAGAGGGAGTTTACTCCATAGAGAGAGAAGAGAAGTCAACTTGAGATGCATAAATCATCTTGTGGAGGATGAACTTCAGCTTCTGGTTGTCAATCGACACTTTTACAGGCTTCAATCGAGCTCCAATGGCGTCAAAACTCGATCTAGGTCACCTTGGAGGTTGGGTTCGTAACTTTCTCTCTCTAGGTCTCTATTTCTTGCTCTCAAATTTGGATCCCTTCTCAAAGATTCGAAATTGGGTTAAAATCCAGCTCTGCCGAATTACACGGCCAGACCACACGACCGTGTGAATCTCCGGTCTGCCCGTGTGAACCCCGAACCGCAGCGTTGCACTCAGTTGTTCGCTGGGTGTCACATGGCCAGGATGTACGGCCGCGTAGAACCCAACCTTGGCCATGTGGACTCCATGGACACCCCGTACGACCGAAAAGTTCCCTCACACGGGTTGTATGGCCCTGTCCGCGTAAACTCCCTTGCACATCCAACTTGCACGGCCGTGTAGAATTATGGCGAGGCCGCATGAACTCCTCAGCTTCCTGTCGAATGGCCTAACAAGAACAACCTTCATTCACGTATTAGGACTTGAAATATCACTAACATGAACAACCTAGCGTGAAATTGGCCTAAAACACCAGAGACGAGGCCGAAACAGTATAAGCATGGTGGACAAAATATGTGCAAATACCTAGTCATCATCATCCGAGCAAAATGTTCCTATTGGTTGAAACTAGTGTTAGCACTATGCTAACAAGAAAAGTGTTGGCACACTAGCCCCTCCCGTTTCGTTTTAATGGTGGGCTTGTTTGTTTTTGTTTAAAATTAATATAGGAATAATCAATGTATTATGGTTAATTAATAATTCAATGAACAATCCATATTTATATGTTTCACTAAATTTATAACAACGAGTATTTTGCAGTTTAAGGTGTGTGAGTTACAATTATTAGAGTTGTGTATGAGGCTTTGTATTTGAACATTTTATACCGACAAAATGTATATTTCTAAAAAAAAAAATTAGACGACATGACTTTTTGACACTTATAGATCTACCCCTGCTTATGAGTTTAATAAAAATTTACTCAAACTCGATAGTTAGTAAATGAATCGAGTGTCCAAAAAACTCTTTCCGACCTAAAAGCTGAACCGAGCATCTTAGTTAATTTGCAACCCCAGTCGTATGTAATGTAGTAGGTTGTACAAAACTACAAGTTAGTACAACTTTTTTTTTTTTTTTTCCTTCTAACAATGCTGGGCCTAAACCTGGCCTGCCGTATCCTACATTTCTACCTAATATTTACCCAAAATCGGAATTAAATTTGGGCCCATAATTCATCGCTCTCCTTCATTCTTGCTTTACCCTCGTCGTTGGTTTCGCTTGCTTCTGCTACTCGACTGGTTAGCAACCCGAGAGAACCGACCAGTTTGCCTCGCCGGACCTTCAAGATGAGTCTTCTAAGAAACGGAATCCGATCGGCCTTCGCTCTCCGAAGCTCGGCTTCAAGACTTGGATCTCCCCCGTTTCTCCTTCAATCTGCGAATCATTTCTCCACCGAAGCAGGACGGCCTCTTTCCCCGGCATCAGCGCTTGAAAACCCATCCGTGGATCCGTTCCTTCAGAATCCTGGCACCGGTACTCTCATAAACACCTTTATATTTCAGCTACTCCTATGGAAGGAATCACCTGTTGTGCGAAATTAACGATTAGGAAATGGGGTGGGTTTAGTTTAGGGTTTATGGCTAGTGAATTACGTTTTTATTTTCTTTATCTTTTCCACCTTCTGTTACAGCATACGGGAAATTGTTCGGCAACACTAGGCATACGCTGAAGACGGACATTATCAATATGCTAGAGGGCTGTGACTTGGGTCTTGAGGATATCAAATTCAACTACACCCGTGGCTATGGTCCTGTTGCAGTGTATGAAGATTCGTCTCTGTTAATTGTCGTTTTTTAGTACGAATTTCATGGATGTTTTGATTTTGCCAGTCATGCTCATTTCACTATCTACTTACTGCTTGTCTCCATTGAGATCATTGGAGATTCATAGTTTGAGTTCTTAACTTGGCAAGTGATATATTGATTGCTTTCAGGCTATTACAGTTTCCTTCCCGTCAAGCCTACGACAATGCATTTAAGGTCATTGCGAAGAAGGGTCGTTTATACAGGCTGCTAATGGTGTGTGTGTGACTGTAGTTAATCTGTCACTAGTAAGGTTATGTGTTTCGGTTCGTGTTGTTCTTTCATCTAGGTGTTGCTTATGCTGCTAACTCTGGATGACAGGCTAACCGTTCTGAGTGGGATCTTCAACAGCCTTTCTATGGAAAAACTGTGAGTCAAGTTGATTCTCTTCTTATTTTGCCCGTTGTACTTTAGCTTTCCTTCAGTTTTCCCTGTTGATGATGAAAGCCATCAACCCTTAAATCAATCAACTGAATGCAACTTTGTATGGTCAAGCAGTGTGGAGTCTTTCATCCCATATTCTTTGTTTTGTCTCCATCTTCAGAATTTTCTAATTTATCTGTATAAATTACATTTTAAGCTGCATTTTTAGGGATCCGACGCAAGGAAATATATGGCAGGCCTTGCAGCTTTAGGTCATATGCAAATTGTTTTAACAAATGAAGCAGTTACTCTCATTACAGTAGTGAACACTTGAACCCATGTATGATGTGTGATGAGGTTCTTGGTGACTTTTTGAAGTTTGTGCAGCTTGAAGGATACTGCATGTTAAGCTTGGCATGATCATAGCATATCCCAGCAGCTGCAAGTTTGTTTTGGTATATTTGCATTGCATGCCTTCATCTCAAATTTTCTTTTCAATTAACATTTCTCATTCATTGAAGGTTCTGGTGCAAGGAGTTCCTCCAAATGCACAACTAGACGATATCGAACGCTTTTTGTCAGGCTTTGATTTTGACTCATCTTCCATCCAATTTATAAGGTTAGTGGCAAAAAATAGTGAAAAGGTTGAGTTGATTTCCTATACCGCATTAGTCATATCATGTTTCTCCATCTTAAGCTTGGCATGATCATACCGCATTAGTCATATCATGTTTCTCAACGGGAGGCAGCCCTTTACATTCCTATCCTATTGCAGGCAAGGGATGCCACCAAATTCCATAAGAACTGCTGTAGTGAAGTTTGCGTCCCAGGTGCAAGCAATGAATGCATTGATTTCCAAAAATGGAGGCTTTTGTCTCAACAATCGAGTTGTGATGCGAGTTATTCAGTAACGTCCTGCCTTGGCCTCAGCTACTGCATCTTCAGTCTTCATGGTGCTTGGGAAAGGACACATCGAATGTTACTGGGAGCAGTTAGTGAAGAATTTGACAGACTTCTTTCTTTCACGTTGTTAGACACTTGAATGATCGCCACTTCCTTTCGGCTATCAAATTTCTTGCACCGCAGCTCAAGTTTAGGCTCGGAGTTGCGAACTTTTGACTCAGAGTTCAGTTTTACTAACATTGGTTTAGTCGAATTATGTATCTTCCCCGTTCCCCATGCTAGTTGAACAGCGCATGAGTAGGTTAAGAAATAAATGAGGCTTATAGTTAAAAAGACCGTTGTCCAAACAGGGAAAAACCGTCTCCTCGAACTTTTGACACCCAAGCAGCCTTATATTTCAGGCACAAAACTTAGTGTTCTCATATGGTCTGCCAGAGAATCCAAAACATCAACAACTTCACCAAATCTTCTGTTGTTTGATCCATCTTCTGCTCTAAATCTACTCACCTCGTTCTTGATCTCAACCCAACTACACCCAGGATTCGTCTTAAGCCCTCTATCTTTCATCAACTTCCTCACCCTTGCAGTCTCGCCCCAACACCTCTCGCCAGCATACAACTTTGCGAGCTGCAAGTGTGTTGCGCCACACTCGGGTTCCATCAACAGTTTTTGCTCTGCAGCTTGTATCCCTGGCCAAACACTCCCATGAAGCCGACATGAAGAAAGAAGCGAGCCCCATATGACTGCATTTGGATCCATCGGCATTCCCTCGATGACTCCTTGAGCCTCTTCCAGCAACCCAGCACGCCCAAGAAGGTCAACTAGGCATGCGTAATGGTCTACCTCAGGCGTCACGCCATGTTCATCTGCCATTGATTTGAAGTAAATTCTTCCCTTCTCCACAAAACCTGAGTGGCGACAAGAAGATAGAACACCGAGGAAAGTAATGGCATCTGGCTTCAGGTGCTGTTGATTCCTATTCATTTCTTCAAACAACTCAATTGCCTCTTCCGCCAGGCCGTGTTGAGCGTATCCAGCTATCATCGAGTTCCATGACACAAGATCTCGATTATTGCTACTCATGTTGTCGAAGACTAAGAGTGCATCTTCTAGGCTTCCGCATTTGCTGTACATGGAAATGAGGGAGTTGGCAACGTGGAGATACGAGTCCAAACCCATTTGAAGGGCTTGACAATGAGCACTTTTTCCCTGCCCAAGAGCTCCAATGCCGGAGCAGGCACTCAATAGACTGGTGAGTGTGAAGTCGTTAGGTCTGAGTGTTGACTTCATCATCATCTCGGAGTAGAGCTCCAAGCAAAGATTGACATGGCACTCCTGTGCAAACCCGGAAATAATTGCCGTCCAAGACACCACATTCCTCACGGGCATTTCGTTGAACACCTTGTGTGCATGACCCAGTTCCCCGCATTTGCTGTACAGCGTGATCAAAGAGCACCCCACGTACGCATTTGCGAGAAACCCAGTTGTAATTGCCAAGCAATGATACCGAATGCCGCCACGAAGGTTGCGGACGGACACACATGAGCTCACCGCGCTTGACAGGACGACAGCACCTAAGACTCCTCCTCCCAAATCTTCTTCGTTCTCGGGAAAAGGCTCCGGAGTTTTATTCGCTGCTACATCGATTTCACCATCTCCAGAGCTGGATGGAGGTCTGTAACCATGAATTTGGTGTTCCTCCTCATGGGTTTGATCCAAATCCGTTCGAAGAAAGTCCTCAGTGAGACGCAGATGGTTTCGGCGATCTCTAACGACGATATCTCTTCCGGTGGATACGATGTCCAGAATCCTAAGTGCCTTGTCCACGCGCCTCTTCTTTGTTTCGCCGGTGATTCTGTAATAAGAGAAAGCTCTGTAGTGTTGTAGGCTCGGGTAGAGTATCTGCAGGGTGAATCGAAGAGCAACAAGAATCATGCCTCGGCGGGAGAGCCCTTCTCCTTCCCAAATGAGTTTCAGACTTTTTTTTCACAGTTAACTTGCGATTTCATTTCATTAATAAGAGAAATTAATCAACATGAGCAGAGCAGAAGAGGGCAAATCTCAGTAGATGTACATCAGGTCAGAGAAGAGTTGGATAGGGGTCTAAAACTCTAAATGCCCAAAACACTGTCTTGGCCCAGCCCACTGTAGATGGGTCAATAAATGGGCCAATCATTTCCACTACTCTTTTAGTAGAGTAACTTTTTGATGGCAAGATGGACCACAAAATACTACGAAACTACTAAACAAATAACAAAGCAAGAAATTAAAATGGATTCTAATCTTCTCATGATATTAAACTAAAGAATGAGTACATATTTATAGGGATAGAACCTTTCAATTCTCCTACAAAAAACATGACTCCTACTCCTACAAAGGAAACAACTAACAATAAGTCAAATCCTACTTAAACAAGGTAAATACTAATACAGACATAAATAATAAAGACACACTAGCCCAGATAATTTACCCAATTGCTACGATGGCCCGGTTCTCGTATCAATCCTCCCCCCTTCGCACAACTTTGTCCTCAAGTTGGTTTTCTTCGTACATGAATTGACCTTCCTCTACTTTTGTGCACGAGTATGTGGGCACCGGGTCGTGCCGCCCACGGGCTAGCACGGCAAGATATGGTTAGAGCATGGCACGGGCACGAAATAAATGGGCCAGCCCGGCACGAGCACGAATAATTTATGAGTTGTGCCGGACCTAAACTTAATGGGCACGGGCACGAGCACGGGCACGACAAGGTATATAAGTGGGCCGTGTTGGGCCTAATATTTTCGAGACTTTATTGAGTATAAGAACGGAATGGCACTAAGATAATATTTATTTGATAGAAAATAAGTATAAAAAGAATTATAGATTCAAATATTACAAAACACAAGTAGAAAAATAATTATTTGTTGTTGTTAGAGGTGTCATAAAGATATATACGTAATTACTAACATGAGTAAAAATGGACAAAGAATTAAACAAAGCCAAATCACACTCGCTATACTTCCAATTTTCTTCCCCCCCCCCCCCCCTATTTGTTACTTTTCTCAAACATTATCGGTTAATACTATCTTCCCCCGTCCAATTTTCACCTTCTTTTTCATTCTCTCTTTTGTTTTTGTCCTTTTCATTAAACACGATACGAGCATGGCACGAGCACGAATAGGCACGGCACGATTCGAACCGTGCCCGGGCCTGGGCCAGGCCTAGCAAAGTTGACAAATGGGCTTGCATGGCACGACATGAAAACTGACGGGCCGTGCCAAGCACGACACGAAATAAATGGGTCCGAAGCGTGCCCATGCCGTGCCGGCCCAAGCACGGCCCAGCGCCCATGTAAAGTAGCATGTTCTTATTGTCACAATAGTGACCAATCGTGAAACGCTCGTCACAATGAAAACAACAGCCTTATGCCCGACGACGTGCTACCTCTTCTAGCGATATCCTTCTAGCATTTGGGTTGTGTGGCGGTGCTGCACATGGTTGGGCAGGTGCTGCCTCGGTCATGGTCTCCATAGGCTCCATTGGCGGATTCCGTGGCGCTTCGGGAGGCTTTGCTAGTTCCTCGTCCTTCACTTTTGCGAGTGGTATTGCCTTCCTCGCCGTTTTCTATTTGAACATGCGGATTGCATCAAAAATTTCAGATTTGAGCCCACCAATGAACGAGTCCACTAACGCCTCTTCCGTCCATCCATAGCATTGATTGCCCAATCTCTCAAAAGCTAAGAGATAATCGCTTAACGATCCAGTTTGTTTGATCTTAGCGAGAGTTTCATGACTCGATGTGGTCTCTGTCAGACCAAATCTAGCCCATAACTCCTCACGAAATCGGGGCCCATGTCATCATCATCCCTGTCATAGTGTAGGTTTCGGTCCACCCATTGCCACCATTGGTTGGCATCTCCCTCCTTATGATAAGATGCTAGTAGCACCTTCTGCTCTTCTAACGTCTCCTGGAATTTGAAGAACTGCTCCACTCACGCGAACCATCTGGATGGGTCCTCACTTCGATTGTACTTTGGAAATTCCAATCGAGCCAACTTCTGTCGAAAGGGTACGATTCATTCATTGGTCCGACCTGAACCATACCTCTGTGATGGTGAACCACAGTCACCCAATCCGCTTCCAATCTCCCTCGCTCCTCGGCCTGTTGGTGGGGCCCACTCCAGCTTGCCCAACATTAGGACCAACTCCATCAGGCCCACCTACTGCGCTTGGTCCTGCTCCACGGCCCCCATCTCCCTCCGGTTCACTTGCACCAATGAAGAAGCCTGCGTGCGGTGCCCCCGTCACCCCTCCCTCTCCGTGGCTCGTTGTCGGGTTGGTGGTGGATCATGCTCCTGGCTCAGCTAACCGACCCACATCACCATGGCCCAATGCAGTAGTAGACCCGCTAGCCCAGTCGGCTAGAAAATCCCTCCCGCCACCTGACCGCCGTCGCCGGTATTCTGAAGCTAACCGGACTGGCTTAGCCCCCGATGATGCCCGGCGGAAATGTCATGCTCGGCTCCGGTCGATTTGGTCGGTCCTCTCCCTAGACCCGCACCCTGGTCGAGAGCCAAAGCTCCCCATTCGGGTCCCATCGCGGAGACCGATCTCCCACCGTGGCCGCTGCCGCCGACCTGGGTTCCACCGGTTGCTCCACGCCCCGCTCCGTTGAGCCTGGTAGGGATTGCGACGACCCTGCCCACGGTAACCTCCTCCTCCGCGATTGCCTTCAATTTCTCCCCGCTTGAGACGTTCGCGGTCGAATGCCTCGTCGACCTCGGCCTCGCAGTTGCTTTTGCTGCCTCATCCTCGTTACTCATCGCAGAGTCCCCTTGTTTCTCCTCGTCGTCGATGATCGCATGCTACTAGACCGGATGTCTCGAAGATCTTGTCGTTGATCGATACTTGTAGCACATGGATCCTCGTCGTTAATCCACGCGCCGGCTCCATGATCGAGGCCTGCTCTCGTGTCATCTCCAAAATCGAGGCCTGCAGTTGCCTCATGGTGGCCTCTATTTTGTTGATGCTTCCCTCCATGCCCTGCTAGCGCTGAGGTTGGTCGTCGAGTTGAGTAGTCATCATCTGCAGTGTTTTTGACGTCTCCTCTACAGTGTGTTGAGCCTCACGTAGTCCTTGAAGAGTATCCTCGTTGATGGCGGTGTTGTCGGAAGAAGCTGGTTGGGACGCTTGCTTCTTCGGCACCATTTTCATGGACTCCGGTCGCGCTAAACCAAGCTCTGATACCACTTGTTACATAGATTTTGGAGTTGAAACCGACACTCACGAACTTTGGATATGTTGCTCGAATGCTCTCGAGTAGAGAACCTCCTCGATGGCAGCTTGAAGGATCGAGTAGAGGATCTCCTTGATATGTAAAAGCATTTTGGTGACCTAGAAAGTAAAATTTTAAGTTTTAAAACGTGATGTTGACTACATTGTGCACTGACGGTAAGGAACAACAAGAATAGGGTCAGTAGTCTTTGCCATTGCAGGTCCCTATCCCTGGACAAGCTCTCAGTGAATACTTTCGTTCTTCTTTATGCTTTTCTTTCCCATGACGACTAGGCCCTTCTCTCTTTGGTCCTTTGTGGCTAGCTCTTCTTTTCTTCATTTTCGATCGGGAATTCTATTTACAGGGCTTAAGCCAGCTTCTGACACCCGAGAATGCCAATCGTAAGAAAAATCTCGGTTAGACACTTTTCGTTAGCTCTTAACAATAACCAAATTAATTAATCTAAAATAAATTAATAATTTCTCCGTTTCTCATTACGATAAAATCTCTATAAATTAGTACTAGATAAATTAATGATTTCTCCGCTCCTGACTTGTGCTAGTATAAAAAAGAAGGAGTTTAATAAAATAATAAGACAATCATTTGTGAGAACCAACCTACATAAATACATCCATGTATTTTCAATTCTATAAAATTAATAATTATAAAATAAAAATAATCAAGAAATTTACAATATAACTATGATCATTTAGAAAAATACGAATCTATAGATGTTTGTTTCTGTTTCTTTGTGAAGTTCAAGTCTAATAGAAGTTCATCATAAAATTTTCTCATTGCACTCCAAATCTCCAATTTTGTCTTCTCTAATTGTAACAAGTAGTTTGAAGACTTTTTATTTTTACAACATTAGTTTGAAGAGTTGATGCGTCTTTAACCACTTCCTTTCTACTCATCAATTCCAAAGGTGTTGAATCATCCATCATTCCTTCACCCTCAATCGAAATCCCAATGACGTAAGCCACAATTTTTTCTAAACTTTGTGTTAACCATATACATTATAAAAATCCATCTTTAAAATTTCAAAATAATTAAATTATCGATTAACTAATAATTATTGTAAATTAATAATTTCATGCTCCCGACTATATTAATTTATAGAGATTTTTATTGTATATTTTTATTTATTTATCACTTACTCGTATTTTTTTTTATAAATACTCTCGTATTTTTCTCATTTGAATTTTCTCGAATTTTTTTATTCCATGAAATCTTTAGTTAATTCAAAGACATACAACAAAATTGCAATGATTATAATTTAGAAAAAAATTAACATATTTCCTGCGCACATATATGCATAAATATTTAGATTCTGTAAACGTTGATTCTCATTACTTGTTTTATGGACACCAAATTAAAATGGTGTTTAATTTGGTTAATCGGATCTGCGTGGAATCAATGATCTGGAAAATAAAGGCACGAAAATCCCTGGCGACACGAGTACCCATAAAAACGGTTCAAATGCAAATTAAACTGCTTAGCAGCTAATTCATTTGCAACGGTTCCCAGTCCCATTCTTTTGCAACGAAACGATGATCAATCAACCATCCTTTCTCTCCCTAAAAAAACTGCAGACTAGAAGCTCGCTCCTGAACCAGTACCCTTCTACTTTGCTACGTTGCCTCGGCCTGCACAGCGATCGACGCCGCCTCCTTTGTTACTGAGATATCTTAGTCAACACTCAGCTCTTCCCCCATTAGCAGAACACTGAAATTTCTCTGTTCCGTCACTCTCTCCGGTAACGTTGAACTACCGTAACAAAGAACTTTTTCGTTCCTCGACCGAATGAGCTGCTGCAAGGCCACCTAACTTGGGTAGCATCGCCATTGATCAACGGCCGGCCTGTTTAGAATTCAGTTTAAAAGGCACGCCTGCGTCGTCACGGCGAGTTCAAATCAGTCTTTCAGTTTTCAATTTATTGGCGCGTCTGATTCAGAAACTTTAGAATATTTGGCGCCGGCCGTGTCGTTTGCGCCTGCAGAATCGGACTGCAGGGCGGCAGAAGAAGTACTCTGACTTCTCTTCTTGTAATTCTGATTCCTGGCGCGACGCAGAAACTGCACGTCTCGGCATCATTAGGTTCGTCCGGACTTTGTTTTTTCACCATGTTTTTTTTTTAATTCCTTTTCTCCCCCGTCCATCGGTTTGGAAATGGAGTAGGAGAGTTTTGCTCACCAAGTATTCGACCATTTGTTTTCTACTTGGGAGTTCAACTGTCTGGTGACTTTCGGTAACCTGTAATCTTCGAATTGCTACAGTGTTCTTCATTGAATTCTGCGGTTTTTCTCATCTGCACCCGCGATTTTATTAGCAGGGGGTAGCTTGTCCTTTTTCGATCCCTGAGGGGGAATAGCCAATATCAGGGAAATGTTCCCGTCACCACGCAAGTTGTTGCTGCAGGAAGGTGGTTCTCTCCATAGAGCATCACAAATGGAACATTCACACTCCCAGCAGCAACGAAGATCCAGCATGATCCCTGTTTCTCCTTCTTCTCTTCACTCCCTGCGGACAAGAAGCTTCAAAGAGCCGTCAGTTCCATCAGAGGCAAACTCGAACAATAACAGTAAGAATGATAAGGGGGTAAATGTGCAGGTCATTCTCCGTTGCAGGTAATGAAGAATTGATGACTTGGGTTTTTATTGTGTACGACTGAGAACATACTTTGTTATGTGTGGGGTTACACATTGTAAAACATTTTCAGGCCGTTGAATGAAGATGAGAAGCATCTGGTATCTCATGCAGTGATTTCTTGCAATGAGAAGAAGGGATTAGTGTCTTTGGTCCAGAATACAGCTCACAAGCAGATAGATAAGAGCTATCAGTTTGACAAGGTTTAGTTTTGTGCTTATTGGGTTTTGTTAGTGAACAAAGTTTGATTAATCTCACTGTAACTGAAGCTAGACTAAAGATTGAATTGGTTTCTGGGTTGTCTTGCTGATCATTGTTGGTACAGGTGTTTGGTCCTACATGCGAGCAGACGGATTTGTTTGATTCAGCTGTGACTCCAATTGTGAATGAAGTTCTCGAGGGTTACAATTGTACCATTTTCGCTTATGGACAGACTGGAACTGGTAAAACTTACACAATGGAAGGAGGGATGGTGTCCGAGGTCGGATTTTGACTGACTAGATATTCTGTTGTCAGATTGCCCTGCAGTTGTTGTTTTCCCCCTACTTGCTAAAGGTTAGTCCGGTTATTTTCAGGATGGAGAGTTTCCTAGTGATGCTGGTATCATTCCACGAGCTGTTCAACAAATATTTGAGGTTCTGGAAGCCAGAAGTGAAGACTACAGCATGAAAGTGACGTTTCTGGAGCTTTACAATGAGGAGATAATGGACCTGCTGGCGGACTCTGATGAAAGTGTTACTGCTAGCGTGGATGAGAAACTGAAGAAGCCAATAGCCCTCTTGGAAGATGGCAAGGGAGGTGTTTTCATAAGAGGGTTAGAGCAGGAATTGGTCTCTTCTGCTAAAGAAATATACAAGATCTTGGAGAAAGGCTCTGCCAAGAGGCAGACTGCTGCAACACTGCTTAACAAAACCAGCAGTCGTTCTCACACCATATTCTCGATTACGATTTACATCAAGGAGGAAGGTTCTTCAGTTGGAGAGGAACTTGTGAAGTGTGGGAAACTTAATCTTGTTGATCTTGCTGGTTCTGAGAATATCTCGCGATCTGGAGCAAAAGAGGTACAAAAGTAACATATTTTAGAACAGTATGATTGCCAACTTTTGCTCTATGCCGCCATCCTTTGTTCCATGTAAATAAAAGAATGAATGTCATTGCAGGAACGAGCGAGGGAAGCTGGAGAGATCAACAAAAGCTTGTTAACGCTAGGCCGCGTAATCAATGCATTGGTTGACCATTCTGGGCATGTTCCATACAGGTAGAGAATGTCATGATGCATTACTGTAAAACAGTGAAGCTTTCTGCGATTAGAGAACCTAATGAACTTTAAACTCTCTTGAATACATCAGGGACAGTAAATTGACAAGGTTGCTAAGGGATTCACTAGGTGGGAAGACAAAGACGTGCATAATTGCCACAATATCACCATCTGTTCATTCCTTGGAAGAGACGCTTAATACCCTAGACTATGCTCACCGAGCCAAAAACATAAAAAACAAGCCTGAGGCTAGTACTAGTCCGTTATTATACGTGTATTTATTTACCTTGGTTAATGCAATCTGGCTTATAGATGCACTGTTGATGAATCAGGTGAATCAGAGGACAATAAAAGCTGAGCTGCTCAAGGATCTATACTCTGAGATAGATCGTCTTAGGCAAGGTTGTCAAGTGCAGTTCAGTGGAAACATGACATACAAATTATCGCATCTTCTTTTTCATAAACTCTATGCTGTTTTTCTATCTTTCTTTAAGTGCAGAACTATATGCTGCTAGAGAGAAGAATGGGATGTATGTACCAGTTAATCGTTACCTGGCTGAAGAAGCTGAGATGAAGGTTTAAACTCTAGCTTAGTCTTTTACTATCATAGTTGAGATTGTGATAGTCAGGTTGATGTTACTCTGCTTGCACAGGCGATGGTTGAGAAAGTTGAGAATTTGGAACTAGAATTAGAAATCAAAGACAAGGTACGCAGTTTCTCAACAATCTTCGTTCTTCGTGCATCTATTTAAGTTGGATAGCTGACGAGTATCATTCTGGCAGCAGCATCATATGGAACTTCAGAGCCTTTATGATGATCAGCAGCTTCAGACAGCTGAACTAAGAGAAAAACTTCAAAAGACACAGGTGATCAACGATAACCGTGATACAAGTTAAATATTCGAAGGCGTGGAGCTTTCAGCTGAACTGCTACTATGACTTGCATTTGGTTAATGAACTAAGAGATCTTCTCAATGTTCTTTGATGGCAGAAAGAACTTCAAGAATCACGCAATACTATACTTGAAATGGATGCTAGACAAAAAAAGGCAAACGCAACAATAATAGAGAAAGAGTACTTGATTTCCAATCTCCTTCAATCTGGTGAGGCAAATTCCCGTCACAAGTGTTGACAAATTTGTATTAGCCTATAATAACCATTCCAAGTTTGCTATCCTCAAATGAAATGGACGGAAGTTTGTATCTCATGGCGTTTCTTGCATAAAAAAGTTCCCGAAGAAAAGAAACTAACTGCTAAAGCAAATTTTTCCAGAGAAAGCGCTTATGGATCAAGCTTTGACGCTACGGCAAGAGCTGGATGGTGCAGCTAAAGAGGCGTCAACTTTCTTCGGGCAAATTGGTTAGCTTTGAGAAGTTTTTCATAATCACATATTCACATGCATTGTAGTTCTGTACAGGCACATAATAAGCTTTTGGGTATGTCCTATGTGGTTAGCAGAAGAACAAGCCAAAGTAGGAGAAGCAAACAGACTTCTTCTCCAGAAATTTCAAACTCAGCTCGCTCAAGAGCTTGACGGCTTGCACGCAATAGTTTCAAGCGCCACTGCAAAGCAGGAGCAACAGCTAAAATCAATAGAGAAAGACTTCAGCTTATTCGTAGCTGATAAAGAATCGGTGTGAAAGGAACTCCTCCTACATGCATATTACCCTTGTACTTTTACTGGTATCACATGATACAGTAACCTTTTCCCTATTTTGCAGGGTACTGAAGGACTTCTATCAGAAGTTGTGAATTTCAATGGCAGTTATGGCAGTAGCATCAAGTCATTGGAAAACATAGCTGGGGAACTCGACGAGGGTTACCAGCAAGCATTCTCCAATGTAACTTCGGAAGTCCTGAGAAACTCTACTACTCTTGTTGAGGTAATTATTAGGTTTCTGGCTCACTTCCTATATCACACATCTTGGCTTTCAACCTTCACTGATACAAGTCTCTAAAAAACTGTGCAGCATGTAGAAGAAAAGTTTATGGAAATACATGGCATCCTCAAAGTCGTACAAACTGAGTTGTTTACAGAAGAGGAAAAACTTGCCAAATATGCACAGCAGCTTCATGAGGTTTGGTAACTGGACCATTTTTCCTCCGTTCATATGTGGAAACCCTTCAACAAAATGGTTACTTCTTTTGTGGGCATACGGAACTGATGTCAATCAATTACTGAACTCTGTTACTCTGTTGAGCAGACTCAGTCCAAGACATTACTGATGACCAAATCAATGACTGAAGCTATGACAAGCTTTACTTCGAAATTAGGCATCCATGTTTCGAACCTGTCTCGAATAGCAGAAGAGACCCAATTAACTACTGGTAGAAAGCTATATGAGCTCGAGAAGGAGTTTGAGGTACTTTTTTTCTTCTTTTAGGAGTTTGGAGTACTTGCACATGTTCTGTCAAATGATATAATTTCCATAGACAAATTTCTTTGGGGAAGACAAAACAATAACCTGTTCACACATGCAGGTAAGTGCCGCTTTGGAGAAGGACCTGATGTTGGAGAAAATAGCAGAGATATTGGATAGTTCAAATGCTCGGAAGAACAAGCAGGTAGCTTTCTGCTCATCGTTCACGACAGTCGAACAAATTGCAATTTATCTCACAATTTTAATACAACAGTGTCGAATGTTCATTTTTCTTTCTACTTTTATCAATATCCAGGTTCAAACATCAATTAGTAGCCTTCTGGAAAGCATGGGTACAGGGAACTGCAACTTACAGCGTGAGCTCTCGAGCCTGGACAATGTTGCTTCTTCTGTCAACTGTGAATGGAGAGATCACTTGGAGACAGCAGAGGCTAACTACGCTGAAGTTGTGAGTTCAGTGACAAATGGGAAAGTTGACTTGGAAGCACACCTTCATCAATGGTGAGTGCCTAAAGCAATAACAACTGCGTTCTCACTTCACAACTCAGCACTGACATCGTTTCCTAATCTTCTCTAATTCGTCTTCCTAGCCTAGCAAAAGCAAGAAGCGGAGCCACAAAGTGCAAAGACGCATACGAATCGATTCTTGATCAGCAGAAGAGAGGCATAGATTCTGTTTTCGCCATTGCCGGGTAAGCAATTTTCAGGAATGTTGAATCCGCCATACCAAAGTTCGAAAAGTAAGTACGATGTAAGACTGCCATTTCCTGTTACTTCCCCAGGGATGGAGTAGAAACCAACCATGAGACCTTCGAAAAGCTTACATCAATAGCTACTTCTACACTTAAACAATCTGACATTGCAAACCAGTCTCTCATACGCACCATCTCAAGTAAGTTCTGTACCGGGAATCTTCTATCACCAGAAAACAGATCCCTAAGAGTCATTATTGTTTAACCGGCATGCAGGTCTACTGAAACTGGACCATGAAGCAGAAAACAACATGAAGATGAACGTTGCTCCTTGTATCAAGGATATGAAGAAACTTGATGGCGATCACCAAGACGGAGTGCACAAGATCAATGAAAATGCAGGGCAATGCCTAGTTGGTGAATACAAGGTAAGAACATCATTTTCCAAGAATAATGTCACAGTGCAGGTTCTATATCTAACTACGGTGTTGGACGGAGTAAATGGAGACCTTCTGAACTAATGGATCTTATCAGGTTGATGACACATGCACCTCACTCACAAAGGCAAAATACAGCATTCCAAGCAGTACAACCATTGAGGAGCTGAGAACACCAGACTTTGAAGTATTAATAAGTGCTTTAAACTCTGGGGATTCGGCAGCGGAACATGACTTAGATGAATCAAAGACTTTGCTAGTTTCTCAGGATTCTGATGACAACCTTTTGTGTCCTTCACCAAGAGCTGCCCTCATAGCCATCAATTGAGGGTCAACCAAGAGACCCTCAATTTCCTTGGCCCAAATACTTATTTGTTGAGGCAAAACCAAGTGTTGATGTTTATATCTATAGCTGACAGATGTAACTTTCGGAGTCATTCCGATCAAGCTTCCTTCCTATTACTCAGGAAAGTTCTCAGAAAAAGGAGATAGTTTTATGGATCACACCTTCTTTTGATGAAACTAGAAGCAATATATGTGTAATAAGAGCAAGAACAAAATGAAGAACTTTTAATCACGAGTTCATGTTCGTTAAGCTGGTGCCTGTTACTCTTTTGATCGACCAAAGTAAACCGTTATATTAAACCTTTGATCAATCAGATTTCCATTTACATCAGTATCCATATCTAAAGAACAAGCAGCAGCAGCAGCATCGTCAAGAACAAGATGAACATTGCAACCCGGCAACCGAATTATAAGGCAAGCAAAACAGTCTGATCATGCAATTTGGTCTCCCATACCTTGAGTCTTCTTTCTAGCTTTGGTCGCAGACCCGGTTTTCCAAACTTTAGGCGGTAACGTCTGGCTTCGTCCCACAACTTTCAGTGCCAGTGTCTTCAGCGGAACAGTGATATCCAGAGGCAGAAGAACCGGCTCCAGCTCTTTCCATTCCAGATCTTCGAAGTCGCCGTCTTCGTACACCACTCTGTACCACCGAGTTTCCTTGTCGTACCGACTCACTGTGCCAGAGAAATGCTTGTTCCCAAACAGCTTCCTCACTTTCCTCCCTTCCAGCCAATCCCCAAAACCTTGCGTCCCAAGAAATCCTGCCGTCGTGCCTTGCGATTCTTCTGGAATCTCGACGATAGCAAGAGCAACGGAAGCGTCGTTCTTCGCCGGGCCAATGTCAGTGACGCCATTGATAATGACAGCAGGCTCTCCTGGTAACTTGAAGACCGTGCTCGGTGAAGATGGCGATTCCGCCTGTTTGCCCCTGCTGCTATCCATCTGCCGCTGTCGATCAAATCGTCTCAAATTTAAACCTAATTCTCAACGCAGCTGATCGATTTGCCTTCAATTTCTCCAGAAAAAAGACTGATTCCGCCGATTTGAATTACCGGCAAACAACGAATTCGGAGAATCGAGATGCTTCGGCCGAATTCAATGTAACCACGATTGAAGAGCCGATTTCCAGCTCAATCTGAGATCAGAACATGCTCTGATCAGCGCCCAAAACACCCTGACGGCCGCCTCCGTTCGACCCCGCCAAGAATTGGGATTTTGACGGCTTTAGACTAAGGTTGCTAAAACGGCGCCAGTCAAAAGACGCCGTTAAAAGACCAAGGGGTAAACGACGCCGTTTGTGCCAGTGTCCTTTAAGAAAAGAGATCCGGCTTGCTTTGGGCAGCCGAACGAGTGAATGAGAAACTTGACGGACCACTTCGGCGGCCAAGTCCATCGAGGCTTTCGTTACCTTCAGACCTTCGCCGACGGCATCGACTTTGCCTCCTGCGGCCGCCTCTTCCAGCAGTTCACCGATCGGCGTCTCCCTGTTCAAGGGAAGCAACTGCACGCTCGGCTAAACCTCCTTTCAGTCATTCCCGACAATTTCCTTGGTTCCAAGCTCATCAATCTCTATGCCAAAACAGGCAACCTGTGCCATGCCCGGAGCGTGTTCGACCAAATTCCCCAGAAGAACACTTTCGCTTACAATGCGATGCTCATCTCTTATTCTATCAATGACTGCCACAGCGACGCGCTTAATCTCTTTGCGGAGTTGGCTCTTTCAAATGAGCTCGAGGCTAGACCCAACAATTACTCGGTCACGTCTCTTATGAAGTCGCTGGGGAAGTTGCCCTATGGTGATGTGAAAGCTGGAAAACAGGTTCATGGATTTATTCTCAGAAATAGGTTGGAGGGTGACGTTTTCGTTGGGAATGCTCTGATCAGTTACTATGCTAAATGTGTTGCCATCGTCCTTGCGAGGAAGGTGTTCGACGAAATGACTCAAAGAGACGTAGTTTCGTGGAACTCGATGATTGCAGGATACTCTCAGGCGGGATTTTATGAGCAGTGCAAAGGATTGTACAGAGACATGTTAGAATCGTCTGGGTTTATGCCGAATGCTGTAACTATCGTTAGCGTCCTGCAAGCGTGTGGCCAGTCAGCTGATCTTGTTCTCGGAATGGAAGTTCATAGATTTGCCATTGATAATCGGATTGAATTGGACACGGAGGTTCGTAATGCGTTCATTGGAATGTACGCCAAATGCGGTAGCTTGGAATACGCAAGGGCATTGTTTGAAGACATGAGTGATAAAGATAATGTGACTTACGGCTCAATTATATCTGGCTACATGCTTCATGGCTTAGTAAACGAGGCTGTGGATATCTTCAGATCAACAAAATCTCATTGGATAAGTGCTTGGAATGCAGTGATTTCAGGCTTGGCACAAAATAATCGGCATGAGCAGGTTATAGAATTGTTCAGGGAAATGTTGGCATCTGGTTTAAGCCCTAATCCGGTGACCCTTTCAAGCCTTCTACCTGCACTATCCCACTATTCGAATCTCAAAGCAGGCAAAGAGGTCCATGGTCATGCCGTGAGAAATCTTTACGACCAGAACGTATATGTAGCAACTGCAATCATTGATATCTATGGCAAGTCAGGATTTGTAACCGGGGCGCAGGTTGTTTTTGAGCAGTCAAAAGAACGGAGCTTGATTTTGTGGACTTCAATAATATCTGCCTATTCATCAAACGGAGATGCTAGCTCAACTCTTGTGCTTTTTCATAAGATGCTAAACAAGGGCATCCAGCCTGATGGAGTTACATTCACAGCAGTGTTGTCAGCTTGTGCTCACTGTGGAATGGTGGACAAATCTTGGGAGATCTTCGATGCCATGTCGACAAATTATGGCATCCAACCGTTCGTCGAGCATTATTCCTGCGTAGCAACTGCTCTATGCAGAGCCGGGAGGCTCTCAGAGGCAAAAGAATTTGTTTCCAACATGCCAATTAAACCAAGTGCCAAAATTTGGGGGGTATTGCTTCATGGAGCTTCAGAAGCTGGTGATGTTGAACTCGCAAAGTTCGTATGTGATCGTTTGTTTGTCATTGAACCAGAGAATACAGGAAATTATATGATCATGGCAAATTTATACGCACAAGCGGGGAGATGGAAAGAGGCCGATGAGGTGAGAGATAGGATGAACGATGTTGGGTTGAAGAAGATCTCTGGTCGTAGCTGGATAGATGATAGCCGTGTTACAATGTAAATCTTCGAAGACGTGGAGCTTTCAGCTGAACTAATCCCACTATACTAGTCTTGAAATGGATGCTAGACAAAGAGAGGCAAGCGCACCGATAATCGAGAAAGAGTACTTGATTACAGAATGTGTAGCTGCGAGATCATGATGCAGGGTTGAGTTGAGTTAAAGCAAAGTCTTGCAATATGAAAAGCTGTGAATGACGGTGTGAAAGGGTGACAAGAGGGCGTGATAGATGGTTGGTTTTTGTGTTATTGATGGGTTTGGCGAAGAAAGTTCCAAGGAGTTGGTTGTTTATGAGGAAGAATAATGCATGTGCAGGGGAGACAAGAGGGATGAGAGCCATGGATTGGATGGGCCAAAGGGTTTGTTTTTCTCTTCTTCTCCTTCTTCTGCTTGTTTTGTTGCTGGTGAAGAGACATCACTTGACTAACAGGGGATGCTAGAAAAAGAGAAAACGTGGGCTGTGAAGAGTGTCTGCATTGGACATACACATGTGGACGAATGACTTGTCATTCCCAAGCCGACTCCATTTCCATTGAATTCATCAATCCTCACTTTCTGTGATTCGGGATTGCGGTTTGCCTCGATGGATCAACCTAACGCAAAATAATGCAGCGACGGTATCAACGAGGAAAAGGCGGGTTTGTCCAACTCAAAAGGGGCTTGGAGGCACTAGTAGTGAAATTGTTGCATGGTGCTTTCAGTCGGCAACATAATTTGTGGTCCACATATTTGAGGATAGCCTTGCTTCCTATTTCATTTCATTTGGATCACAATGGGATTTACTTTTCCTTCCCTCAGACTATGAAGTTTCTTTGAGTTGTAACGAAAAGCAGGAGTGTTAAAATGGTTACCATGGTAATTACCAAATCAAACAAGTTAAAATTCTATTAACGATGGAATACAAACTAAAACAACAATCAAATTAAAGTTTAATCAGTTTGGTTAATTGGTTAACCAAATTGACCAATATAACATCACATTATTATTAAGTGAGAAAATTTTCAGTTAATGCATTGATTCACAATTTATATGATGAATAAAACATTACAATGTATATGAGAAAAATATATGTAATAGTATGGAGTTAATTAATTGTTGTGATTGTGTGAATTGAATTAGTCTTTTAGCAATTATAATAGGTTGAAAAGATTTTACTTTCAAGTTTTCATCTAATATATTGTATAAGTTTTATATAAATTGGGCCTTTATATATCATGGCGTATACTCTATAAATAAAAATATACAATAGAGAAATAATATTGAGCTTTATTGTTGATGAGCCGAAAATGAAGGAATGTTTGGCTCTTGAGTGGTTATGTCAAGTATTAAGTATGTGTATATAATATATATTAGATATATGGATAATTACTTAACTAGTTAATTTGGTTTGATTGGTTAGGAGTGTGTGAAACCAAACCAAACCAAACAAGCTAAAATTTGTAAGCAAACCAAACCAATTATCCAGATTAACCAAACCAAACCAAATTAGCCAAACAATAACGGTTGAAACGATTACCATGGTAATCACTCCGTTTGAACACCCCCAACGAGAAGTGTGATTAGACATTGGGCTAATTTGACCATTATGTAGCTTTTATAGAATCACCTTTTTACTAGAGTTTTTAGAGAAGTACTTTTAAAAAAATCATTAATAGAAATTTTTTTGAAATGCCCGAGTACTCTAGAGTTCTTGCTAGAGGGATATCTATTGAGGATTGTTATTCGTCGCCCTAATTTTTACTAATCATCGCCCTACTCTGATGTAAAAAGTCATATGATACTCATTAAGGACATTTAGGAGTTTTTACATTAAAATAGGGCGATGATTAGTAAAAAGGAGGGCGACGAATAGAAAAGCATTATCTATAACCCTTAATAGGAAAAAATCCGAGACTGCCCAACTTACAAAAAGAAATTCCCACAATATCATATTTTAAACCAAAAAGTCCATAATACCCAAGTTTGTAGCAGTTAATTCCAGTGTCAATCAAACTAGGTAGTGGTTCGCTTGACACAAGAGCGAACCACATCCAAAGCGCCCGGAAATGAGTGTGGCACGGCTGACCCCCAACGAACTACTCAGATGTCTGTCAGTCCCCGCGCGATCCACTCCTAATCTAGGTTCAGAACTTCAAATGATCGTAACTTTGCACTCAGTTGTCTGATCACAGCAAATTTTTTATTTTATTCCGTATAACTTTTATGTGAAACTTCTTCAAACTTTGACATTTTCGAGAGGGCAAAAAATTGAAGTGTGGTATTGTGGGAATTTCTATTTTGTAGTTTGGACATTTTTTTCGGGATTTGGTCCCCCTTAATAATACAAGTTTCTTACAGCTGGAACTTAACATGTCTTCGCATATAACTCAACCTTACATGCATTACATTTGTTGTAGAATTTGCACATTTTAGCTCTTGGACATCTCTGTAAAACTAATACTAACACATAGTAGACTACCAAAGAAACTGAATGGGGACTATATAAAAGGGCATCCAGCCAGCTCCATTCCCTCCATTTCCAAACAATCCATAAATAACATCAACCAATATATTCCTCCAACAAAAACCATGGAACTCCAAACACCACCACTACCACCACCAGCACCGAAAAACGACTTCTTTCCAGGTGAATTAGGAAACGAGACCCGAATGATAATGGCAGCACTCTCCACCCTCCCTCCCCACAACCTCGCCGCCCTCACCTCCTCCATCCTCTCCCTCGCGGACACCCGCCGCCGCTGCCTCACCGCCCTCCTCACCTCCCCCGCCGCCTTCTCCCTCGCCCTCGCCCACCTCCACTCCCTCTCCCTCCCCCAGAAAACCCACCTCGTCGCCAAACACCTCCTCTCCTCCCTCCACCACCTCACCTCCCACTTCTCCCCTCCCCCTCCGCCGCCGCCCGCCGCCTTCCACCACCGCGACGCCGACGCCGCCCTCCTCCTCCTCCTCCTCTGCGACCTCCTCCACCGCCGCCCGGACCTCCTCGACGCCACCCCCTACCACCACTGGCGCCTCGCCCTCGCTGCCCACTACCGCGCCGGCTCCGTGCTCTCCCACTGTGAGATCGGCGTCCTGTACGGCGGCGTTTTGACCCCCTACGTCGAGCTGGTGTCGAGGTGCTGGAGGTTCGTGACGGGAGATAGGGGGGAGAAGGCGGAGGCGCCGGCTGCTCCGGCGGCGGTGGTGGCCCTGCCGTCGGTGGACGGCGGCGGCGGCGGAGGAGGAGGGGAGTGCGTGGTTTGTAAGGAGGCGATGGAGGAAGGGAGAGACGTGTGTGAGTTGCCCTGTCGCCATCTGTTCCATTGGAGCTGTATTCTTCCGTGGCTGGTGAAGCGGAACACCTGCCCGTGCTGCCGGTTCGAGCTGCCCACGGAGGATGTTGGCGGCGAGATCCGACGGCTGTGGGGCTTTCTCGTCAACGCCGCTGGCGGTGGGGCAGCCGTCTGATGGAGACACGTGTGGTGAAGAGGAGAAGCGGCGATTCCCTGGTTGTAAGATTATACAGGTAGCTAGCTAGCTAGGCTGATAATGAAAATAATTCGATCCAAAAGAACACGAGAGATGATTGTAGTATATTATAGGTATCAAATATCCAAAACAACCTAATTGCTGTAGTTACGTTTTGGTGTATAGACGAATGTTGGCGTCTAAGCCATGATAAAATTTACCTAAATCTTGGGAGATTGTCGGTATGAAATAGTGTGACATTAATGAAATCACGTTGTAAGAAAATGAGAAATTTTACAATGCTATATAGTATTGGTGTTATAGGGTTTTGCCTTTATGGTACAACTTAAAATTGTACATTTACGATTATGGTACAACTTCAGATTGTACCTATACTTTTTGTACAAATTCTTTTATGGTACAACTTGAACTTGTACCTTTATGTGATTGTATAACTTCAAGTTGTAAAGTTGTACCATAACATAATGGTACAAATTGCTTTATGGTACAACCTAAACTTATACATTTAATGTTATGGTACAACTTTAAGTTGTACATTAAAACACCAATACTATATAGCATAGTAGAAGTGCTCAAGAAAAATTTATATTCTTCTGTGTAACCTTGATCTATTTATATGGTACTAGAAAACTCAAACCAAATTAGAGTGGTCGGTCGTATTCCCGAAACCATAAATTTCTTAAAGAAATAAATGTATTTACCCTGTGTTTACACTAAAAAAAATAATCGTGTACCGCATTGATTATTTACAAGACATTAACTGTCTTTATAAGGCCAGATCAACAATAACAATTAATGTTATTTAAACTGGGCCTACGATACTAGATTTTTAAACCCAAACGATTAGGCCTGACATGACGCGTGATAAGTCTGGTGCCTCATCGCGACAAGCCTCCTTCCTTGTCTAAACCACATTGCGAGTCTGCCAGGCCACCTTGTCGCAAGTCCGCCAAGCCTCTGCTAAGTCCAAGTGCCAAGCCTCCTCGCGTAAAGTTTGGTAGACCACCTCGTCGCGACAAGCCTCCTCGCGTCAAGTTTGGTAAACCACCTCGTAGCGTTGTCATCATGTTTGACAAACCGCCTCGTCACGAGATCTGGAATAGCCATGGTAAAGGAAAGGGCAAGTAACAAGACGTCAGTTCCAAAAGGGAGAACCGGCGGTTTGATTGAGAAACTGTCAATTACTCCACATTCAAGGACACGTTAGCCACGTCCGAGAAAGAAGGGAAACAGTTCCTTTTGGAAGTTACTCTCCAAACAGTTTTCTACGACAGTTATCACCTCAAGCATATAAATAGGAGGAAGAGTTGTCAGAGAAAAGGTGGTCAAAATACAAACCAGACAACACAATGTCTAATTTTATCCCTTTATCTTTTCCTCTGCAACTTTAGCGTAGTCGTAGATCTAGAGCTCTCACTGAACCTCCATAGGAGTAGGGTAATTTAATTTAGATTCTATCTCGTGAGTCGTGTAAACATCGAACACCCTCGTTCGAACTGTGTTTGAAGAGGTGTGAACCGTGTCTTAGTGATCGTTGTCCAAAGAAGTCAAGGTGCATTCAATTCGTTTCAACGCAAGTTTTCTCGCCGGAAAACACCCTGGCAGTATTTGAATTACAATTACGGACTTTACACATTCAGGATATAACAGACTCCCGGCTCGACGGGATCCAAATTTGGGATCTCTATTACTAATATAGCCTACTACTACTACCATCACACATATCTATAACCAATTTTACCATATTGTATCTTTAACTTTGAATTTTTTCACTATTTGTGATTTTTCTTTGAACACTGTTTCGCTAAATACAGTGCTCTGTTTTCCAAGAAAGGACTATTGGAAGGAAAAGGGCTACAACGTCTTTCATGGCCTTTGAAGTGTTAACGAGGGAAAACACCTCCTTTGATCGAGTAAGGCGGGAGAGGGCTCTTACTAACCAAATGAGAATCTATAAACACAATGATCAACGTTATGTCGTCGTGAAAATGTCTTCTGACTCCTGGGTCGATCTTCTTCAAATCCGCGTATCTCATCTCTCTCTTCTTTGCAGCTTCATGCAGCGCAGCTTTCAGTAACCTTTTGGCGATTCCCTGCAAGCCAAACAACAAGGGGGAAAATGGACAATCCACTGAGGAACTTAAGAACTATAAATAAAAAAAACAGAGCAACATTAGGGATGCAGCAGGGGATAGAAGAAGAAGAAAAAAAATGAAATAAATACATTGCGAGGAAAGTTGTGGACAATGTCGACGGCTTCTTGGTTGCTGAGTTGCTCCCATAAACCATCAGATGCGAAAATTACAAAATGGTCCTCTGGCTGGAGCTTGTGGGCAGTCACTTCCGGCTCTGAATTTAGTATCGGCTTCTCGAATGTTTCTGTTAATCTGAATTTGGGAAGCAGGGGCTCTCTTTGAAACTCAGCCCTCTTTAGGTACACATCCCCAATCGATCTCGACACCTGAAAAATCCAAAAAAAAAAAAAACACATGTAAAATCTTCCATTTTTGTTTTCAGAAAGTGATATGAAAGTTTTTTCGGCATTAGTACTGCATACCTTGAGCATGAAAACACTCTATAGACTTCAAATTAGCATGATTTTTCGACCTGATACTATAACCTAACCCTTAATAAGTGAACTCTAGGCCGTCCTAATTATCTAAATCTTAAGCTATAAATCCTAAGATGACGCGTTCATTTTTTCCTATATTTAGAGGAATTATAACCGTCGATTATTGTGTCTAATTAAATTGATATTGGGGTATATGATTTAGAGAATTATAAGACCTGGATTCTGATCTTTTTAAGGGTTATAGTATAGTATCATGTCCTAAAGATCAATCAATTCAGCGCCTGGATAGCGCGTTCGCATACTTAAGGTATGTAATACCCCGGATTTCACTCTGGGTACCATAGAACTCGCCAAATAATCTAATATAAAACTGATTATAAACAATGCAAGATGAATTTTTTTTTTTCTTTTTCGCAAAACAATATTGATACAAGTGTATTTAGGTGAACAATTTACAAATCGGTGTGTAATTATTTTATTATATAAAGTGAATAATGTGACAAAAGAATCTTGATTTTGCTTTTTTACCTGAATGAGGCCTCTAACACGCCAACACTTATGCTTCATGATGACAACCTGAGAGTCGTCGGGATGCAAAGCGTAGAGCTCTTCTCTAACGGATGCGATGTTGACATTATGTTCGTTGGACAACTGTACCGCCGAGGCTCTCTTACTCCCTCTCTCCACTCTTCCGAGCACCGCCCTGGAATCTCCGGCATTGGCGACGAAAAGCACACCGTCGTGCAAAACGCCGGCGAGGCAGCACGTCCCTGCCGAAGCGATTTGGGGGTTGTTCATCCACTGCTTCTTCACCAATGATAAAAAATCCTCTTCTGTCGCCGAGAATGCCTTCTTGAGTACCGATTCCGACACTTCTCGTCTCTCCGACACGATATCTACAGGCAAAACAAAGAGAAATAGGAAAAGAGAATGTAAATAAAAAAAATTGTAATAAGAAATTTAGGTAGGGATGGCAATGGGTCGGGTCTGGTCGGGGTGGATAGTGCATATTTGTTATCCTACCCAAAGTAGTTCGGGTTTTACCCATACCATACTCACATGTGAAACGGGTAGAAATCAAAATCATGTCCATACCCGTTCGGGTTTCGGATATCCATGGGTAATAATTTCTCTTCATAACTCCAATCAGTATATTAACATTCATACGTATTCTCACATTACGTAAGAGAAAAAGTACGACAATAATTCACCAGAATGAAGAAAATTCATTAAAACAACACAATTTTATGAAAATATTTTATTTATATGCTAAATATAAAACATGTTAGAGAAAAATAATGATTATTTCTAGACCAAATATATGTGCATATGCATGATCGGGCGGGTTTGAGTTGGATAGTGAGAAACCCATGCCCACCCATTACCCGCAATATTCGGGTTCGGGTTTTACCCTAACCCGAATATGCCGGATTCGGGCCGATATCCACGGTTGCGAATATTTCTGTCATCTCTAAGTTTAGGGCTATTTTGATAAAAATAAGTGGTAAAGGTTCTTTTTTTAATTTACTCTTGAGATTGAAAAAGAGATTGTGGCTGACAAATTTGGAAGCCTCGGAGCCGGCATGGCCATCGTAGACGCCGGCGAAGGTGCCCTGAGGATGGTCACCGGAGATGAAGGAGCTCAGAGGACCAGATTCAAGCTGGCTGTAATCTTCACACATGCGGTTGGCTTGAATGACAGCCATGGAAAATTCTCCATAAGCATGGCTTCCTAAATCCTTATGCCACACCAATCCATCCAATCTCCCCATCGTGTCATCTTCAATGCAGGGTCTCCAACACGGCTTCACCATTCTTTACTCTCTTTTTTTTTTTTTTTTTTTTGTCTTCAACTTTGTTTGCAAAAGCTGAAATGGTTTTTTCTTTTCTGTTTGAGAGACCAAACCCAGAAAAAGGCTTAGTATTTTGGTCTGTGAATCATGGAAACGGAGAGGGAGAAAGATGAGAGGGGGGGAAAAGGGTTTCTTTCCAATGTCAAAATTTAGGGAAGGAATATTATGACAATGATGGAAATTATAATTGTGTTGTTATGAGAAGAACTGAGTGTAGAAGAAATGATTTGCAGCTCCTCACAAATTTTGTTGTTTCTGTGTTGTTTTGTTTCTGTGTTTGTTGTTCTATGTTTTGGAGTTGTGAATGAATCTAATGATTGTTTGGTTTTGGTTTAATTGGTTGTTTTTTAAAAGTAGATTTATTTTTTGATTTTTGAAGGAATTCCATTTTATGGTTGAGATTTGAAGAGTGAAGTTAGTTTCCCCCAAATGTGTTGACGTCAATTTTGCAATAACCCACCGTTTTAGGCAATTTTTACTCTGTCTTCTTCTCCCGCATTCTAATACTTTTGGGTTTTCATTCTGTTATAAATAAGCAGGAAAGTGGAACCATTCTACTCGTAGTAATAACAAGAATAATCATGGAGAGAAATAAGTGCATAATAAGGGTTTTAGCCCCTCCTTTTTCAATCATTTCTCCCTCTTTATTGCTGAAATCTAGACATCATTTTTACAGTTAGAAGAAAATTTAGACGTTGAAATATTTCATATTCGATTAAGACTTTTCAGCAAAAATTAAGCGCCTACACTATAAAGTCAATTGCAAGCAGCATAAAATTTGTATATTTTCAACACAAAACACTCTCTCTTGTTTTCTTTCTAGAATACCAACGACTTATATTTATCACAATGACCAACATATGCTTTGTCTAGTTGTACATTTGAGGCATAGTGGGATTGTATGTAATAATATACACACTTCTAAATATGAAGAAAAGTCATACAAAATATATCAACAAATTTATTCTTGCCTTTAATGTAGAGGAATATTTATTATATAAATTTGAACATGAGACACTACTAAAATCTAACATTATACTATTTTTCGATAATCTAACGTCTTAATCACTCGACTATAATCTTATATATCTCTTACCCATGCCTCACTATATCAAAGAAATTTGTTTGTTTAATATGAAACTAGTTTTTTGGCCCGTGCTCCTAGGAATGGCAATGGGGCAGGTCCGGGGGCGGGTTTCTTGATACCCAAACCCGCCTCGTGGCAGGCCGGGTAATTTATCACGGGTCGCCGGTCGGGGCAGATCGACGCAATGGGTATGCAATTTATATGAAAACATTATAAATATTCGTTATTTGTATTATAAGACCAAGAAAATAAACAATATTATGATAAATGTAGTTAAATTATTGGATAAATTGAGGTTTTCATTAATTTACAACTTTATTATAGCTAAAATATGATGTAATAAAAGGAAAATTCTAAGTAATTTGACTAAAATTACATGTAATTTAGACAAGAACGGGTCGAGAATGGGGCGAGTTAGGACAGATCGGGTCTATGAGAGTACCCATGCCCGCCCCACCACGCCTACGTGGCGGGTCGGACCCGCCCCAAACCGGTCAGGTAAAACTCATGTGACAATCATAGTCATAGAATTTAGTTCGACTGTGAGGAGTGCGAAAGTAAACCTAGTCGTCACTATCTCTGCGTATAAAGAAATTTGCTCGCACCCAGCTGCCCAAGAGACGACGTCAATGGCAGTACGGTTGTCAAGGCCGATGAGGCTCGTGTACTTTATTTCTAAAATCATACCAAAGGTTACCAAACACAGTTATTTGTCCTATTTTTTTCTTTGAATCCCAAGTCCTAAAATCAAACACAAACGAAAATTTGACACACATTGGTCAAGCCAGTCATTGGCCTTCCATTTTCATCAAAAATAAAACCAACAGTTACAATCTCTGTTTTACAGAACCCACAATTAAGAACCGAATACCACCTTCCAGCTAAAGCCATTCAACAAGAGGCCAAGACAACCATGAACCAACCAGACCTTTTAAGAGTGTTCACTTATTTCCAAGGACCCCAAGAGCACAAGAGAGTTCGACTGAAAAATTTGAAACGGACACAAAAACAAACAAGACAAATAGACAATAGAGCTCCTTAGATAAGATTCATCAAATAACACCCATAAAAAGAACAGAAATGTTAGCACGAAATTCCATTATAAAAAAAAAAGACTCCCTAGTTTACGGTTATAGCGAAGAACTCAGAAGTAATCCCATCTTCCACAAAAGAACAAGCTGCATTGTATCGGCCACGTTCAGCTGAAAGGCTACCTGGTCTGAAACAATTCAAGGACTCCCAAGTTGAAACAAGAGTTTTAAGTTTCAACAGACGGAAGAGAAAACAGAGAATAGAGCCCGGCATTGACATAACAACTACGCAGAAAAAAGCATGCAGTTCACAAATTCAAGGGGGGCTTACACAGCATGCACGGTCACCACCAAACCTGGACAGATAATAGAGTTCCTGCATGAGACTATGTTAAACAAGCTGCTGTTTCAATGTGGGAATTAAGATGTAGGACAGACCCATTGACCTCCTAGACATACTAGTGAACTACAAGACTAAGCCAGTTTCAGAAGACACCTAAATTTAGTCATAAATCCTTAATACTCTCGAGGGCTTTGCAATCAGTGAACACTCCAAAGCGGCGGTGGTGGTGGTGTAATCTTCTCAGCCCCAAAACAAGCATCGGTATTCAGAGGTAAAAAGAAAACAGACATAAACGCAACGGGCGACTCTATCACTAAAATACAGCCCCAAGTCCTATGAAGTATCAACAGTGCCAAGCGAAGTACTGCTGAGAGTTAACAGCTAAGAGTTCACATTACAGAAGACAGAGACCATCACTAGACACCCACCAGTCATAACACCAGACCTGCAAATTCAAAACTGAAACAAATACAAACAGAGAGCTATATCAGTAACTTGGCAATGCATATACAACTGGGGAAAAAAATAAGGATATGTGAAGTAGTAATACCTAACAGTTGCCTAGGGGATCTCTCTTCATATTCATGACCCTCCACCAGCCTTTCCAGCAATTGCGGCATCCTGATTAAATAACCCAAAAAAAATATAGTAAGTAAACTGGAATCATATGAGATACAAAAATGATTCATATACAAAGTAATCTCGATTTCGTGGTCTTACTGGCTGAATATCACCCTCTTCAGTCAAAGACAGTGAAGTCGGTGAAGGTTCTGCAAACCTAAGATTGACAAATGAAGCAACATGTTAGTTCAGTGTCTATAGACACCAACGCCTTATGGAGAAGGGGAAAAAGAATCAAAACATCCACAGATACAAACCTGAGAGCTCTGGCTTTCCTCTTGTCATCTTCAGCTGCATCTGGTTTGGGTATCGATCCAAACCTTTCCAGCCGTGCCTTCTTTTTTGCAGCATCATCAGTTGGCTCAGCTGTTACAGGTAGCCCAAATCTACACAGACCATAAATATCAGTACCAACAAACTGGACCATGAGAAGCAATGAGTATGATAATGAAAAAACCCTAAAACAAAGACAAACAAAAGACCTCTCTGCCCTAGCCTTCCTTTTTAACTCCTCTGCAGTTTTCGTTCCCTCTGCAGTTTTCGCCCCCTCTACAGTTTTAGCCCCCTCTGAACCTTGCGTTGTGGAGGGAGTACCAAACCTGCAAGAGACAGCTTGTTAGATTATCCCATAACTGATAACCAACATTGGAATTCGCCTATCACCATGGACCCGGCTAGTCAACCTACATGGATACGACAGTCGAACTACACATGATCAGCATCAAAGGGAACTCATGGAAATGTCTATTGAGCAATTGAATGAGCCTCCTTTCAATCAGTGGATTCACCTTTTTACGACAAAATGACCTCTAGTAAAACAGCAACCCATCAAAACTATGAAGCGAAGAATGAAGTTCACAGCATACATCCGAATACATGCAAGTAAAAACTGTAAGAAGATGAGAACTTTCTCGAACAGCTAACCATTACATATCTCCACAAAAAACTAACAAAGTGCAGCCATATATAAAAGCATATAAAATCAAAGCTCCCCTAAACCTTAACCCTAGATGCAAACAAACCCAATCGCACAAATGAGCCTCAGAGACAACGAAATAAAATTGTGGTCTGGCCGTACCTTTCAGCGCGAGAGTTACGTTTCTCTTTCTCGGAGAACTGAACAGAAATCCCGAACCGCTCAGCCCGTCGGATTTTCCTCTCCGTGTCGGTGATGGAATCAGCATTCCCGGAGCCCGCATCAGCAGCGTTGCTCTTCGAATCTAGCCCTTCCTTATCATCTACTGCTTCCTTACCCGAACCATCGTCCAACGGCGGTGCAACGGTGGAGTCCTCGGCTAGATTAGGGTCCGTGGAGGGCAGTCCCTTGGCAGGTTTGGCTTGAGAACCACCGTTGGTGGCGGCGGCTGTGGGTTTATCGGCCTCGGTTGCCATTGTGCGAGCACAGCGGAGAAGAACGTCGGTGGAGTCGGGAGGGAGAAGCAATTAGGGCTTGATTGTCTGAGTTCCGAGTCGCGAGTTATGGTGCTATGCTGGGTAATGGGATAAATGAGGGTTGGAAAAATGGGAAGCATAATAATCGGGTAAATTGCAAGTTTGGTCACTGAAATTACATAAAATGTTCACATTTGCTACTAAAATTAATTTATTTCATTCATAGATATTTAAATTGATTCAACAGTTCAAGTTGGTCACTCTCCGACCTCCGTTAGTCTCCGACTCTCCATTAAATTTTACTGATATGGCAGTCAACTCTAATAGTTAACTGTTAAATAAGTAACCTGCCAATTAAAAAATAATAAAAATTAATATTTTACTTTTCCACCTCATTATTAAAATTGTTAAAAATAAAATAAAATATAATCACCTAATTGCTGACAGGGAGGACTTAACTACGGAAGTGGTTCCACCTTTTCGACGCCTCACCGGCTCTTCCTCGGCCACCACCACTAACTTTGTCGCGGTCTCCTTCTCCAATTCTTTCAATGACGACCTCGACACGATGTTCCGGACAGCCAGGGATGTTGTCACCCGTACCGGCTTCCCTACCGCCGATATCTCCGAGTTTCTCCTTCACTCAACCGTCGTCATTGCATTGGCGGATCCAATTTCGATAGGGATTTTCCACGGCCTCAGCCCGACGGGGCAATTACAGAGCATGCATAATTTCTTGGAGATCGGGCGACGAGGTGCTCCGCGGGAAGGAGTATGACGGTGCCGTGACAGATCTGTGATAGTGCGTCGTAATTTTCTTTGTTCTCGTCTCTAGGTTGGTCCTGTTTCTATATCAGAACATGATGAGGATGTATAATAAAGCTTTCAAGGCGGAGTTCGAGTGTCTGTCATGAGGCGAGGAGGTTGATCTCGAAGCTTAGACCACACCCTTCCATCTTCCACTTCGAGCTTTGAAGAGCTAGGAATCAATAAGGAGATGCAAGTGGATACTATTGAAGACATTGCTTGGCAACTTGCACTCCATAATGTGCTTGAGAAAGAGCGAGAAAGGGTGGGAGGAGAAGTTGTGGAGGAGAAAAGAAGCCATGAAGCGAAAGTTCTTGATCTTCCACAAGGGGAGGAATCAATTTTTGAAGAATGAGGGAAGGTTAATGAAGTAGTTAGTGTCCGATCGATGGACAAAGTCTGGTGGATAAAGCTTCCACAAGTTACACGTGCTACCAAAGCTTTCCACCCGACCACGATGCACTTCTTCAGAAGGACCCTTTTGTGGGTTCTCTTTGCCAAACCAAGGCCACACCACAATTGGTACCTCATGGTGGAAATTATGGTAGTAAAACGAGGTTGTCTTATATGGTTTGGGGTAAAGAGAACAAAGAAGAAGGCAAGAAGAAGAGGTTTTGTGAGTGGAGCCTTCATTCACATCAATTCCACTATCCAACCACAACATTTGAAGCATCTCATGCTCGGGACTTGAGACATTATCTCACCGAAGAGAACCTCAACTTCAAGGAGGTTTTGGAATGGATCAAAGCTTGACCACAACCATCTGACTCATTACGTGAAAGAAGTGTTTGTTGGGAGGTAACCCAACCACGATAATAATTCAACCTTCGTGAGCTTGTAGTGTTTTGGATGTTGGAATACTCTTTCGAATCTCACCTGCTCTCGTGTCTCGTCTTTGGTCCCTTCCATCATTCACAACCAATCTGGTAACTTTGTTCCACCCTCTTATCTTTCCTCCATTGAGGACAATGTAATGTGGGAGGGGGGAGGGGGTTGAATGGTTAACGTTGATGATTGATTGTGAATGAATTCCCTAGTGTAAAGTTCCTTAGAACCTAGTCTTTTATGCCCAAATTTCAAAAATTTGAGGGTTCCAAATACCTTGTCCATTGGTATGCTTGCTCAATATGCTTTGAATCGTTTGATGCCATGTTAGCTTGAAACTTAGGGAGGCTTGTGTAGAACCATGCTGATCTCCCTTCCATCTTGTTTTGTGTTGGCTAATGTGTCGATTGGTAGCGTTGGGACATGTGATTTTTGCATTGTTGATGACTTTCTCCGTGTTGTGGACTTGAAATGATGTGAATAAAAAATGATGTTCCAAATGTGCTTTTGAATGAAAAAGAGGTCTCACGTGAGTGGCAACCAGTCATAGTGTTCAAGTTAAGTCGTCAAAAGGCTTCTCTTTTGTATTAGAGTGCACTTTTGAGGATGTGTTTAGGGAGATTATGATGGCTTTCTAGTATACAACCTTCATCTACTACCTTTCATCCTCCCTCAAAGGCTCAAACACCTCACCTCTCCTCTCCTTTCCTCCCCTTTCCTTTTTCCTTTCCATGTTTTGACAACTTGGGCATCAATAATTTCTTTCTTTCTCTTCTTTCCTTCTCCTTTCCATGTCTGACCAACTTGGGCATCAAGAATGCCCTTCTTTCTCCTCTTGGACGTGGATTATATTGACCTCTTGACCATGAATGAACCAGATTCCAAAGATGGAAAGTACTCCACAAAATACGCTTGTAATTGAGGTTTGGATGCTTTTGTCAGACTTCGAGTAATAAGGCCTTTATTATGAGCATCATTTTGCATAAATGTTGGACTTGTGATTACTTTGGTCTTGATGCCCTCACCAATCAGAATATGGTCGGTGCAATCACGATGGTGTCGGGTTGTGTGGGCGATGGGAATCAGACAAGGGTATCTGAATGGGGAGGAAGGGAGACAGTAATAGATGGGTGCACCTGCTATTCAGGGGAGAGCCAGAGCGGGCATATTTGAGGAGATCGTGCACATAGAGGAGCCGCGTGGTGGAGGGAACTGGTGGGAAGATCGTTGGATTTTGGCTGTCAAAGCCGATGCCAACTTGAAAGGTAGATGAAGGAGGATGGATCCGCAGGGGCATGGGCAAAGCCTTGGTGGATGGGTGAACAAGATGAGTGGTGAAAAATATCAAGCGTCTCTCCTATTAATAAAAGTCCAATATATTTTGATGAGAAGTTATTTGCCACAATCATATTTTCCTCTAGTGCTAGATTGATATAAGATATTATGTGTGGCACTTATCTCTCTCTCTAAATATTATGTAGTTATGTATAAAGAAGGAAATAGGATAATTGCTTATACAAATAATTTCCCCCCTTACTTTGTAGGAAAAAAATATAAATTATTATTAAACAGATGCAGATAGAATGGCATATTGAAGCAAATAATATGTTGTGTCGAAAGATTAGCTATAATGTATATTTTTCTAAAGATTAGATATAGAGACTAATGAAATATTTGAATTTAATTATTTTTCTCTAAAACCTAGTTTTTGGTAGTGTACTACTCCACAACTAGAGGAGAAAATACAAATAAGATAGAAGAAAAACCCATTGCAAGTTGATCCTCCTTCTTCTTAGATGTTTGGTTCAACCTTTGCGGAAGAAATCAACCTTCATCTAGCCTTAGATAGGTGAAGTTCTCCTTCCTTCCTTCCTAGCTCTCTCTCTCTCTCTCTCTCTCTCTCTCTCTCTCTCTCTAAACCTCGAAGAAGAAGCTCCAATCTCTCTCTAAGACTCCCTCATTCAAATCAGCGAAATCTCCTTTATATAAGCCCGAGTGCACAAACCATGTTCTCACATCACGCCCGTCAAGTCGACAATGAAATTGTGATCTCACCGCAAAAACGTGTCGTTTCACTAACCAACTTCACGGGCTGCTTGTTGACATCACAGTTTGGAGACTATGACCTTGACACTACCCGGGAGCCATACGAAACCTCTTGGAAGTGCGCAATCTTCACGGTTTGCTTGTCCATTTGACGGTCTGGGACATTATATTTGCCCTGCAACCTGCGATCTCTCAACTTTCAACCATTTTGCTCCATTTTTGCCCTGTTTGGTCCGGATCTCGGTGCCAATATTACCTGCTAAGGTCTGACACATGACGAAAAACAAACAAACCTAGTGTAAACTAGCTCCAAGGATGGTGCAAATACATCAAACGTTGCAAGTAAAAGGGTACAAAAGTGTGTAGTCTAACCCGAATCAATGGCGAATTTGAGCATCATACGACGGATCCCCGATTCCGATGGACGGTTGTGACATAGGCAAGAAAAAAAAACTAAGAACATGGCAATCAAAGCAATTCTGTTTTTTGTTTTTTTATCTTCTCATTATTCTCACATTATAGTGGTTTTGATTATTATGTGTTAACAATACAATCGCTAGCTTCTAGATACTGCAAAGCTATTGATTTGGCAAAGATGAATAGGTGTTTTCATTGATATCCTAACAACACTACGGTACATGGATTGTGACCTTGGATTGTGACCTTTATTCTACAATTGGTCTGATGTCTCGAGGATCCTTCGAGATAATTAAGGCCTGAAAGACTCTGAGTAACTTGTTAATCATACTATTTCCTTTTCTTCTTCTTTGCTTTTTTATTTTTATTTTGCACTTGTTAATCATACATGGATTTTGGCTCTCTATTTTGTCTAGCAAGTAGGGCAATTACCTTTGTCAGCTCACGGACGAGACTCTTGTCCATTAATTAATGTTACTCCAAGCGCAAGATACATACATAAATAGAGCACTTCTACTATGCTATATAGTATTGGTGCTTTAATGTACAACTTAAAGTTGTACCATAACATTAAATGTATAAGTTTAGGTCGTACCATAAAGCAATTTGTACCATTATGTTATGGTACAATTTCACAACTTGAAGTTGTACCATCACATAAAGGTACAAGTTCAAGTTGTACCATAAAAGAATTTGTACAAAAAGTATGGGTACAATCTGAAGTTGTACCATAACATAAATGTACAATTTTAAGTTGTACCATAAAGACAAAAACCTATAGCACCAATACTATATAGCATTGTAAAATTTCTCACTTAAATAACAAAGAACGGAAGAAGAAGAAAAGGAAATAGTATGATTAACAATTTAATTACCCGGAGTTGTCCAGTCCTCAATTTTCTCCAAGGATCCGCAGGGACCTCTCGGTCCAATTGTAGAATGAAGGCCACAATTCATGTAAAGTCATTATGGTACCAAGGGAAACACAAGCTCGTCTCGGCTAGATCTATAGTTTTGTGGCAAGTTGACGATAGTATTACTAACATAAAAATCGAAACCACTACAATGTGAGAGTAATGAAAAAAAAAATTAAAAAAAATATAAACAAAACTGCCTTGATTGTCATGCTCTTTGTTTGTTTTTCTTATTTCGAGAAGGAATGAGTACTCCACACTTTTGCACTTATACTATTGTCACTTATATATAGTAGTATGTGCTTGCATCGTTTTAACAACTTAATTTGCAAGTAAAACAATAGATTTACAAGCAAAGAATTTGTCTTCCTATTAATCCGAAAGAAAAAGTCTCAAAGACTATCTACATTAGTTTAATTTGTAGTATGTTATCGAATATCGAGGGATACGTGATGCGACTAGGAGAGTTAGGGGGAGTTTGCCTATGCTACACCTTCCTTCTCTGCTCCTTCGTCCACCAATCGTAGTGTAGGACTATAGGTTTACTTTTCTGCACTTTATTTCTTTTCAGTTTTAGTTTTGCAAAACCGGAGGCATCTCCACATCCTACATAGTTTTATAAAATCAATAGAACCGTACCTCGCCATCAAAGTAAGGATTCTGCGAGAGACCCTAGAAAAATAAGATCTTGGCCTTTGGGCGAGGTAAAATTTTCCCGAGCTCAATCGGCGACGTCATTATACATGTAATTGTTAACACGTTCGTTGAAGTTATAAATATAAATTATTATCCATGGATAATCATGAATACTCGAAACTAAATCATATATGGGTATAGTTTTAATATTCTACTCGATTGGTGTGTGTTCCTTCAGGGACATCTGATAAAATTGAAACAATACCCGATCATTGTGTGAGTATAAGTACTGATACTACTCAAACTATTTTGAATAGGCTAATGTATATACACTACCCGACCCCAATCCAAACCCAATTTGTGACCTATACGTTAAAGCAATACAGTCAAAATTACAATTTTACGTAGAAACGTTTTGATAATCTAAATATATAATGAATAAGTTTTTAAATTTTAAAACACGAATTTTGCTGAGAAGAGTAACATGACCATTTTGATAATTTCCAACTTCGAACAAACGGTGGATTCGGGGATCGGAGCGTCCCCATACCTCCACTGACGTCCGCCCATCCCCGGCTTCAAACCGACCTAACGTTCGTTGATTTTGGGCCGCTACTTCCTCCCACAAGGCGACACGCAGAGGAAGGCGGAAGCTTGCTGCTGCCACCACAGCAAGAGAAGTTGCCATTTCAAGGCGGTGAACCAGAGAGGCTTTTCACTTCTTCAAGCCTAAATTTGTTTTTCTTCCCCGTTTGCAATTTGGCTTCCAATGGTTCTCAAACTCAACATCAGATCCTCACCCACACGAGCGGTTTCAGGGCTCGCTTCAGCCATCCATAACGTCGACATTCAAGCTCATGTCAAGTTCCGTCCTTTCTCGCTCAGGGTTTTAACTGCTCCCAAATGTACTGGGGTTCAGTTCGTTCAGCATCATTTCCCCTCCCTCTCTGCAGGTTTCTCTCCCTCCTAGTTGCTTACGCAGTTACTGCTATCATTTATCAATGGGGTTTTGAAATGGGTTGTGAATTGATGGATTTTCAGCCATTCATGGAGTTCGTCGGCGGGATTGTGCGATTGCTCGTGTAAAAGGCACTGAGAAGGAGGGCGATTTGCCCAACTCCGGTTTGTTGTTATGACTTCTGAAATGTTTTTTCCAGCTGATGGTCGATTTTCTGTTCAATTCACAACTTCAGAACGAACCGTTTGTTCTAAGTTTATACAGTTTGCTAATCGGAATGAGGTACATAAATTCCTGTCTTGGTAGAAGCTGAGAAGATCAGTTCTGAAAGACATGATGATAATGCTGACGAGTCTTTGGATAATGCTGAGAGAGATAAAACATACGTGACATCAGTTAAAACTGTTGCTTTATGTGTGAGTACTGGATAACTCTGTTGCGATTTCGCTTTTAGTGAATTGTTCTTCGCATCGTTGTCAAGATTAGAACCATTGCGATCAATCATTCTTATAGGTTGGCAGTGCTGTGGCGTTTGGCATTGGCATTGGTCTGGTAGAAGGTGTTGGCAAGGCATCAGAGTTCTTTGCTGGGTATGTATAGTTGATTTGGTTCAGTTCTTTCCCTTCCCTTTCCAGACATCCTTATTCGCATTGCTAGCTAGTCTTTAGGTTTGTTATTGAGGTAATCATGATAAACATTTTGTGCCATTTCAGGTACCTGTTAGAGCAGAGTTTGTCCGTGGATAATCTATTCGTTTTTGTTCTCATCTTTAACTATTTCAAAGTGCCACTCATGTATCAGGTCAGTCTATGCGTTCATTGTTACCGTAAGGAGCTCCACTAGGCAATCCAAAGATCTTGCATTACTTATGAAACATATTACCATCTATGCGACACAATACACTGCTATCTAGTAATGAAAACTGTTATCATGTGCGACAATAGAATCGAGTGCTTTCGTACGGCATTGCTGGTGCAGTCATCTTTCGTTTGTCGCTGATACTTCTTGGAACTGCTACGCTTCAGGTGAACACTGCGCCATGAGTTTAATTTTTTATTTTTTTTGTTATGTGGGGCTCTTTATATATCTCTCTATGGTTCAGTATTGATTTGGATTAGTGTTTAAACATCTATATCATTGTTGTTTTATTGTTTTGTTGTTGCAGAGATTTGAGGCTGTCAATCTGTTATTGGCAGGAATATTGCTATACTCATCTTTCAAGGTGCTGTCAAATGTTTTGGGGGGTTTTCTTTTGTTCAACACATGCCGGGTGTTATTGTTCATTTGTTTATATGCTGACCGCTGTCTAATTTTGTGTTATCAGTTACTATTTGTTGGTGAAGAAGATGAGAGTGATCTGTCGAATAATTTTATAGTGAAGACTTGCCAGAGATTTATTCCTGTCACATGTAATTTTGGGCAGGAAAGCTGTCTTCTTTCGTCTTCCTTTCTGATGCGGGGCTCTGTGCATTTTAGTCTTAAATAAGAGTCTCTACCTCTTCTTTGATGGCTACCATGGCTTATCCTGGTTAATTTTGTTCGACTTTTCAGCTGAATACGATGGGGATCGGTTTATAACGGAGCATGAGGGTGTTTTGAAAGTAAGTCATTCACAGAATCCCGTTTGCATGTTAGACTTGTTAATCCATGGCTATTCCTGTCGCATGTCATGGCAACACATCCTGATGTTCCTGAAATTTTTATGACCTCATTTCTAACAGGCATCAACATTTTGGGCAGGCCACACCCTTACTTCTCACAGTAGCAGTACTTGAGCTTAGTGATATTGCATTTGCAGTAAGAAATCTTCTTCTCTTTTTCCAATATATATTCGTTTTAATTTGTCTCTTTGCTGCTGAGCATAACAAATCCTATTTGGTGCTTGGATTGAAGATTTGACAATAACGCACATATCTTCTTGTTTTTGTTTTATCCTCAGGTTGACTCCATCCCTGCTGTGTTTGGCGTTACCCGAGATCCATTCATTGTTTTCTCTTCCAATCTCTTTGCAATCCTGGGTAAACTTTCTCCCCTTTATCAGGTTATGTAGATAGGTGCTTGAGATGCAATCTCCGCCGAAGAAGTGAGGTTATTTAGCTATGAACATCAGCCATCTCTTGGGCTTAAGTGGCTTTTTTTTTCTTCCTTCTTTCTGTCCAAACAGGTCTGAGATCCCTTTTCACGCTCATTTCCCAGAGTATGGCAGAGTTGGAGTATTTGCAAGTAAACTAAACGAATCTTTTCTTGGCTGATATTTGCCATTCATTCCATGGTAGTTGGTTTGTCTGCTTGACTAACTGACGCTTTCTTTTCTTAATCTACTTTGTGTCCTCAGCCCTCGATCGCCACAGTCCTAGGCTTCATTGGCTGCAAGATGATCCTGGATTTCTTCGGTGAGTGATTTTCTAATCCCTTATTGTTGCCAATCTTATCATATGCTGTTGACTTTTACTTCATTCAGTACAATCTATAGACCAGACATGAGAGGTCCCCCTGAAAATTTAACTGCAGGTTTTCACGTGTCAACTGAGGCATCTCTTGGGTTTGTGGCAACAAGCCTCAGCCTCGGCGTCATATTTAGCCTGTTGAAGAAGTCTGATTCCGATTGACCAATGAGATACCCGGCTAAATACAGAGAGGATTCTACCAGCAAAGCCCATTTCATTGCTTGAGAAATGGTCACAATGGGAAGACCCAGTAAGCCATGTCTTGTTCTTCTTCCTCTCCCTCTCTCCATGGCGGACGCAGTTGAAAGCATCAGCCTCTCAATCGTAATTTGTACATACTTTTGGCTCGTACTATGTGTTGGACTTGAACACTGTTTTGCTTCAGTAATCTCGAGGACTGTTTTCCTTTTATTCAATACTCAACATGGTTTCAAACCTTCCCACTCTAGACCAGATTGTCTGCTCTTGGTTCGTTGATCGGCACAAGTAGAATCCAGAATGACTGTCAGATGCACAAGTGATTCCGGTATAGATCGACTGTATTAATGTTCATGCTGCACCATACATTTGGGAGCTTACATTTTACAACTAGTTTGATGGTAGCAGAGGATAGCTACATAAAACCTAAAACCCACAGACAGAGTATCCACCATCCACGGCGATCACTTGGCCAGATATGTACGAAGCTGCCGGCATACAGAGGAATGCCACAACCGACGATATCTCGTCTGGCTCTGCCATGCGCTCGGCGGGAACCCTACTCATTATACTAACACCTGCTTTGAGAAACTCAGGGTTCGAATTTGCCGTCTGCAAATGATGAAGGAATATTGAGTTATGTCATTGCCAAAAAACCAGGGGGAGACAACATCGTTCTTTTTTCCACTCACCATCGTCAATGGAGTATTGGTTCCTCCAGGAGCAACACTGTTGGTCCGAATGTTGTCCTTAGCCCATTCACATGCCAAGTTCTTGGTCAACTGGTTGATCCCCGCTGCATATTCAAACATACAAATGTGCCACCAAGGCATGAATCATTGAACCCTCACTCAGTGATAATACGAGGATGAGAACATTTTGACGACGCGTTCTGGGTTTCGAACCTTGGAGCCAACAACCAACGGAAAAAAAAAAGAATACCTTTGGTGGTCGCATAGCCCGATACGAAAGGAATGGCCAACAGACCAGCAGTGGAGGAAATGAACACGATGCTTCCACGCCCAGACGCCTTGAGCAGCGGATGCGCCAGTTGACACAGATGGAAAGGCGCCACCAGATTCGTGGCCATCACGTTCGAGTAATCTTCAGGGCTCCAGTCCAGGCATCTCTTGAACACCCCAATTCCAGCGTTGTTCACCTGATCATGATATGCCCATCAATCATCAATAACATTCCCAAGACATTACTGTGCATACCCAGTTCATTTTTTCTTTTTATACTTACAAGGATGTTGAGCTTGCCGTCGAAGGCAGAGGCGACAGTCTCCAGTACGAGCTTGAGCCTCTCGGAGCTGGAGCTCAAGTCGCAAACAGAGCCGCTCACATCAAACCCTTTGCTCTTCCATTCTTGCAACCTGTCGCCGAGCTCCTTCTCGTTGCGGGCACACGTGTGCACACGTGCGCCGAGTCCGGCGAGCTCTTCCACGATCGCGCAGCCGATGCCTTTGGATCCGCCGGTGACGAGGGCGGTCATGCCCTTGAGAGACCATTTTGGACCTCCCATTAGCGTTAGCTTGTTTCGGGTTTAGCAAATCAATTGCTTTTGTATTTATTATTATGATCGCGGGCTGCTGGCCTTTTTGTCAAAGTCTTATAGGATCGAATCCGGGGCCCTTGCCGGCCGCATAGAATTGCCGGCCATGGCCCATGATGGAACTAGAGTTGCTCAATTCGTGGTGATGATATTATTGGGCGGTTGCAATTTTGACTTTTAAACTGAAAAATTAACGGTTAATACTTAATACTTTAAGTTGGTTGGAACTTTTGACTAAAAATTAACGGTTAATACTTAATCCTTTTCAAAGTTACTAGGTCAAAAGCCTGTGCTCTGCACGGGATGTTCACTTTTTATTTTATTAATATTTTTATTTTTGTAAATACTATGAATTACAAAAAAAAAAAAAAAAAAACTCACACAATACAATTTTTTGCTGTGTGAATCTAAATCGAATGTATGTTTGGATGGAACGATGCATTTTAGCAAAGGTCAATGCAAAAATTCTCAAGATCCTAGCATATCATCTTTTGAATTGAGCTTTAAACGTCAGGATATGCTAAGTTTCGAATTTGTTGATACGAGTTTTGAAATTTCGAGATTTCAATGAGAGTGGGACGTCCTAAGTTTCAAATTTCATTATTAATTTGGATTAAATATCCTGTCATTTTACTTGTGCCAACTTGGCTAACTATATAACTTGAGCTTTCAAAGTTTTCAAATTATCAAGATAGATGGTTCATGCTACTTCTACATTTTTTAGCTGGAATATTTCTTATCTTTGCATGTGCTTAATCAACTTAAAGGATTGAATGAGTTAATATCTTGATAATTTGTACTAAAGAAGTTATAAGATTAGCGTATAGAAGAAGCCCGACTCTTAAAGTATGGGGTTATTCCAAGAAGAACGAAGAAAGGAGATGATGGTGCTTCTTCTTTCATGGGACTACGACATCCTAGTCCACCACGAGCGCAACCATATATAGTATGTAGCACCTCAAAGGCCTGCACGACTCAACAGGAGGGAGCCAGTGATCGAGCAAGAAGAAGAGGAGGATTCAAGGAACTTGAGTTCTCAATATCGGTTCATTCAAATCTCCTCCAGCAATAGCAATGGAAAACTATCACTTGATAGTGAGAGATCTAGGAGCAGGAGTGGACAACTACCACCAGGAGCCAAGCTGTTTGAGACCGACAGGGAGCTAGAGATCAGAGAGAACACGTTGGAGGCTCCCCTACACCCCTTCCTCTATTTCCCCATTGCAGTTCAAGTGGCAAGAAGGTGGAGAGATGGAGATACATACCAGTTGGACCCCAATGAGAGATTGACTGGGAAGATTTTGACCCGTGCCAAGGCTGAGGAGCATCGATGAGGTAGAAACTTGATGAGGCTGGTCTCTTGTCCTTATTCAGCATCAAAGGAGAGAGCAACGGTGTGTTCACGAGAAAGTTCCTTTTTACTATGATAGTAGCACCAGTGAGTGACCCGAACCAGAGATGCATTTCATATAGACTGGCGAGATGACACTCTAATTGGTCATCGAGTCCAGTTTACTCTGATAGACTCTTAGCTTAAGAGTATAGAATTTAATGTGAGTTTAACTCAGTAGTTTCAACCTGGTTTTATATGTCGTTGAACACACACTTTCTTCAATCGATCTTAGATTATATTATTTCGTTTACCTCAAATGAAAACTGTATTATATGAGCTTCTATTTTTTTTTAACATATTACTTCGTATTTACAAAAATAAAATTCGTAATGAATTAAGAATTGAACATATCATGCGGAGCACAGGCTTTGAACCTAGTATATAATATTATTACACCCGAAAGTAGAAAAAAGAATGTAGTAGAATAACAAACATCTCAATTGGCTTGTAGGAGCTGAAGGGGTGTGGTTGGGCTATGTGCTTGTGAGTATATATTAAAAACAAAATAGTTATTAGTAAGAAGATGGAATGATTATGTGTAAAATTATTGGTTGTGGAGGGGGCTAAGATCAGGTGACTAAGGGGGGTCCCTTAGTCACATGACTAAGCCAATCTCAGCCACTCAACCTCATTAAAATCTAATGGTCCTAATTTATCTAGTTTAATGAAGGATAAGATGGTAATTACATATTTTATTTATTTAACAATTAAAATAAATAAAAAATTGCAGCTATCTCCCTCGGCCCTCGCGTGTATTATTTTTGCCGGTGATCTTCCGGCAGCCCCTCGCCGGATATCTCGTCCCCGTCGCCGTGCTCCCCGTCGCGTTGGACTCGCCGATCAGACGACATAAAAATGAGCAGGCCATCAAGACGACACCAAACGACACCAACAAGGGATTATTGCCATCAATACCATGGCCATTCTTGATTCTTTCTTTTACTGGGGATTTTTCCGAGAGAGAGAGAGAGAGAGAGAGAGAGAGAGAGAGAGAGAGAGAGAGAGAGAGAGAGAGAGAGAGAGAGAGAGAGAGAGATTTTGTACTGTTAGTATACTTTGTATTGTTTGTCGGTTTATTTTGTAATGTTAGTATGCTTTGTATTGTTTGTCGGTTTATTTTGTAATGTTTGTACGCTTTGTTATTTTGTTATGTTTGTCGGGTTTTTTTGTAATGTTTGTACGCTTTGTTATTTTGTAATGTTTGTCGGTTTTTTTTGTAATGTTTGTAAACTTTGTTATTTTTGTGTACCGTGTTTATCATTTTTGTCAACCATGTTTGTAATGTTTGGGATTTTTCCCAGGGGGGAGAGAGAGAGAGAGAGAGAGAGAGAGAGAGAGAGAGATTTTGTACTGTTAGTATGCTTTGTATTGTTTGTCGGTTTATTTTGTAATGTTTGTACGCTTTGTTATTTTGTAATGTTTGTCGGGGTTTTTTTGTAATGTTTGTACGCTTTGTTATTTTGTAATGTTTGTCGGTTTTTTTTGTAATGTTTGTAAACTTTGTTATTTTTGTGTACCGTGTTTATCATTTTTTTCAACCATGTTTGTAATGTTTTTTATGTCTAAAAAACACCGGGGTTGACTTTGGGAAGGAGCCCCTCTATATAGGGACGGAGCCTCCAAAGTCAACCCGGGTGTTTTTTCAGTTCGTATGGATTGTCGGTATAGTTTGTCATTTTTGTCCACCATGTTCGTACTGTTTGTATGTCTAAAAAACTCCCTGGTTGACTTTGGGAAGGAGCCCCTCTATATAGGGATGGAGCCTCCAAAGTCAACCCGGGAGTTTTTTCAGTTCGTATGGATTGTCGGTCTAGTTTGTCATTTTTGTCAACCATGTTCGTACTGTTTGTATGTCTAAAAAAACATCCGGGTTGACTTTGGGAAGGAGCCCCTCTATATAGGGATGGAGCCTCAAAAGTCAACCCGGGTGTTTTTTCAGTTCGTATGGATTGTCGGTATAGTTTGTCATTTTTGTCCACCATGTTCGTACTGTTTGTATGTCTAAAAAACACCAGGGTTGACTTTGGGAAGGAGCCCCTCTATATAGGGATGGAGCCTCCAAAGTCAACCCGGGTGTTTTTTCTTTTTGTATGGTTTGTATTGTTTGTCGGTCTAGTTTGTACTGTTTGTACAGTTCATACGTTTGTAATGTTTGTATGGTTTGTACTGATTCTAAGTCCGGTTTGTATACTTCATAATTTTTCCATAATACCCAAACTACCCATGTCATTAATTAAATAGCCCTTCCCACTTTTTAACCATTGGATTGAAGTGTCCAGATCTAAGGGCTGGGAGGGGCTTAGTCAAGTGACTAAGCACCCCCCCTTAGTCATTGGATCCGCTCTCGTTGTGGAGGGCCAGAACAGGAGGTTAAAATGGGGATAAATGGGAATCTGTGGAGGGAACCGCGCCACTTAAGTGTCTTATAATATTGATAAAATGTGAGAAAGTATAGGGAAACATAAACAAAACGTAGGAAAATAAGAAGAAAAAAAAATGTTAAAAACTACATCAAAGACATAAAGTTAACTAAAAATATAATACATATTCAACTGACTAAAATTAATTGAATTTTCATTTATAGATGGTCCAATTGTACTTTTGTTGGCAGTGTGATTGATAAATTGGCTGGGTTGACAAACCATAAGCTAAAAAATGTATTAATATTTCTATTTAAATCTTCTCTTGATAGATTGAATCTTGAGTTAACACTAATTATTAGCCAAATTGTTTTTCTCATTATTTTTTATTAGTCAAACCTATTGAGTTATGATTAATAAGCCAAATCTTTTGTAATGCATCAAAATATTAACCATTCTTCTGTTATCGTTAATAATTTTGTAACCCTTTTCTCAGTTAAAATACTACAGTTTTCGAATGTTGACATATGTGTGTCTCTTCCAAATCAGTATCATGTTCCCAGATCAAATATTGCTAAAAAAAATTTGCTAACGGGAAGTTAACATTTGACTAATTATTAATAATTCAACGGGTTTGGCTAATAAAAAAAAGAATGGGGGAAAAGGTTTGGCTAATAATTAGTGTTAACCTTGAATCTTATATTATCGGGGTCCTTTTTTTGTTCAATGCTTCTCTTGAAAATATTGTTTTTTTTTAACGAATTGTATACATTGTTTCTTTACCTAAATTTAAAAAAGCTATTTTTTCAAAAAAAAAAACAACAAATTATTGCTAAAATTATCTCGTCCCCTGCTAATCTCAAGTGTCAGACCGCGAGGAAGACGGATTCCTCGCTTATTATTTCTTAATAATGATTGCTTCAACTTTCCTCCCACATCTAGCCACATTTCCCCACCTCCCGAAACCAGAAGAAGTTTCACATCGAAACACAGAACTGTCGACCTCAGTCTCCCACCGCCAATGTCTACCGCTGCGTAAGAAAATTCTAAGCATATTATGTTTTCCCTCTGTCTTACCGTTGATCTTTTCCCCACTTTTTTATTTTCAATCCCGATTGTTAAGTTTGCATGATTCACTTGTTTGTTTTCGGGGTTTGAAAGTTCGGATAAAGCCACGCCGGAGAAATTGACGCCGGTGTATGGTCCTTCGTCGGAGCAACCTCCGCTCTTCGATGGAACTACTAGGTTTTTTTATTCATTTTCCTTTCCCCCCAAAAAAACGTGCTTATTATTCAATTTGCTCCACTTACTACTTCGTCTTCAAATTGTCACGTTGCTTTTGAAATTCCACTTTTAAGGTTGTACATAAGCTACAGATGTCCTTTTGCTCAGCGAGTGTTGATCACCAGGAATTTCAAGGTTTGGATTTCGTATTTATCTTAACTAACTTAATGATAAACATCAATCCAATTTGCCTTAATGATATCTGTAATGGTGCATACATGTTTGGAAATGTATTTCCAGGGCTTGCAAGACGAGATAAAACTAGTTCCCTTTAATCTTCGAAGCAGGCCGGATTGGTATGCAGAGAAAGTTTATTCTGAAAACAAGGTGAATTGATCTTCTTCTTACCCTGGGGAATCTCTTTTTCTTTGATTTTGGCTTTTTCATTTTTATGTATATGTGCTAACCGATGATGACTGGGATGGGTTGATGTGATTATGGAATGTCTTTGTTCATTAAGGTTCCATCACTTGAGCATAATGGGAAAATCATTGGGGAGAGCATTGATTTGATGAAGTATTTGGATAGCAACTTTGAAGGGCCTTCTCTTCTTCCTGATGTACGTATGATTCTCCTTATAACTTAAAAACCCCTTGTGTCTACATGGATCTGGTAGTGATGACAACTCGGTTTCATTGGTCACTGGGAATTAGGGATGACAATTTTGCCCATACCCATGACGAACAAGGGCTTGGTCTAGTGGTAATACCACTAGCCTAGAACTTGGGACCAGGTCCCAGGTTCAAATCCCTTAAGTAGTACCTTAATCACACACAAAAAAAAAACCTATATCACCCTTATAAAAAAAAATTTTTTGCTCATACCCATGGGTTTTTTACTATTCAACCCAATTGGGTTGGGTATGAAATCCAAATAGATGGATATGGGTAGACTTTGATGGATTTGTACCCATACCCATTTATTTTGGGTTGGGTTTATAACAAATGGATTGGGTTTGTACCCATGCCCAAATACAAATTACAGTTTAGTACCTAAACTTAATAGATATGCATATTTAGTATCTAAAATTAATTTTTTTTCATATAAGTCCTCAAAATATCGATGGAAAATTATATTTTGGTACCTAAATTTTTTTATGTCTTACATTTTGGTACCTGAACCCATTTACAAACCCCCCAATTCCCATTTAGATTACGGAAGCAATATCTATATCTTACCCAAACCCATCTATAAACCCCCAAACCCATATGCGCTTCACCCATACCCAACCCATTATCAATGGGTCTACTTGGATTTGGGTATAATTACCCATGAATAGGTAATTGCCATCCCTGGGAATGACTAAATAAGAAACCTTTTGCAGGATGCTACAAAGAAGCAATTTGCTGAAGAGTTGCTTGAATACACCGATACATTTAATGGAAATGTATATGCTGCCTTCAAGGGAGATGTAGTGAGCGATGTTGGTAATGTGCTTCCGCAATAGATTTTTGTGATATGTGCAGTGGCATAAGTTTTTTTTTTTTATTTTTATATCTTTTAAGTAAACGTGCAACTTTATTACAGGGCCTGCTATTGATTATTTGGAAGATGCTCTTTCAAAGTACAGTGGACCATTCTTACTTGGTGACCAGTTTAGTTTGGTGAGTACAACGGACCGTTCTTAGTGATGGCAATTTCAACCCGTTCTGCGGGTATTACTCGATCTGATCCGTAATGGGGCGGGTATTACCCGACTCGCAGTAGTGTGGAGCGGGGCATATGTATCTACTTCCGACCTGCCCTGCTCCGTCCCGCTCCGTTCTAGACTCATTTTATTTCAATTTCTTACAACATCTATACATATTTGATCTATTTTGACTTTTTTCAACTAGTTAGAGTCGATTTTTCAACTTGTTAGGCTCAATTATTCATTCTATTATCAATATTTTTCATTCTTAAAGTGTTTTTCCCTACGTTTTATTGTAAAAAGTAAAATTTACTTGTATTTTTTTTGAACAACACGTAAGAGTGGGTCGACCCACCCCGCCCCGACTCGTAATAGCGTGGGGCGGGACATGAGAATTGAGGTACCCGCCCCGCCCCATTGCCATCACTAACCGTTCTTGATTCTTATATATTGAATGAAAGCTTTTAACTGATTAAAAACCACTATGATCATCTGGATTTCTACAGGCAGACATTGCATATATCCCATTCATTGAAAGATTTGAGATCTTCCTATCAGAAGTATACCAGTATAACATTACTGAAGGTAGACCGAACCTTGCTGCTTGGATTCAGGTATATATACACACACGAGGAAAGCATCATTTTCTTCATGTTGTTTATCTTGTTAATTATTAGTGGCTTCGGATTTTACATTCCCTCAATCAACAATGAAATTTGATTATTGCATGGATTCGTCGTGATATATGATCCACGATTGAACCTCCCCAACAACTCGAGTTATTGGGATCAACTGGTTCTTGATATGGTATCAGAGCCTTCTGTGACCGAGAGGTCTCGGTCACAGAAGACTCTGATACCACGATTGAACCTCTCCCAACAACTCAAGTTATTGGAATCAACTGGTTCTCCCAACAACCCGAGTTATTGGAATCAACTGGTTCTTGACACCGTCCCAGCTACAATCTCATCTCTCACCTTTGCGTTCTGGGTTGGTGCAGGATATTAACAAGCTAGAGTCTTACAAACTGACCAAACAGATTGATCCAAAGGAGGTTGTCGAGTATTACAGCCTGCGGTTCCTGGTAATATATAGTCATTTGTTTTAATCAAAACACACAAGCATACGGTAATTATACTTCAATCTAATACTTAACGAAAAAATAATAATATATTGGTGTTCTCTACTGTGCAGCCGCAGGCTCAGGGGGCTGACAACTAAACTCAAGTGCAGATTTCTCTCTTGGATGTTTAGTCTTTTACCTAAAACATTTTATACATGTAGTCGTAGAATAAAAAAACGGTCACTCGTTCTATATTATCTTTTTTTTTTTTTCCATAGACTCATTTTATATTTTTTTTGTTTTTATGAATGTGTGCATTTTATTCTTTGAAATGTAAATGATCTTTCACTAAAAATAGTGGAAAGTCCATAAGAAATGAAGTAACTCCTACACAAAGTAAAGATAAATAAAAGTTTCGTGGAGGTTGCGTTTCTCTCTAACCATAAGTGCCAAAAAAATTAATAGTGAAAGAAGGCGAATGAACTTTTTGTGGCGACAACCCTCTAGAAAGGTACTTCCATTCTAGCATGATGTCTCGACATGGTTATAATCTTAGTCCTCATAGTTTCAATTGAAAGAAGAAGAAGAAATTCCAAACACGAACTTTGAATTTACAGTGAAGCAATATATGGTCAGAAAACTCATCCCAGTTGAAGTGCAAACAACAATGATTTAGGATATACCAACACCATATAAATAAGCTAGTCTATTGTGATCATTTTCCGTTTAAAGCTAACCATGTGACTGCATAAATATTGGGACGAGAAGCTTTATTAGAATGTATCGAAAAATCAACACATGAAAGTCGAGAACAAATTAATATATGTGGTTTACTAATACGATGTGTGTTAACTACGTTCATGGGAAGGAGAGAGCAGTTTCTCTATACTTGAGGAGATATGAATTATAGAAATTGAGAAGGTCCTTCTCTAGACGGCCTAACCTAATCAAATCTTGAAAATAAAAAGTTACAGACCAGTCCCAAAACAACCAAACAAATGTGTATAAGCAGAAACAGTATGGGTTGGGTCGTTGCCCACGAACCCCTAAACTGATCGCTTCGTCCCAGGACCCAAACTCACTGACCGAGTAGCGTGAACTCCTGTGACTTCCAATTGATGTCAGTTAATATGTATTAAATTCATAGCAACCATCTTGATTCCATATAATCTTCTCATGGATGGTATCTCCTAACCCTTCAAACATAGTTTGGATAATATAGTTGTTGGAGCCATTTACAAAAAACCTTTGTCTTATAGTAGACTATGAAGTGAATCTAAATATCCTTGAAGCCATTGAGGAGGGGCAACACTGAGGAGGTCTTTGAAAAGTTGGATTGGGTATTGCATTCATCCTAAAGACAAGATTGAATCATATGATCTGACAAGTTGTCATTGTTGATTTAAAAGGATTCCATAAGAAGGCATGGCATGAATGAGGAGTTCTTTGAAAACAAAAGCCTAATTCTAATAACAAGGAAATTAAAATATTGAAAAAGGGGGAAAATTCCTAACACAAAAAGAGAACTAAACTCGTCAGCCCTGATTCTCGGGATCGCGTGCCTAAAATCCCAGGGCGGGGAATTGCTCTATCTGCCCTTGGGAACTCTCCTGTCTGAATCCCCGGAATGCTCCTCGAAATACTCGGGCGGTTAATTTCCTCTTCAACCTGGGGAATCCTTCCAGAGCGAATCCCCTAGTTGCGGGTTGAATTCCCCGTGCGGGGAATCCTAACTTCAGGCTGTGGAATTTTTCCTTCACTGGCCTTTTTGCTCTCGCGACACACCTCCTTTTCCAAGATTCTAAAGGCATGGTTTTGATCTTATAAGGCTCACATCGGTCATTCCCTGTTGAAGAAGTTTTGCCCTCAAAGTTTGAGTAAAACACAACGGATCATTCTCCCATTTGAACTCAAGCAACCCACAAAACTCACGATCCAAGCAACCTTCCCGGCTTAGCTTTTAAACAAAATTCCCTACATCATCATTATCAAGAAAGAACAAACAACCACCACAATTCCATTGATTAAAGAGCTCAAACAACTTGGCAAACAAGGGCTCTAGACCATGAACTTCAAAGCTCACTGCGGCTGTTCTGCTTCGGCTCCGATGGACGTCTTCTCCGTTGCGACACCAGGAAACGGAAGAAGGCTTTAAACCCTCCTCCGTCAACTATAAGCAAGCTCAAAGACGATCTCCTGGTGGAAATTCTGTCCCGCCTTCCGGACGCTGGATCCGCCTTCCGTTGCAGAGCCGTCTGCAGGCGGTGGCGCTCACTCCTCTCAAATCCCGACTTCCGCCGCCGCTTCCTTTCCCGTCACCGCCACAAGAGCGAATTACCTTGCGTCAAACCACCGCTCGTGTTGTCGTCTCACGACGCTCCATCCGTCATGAACTTCCTCCCCGTGCCCAACGAAGCCACCGCTCCACCACCTCCTCCTCCGCCTACTTCTCCTCCACCACGCGGGGCTTGGCCGGCCGGGAGAGGTCGTCGACCTGAGGGGAGAGGAACGGCTACGGGCGGTGGAAAATAACAATTAAAAGGAATTAGGTTTTTTTTTATTTTTATAATAATTAGGTGGAAAATAAAAAATAATTAAATTAAATTATTTTATTAATTTTTTAATCGCCACGTCACTCATTTAACGGTCAACTATAAGAGTTGACCGCCACATCAGCAAAAGTTAACGGAAACTAACGGCCAGTGACCAAACTTGGACTGTTAACCTAATTTAAGTGACTATAAATGGAATAAATTAATTTGAGTGGCAAACGTGAAATTTTGTAGCAATTCGAGTGACCAAACTTGCAATTAAGCCATAAATTTATGAACATAACCATGCTAATAATATAAAAAGAAGAAAAGAAATACAGATGAAAAATAAGTCCAGTTCTTCAATATCTCTCTATAATATTTATCCCCGTAGACATACTTATAACTAATATAAATTCCATTTTATTATTATTACTCTATCTGAAAAATTCAATTGTACATTGCTTTTTTTTTCTTCCTTTCAAATAGTAGATAGAAGTGTGAGAGAAGGACGGAAAAATGAGAAGGGAATTGAAAGACAAACACTGAATATCTTTTCGAATAAATTTTATTTAAGCGAATAATTACACAAAGAACATAAAAACTATCCTATTTCATATCATTTCACCTAATACTATTGTAGTGAGTTATTTTAGAAATGCTGATTGATCATTTTGGTGATATAGATTCAGATTTATAGGAAAAACGTTACAAACATTTTACATTAATTTTTTTTTGGCACATACTAATAGAATATAACAAAAGTAAAAGGATCACTTTCTATTTCCAGTAAAAGCTGAAATCTTTCAATTTTCTATCCCCACTCCATAAACGAAATCCCTGAATCCTACAAACTTCTTGAATCTCCAAACTTGAAGTCCAATTGAATATGTTGTTCCCTGATAAAACACAGAGAAACTATAAAACACCAACGTAAAACAATGGGAACCCAGCCAAACGTTGTAGAAAGAATGGAATCGGAGCTCAGAAATATAAATAAGAAAAGAAACCATAAACGATAATTTTTATTAGCAACTGTATATCTAGGTATGCTAATCAACATCATGCTTGACTTGGAAATCATATCTCACTTATCCACTCAACTTAAATGTGAAACCCATAACAAAATTAGCCAAGACAGAGGAAACATCCAAGAAGGGTGGTTTATTTGAATGTAATGTAATTACTAATTAGTAAATAAGAATGAGACCCACATTCTGTAAATACTAAACCCATGGTTGCTCCATTGCAATATTGGAGATTTCAATAGATATCTTTATCATCTACAATTTACTACATCATCTAGTCTAATAAATACACAGCCATATCTAAATGCTCTGGAATTAACATATGACATCAAAACATGGTTTCTCATCCTTAATGTTTTTTTTATATATAATGATGACATTCCCATCCTTAATATTTTTTTAAGTATAATGATGACATTCTCATCCTTAATATTTTTTTATATATAATGATGACATTCTCATCCTTAATATCTTATATAATGTCAACGCAAATAGATAGAAAGAGTAAAACATGGTACCTAACAAACTTGTTCCTTTTGGTTAGGCAAGTAAGGTGTATTTAAACTACAATTGTACATCTTAAGCAACTCAATCATAACCGCGCGGTAGGTTAGTATGAAATTGGATTTCGATTAAGTGTCCGCGCAAAGTAATAAACTATTTTCACCAACACACTAAAATTGCATATTCAGAACTTGATGGGAGCATATCTCTATAGAGAATCACCATAACAGCAAATCTCAGTCCAACTCTTTCACGCGGCTATGAAGGGATGAAGTAAAGGACCAAACTTGAACATAAGAAAGACTTGTATTAAATGCAAGAAATAGCACCAGAGGCAGAACCCAGATGGATTAATTGATCTTATCCAGCAAAAGAAGAAAGAAAACCAAACTTACATGGACAATGAAAATCCATGGTAGATTGAAACCACCCTGCCCATTCCAGAGGCTTACACACGAAGAGGGAATTTCGGATGCTGGCGGCGGCTTCTTTGTGCTTTATCTCCGACGACGGCAATACGTGGGAGTTTAGGAATTGATTTGATATGTTAGAGATGATGTTGTTCTGGTTGAAAAGTGGCAAGGGCCCGTTAAAATAGCCAAAAATAGAAAACATAAAAGGCTTGCAGATGGGAGTAGTGTGGCCATACTTGAACCAAGACCAAGAGTGGACAAAACAATTAAGCCCCATCAAAATCCAATTGAAACGTATATATGTAGGTGAGAGGAAGTAAGAGATATTTCAGTTTTCGAATGAATAAGATTGAGTATGACATTGGGGGCCTCCGAGCGCCTGTCTCCAATCACACCACCAATCTAACTACAATCACACCATAAACCTAGCTGTTGGCCGGCATACTGAATTACAGCAAAAAGTAAAGGGGAGAAGGAAATAGGGTCGGATATGGAGAACAGGGGAACGCAAAAGTGAATTACGGTAATTTCTGTAGTATTGGGAGTAGGAAATTCACTACTCCACACAACAGTCCAAAACCAATTATGTACCTAACCATTCGACATTTCAAAGGCAAAATTTGATAGCAAGCCGAACTGACGGCCCAATTACCAGATTGAAAGAGTACTCCAGATGTGAACCCTGCTTGTCTTGATCGATCTTCGTTGACAGCTACAATTACAAAAGCGATTGGTAATCCGGGTATTGATCTCAGTTGCCGCCGTCCGGATTGAAAGAGCAACAGAACCCTTCTGGCGAAAGATGTCTGCATTTGTAAGGTCCAGAACCGTCCAGTGTCAATGCTCCTCCCTAAATGGTGTATTCTTCCAGCGTTGGATTTTAACGGATTATGTACCCTACTTGACCTTGTCTTCCCACTTAACCACAACCTAAAATCGACTACTGGCGGGGGAGTTTGGGCCCATATCCGGGCTGGCCCATTCGGCCACCTGTAAGGTCCAGTGGAAGGTACTTGTGTTAAACGCACAACTTCACTTAATTGATAGTAAATTGACAGTATTGCCCCTCCGGGGAACCCTCTAAAGGCTGCAAATTCAAATCCCTGAAAAGTTAACCCTTGTTTTGCCTTTATATATTTTGTAGAAATCCGGTTTGTATACTTCGTAATTTTCAATAATACCCAAACTACCCCTATCATTAATTAAATAGCTCTTCCCACTTTTTAACCATTGTATTGAAGTGTCCAGATCTAATTGCCAGGAGGGGCTTTAGTCATGGGATCCGCTCTCTCACATCCTGTCGTCACCGCTGAACGGTGATAACGCAAGGAGGCCACAGGCCAACAACAAGAAGAAGCTCAGTTCAGTCAACTCGCTCCCAGCCAATCCACTGGTCCCTCTCTTAACTGCGTACAGAAGAGACTAACAGACCGGCACCGCTCTCCGTAACGTTGATATAAATACGCACCACCGGCTTTCCCCTCTGCAATTTGGGCCACAAAACCACAATTCACCCTCGTCAAACCACAATCGCCACCAGAGTAGCCAGGCAGACTTCCCAGAGAAAACGAAAGAGACAGTCGGCCAATGTCTGCCGCCGCCGCTGCGTAAGATTTCCGCTTACTTTAATTCCTTTGATCGTCTTCCAAGATTCCCCTTCTGATTTACCCATCTGTTTTCCCCGTTTGGTCAGGACCGTGCTGGAGAATCTGCCTCCTTCGTTGGATTCCACGGCGGAGCAACCTCCTCTCTTCGACGGCACTACCAGGTTCATCCTTCCCTCGTTTCCGTTTCTCGTCCGCCTGCGTTTTTTTCTTTCCTTCCTCCTTTTCGTTGATTGCTGGAGCTAAAGTACTGACATGGCCCCAACGGTGATGGTTGCCTCTTTCTTTCCCTTTTTGGTTGCTGGTTTGTGGAAGGCTGTACACGGCTTATATCTGTCCTTATGCCCAGCGAGTTTGGATCACCAGGAATTTCAAGGTTATCTTTTCCATTTCCATATGTAATTAGAGTAGAATCCTGTTTCTGGCAAGGGTTACATTCCATTGTAATTGGGTGATCTCGTTGGTTTCTCAGGGATTGCAAAATGAGATAAAGCTAGTCCCCTTGAACCTTCAGGACAGGCCTGCTTGGTATAAAGAGAAGGTTTATCCTCCTAATAAGGTGAATTTTTCACCATTGAGTAGAAAAATATAACATACTGATAAGACACTGTTGTTCTGCTGCTCCCCGTCTTGATGCATATGCATCTTTGTTAATGGTGGCTAATTAGTAGTGATCATGTTAGTCAATTGTTACTCTCTTCAAGTTTGATGCCTGGTCTTGTTTCTTCTAAGGTGCCTGCACTTGAACACAATGGGAAAATCACTGGGGAGAGTCTCGACTTGGTTAAGTACTTGGATGCCAACTTTGAGGGACCTTCTATTACCCCTGATGTAAACGTTCTTTGAGCTCCCCCCCCCCCCCCCCCCCCCCCCCCCCCCCCTCCCCTCTTTTCAATGTGTTCTCACTGTACCTCAGCAAGAAGCTAACTTGGTGATATTTTGAAAATCTTGGTAGGATCCTGCTAAGAAACAGTTTGCTGATGAGTTGTTGTCGTACAGCGACACATTTGTTGGATCGGTATTCTCTTCGTTCAAGGGAGATGTGGCAAACGAAGTTGGTGAGTTCTGTAGCGCTTCCATTTGGTAGCGGAGCTACATTTTGTTGGATGTAGACATTGGTTAAATAAAAACACTTACTGGTTGGTCTGTGTTTCAGATCCGGTTTTCGATTTCTTGGAAAACTCCCTTTCGAGGTTCAATGATGGGCCGTTCTTCCTTGGCCAATTCAGTCTGGTAAGTTTGACTTCCCTTAGCGCGCGCTCCCAAGTTGATTTGATGTTAACTTAAGGCTTTCTAATCTACAACCTGTCCTTATATGTGTATGTTGCAGGTGGACATTGCCTACATCCCATTCATTGAAAGATTCCAGGTTTTCTTATCTGAAGTGCTCAAGTATGATATTACTGAAGGCAGGCCTAAACTTGCAGCTTTGATTGAGGTATTGAACATAATCCCTTCTACGAGCTATGAGCCTATAACCATAAGTTACTCTTCTTCTTGAATTGGGTGATGGTATCGGTGTCCTTATATATATGCATACAGGAGGCGAACAAACTTGAGGCTTACAAGCCAACAAAAGTTGATCCGAAACAGACTGTTGAGGCCTTCCGCAAGCGTCTCACGGTAACTAGTCGATTGTCATTGGCTGTCAAGTTGTAACATGGGAACTGTACCTGTATTTCGGGGATTTGTAAATCAGATATCTATTCTGCGCAGGCTCAGTAGCGGTTGCCCTGCATCTTTACAAGGACGAAGCTTCTCTAGGGACTTTCTGAGAGCCATTTGCTGTGCTTGGTGAATAAAAAGCTGCCACTAAGTTGGTTACTGGTGTGTTGCTAGAAATGTGCAGTGAGTAAATGTACACTTGTATTGTTCATATGCTGTAAGAAGGTGGCTGTATAATTATTAACCGTGAATGAATTCTTGGATTTCATGTCACCTGAAGTTTGGTTGGAGTGGTACTGCCGGGTATACCGAACTTATTCCATAAAGTAGTGTTCTAGGGTGCTCATTGTGATGTCTCCTTGCTTCATTAATTGATTTCATCCTCACATATCACAAACGATGGATAACTCTAAATTATTAAAAAATCTTGAGGATTATTTTTTTTATGAATCGGGTTGTTCTCATTCCATTAAAAAAGGAGTACTAGCAACATCCTTGCTAGTTAGGATTGATCAAGTTCATAAAATTCTATACAAATGAATCAAAGACTTGACTACCAAAAAGCACGACTACCTCCTCTCTAACAATCTTGCACAAAACTGCTCTATCCCTGCACACTCCTGTAAAAACTCTACTACACCTCTCTCGCCAAATCAAACTTACAAGGCTCTGCCACAAAGCCTTCCCAGCTTGAGAATCAACAGATTTAGAACCAAATTTCTGTTTCACCCAGCAAATCTCGCTACTCAAAGAAGAAGAGACAACAGACCTGCTACCATACAGCTCACCCTTCAGGCTCCTGTATAACCCACATTCAGCAAACAAATGGTCAATTGTTTCAAGCTGACAATTACAAAAAACACATCCCAGGCTACCTGAATAACCCCATTTTGACATCTTCTCCTTTGTTGAAACTGCTTTGCTTAGAATAAGCCATGTTATGAATCTGTTTCTAGGTATTGAACTCCCCTGCCATAGCAGATTAAACCAATCCACTTCCTGCCTTCTAGGTCTTAGAGTATTCCAAATTCGCTTTATAGAGAATTTTTCCATTCTTTCCTGATCCCAAAAAACCTGTTGGCCCTGCTGATGAAAATGACCTCGCACTTTGTGCCTCACTTTCAGGATTCTCTTCCAGTTCCATGAGCCAGAAATACCACCATACTCCCATAAATCCTGGCCTTTCAGCTTGTACAAGCAAATCCAAGCCACCCATAAAGAACCATGCTTCATTAGGAGGAGCCATATATACCTTGTGATACATGCAGTATTCCAAGTAGTAAGATCCCTTAACCCTAATCCCCCCTCCTTCTTTGGAAAGGTAAGGTTCTTCCACCCTATTTTTGCTTTTACCCTACCATTCTGACCCACCCCCCAAAGAAAATTACTACATATAATTTCCACTTCTTTTATCACTGCTTTAGGGAGGAGGAAAACAGCCATCCAATATTGATGGAGACTGTACAGAACTGAACTGACCAATTCAGCTCTACCAGCATATGAAAGGAATCTGGATTTCCAGCTACTAATACGAGCTACTATCTTATCAATAAGAGGTTTGCAAGCTGATACTGTGAGTTTCCCTGAAGACAAGGGGACCCCGAGATACCTCACAGGGAATCTTGAGGATTATTGGTAGTTTGGATTAAGTATTTTTTTAAAAATGTTATTTGGAGTCAATTATTACACAAATATCATATATGTAATTCTTGTTATTTGATATATGATATTTGTATGGAATATCACGTTTAGGTAGAAACATGGCTAACTTATGCCATTAGGGACATTTGGGGATTTTTCCAGAAATAGCACTGTTTTAAAAAAAATTCCTAAAATAGCATCTAAGTCCGAAAAATTCCAAAAATAGCACCCTTTTCCAAAAACCGCTCCTTACCAGTGCGGTTTAGGCGAAAACCGCCACCCATGGGCGCGTTTTTCGATGAAAACCGCACCCCACCATGCGATTTGGTTGCAGATCGCACCCCCAGGGTGCGATCTGTTTTTTTTTTTTTTTTTTTTTGAAAAATCCTAACCTAGGTGGAAACTTCAAACGGACGTATCTTTGTGTTCGGGTATCCAATCGTCGCAAATTTTTTTTTGATTCCGCATAACTTTTTGAGATCTAGCAAGCCAAAGGTGGTTTGGTCCCTCCTTCATCCAAAAAAATGTCGTTTGCTACCCCGAACGAGCTTTTTTCCGATTTCGTCAAACTTTGGACAACCATAACTTTGTGCTCCAAAATCCAAACAACATGAATTTTTTTTTTCCGCATAACTTTTTAAGGACTACAACTTTTATCATAGACACAATTTCAAAATGTACGTGGATTGCTGAGAAGGGAAGGTAAGTTATTCCCAAAATCCTGTATATCCAAAAATAATTCCTATTTTGAAAATTCATTCTAGTAAAAATTGTAGTCCTTAAAAAGTTATGTGAAATAAAAAAAAATTCATGTTGTTTGGATTTTGGAGCACAAAGTTATGGTTGTCCAAAGTTTGACGAAATCGGAAAAAAGCTCGTTCGGGGTAGCAAACGACATTTTTTAGGACGAAGGCAGGATCAAACCACCTTCGGCTTGCAAGATCTCAAAAAGTTATGCGGAATCAAAAAAAATTTCGCGACGATCGGATACCCGAACACAAAGATACGTCCGTTTGAAGTTTCCACCTAGGTTAGGATTTTTCAAAAAAAAAAAAAAAGCAGATCGCACCCTGGGGGTGCGATCTGCAACCAAATCGCACCCTGGGGGTGCGGTTTTCATCAAAAAACGCGCCCCTGGGTGGCGGTTTTCGCTTAAACCGCACTGGTAGGGAGCGATTTTTCAAAAAGGGTGCTATTTTTGGAATTTTTCGGAGTTGGTTGCTATTTTTGGAATTTTTTTTTCTAAACAGTGCTATTTCTGGAAAAATCCCGGACATTTGGCCCTTTTTATTTATTTATGCGAGTGTTATTTTTGTTAGTATGGTAGAAACTATTCAAGGAAGAGAACTTCTCGTTTATCAGATTAAGACTTGTTGATTCGTTACTAAATATGTTTCCAATCAGTGTTATCAAAACAAGTCCGACCTGTCCGACCTGGCAGGTCAAATTGCGACTAACGGGCTCTGGCCACTCATCAGGTTCTGACTCCCTCTAAATGATAAGTAAATTGGCCGATCGGATATTAATCGGTTCATCCGACTAACTGGTAGAATTGCCTAACTCGAATCGGCGGTTTTGAGATTAATACTTACCTTTTTCTTATAGAAAATTATTACTTACCTTTTCTCCCTTGAAAGATATAAAATTGAAAAGGTAAAAATGAATGTTTCTTTTCCTTTGTCCACTTTATTTTTTCTTTTTTTACCACTCAATCACGTTCCCTCTTTTCTTGTTCAGATCATTACTTTAATTACTTTCGCTTTCTTCCAATTCCTTCCTTCAATTTTTCAATTGACCAACTTCACAGGTCAAACTCCAAAAAGGCAAAAATCCATTACTTATTACAACTTTGATTAACATTATAATATTGAATTCTTCAATTGAATATATATAAATAAGATATAGAATTCTCAATGTAAAAACTAGTCTTAATTTTAGACATACCACGAAATTATGATAATTTTATTTGAAAATTTTATTTGCCATCAATTTTATATCGATTAATCACCGATCGTCTGATAAATTTTAAACCTCTCACTAACCCGAATTGCTATCTAGTCCGACCAATAATGTTTCCAACGAATACACGCTCGTTTGGAGAATTGGAGTCTAAATCTCTAGATTCTAGACAATCCAAAGATTTTAACTCTCTGAATTGTTGAAAAAAGATTTGAAAATGTTCATTATTTGGTAACTATGATTGTTAACATCCAATGAAAAAAGAAATTCTATTTTTTTTAATCACATAACATGTTTATCCTTAACCAAAATAATTAGATTGACTCGAAAAATATTGAGAATTTATTGGTAAGGGTATTTAATGGGATAAATGAAACAAAACAAGAGATATAATAGGAGGGAGAAAATCTCCAAAATCAAGATGTAGAATCTCTCTAATTATGAGAGATTGGATATCTCTAGATTTTATAGATTTACAATATCTGAAGTTACAATCCACGATAAAAAAGTAGCAAAAAAATATAACATTTTGCTAAATCTATGGATTCAATAAATCCACGATCCAAATCTTGTTCTTCAAACGACCCTAACTTAACTTTCAATTAAAGATGCTAGTTAGAAGCTTGAAAAATAAATGATCGGGTAGCCGCTGGAAAAAAAAGAAAATTTGTTTATCTGCTCCGTACTCCTTTAGTTGCTAGTTAGAAGCTTGAAAAATAAATGATCGGGTAGCCGCTGAAAAAAATGAAAAATTGTTTATATGCTCCGTACTCCTTTAGTTGTTGATAGTACTATTGATGATCGAGTCGAGCTTTGTCATAGTTCGGGTTCGGCTCGTTAATATATTTTCTTGGCTTGTGTTCGTCACGAGTTTTAATATGCGAGCTCGAGCTCGACTCGTTTATGAAAATGAAAGCTCGAGCTCGGCTCGTTAAATAAGGTTAACGAGCCCAAAATCGAGTTAAGCTCATAAAATGTTCATAATAACTCAAGATTGACCGAGACAAAATTACATTCAAACCTGTAGCAAAGTCTAGCAAAATAAAACACAATATTTATCCCAATTTCAATACATAAAATCCATGAATTCTAATCCTTTCTTATGCCAAAATGTTAAATGAGCTTGTTCGCGAGCTTTCGAGTTGAACATGGTATGGCTCGAGTTCGGCTCGTTTAGTTAACGAGCTTGTTCGTGAACCGACTTGATTAGACGAATCGAGTTTCGAACAAGTTTTTCTCGAGTCGGACGCCGAGCCTTCATTAACAGGCCTAGTTGTTGATCTACATGCAGATTCATAAAAAAAACAAAAATGTTAAAGAGTCAACTGTTTTTGCTTCGTAACTGCGATACTGAGGGATAAAGTTTCCCCTTGTGCACAAAAGAGAAACGTTCGCGTAAAAAGGGAAGAAGGAAGAGGGAAACTGAAAAGGTGAAGAAAAGCAGAAGAAGAAGAAGACTCAACGGGAAGTAGGGAAGTTCCACGTGACGTGGACCGTACCAAAGCGGGTTCCAGTGAGCTCAGGTTCACGGGAACCAGAAATGCAACCGCCAATAAATTCATTTTGGGTGGGAAAACTAGCCCTGCATCCTCAAGACCCCGAATCCGCCGGCGAAAATCTCCGGAGGTTCGAGCAGCTCCGTTTGACCTCACAACACAGCCGGAGATGGCGGAGAATAGCTTCAATTTCCACCACACTCTCCACCACCACGGAAGCAGGTACTCAACTAATAGACTACCAGTATTTCATTTCCGGCTTCCGCGTGTCCTTGGATGCTCGTTTTTCTCCGAGACTTGATTTGAAACCTTCTTCCGACAAAAGTGAACGGAAACTTGGTCCTGGATTGGGTGGACGAGCAATGAGTGAGTCGGAGCCGAGTCTGGATTTCTCACCTCAGGAAAATAAAATCACCGATTGATTGTTTTTTTTTTCTTTTTTTTTCCCCCCTTCTCTTCTTTCTTTCCTTCCGATTCTCCGTTTTCTGCTTCGCGTTAAATGGATGTCATGCGATTGCAAAGTTATATATGGAAGAAAATGAGGTTCTTTGTGTTCTAGGGAGGGAGTTTGGTTTTATTAGTTCCATTGTTTCTACAACGAATGAAGTAGTGAGAAATGAATTAAGAGAGAGTTATGGGCTTTCGAATTCGGAAATTTGCATGTGAAGTATGTTGTTGTCCTTGTTGAGTAGGCGCTCGTTCGAGGTTGAGTCCAGGCAAGCTCCATTTCAGTTTCATTTCTTTGTTTGTTCGTTTCATTTGTTCTCTACATTCATGGGGAAGCCTGATTGATTGGTGTCTCCGATTAGGGATTCTTATGGATTTGTCTTGAGACCTCAACAATTACAACGATACGGAGAATACATCCATATCTATAAGGTATTTCCCTTTTTCAGAAACACCAACAATTTCCCAATTTCATTAAGTACTTGGGGGAACCAAGAAAAAATGCAATTTTTTCTTCTTCTGAATGAGTAGTGATCTTTTCGGTCGTGGTGTATGTTAGGAGGAGGAGGAGGAGAGGTCACAGAAATGGAAGATCTTCCTTGAACAACAAGAAAATTTGGATCAACCTGAAGAACAAGTAGCAAATCAAGAGGTCTTGCAGGTTGAGACCACTACCGAGTCTAGAGAAGAAGCTGGTTCAGAGGGAAGAAGGGATAACGATGATGCGAGTGTGAGCAGCTCTCATTCTAATACTTCAAAGGAGCAAAACCGCTCAGAGGAATCAACAGAAGGGGCTCAGCTTTTGGGACAAAGTGAGAAAAAAGTGCAGTATAACGAGGGACCGCAAGAGGTGCATTCTACAGAGAGACCTCAAGAGGAGGTGCAATGTGTGGAGGGACCTCGAAAGGAGGTACTATATGTTGAGGATCCTGAGGTAAAGGTGCAGAAAACGAAGGAAGAGCCAGTGAAGTTGCCTGAAGAGGAGGTGCAACCACCGGAAGCCTCGGGAGTACCATCAGAAACACCGGAAGAGTTGCATGTTTCCGAGGAAGGTGAAAAGAAGGATCTTTCAAAAACATCAAAGGCTGGTAAAGTCCCCTATTGGGGTCAAATTAGACCTTCCCTAAAGGTTATAGAGAGGCTAATGAGTTCACGTGTTCACGAGCAACATCATGTAAAAGACAAGAAGAGTGATAGAAATGGAGGAGACCAACTTCCTGTTATAGAAGAAGATGTCTCCGTAGAAGAAGAACCAGATGACGGTGTTGAGGAGGAGTCAAATGTTAAGGATCATGTGGATGACAAGGTTAATGAGGGCAGAGATGAAAGGAAAGTAGAGGATGAGCCTTCTTTAGAACCATTCCTCCATTGGAATCAGGAGCTTGAGTTCCTTGTCCATGGAGGAGTGCCAAAAGATCTCAGGGGAGAGGTAAAGCTATAATGGTACTCAGTTTTATTATTTCTGAAAACATCATGCATCGGATACATCTGATCCTGCTCTTTCCAGGTATGGCAAGCCTTTGTCGGTGCAAAAGCGCGCAGGGTTGAAAAGTATTATGAAGATTTGCTTGCAGAAGAGGCAAATGCTGATGAAAGCAACGATGATAACAATACAGGTGTACCCGAGAAGTGGAGAAAGCAGATTGAGAAGGTCATTAGATGCATGGCATGCCTTGGGCTTTATTGTTCAATCTTTTAAATTTCTAGGTGCGACTTCTTTGGGTTGGATTGGCGTCCAGGTTAAAATGAATTTTGTTTCTAGTGCAGGACATACCAAGAACATTTCCTGGTCATCCAGCTTTGGATGAGCATGGTAGGGATTCCTTGAGGCGGATACTTATAGCGTATGCTCGGCATAATCCTTCTGTTGGATACTGTCAGGTGAGAGCTGCAATAAATGTCTTGCAATGACTAATGCTTAGCATGACTACTTGTAAACTTCATCATTTGAGCATCATGGCTAGAGTTCTCACATGATCTAAATTGCTTGTCTGCTATCATTAAGGCTTTAGTTTCTCAGTGCATATTTGAAGCTTCTGTAGCTCCCATCTCGTATGGTGATTATTCTTATTCACTTGTAGCACATACAATGCAGGCAATGAATTATTTTGCAGGCTTGTTGCTATTGCTGATGCCAGAGGAAAATGCATTTTGGTAGGTTTGAGCATCCTATCTCTGTCAAAAATTTCCTTACGGACATAATTCCCAAAGATGTGGTCAGGAAATCGAGTTTAAAGTATCTTATTATAAGACCATGCTGTACCTGAATTTGAATTACGTTGTTCTCCGTTGTCTCAAAAGAGTCTGCATTTATTTCATATTCATGATATGGATATAGAGTCTAGATCACTATTCCTTTTGTTGATAGCCAGATGGCTGAATCAGTTTCCTTTTCTGAATTGCACAGGACTTTCGTGGGAATTATTGATGACTATTTTGATGGCTACTATACTGAAGAAATGATTGAATCACAGGTGTGGTTGTTAGTTTCTTCAGAAATTAGTCATTTGTTTTTCTGTTCTAGTATGTTGTCCTATTTTTGTATTTTTTTTATCACAACGCGACTACACATTCTTTGAATGTTCTTTCTCAATAATATAACATTGTATGCCAAACAGGTGGACCAGCTCGTTTTTGAAGAGCTGATGCATGAAATTTTTCCTAGATTAGGTTAGTCAAATTGTCAGCTCTGTTTGTTCTGTCCTCCTGCTTGAGTGAAGCTCGAATTGTCTCTTCATTTCATTTATGCTGTTGCTGCAGTTGGTCATCTCGAATTCATGGGAGTGCAGGTTGCATGGGTTTCTGGACCTTGGTTTCTTTCTATTTTCATAAACATGCTTCCTTGGGAAAGTGGTAATGTCCATGGTTTCAATTACCTAACAATTCATTTGGAAAATAGGATGGGCAAAAGAATTATGTCACTATCTTCTGCTAGTTTTGACTATGACCCCTAATTCTCCTGCTAATTTTGACACTATCTTCAGTTCTGCGAATTTGGGATGTTCTTCTATTTGAAGGAAACCGTGTGATGTTGTTCCGGACAGCATTTGCTCTCATGGAGCTATATGGTAATCTTTAGATTTTGAATTCACAGCTATCTTCTTGTTTTTGGAGGGATTTGAAAGCATCATAGCAAGTTAATGCAATTGTTTCATAGGTCCTGCGTTGCTTACAACTAAAGATGCTGGGGATGCAGTTACTTTATTGCAGTCCCTAGCAGGATCAACATTTGACAGCAGCCAGCTTGTTTTGACTGCCTGCGTTGGGTTTTTGGCCATAACTGAAGCTAGATTGGTAGAGCTGAGAGATAAACACAGAGTATCAGTTTTAGAAGCAATGGAGGAAAGGTCAAGACAGGGTAAAGTTTGGAAGGATTCAAAAAGTCTTGCAACAAAGCTGTACAGTTTCAAACACGACACCGGGCGTGATGGAAGAAGCAGTGAAGGAGACAATTCTCTGTCGGGATCTGCTTCCACTTTTGATGATTTTTTATGTGGCTTATCTTCCGACGCAGAACTGGATTGTCTGCCAGATCTTCAAGATCAGGTAGTTCCCATTCCATCAGGAATTATTTGGTAAACCTCTATTTTGGTGAAATGTAAAAAATTAATTTATTGTTCCAAATTTCAACTATTAAGAGCTTTTGGGCTGTGTAGGTGGTCTGGCTGAAGGTTGAGCTGTGCAGATTGTTGGAAGAGAAAAGATCCGCCATACTAAGGTAACTAGCTTTCGTATCATATACTCTTATCCGTCTAAGTAATGAATGGTAGGTAGCAAGTAAAATTCCTAAGGTGCTTATGTTCTGTTGTCTGGTTTGATTCACTCCAGAGCTGAAGAGTTGGAGACAGCACTCATGGAGATGGTCAAACAAGACAATCGGCGGGAATTGAGTGCAAAGGTATTGGCTTTACGCTCATTTGCTGGTAAAACGGAGAAAGGTAGAGAAGCTAGTGGTATCTGAAGCGAATGGAGTTGATGGACGATTTCAAAGTCAAAGTGTCATTTTGGTGCAGATTGAGAAGCTGGAGCAGGAGATGTATGGGCTGCGAAGAGCCCTGGCTGAGAAGAAAGAGCAAGAAGCTGCAATGCTCGAGGTTAAATTCCTATCACTAGATGATTCGAGAGGCAAGTAAACACGAAATCATCTGGAGATTAGTCATGGATACATATTGTGTTTGTATGAGCTGTAGGTACTGATGCGCGTGGAGCAAGAGCAGAAGATAACCGAAGAAGCCCGTGTCATTGCTGAGAAAGAAGCAGCTGCTCAGAGACGTGAATTCGATTCACTTCGGGTCTCTCCCTCTCTTTTCTGTCTTCCACAACCATCTCTTATTGGTTCCAGTATCTAGCGGCTGATATCAAAACAATTGTGTTATGTTTGTGCAGGAGAAATATGACGAGGCCATGGGATTAATAGCTCAAATGGAGAAGCGGGTGGTGATGGCGGAGTCAATGTTGGAGGCTACAGCGCAATACCAATCTGGCCAGACTAAAGCACAGTTCGTCGAACCTCCAGGGTAGTAGTTGGGTTTGGTCTTCTTTTTTTGGGGACGCCCACTTGAATTATGTTTCTGTGTTTGCCAGCCTTAGTTAGTCTTGACGGTTCTGTTCTATTTCCAGGGCTGTTCGCAACCAGAGCACGACAGGGGAAAACACTGGTAGAGGAATTGGTCGCTTGACGTTTGGACTCGGCTGGCGTGACAAAGGCAAGGTGAGGAAAAAATGGGCAACGAGAAACTAAATAGTAATGATAAATAAATACACCGCAGTTGAACTCTTAACTCCGGTGGAGCTGATTATGGAAAGATTTTGTTGTGAACAGGGGAGACCGGAGGCCGGAGACGGCAACACCGGCGGCGCAGCAGATACTTAGCCGGCGGTGGTGGAATCGGTTATATGCAAATGCAACTAACTGTCTCACTTCCATTCTCAGGCTCAACCAACCGATAGGGGGGACTTCCTCTTCTGATCAATGTACTCAGTAGTTCTAGATTCCCCATACGTGAATTATTACAAGTTTTGGTCTTTGAGAATGTAAATTATTTTGACCTGGCTACTACTTCCTTGTAAACTAACAACGTCGTTTTCTAATTCCAGCATCCGTTCTTTTGTATCCCAGAAGATACTCGTAATTCGTGAATATCGATTGGATATTCCAATCCCAAATCACCATATCAGGAGCAAAGTCAAAAAAAAAAAAAAAAAAATATTTTGATTCAAAAAATAGGTAATTACATCTTGGGGATCAGTTAGGCCTGAAAATCGAAAAAACGACTCATAGTCGGGTACAAAGAAAAGGTTTGCCGAGCCACCAAATGGGCTACCCTATTGCTAGGCCGACCCACAAATCGCACACTAAACCCATTATGGACAACAAAGTACTGCACAATTTCTTCAAGAACCGCTCCTATCGATTGTCTCTGGTATCTGCCCAATTGATCTTATCGATGACCACTTTGACATCACCTTCAAACCTTATCTTCGTGAAGCCATGAGCCAGACACCATAAGAAAGCCTCACGAAGCACAAGTAATTCAACCACCATAGGGTCATCAATGAAAGGGAACTGCACCCCAGTAACCAAAAGGATCTCTCGAGCTTGGTTCATAATCACCATCCCGCCTACTGAATGAGAACCACTCCTTACTGCTCCATCCCACATACAAACAGCAAAGTGAGGCCCACCAAGACTCATATGTTGTACCGGGGAGATGGAAGAATGGAGAACTCGGTCCACCGGCAAACTTTCTCATTCCTCATACTGTTGGTGAAATTGCCGCAATAAAACTGGGATCCTGAACCGTTTATGTTGATGTGACCAATGTTATTTGGGTTCGGGTTCTGGGCTTGGTTTGTAACCGTTTCCTTTGCCAGATTGGATTAGGTTTAGACCCACATGGAGAAGTATTATAAATACTTCTCATACTCCTCTGTAATCTGTAATCTTCTCGATATAGTGAAACTGGCTCTCTCTCGCCCGTGGACTAGCTAACACACATCGTGTTAGTGAACCACTTAAATCGTGTGTCTGTGTTTCTCGATTCTCGCTTTCGTATTCTTGCTTTATCTATTCCAGCAATTTCCCGATCCGTAGCAGCGCGTTTATAACAGTTTACCTTCAATAACCACCCATTTACGATATCGCCACAATAGCCATGAATAGAGAGGGTTGGTGAATTAGAGACATCAGCTTTTTTAACAAAAGGGGAAGGTTTGCTGAGGCAATCCTTGCCCAAGATGCTCCATCCCTAAATGATCCCAAAGAGCGCGAGCTACTGGGCAATCAAGAAACATATGTTCCATTGTTTCCAATTCCCCCCAGCAGACCGGGCACCTAGGATAACCGGGACATTCCTCTCAATTATGGCTTCTGTAGTTGGGAGGATCCTATGGAAGATTTGCCAAACAAAAACTTTCAATTTGGGTGGGATATTAGCCTCCAACAACCGAATCCAACTAGCCATATTCATACAACTAGCCATAGATTTGCAACGGCCCTTCCTTCTATCTAGAGAGACTGTAAAATGGTAAGCCGACAGGCGTGGCATGCCAAATTCATTTATCTGGAACAGTCTGGTGAGAAAGAGAGATAACTTTGATGACCCGACAAATAGCTGGATCAAATCACTGACTAAGTTTAATGTCCCACCATCGATCTTCTCCCCCTGACATATAGCCACAGTCCGCAGCGACAGGGAATGGTAAATGGAAGATAGTTGACGTATAACCTCAACGAAATTGTAAAAGCCAGATGTCACTCTTGTAGTATCAACTCTTTTATGCTAAAAAATGCAAATATAGCTTCCTCTTCGAATTGAAGCCACTTCAGAGGTGAATCGAGCAAAATCAAATCCTCCATTTTCCTTTACCTGAGTTGGGGGAATGATTTTTAATACCTTCTTATTTTATTTTTATTTTTTAGTATGAAATAATGATTTTACTTGTACTTAATATTAATAATGATAATGATGATGATAGAGATAATAATAATAATAATAATAAAAAAGATGATGATGGTATAGAGTCGGAAAGATTTGCCGGCCCTACATAAGACAAGACAAGAGGACAGATTTTGGAATATAAGAAAAATCGTGGAACACACAATTGGAAACTCTGCTTTAACAAAAATTCGGAGGACAAAGATAATAAAATGTCCCCCATAAGTACAGGGCAATGCCAGCGGGTTTTGAACTTCTGATGCTGGAAAATGTCAATCTCGAGCATTGCAGAGCAATTTGCATTCCCGGTTTCCCATCCCTCGTCTCTCTCCTTCTTCCGTTTCTTCTTCTAACGCAGTCAAACAGCAGGGAATTTTTCCACAGTGTTTTCGTCCAATCCTTTCAAATCACCAGCTTCAATTGTAGCTTGAATGTTTGTGTTTACACAATTACCCGCTTGGTGGATGGGATTCAAATACCATCATCTCTTAGTTTAATTATTCAATCAATTATTGAAAACAGCCATATTATATGCGTTAGCGATACAGCCATGGCGGATACTCCAATTCTAAGTTGCCTTGTAGGTATATATAATAATATTATTATTGTTCCCGAAAGACAAGCAATTCGGAGAAAAAAAGATTGTGGTTACTTTGGCTGGTCTCGCTAGCATGTTTCCTGAGGACCGCGTCGACCTGACAACTGTCTGTCTGTCTGCTTTCCTCTGTTTCTTTCCCCTGTTTTACTTTGCTCTGCTCTCCAATGCACCCATCGGTATGATGAACTGTGAACAGTGAGGAAATCGGGTCCGAAAGCTGGATACTTTACGGAACCCAGTTGCTCGAATACTCGGGCGGCAAAACTTTGGATCGAGGGAACCCGAATGGAATCAAATACAGAGAGAGCTGGCGCCGAGCGTGTTGATGACAAAACCGATGGCTGAAAGGCTGAGTTGGTGGCTGAAAGGCTTTGACCACCACAGCTGTTTATGAACATCATAATAACTTCCAGCCGAAAGTTTCAATTACTTTAATTTGATTCAAATGAAAACAAAACGAGCTTTTCAGCTTGAACGCATGGCAAACTTTGTCTGTGCTCGAGCCTAGCCTAGGCTTGGAGTGGAGCTTTCAATCTGGGCCGTTAGTGGAGTGGACTTTTTCTTCCGAGTGCGACCATTTCTGACGAGGGGAGCCAGCAATTGGAGAGTACTGTGATATTACTCGATTCCACGATCGAAATTGATGGAGCCCACCAAAGATTGCGACTTGTAGGCGACGAATGATTACGAAGATTGGCAAAACGGGGAGATCGGGCACAAAGGAAAAGAAAAAGAACAGGACAGACGAGACGAGACGAGACGATAAATAAGAGAGGGAAAGAGAGAGAGAGAGAGAGACGGAGTGAAGGTCAGCCAGGAAAACAGAGAGGGAGACAGAGTGGAACCTGGGGAGGAGGGCTTGCTTTGAATGTGATGCTTTGTTTTTGTCGCAAATTTTAAGCCGTTTGCTGCAATCTTACAAAAAAAAGATTGATCTTTCTATAGTTACATACTGTTGTTGTGAGAAGATATACCCTAGTGATCAGAAGAGAAGCTGAATCGAGAAAAAAAAGTGTTATTTTGATCGTGAAGGAACATGAAATGGATCCCTTGTTCTGGTGTAGCTGTGGGTCCGAAGACCACGAAGAGAAATACCAACAATGGCAGCAGCAAGAAGAAGAAGAAGAAGCAGCAGCCGCAGAAGGGTACTATGGAGATGGTGGTGATGATCAATGACAAAAAGAACCTACCTCTTGAAAGATCGAGAACTTCAGGTTTGTTTCTGAGAACTTTCGGGTCCTTTGTCCAAAGTTTGCAGAATGGCTCATTGAGAGAAGAGTGATTCTGACCCCTTTTGATGGGCTTTGATGGGAATTTTGGTTTAGGATTCTTTTAGTTCATTGTTCTTCTGATTAGGGTTCCGCAGGGGTTTAGTTGTTTTGATGAGGACTATGTGACAAAATCCTTGGAATTCTTCTTGTAGTCTTGCCTTGATGATCGCAGAAGCTTGGGTTGATCTGTTTGCTTTCAAGTTTCAATGTGGGTCTTCTGTGGCCTTCAAGTTTGGTATAATATTAAGGTTGTCTCCCTCCTACTGTTAACGCAGAAAGATCCAGGAAAGATAACAAGGGAGACTCAAAAATATCATCCAATGAGATTCCAGCTCAGACGTTTGCATTCCGGGAATTGGCCATAGCAACTATGAACTTCAAAAAAGAGTGTCTTCTTGGCGAGGGGGGCTTTGGAAGGGTTTACAAAGGCCATTTGGAAAGCATTAATCAGGTTTTGAGAATTGAGACTCACTTCCCTACTTCATGGCCCTAAAGTGGTTGTTAGAATCTAAGTTGAAACGGGGTGGTTGCTTTCTTGCAGGTAGTGGCAATCAAGCAACTTGACAGAAATGGACTGCAAGGGAACAGAGAATTCCTAGTTGAAGTCCTGATGTTGAGTCTACTTCATAACCGCAACTTAGTCAATCTGATTGGATACTGTGCCGATGGAGATCAACGACTCTTGGTTTACGAATACATGCCTTTGGGATCTCTGGATGACCATATACATGGTAGTGGAATAATGACACCACTTGTGTCTATTTGGCCTGCATTTTCCTGGTCTCAAACTAAGAGATGTCGCTTCTCCTTTTCTTTATCCAGATATTGAGCCGGGTAAGAAAGGGCTGGATTGGAACACGAGAATGAGAATCGCGGCAGGAGCAGCAAGAGGGCTAGAGTATTTGCACGACAAGGCCAAGCCTCCAGTCATCTACAGAGATCTCAAATGCTCAAACATTTTACTCGACAGAGGATACCATCCCAAGTTGTCTGACTTCGGGCTGGCTAAACTCGGTCCTGTTGGAGACAATACTCATGTGTCCACGAGAGTCATGGGAACTTATGGGTATTGTGCTCCTGAGTATGCGATGACAGGGCAACTAACCTTGAAATCAGATGTTTATAGCTTTGGGGTTGTGCTGCTGGAGATCATTACGGGAAGGAGAGCATACGATACCTGCAAATCAGTTGGTGAACAGAATCTGGTTGCTTGGGTAAGTTAGTATGAAGGGGAAAATAACACCTTTGTCTTATGCCAAACCCTTTCTCTCAGATCATATACAGGTGGTTTTAAAACATAGTAAAATTGATCAAACCGTATCATGTGTTGCCATTTTGATCACAGGCGCGTCCCTTGTTCAACGATCGAAGGAAATTTGCGCAAATGGCTGATCCAATGATGGGAGGACAGTTTCCTCCAAGGGCGCTCTACCAGGCTCTTGCTGTTGCAGCAATGTGTGTTCAGGAGCAGCCTAACATGAGACCTGCCATGGCTGATGTCGTCACAGCTTTGTCTCACCTTGCTTCGCAGAAGAGTGCAGCTGAGATGCAGCAGCAGCAGCAGCCGGGCCAAAGCTTGCGTTTGGCTCCAGGTACTCCTAGAGCCAATGCTGGAAGTTGAAAATGGCATCTGCTGGTCAGTGGATTGTAGTGAGAATGCAGAGAGCTGCTGAGTTAAGTGGGTTTGAACTCATTATTCCAAATGCTCCATGAGATGTGCTTGGAAATACGTGTATAGGCGTTTCAATTTGATTTGTTGTGAAATTGTTTTCCATAGATGAACGGTAACACTAATAAACTTCAAGATGGCTGCCTCCAGTTCCGGATGCCTTACTTTCTGGTCTATTTTGTATATTTACATTCAGAAATTTTACACACCAAAGTGCTAGTATGTGCAATTGCGAAGCAGCTCAGCGTGTCTTCTAGTTGGGGTTTGAACTTTAGTCTCCTCTTCGAGTGACTAATCTCCAAAGCCTTTAGGATAGAAAACGAGATTGCTCCATGACAGACTTCTCTAAGGTGCTCAGCTCCATCCTTGAACTAAATGAGCCAGGAGTACATGAGCCAGGAGTACAAGTCAGTTGGTTTTGTCATGGCCACGCAGCGTGAGTTCCCCGGTCTAGGAAATTGTTGGCAGTTGGCCTTCTGTTTCATCACCTGAATGCAATTCTTTGTGTACTGAACTGACTGGCAAGTGCAACTGATCAGGATTGAGATTATTAGCATCGTCCGCCAGCAGTATGCTTTTGGTTTCCGTCCGTCCGTCTAGCTAACATCCACCAGCTACCGTTGCCGCACTTCGCTGCTCTTTTCGGTCGCTTCATGACTCCATTCCTCTCATCTCTCAAGTCCACTCGTCCCTGCCGCACTTCCGCTCATGGGTGGACCTAGGTTAGGCCGACCCTTGTCAATTGACGAACCTTGTTCCAATTTTGAGACAAATATTTTTTGTAAATTTTTATTTTAATGATGGTAGTATTCGATCTCAATACTATTTGACAACCATTGATGATTTTATTTTATTGTTGAATACCCTTGATGTAATTTCTGGATCCGCCACTGCTTCCGCTGCTCTCTTTTGTCGTATAAATTATATTAGTTTAATACAGGGTTGTTATTAACATTGATTTGCATGCATTAGAGGGGACAGGATAGGATGTTAACACCCTATAGTGTTAGCACCCTACTAACGCTTTCTACGGGGTATTGTAGTAATCGTGGCAGAGGAAGAGGTAGGTCTAGGAATCCAATACCTTATTGCACTTACTGCAAGATGCATTGTCATACTGGAGATACTTGCTATCACAAGTATGGTTGGCCACCGGGAATGACTCCAAGCGGTGGTCCAGGTTCAAATGGTCAAGCGTATAAGCAAGCAAATGCAGCCATTGGAAATGAGTCAGGGAGTGAAAGGATTACACTTGGAAATGAACAGTATCATGCTCAAATGAACTTGCTGAAGAACAATGACAGCAATGCAAGTACATCAAGCTCCAACAATCAGAGTAATAGCTCTTTGTTCTGACTCAGCAGCTGCTTTCACCGGTTACAACTATAATGGTTCAGGCAAGTATACTCTAACCACTCTTCCTCATGTGCCATATAGTGATCAAGAACTGTGGATTTTTTTTTTTTTTTGGTAGAAAGACGGGCGAGAAACGCCCTAGTGATCAAGAACTGTGGATTTTTGACACACGAGCCACATATCACATAATTTGTACTTCAAAGCTGTTTTCTAGCAATGTCACAGCAAGTAATGTGCAAATCACATTACCAACAGGGCAACATGTTGGAGCTAGTCATATGGGATCAGTCAGATTCATAGCGAACCTAACATTGGATGAAGTTATATTTGTTCCTGAATTTAGTTTTAATCTTGTATTTGCCAGCAAACTTACTTAGAAGAACAATTTGTGTTTGACATTCTTCTCATCTTTATGTTTCATGACGGACATGTCGAAGATGCAAATGCTTGGTTCTGCTGAGCTTGATAACATCTAAATCGGTGTTATTTACCCTTTATATTTAGGTTTGTTTCGTGCTAATTCGTGTGCATAATCGGAAGGATATCGTCGATTGCATTCCTATTTCCTTCCTATTTGATTATGTTGTTATTTTAGGGTGCTTTGGACGATACATGTGAATTAGGTACGAAAAAGGTGCACAAGTGTAGAAAAGGGGGCACAAACTGAGATCATGACTGAAGGAGCCAAGATCCTAATCATGAAGGGAGGGCATGGAACTTGAGGCACCACCTCACCGACGAGAACCTCAACTTCAAGGAGGTTTTAAGGTGAACCGAATTCTTGAAGATAATCGTACGACGATAAGACTTAAAAGACGCACTAGTTGGGAGATACCCCAACAACCGGTTTGCATTTCTTACATTTTTTAAAAAATAAAACTTGCATGCTTAATCTGGTTTTAGATAGTTTCTATAGTTTTAGTTAGTGAATGAATCCCTTGAATGTCAAGTAGTTTATGAATTATTGTCGGAGACTATCTAGTTGCTTAAGAAATGGTTTAAATTGATGTTGTGTTGAGCATGTGTGCTAACTTAGCTTACCAATTAAGCTACTTATGGCTAGGGTATGACATGACTAGTGCAATAGGATCATAGAATGTATGCTTATGATTGTGTATGTGTGTTTGGAGCTCTAAATTCATCCTCGTTTGAACCTAGAGCTCTAAATTCATCCTTGATGACTTGATCTCAAATATAAAAACACTACAATAAAGGCATCAATGTAAAATCAGAGTTATTATGACAATAGAGATGTAAATCGAAGTAAAAATACCATAGAATAGGGGATGTAAAATAGTATATTTTGCGTGTCATAAAAAACCTAGAAGCGCATAAACGTACAATTTTACGAGTTGAAGCACGAATTTGACTGCAATATATGTTGTTAATCAAGTTGAAGCTTTTCAATTCCACATTTTGATATATTAACATGGTGTTGAGCCTTGATCCATAGTATGGTTGAAGCTTCTTGCGCATATTTCTATCATGGTAATCTCTCAGTCGCCCTTGGCATACTGCTCGAGAATTCTTGTCTTTCCAAAGATCATTCAATTCTAATGCACGCTCTTGGCACCAATTTCCGCTGTGTAGCTGAATTTGATATTGTTGCATATTCTCGATTGCCTATCAGCCGTCTTTCCATAGCTATTATTCATATCCTTCTGTACGATGGAAGGTGATCATACGATGGCAAGGGGCAGAAATGTCTCTAATCCACTGTCGTCGTCGCACCGACCTTCATAGAGAGAACACCACCCCAAGAACAAAGGTTGTGCCACATTAATATTACTACTGATCTCTTCTCATGGATTCCTGAATATTACATGATATATTGAGATTGTGTCGCAACTTCCATTGAAGTAAAACTTACCACAACACGAAAATTTCAGCAATGAAGGGAAGAAATTGAAGCATCAGGGTGCAGGTATGTCATGGTTGTGCTTGCCCTCGTAGGTCGTTACCAGAGCATTCGGATCATCTGGAGATCTTTCCACGTATTTCCTTACTTTGCACTTCAAATTCGTGCACCTGTAGTAGCTCCTGATAGAGGCAAAACACTTGCCTGTCAGAAACAGAGTTCCTAGAACTGAAGCAGAGTGCTAGGTTTTTTGTTTAGCGAAATCTGAAAAAGGAGTATAGAAACGGAAGAAGAAATTCATGTAGCAACCTGGGATAAAGATTCCCTCTCACAACTTTCTGCCCATACTTTCTCCAACGAAATCCATCCCCCAAAACCTCACTATCCGCCGCCCCTGCTGTTTCTCTTCCACCAGCTTCCCCTGCATTCCCTGATTGATCATTGGCACGATCCTCAGCTCTCCTGAAAAAACGACGAAATCTTATTCCTGTCATTTCTAACAAAAAAAATCCAGACTTTCCCAAACGAAAATCAAGCTTGTGGGTTTGTGTTATGTTAACCTTCTTTTAGTTCTGGGTTCATCGTCATCTCCCTGGACCTCAACATCCGCGGCAGGACGGCTTCCCCTGCACCCATCCGAACCGGTCCCAGCAGCACTGCTACTGGGAAGCAACAACAATCCTGATTCCATCCGGATTTCACCTCCAACAGCCTCACACCCTATCGAATTCCGCCTCGCGGGCAACGACGGCTTCGAATGGTTATGCTCGCCCTTGTAAACGATCTCCGCGATCTGGCCGTCGAGCGACCTCTCGACCTTCTTCTTCACGGGGCAGCTCGGGTGAGTGCACTTGTAGTAGCTTCGTGGGTACTCGCTCCCTTTCACTTGTTTCTGCCCATACTTCCTCCAGTTGTAGCCGTCGTAAGACGGCCTGTCTCCGTACGCCAATTGGACCGAAGCAGAAGCAGCAGCAGCAGATAGTACGGCGGCTTTGGGAATGTCCTCTGCTTCCAGCCGCTGGCTTTCGATTGGTAATGTTGAGATCCTTAGCTGCTCGGTGGCCTGTTGAGCTTGTGCTTCCACGGCATTATTGGAACAGGGGCTAATTAATTCCTCCCCTGCCTCTTGATGTGATGAATTGAAGCTAGGGAGTAAAAGGGGATCGCCGTTGGGTGCCATGTTTGCGAGGAGGGAAGCAGTTCTCTTGGAGACGAGCTTTGCTCGTGGGCGGTAAACGATGGTGCGACATGATTCGGGGTGCGGCTGGGGAGCTGGGGGGTTGAATCTGAGTGTTTTGGGCTTGATGGTGGCTGCAATTGGAGAAGGTTGGGAGGGTTTCGGGGTTGGAGAAGGAGAGTTGACGGCGCCGGCGAGGAGCTCAGAGAAAGAGCCGAAAGTGGAGTTGCAAGTTGGCCTACAAGCTACTGGTTTTGCTATCACTGCTCTCCTTTCTGCTGCTTCCTTCACCTCCATTTCCCCCCTCAATTTCTGCACCACACAGATAAATTACATAGAAATAGGGGAAACAAAGAGAGCCTCAGATTGATGATAAGAAGACCTCGACCCCATTTTGTTGTTGAGTTTGATGATTATAGAGTGAAATTCAATGCAGAAAACCTCATCAAACAGTTGGGAACCCTCACCAAAAGATTAAGAACAGAACAAGATCCAAATGATGGGGAGGTGTGTATCTGACTTTGAGAACTTGTACCCTTTGAGACAAATGGGAAAACTCAATAGATTCACAGAAAGGAGATGGATAATATTATTGAATGAGCAGCTTCTTCTTCCCTCTCTCTTCCACCCAAGTCCCAACTAACCTGCACATTTTTGTTTCAAGAGCGGAGTGAAGAAGGGAAAGGAATCTCTCTGTGTATTTACTGCTCTGCTATACCCTTTTTGTGGTTGAGGTTGTGGAAAGTGATCAAGTGGAGAGAGATAGGGAAAGTGGGGGTTACTGTGACGAAAGATATACCTGAAAATTTAATGATTTGACTGTTTTGGAACGGTAAAACTTTCTATAGTTTAGAGCTTTTTTTTTTTTGACAATTAATACCAACTTTTATTCCACCATAAGAGAGAAACATGAAAGAAGGCAATTACACTCCTTATAGGAGAACAGAAATTAGATCAAGAATATTAATCCAGTCATCTGGTAACAAAGATTTAGCTTTTGATCGTGCAACCCAATCAGCTCTGACGTTCAAAGCCCTCGGCACATCTTTCACCGAAATTGCAGGGTTAGTCCTAAGGATATTGACCATTGTTCTAATCCATGTTGCACACCTCCAGGGCCATCGGGTCTGATTTTGATTCAGGGCCTTTACCAGCACTTGACAGTCAGATTGCACTGTACAGACCGATCCATATTCTTGTGCTAATTTAATTCCTTCCAACAGAGCTTTTGCTTCCGCTTCAATCGGGGTGGAACAAAGAAGGTTTTCAGCTCTCCCATCACACACTTGTCCATGGTGGTTAACAACAACAACACCATAAGCCGCCGACTGGGGGTCGCTAAAAAACGACCCATCACAGTGAATCACTATCGAGTGATTACTTGGCGGGGGATTCGTAGTAGGATGGGATCCCCTGAGCTGAGTGGGACCATCAGAATCTTGAGGTGGGGGCCTCGGACAAGCACTCCATTCCGTAAGTTCTTTATAGGCTTGCAGACAAACATTTGGGGGCCAGGGGGTTCTATTCTTGAAGGTGCTCTCGTTCCTTGCCTTCCAATACATACAATTTAGAGCTGGAATTCAATTTTCTGGTCGGTCCGATCGGTACAGTTTCTCTAACATTAGTTACAATTTAGGGGTTGTTTGGAAGTTGTTATTATTTTTGTGATATTGTTATTATACATGTATTGTTTAGAATACATGGCGTTTTTTTTTATATTTTTTCATACACAATACATACATTGCTTCTGTCACATAGTTTTGTCTGATGTGACGTAGACAATCATACATATCAAACACTGTATTTTACAATTTACCAAATACATGTATACTATTATACAATATTCATCAATCATCACAATGCATTTATTTTCGACCCATAGATATTTGGATGAATGAAAGGAAAGTTGTTTTCTTCTTTGTTTTAATTATAAAATATTTCTAACATTTATGGGTTAATATCGCAATTCTAATTAGTTATATAACCCTATTCTTCGTTTATATTTTATGGTTGAATTATCAATAAATGTTCCTTCCAGCTAAATAAAATAATTTTTTTGGACATTTTTAAGAATTTTGTTGTATGTAGAAATAGAGTGGGCATTAACATGAACCGATATTATCATATTGCACTACTCGGCGTACTCGCAATCTCGGTCATTGAGCATACATGTTTGTATTACTTTTGCTATTAATCCGAATTTACACTCGTCCCATCAACATAGTAATCAGTTTTCCTATGTTATTAGTTATTGAAAATCCCAAACTCCATGCTTTAGTCTAACACAATCTGGTTTACTATGCTACTAACAGTCTAACACACTTTCGTAGATTTTCTTTTTCACGCTTACAAAACCAAAAAAAAAAATATTCGTTAGTTAGTTTATAACGTCCTGGACCATACAAATACAAAGAATGAAATAAACACTGTTTCTGTGGAGCAGCCAAATCCCATATATTAGATATATGACGCGTCGCTACTTCATCCAAAGGATAAATCGTTCTGTAATACGATAGACAATGGTTATAAAATTGTATCGGAAGTTGTATTGAAAATGTATAATAATTTAGTATTTTAAGTTGAAATTGCGATTTAAAATTTAATTTTATTCAATAGTTTCATATAGTTAAAAATTGTTGTCTTATTGACTTTTCTAATTGAACCGCTAATACGATAAGTTTGCGGGAAAGACCGATGTCGTGACGATTAATCAAATAATAATAAGAAAGAAGGCAGGAGGATAGATTCTATTCCCGCCCTGGGATGGGATGGGAAAGTTAGTTGAGGTAGCTGTGGGCGCACGTGAGGACGGAGTAGTTTTCATCCATTTCCATTCCACCTGAAGAAAGAGCGAGGGAGCTGCCTGCCCTTTTATGACCGGTAGTTGGAAGAAACGAGCTCTGCCCTCCCCACTTGCCGCCGTTGCCCTGCAATTAGAAACAAAAACAAAAAAAAATTCATATGTAAAACACCATTTTAGAAAATTCAAGCAAATCACAAATTAATCGTACAAATTGTTCAACACCAATCTAGAAAACTAGAGAAAATTGAAGCAAATCAAAAATTATACATAAACAACATGATTAATTGAAAGTTTCTTCCTCGTCAATTAAACTTATTCACTCTACACTCGATAATATCAACTTCATTCTACACAATTGGAAAGAAAAAATTAGATATGTCTCCACAAACATAAAGAAGATTAGTTGCTTATAATATTTGATATACCGGGAAAATTGATTATATGTGTGTGGGCGGGTACCCATGGGTCGGGTACACCTAAACCCAAACCCAACCCGATGAATAGTTAACGGGTTTAAACCCAAACCCCGGCCCGAAAACCGTCAACATGGGTTTTACCCGCGTTGACCGGGTTGGCTCGGGTGGGTACCCGTGAGTTCAGGTTTTGTTGCCATCCCTACTCACACTCCTCCTTGCAAGTGGGGAAGTTCCAAAATTTTATTTTACCTCACTCTCCTATTCTACAACTTTTGTGTTTAGCTATTGTTTGTTGGGTTTGTATTTATTGTGTCCACTGTGTTCTGTTGGGAAGACAATTGAACTTGAATCTATTGTATTGACTAGTTTTGTTTCGTGGTCGAGTTTATCCGCTTTTGTAGTTCATATATAAAAGCCTAGGTTTGAGTTATTATTCATTAGTGGCTCTCACACTCCTTCTTGCAAGTGAGGAAGTTCCAAAATTTTCTTTTACCCCACTCTCCTATTCTACAACCTTTGTGTTTACCTATTCTTTGTTGAGTTTGTATTTATTGTCCACTGTGTTTTGTTGGGAAGACAATTGAACCCGAATCTATGGTATTGACCAGTTTTGTTTCGTGGCCGAGTTTATCCGCTTTTGTAGTTGGCACGAGTGTGAATTTGTTAAAAACTCGATCAAATCGAGTTGAATACAGTGTTCATGAGTTTTAGATCCAGAGTAAGTTTTGTCCATTTTAATATTTTTTATTTCTCATTTTTCTGTTGGTTGAGAATGAATTTAACCCAAACCTAGTATTCGCGAGTTTTGTATCAAGAGCGAGTTTTATCCACTTTTTTTATTGACAGGTTGGGCGATTGTGAATTTGTTAAAATTGGGTTCGATCCGGTCAAAGCGACTTGAACCCACGTTTACAAGTTTTATCCATTTTTGTAACTATAGGGTCGGGTGTGGTGTTGACGAGTTTTAAGTCGGGGGTGAGTTTTCTTCGCTTTAGTGTTTTTCATTTCTCTTTTTCATTTTGGTTGAGAGTGATCATTCAACCCAAACCCATGAGTATCCAACCTAATTGGACCCGGTTAATGTAAGTTGAACCTCCTCGAACATGCAATTAGTCTCGAATATTCATAAAAAAGTGAACCATGATAAACTTAAACAATAAAAAAATAGACAAAAGAGTACTATGTTTTGCGAATTTTAGAAGTGTTTTTATGTTTCGAAAGTTAAAGCTTTGATTTAAAACTTATGTGAAAAGTTATTTTGAAAATACAAAATTGTTCATACCATATTTTAATATTTTCTGGAAAACATAATTTTCTTCCATTCATATCATTTTAAAAATAAAATAAATTTAAAAGTACTATTATTTATATGAATGAAATCTAACAAAATTCATTTTGACTACTTTTAAATTTTCATATTTTATATTAGAATTTTTTTTTGGTATTTTTACATGAACTCTTATATTAGAAAATAGGGCTAATACCACTAGAAAACTCGAACTATTAACTTTGTGTCATTTGTGTCCTAAAGTATACGATATGACATTTGTGTCCTAAACTATTTTTCCGTTAGAGTTGACTGGCGTTGACCGTTGTTTTTTAACAGAAAGTCTAGTCAGCGCTTATGTGGCATCTAACGTGGAATTTATAATATTAATTTATAATTATTTTCGAATATGGAATTTTTAATATTAATTTTTTTATTTTTCATCTTAAATTATTAAAAGAAAATAAAAAAATTACAAAATCCCCAAATAAACTCCGTCGATTCCACTCCTAAACCTCCGTTGCACTTCTCCTCTGCCGCCGCAGTCTCGCCCTTCTACACTTTTCCGATCAATGAAACAAAATTCCAGGCTACTGCTACTGCTTTGCCCTGAGTCCACTTGGAGAAGGATCTGCTCCCCCTATGCTCTCCAAGCCGTCCCCACAAGACACCCTCCTTCTCCTACATCTGGGCATCGCATTTTTAGGGCAAATACTCACTCGTCTCTTACTCTTCCGACAGCTGAGGAGTGGGCACGGTGCTTTCTATTCAGTAAACGCAGATGGTGACGCGCAGCGGCGATGCAGATGAGCGGGAAGGCGCGTCGGCTGGAGATCTGCCAAGATTCATCGAAACTGCCGCCCTCTCGCCCATTTCGTCAATTTCTTCCTTGAAACACTCCGATTCTGGTAGTATTTGGCTACCTCTCTCAGTTCCACGCTATGTACGAGGGGTCGCAGTGGTCGGCGATTGATTATTATCATCGTTCTCCAGATCTTTCGCTGCTCCAGATCTGCTCCAAACCTCTCAATCTCTCTGTCATCATCGTTGGGTCTCACCGAGTAACAGGGGATTGCGACGGAAGTCGCTTGTGGTCGGTGATAGAGGGGAAGTCGCCCGCCGGCTCCAAATCTACGCTCCCAGGTTTGTATAGTAGTGGAAGAGTCGGAATTGACACTGGGATTCAAATCAAATTGAAGGGTCGGAAGATTGTTGATTTCGTCTGCGAGAGTCAATTGAATCAGACTAGGGATTGAATTTGAGTTGTGAAATTTTGGCCTCGATTGACTTGAATTGAAAGTTTGATTTTACCTATTTTGTTCTTCGACTCCGAACGGCGTCGACGACGATGAAGAAGTTCCGAACAACAACAACGACGGGTCTTCTTCCTCTGCGTCGTCGTCGTATTCAATGGTTGTGCCCAAATCGATGGAGGGACTGAACGACTCTGGTTCTCCCCATTTCATGAAGAAGACTCACGTCGATTGGAGCTGGGAGCTCTGTCGGAGAAGAAGAAGTCGACGAGAAGGAAGGGATTCACGTCGATTGGAGCTGGAGCTCTGCCGGAGAAGAAGAAGAAGTCGACGAGAAGGAAGGGATTCACGTCGATTGGAGCTGGAGCTCTGCCGGAACAGATTTTCTATTTTAAGTTTTCTTTGTATTTTATATTTTAATTTAAAAATAACAACCTGATGCAGCTGACATGGCGCATACATGACTGACACATATGTGGCATGTAACCAACAACCAACATTTTATGGTTGACCGTTTGGTCAACCGTTATCTATAACGGTCAACAAAATTGTTAGGACGTAAATGACGCAAAACTACCAAACGTTGGGACACAATTGTCATATCGGATACTTTATGACACAAATGGCACAAAGTTAATAGTTCGGGTTTCCCAGTGGTATTAACCCTAGAAAATACTTCTAATAGTTTTTAGCCAAACACTCAACTATTTCTTAAAAAATATTTCTCGAAAAGATCAACCCTAAAGTTGCTTCTACAAAAGTTACAGGAGGCTAACTAACCGTACAAACTGAAACAATAACGTAATGAGAGAAATTTAAACACAAATCATATGCTCAATGACCCTTATGTAGGTCATCACTTTGCTGACCACAAGTTGTAACTAACAAATCCATGGAAAGCAAAATTATGAATGAGTAAGATCACTTTCACTTTTGGATCAACATTAAATTTATTACTCTTTAAACTATTTGTTCTTGCACACTCGCGAAGCGATAGCGTGCGGGTTTTTTCTAGTTGACATGAATTCTTGTTGTTAAGCCCAAAAATGTAATCATATGATTAAAGCAATTCTATTGGTTGTTAGAAAATTAGGCGTTTAATAGGGATGGCAAAAATATCCGTAACCGTGGATATCCACTCGAACCCGGCTTAATCGGGTAGGGTAAAACTCGAACCCGAAGGAAATTTAGTGGGTACGGGTAAAACCCGAACCCGAATATTGCGGGTAATGGGTGGGCATGGGTTTCTCAGTATCCAACCCGAACCCGCCCGATTATACACATATATATGTATTTTGTCTAGAAATAGTCATTATTTTTCTCTAATATATTTTATATTTAGCATATAAATATAATATTTTCATGAAATTGTGTTGTTTTAATTAATTTTCTTCATTCTAGTGAATTATTGTCATACTTTTCCTCTTGCGTAATGTGAGAATGCGTGTGAATGTTAACGTATTAGTTGGAGTTATGAAGAGAAATCATTACCCATGGATAACTGTGGATACCCGAAACCCAAACGGGTATGGGCATGGTTTTAATTTTCTACCCGTTTTATATGTGGGTATGGGTATGGATATAGGTAAATCCCGAACTACTTTGGATAGGGTAACGGATATGCACTATCCGTCCCCGACCCGACCCATTGCCATCCCGGTTAATGAGTTATTAGTTAGTAATTTCTCAATAAAAGCCAGCATAAGAATATTATCGGAAGCCATAAGAGCGCGCCACGTGGAATCCATCATTCCACACATATTTTTTTTTTTTTTTGGCTTTTGGATGATCACTCAAAAAGGACCAACGGCCATCAAGCAAAGCACAACAGCTCTTCCCCCTTCTCTGGCCGTCGTCCTCCTTTCTCCGGCGAGGAAAAAAATGGCGGTTTCGTTATCCCCATATTTCTCCCCCAGCACTCTCCTTCAGTCTAATTTCTCCGCCAATTCCTCCTCCACCTCCCCTCGCTTCCTTTTCTCGCTCCTGTCTCGCCACTGTCGGAGCGGACAGTCTTTCGAATTCTCGCTTCGTCACCGGAGTCAGACGGCAGTCGTCTCAGCCATCTCAGGATCCCCTGGCAAGTATTCAAGTAGTTACTTCTCTCTCTTTCCCGGCTCCAGCTGAATTCTTCTTACGCGGTGCAGGAATCGGATCCTCCAGCTCTGTGAGCGAAGAGACGATGACGAATTCATTGGACAGCGTTAAGGTGGTTGATCTCAGTGGCAATGAAATTCCAGTTTCTGATTTGTGGAAGGATCGGAAAGCCGTCGTTGCATTTGCTCGCCATTTTGGGTAATCAAATTCAAAACCCTAATTTCGCGCGGTCCCCTGAAAATTTAATCATGTTGTAAGTTGAATTTTCTCAAAACGATTCTACTGATTTTTGCAGATGCGTGCTTTGCCGGAAACGGGCGGATTATCTCGCTGCTAAGAAGGTAAGTTACCAACTCTTGCCCTGCTCCAAGCTTTAGAGTTAGTTTGTGGAGTAAGTTGAGTTTATTTATCTTGTCAATTATTAGGATGCAATGGATGCAGCTGGAGTTGCTTTGGTTTTGATTGGACCTGGCAGTGTCGATCAGGTTATTTCATATTTCTTGAATCCGTATATGGTTCTGAGTTTCACAATTTACTACAGTCAGGCTTCTAAATTAAGTAGCTGGAGATTGTTATCGATCAAATTTATAATGCAGGCAAGAACTTTCTTTGAGCAAACGAAATTCGGAGGAGGTAACTTAGCCAGACAGTTTATCTCGTTACCACCATAGTCTTGCAGATCAAGATGAGCTCGTGACATGGCTATATCTGCCTTGTTTCAGAAGTCTATGCAGATCCAAACCACTCATGTTATGAAGCGTTAAATTTTGTTTCTGGAGTTGGAACAACTTTTACTCCCAAGGTATATGGCATTTTCCCATCTGAGTGTGGAACTCGTTCCACTAATTTGTCTCTGATGCCTGCTATTTCTCAGTTCATGTGTTGGTTGGTTGGGTAAATGTGCAGGCAGGTCTTAAGATAATACAACTATACATGGAAGGTTACCGACAGGACTGGAAACTCTCAATGGAAAGTGACACCGTCAACAGAGGAGGCTGGTATGTTGGTAGACATCTACATTCCTCGATTGCATCCCTCATTTATGAACTGTGTTTTCTGAATAACTCAAAACCTCCATGGGACTTTTGCAATTACTGTTTTGTGTCTGTATGGACTTTGTGCACGGCTTATCTATCGTCTCCCTGCCAGCTCGGCAAAAAGTAAAGCACTGAGATTCTGTGCGATTTCTTGACGAACTATGGACGTTTTGCTGTTGTACTTTTCATCAGGAGGCAAGGAGGGATAATAGTTGCAGGCCCTGGAAAGACTAATATATCATACATCCACAGGGTAAGCTATTATTATTCCATACTACCAGTATCCTGCAGTTGTGAGGAAGTGCAACATAGGGAGACGAATAGGCTTTGGTCGCCCTGGTCGGAAGATAAGAAACAAGTTAGTGAGAGTCGGGACCGATCAGCGTGGTGATTAGTTGTGGTGAATGCTGCTGCACGATTCAATTGCGTACCTTGTTACCATTTCTTCTGACTAAGCAAGTATTCTTCTTGTTCATGAAACAGGATAAAGAAGCTGGTGATGACCCAGATATTGAAGAAGTACTAGGTGCATGTTGCCGGTAAAGGAAGTTACATATGGGTGGGCAGTTCCCGTCGTGTGATTAGCACGGGTGAATGTGGGATAGCAGAATGCATACCTTAGAAAGTAGAAACTATATATCTGCAAATACGTTTCAGAGAGCTATACAAAATGAAAATATTGTCTGTAATTTCTGTTTTGGCGGCTGTAAAACTGACAAAAAAAAATAGCTTACTGATTTAAGTGGAACCTGCGTGCAGCATCTGGTTAGCAACATCGTGGGAGAAAATATTTCTTGAGCTCCCGTGGTGATGAAGAATCAGTATAGTAACTTTAAGGCTTTTGTTAGTAACAAATCAGCTTCAGGAGGCTTTTGTTAGTCACTTGAAGGCTAGGTTCTGTGAAGAAATGGATATCCGTCCTTTCCCTATATCTGGCAAATGGACTGGATCCATTATTGGTGGATTGGATTGGTGGATTCATGAATCAAGTGAATTGGTAGATTATCCATGAATGCAAATTACATCCTCAACCTTGAATCAATAGTAAAATGTGAAAAGTTTAGGTACTAGAATGTCGTAATGGAAAATTTTAGGTACCAAAATGTAATTTTCCAATAATATTTTTCGTATAAAAAATTAAATTTTAAGTACCAAAATGTAAAATATAAAAAGCATAGGTACCAAACCGTACTTTGTCATTTGGATCCATGAATCAATCCATGAATCCTTCAATCCAATTGGATTTGGATCAAATGGATTGGATTTAAATGGATTGAATTAGGTGGATATTTTTAATGGATTGATAGATTGAATTGGTGAATTGGATTAAGATTTGTCACCTCTACATATATCTAACAGCGAAGGCTTGGTCTCCATTGAGGACAACTCATGTTTGTTGTGTCCAATGCAGTCAAAATCGCGTTTTAAAACTTAAAAACTTACGATTTTACGCTTTTAGGTCACCAAAACGCTTTCATTTCCATATAAAAACTTAAGTGTATAAAATCGGACTAAATTGCACTTTAAAGCTTAAAATCTTACGCTTTTACACTTCTAGTTCACCAAAACGCTTTACGTTTTTACGATTTTAGTTCACTAAATGAGTATTCTTTTCATGAAATTAATTATAAAAAGTATATTTTAAAAGTAAATCACCAACAATATTATACATTTGAGATTAAAAGATACATATCATGTAGTTGGATGAATTCTCAACTTTAATAGAGTAATCTAATTCACCAGCTAGGCTCTTCCCGAATGCATTAGCATAGAGGAAGAAATGGCTTATTGTTAAAGTTTATGTTTACGAACTTATTATTAAGATGCTACAAGTTGCTCTACTTGAGGCATGAATTGTATGTATTTATTAACTTATCTAAATTCCGTGCATTCATATTTTACATAGTATATGTCCTAGCTTTTTAGTAATTATTTTTCAGTATGCTTCAAAAACTTACGCTTTTACGCTTTGATTCTACGCTTTATGATTTTACCTCTTTTCCGCTTCTAGGTAGAATCGCACTTTTAACTGCATTGGTTGTGTCCATTCATGGAGTCTTAAAATTTACCTCACAATCCAAGAGTGCAACGGGGATAGAGCCCCGGTCCGGATGATTAAACGCTGAAAATTTGCAGTAAATGCTGGAATTCATCAAGAGATCTCTTGAAGTTTAAAGCAATAGATGACTTTTATAGTGGATGCCTATTTGTCGCCAACAAAATTACTATTTGCCGCAAAAAAAAAAAAATTGAATTTTGCCGCTAATAGTCTATAAATTCACCATTCACAATAAATCTAAAAATTCTTCCAATCAAGTTTCTGTCGCCGAGCATAGTGGCTTCGTCGCCAACACCGTCCCTTCGTGGCCGACCATCGTCCCGTCGTCGCCGACCAACGAAAATAGGTTAGCTTCTTTACTTTTTAATTTTTTCAAGAAATTTTCAATTTTCTCGACAAGTTTTTCTTTTTAATTAAATTAATAATGAATAATTATTTAATAAGTGATTGGTTTAATGTGTTATTATTTAAATTAGTTAATTTAGTAGTTAAATTAGTTAATTATTAACCAAATTAGTTAATGTGGATTATCGAGAGTATTTTTCATGAATAATTTGAATTGTTTAAAAAATATAGGTAATCAATAATATTAGTGCATCTAAGTATGATATTGTGTAAATTTGTAGATAATTAGATATAGATGCGGGAGGAAGTGAGTTGGGTAGATTCATAGATAGAAATGTTGATGCATAAAACGAAGGAAGAGGAGGCAGAAGAAGGAGAAGAAGCGTGCTCGAGAGATCGCACATCAGTGAGAGACAGATGTAGGGGAGGAGTTAGAGGCTCCTACTACAGTTGCTTCTACGACATCATGGGCGACTAGTTCCCATGGGAGGAACCAGGACACTTCAGCGAGGGTGGTTTCAAACGAGTTTGATGATCACTCCATAGAGTACGAGTCAGATGAGGATCCTCGGGCCCCTCCATTCGGATATGGACGAGGGCCATCTTAAACGGCAACATCACGTCCGACAATGTATAGGGACCAAGGAGGGCGGTTCGTAGCATCTGCTCGAGAGGAGACAGAGAGCTCCGGGACTGGACGGAGTAGGAGAGAACAGTCGAGTGATCCTCAACCGTGGGAGCTTGTTGGTGAGTGTCGTGCTTAATAAGTGCACATGCAATGTTGAAATTCTTCTTGACTAGAGTAACCCCAATGATCTCAACTCATGGCATGTTGTACCTGTTAGTCTTAGAGGTCGAATCGATGAGGATGACGTACGGCCATGCATGCAACATCTTAATGGATTTCGGGTGGGCAAAAAACATATTGTTGAGCACATTTTTAACATCCTTTTGCAAACAGATATGGTACCTATGTTGCTAAGCTCCGTGAAACGCAAACCGTATCACATCCATGACACTCATCTCATTCAATCTTGTTTTGCTATTTATGTTGTAGACCTATCTGATATCATGTTGCACACCCCATTCAATATTGAGCGTCGACTTTTGCCGAGCTGGTTTCACCCCCGCCTTCCTTATCAATCTTGCCCTTTCTTTTTCTATCTCACTAAATTGTTTGTTGTGCATGTGATGTTCTGGATACGACACCTTTTCATGGTTGTGAAACCCTTTATTTTCTCTGGTTGCACAACGTTTCACCCCTATTATAATCCAGGTGCTTGGCCCATTCTGTTGCCATACTTCTTAAATACATATATGAAACTCGCCATTAGAACCCTTCGAACTAGTATTCTCATGCCTCTACTTCGTAGGATCTGGTTTGTAAGATTTCTCGTTCTTATTGCTTTTGTCTTGTCGCAATACATATAGATGGGCACAGAAACCAAATGCGTCAACATTAAGCAATGTCATCTCGACGTAGTTCATCATCACGGAAATCAGTGAGGCGTAACAAGGAAAATGGCCACAAGCACTTAATGCAAGATTATTTCAACCCAAGCCTAAACTTTGATGATAAGGCATTCACAAGACAATATCAAATGCCCCCTGCCATTTTCAACCCTGTTATGAATGATGTTGTTTACTATGATGACTACTTCAAGCAAGAGAAAGATGCTATGGGCTGCGACTCATTCTCCCCACACCAGAAGCTTACTAGTGCTTTCGGTATGCTTTCATATGGATGCTCTGCAGACTCTTTGGATGAGACCTATCGAATGGGTGAGAGCACCGTATTAAATGCGAAAATGTGGGGGACCCACAATATTAGGATATTGCTTGTTAGACGTTGGGCGCAACATGTCCTTATTTTGAAGGTAGAGAAAAAAGGAGAATAGAAGATAAATGGCAATTAATTAGAGATTCATAGATTGAAAGACCGAAAGGATAATCTGCCTTTAAAAAAAATGCATCGCTTCTCGTTTTTTTGCAACATGTCTTAAAATCCATATATCAATAACATAAAAAGCGGTTTATAAAACTAGCTTGTAGGACTTTTACTACAGTTGAGTTTTTTTTTTTTTTTTTTGTGCGCGCTTTTGGTGCAAAGAGGTTTTGGAACAAAAGTTACAACATTCAAGGGACTCAAAACATGAAACCCTACACTTTTACGCTCTAAAGCTAGCTTTTGACTTTATTGCGATGGATCGAAGAGTATATCGTACGACAGTGCGAATCTGACTAAGCCGAACAATGAGTGGCTAGGAATTCAGGCAAGTGGTTTTGATAAGTATAAGATACCGGAGCAATGCCGGTTGCTGATGACAGAGCAGGATATGAAGACAGGGAAGGACTTGTTGAAAGAGGATTTCGTGAAGAAGAATCCAGGGTGGGTTTAGGAGCTGACTTTGATGATGAAGACTAAGCAGAAGGCTGAGATTCTTCAGGCTTTGAGCTCTTTTGGGTTTCATTACTTGTCTGAGGTTTACCTGCCACTGAAACTGCATTGAACCTACAGCAGCAGGATCGGATTTGAAAGGTAACTGGAAACAGATCAAGATGATAATTATATTCGGAGTTAGGTCGTTCGAATTTGTTGTAGCGTTGCATTTCTTCTGCTAGAGTTGCTGCTAAAAGGATCATGATTGTAGAACAAAGTAGAGAATGGAAGGTTCACAATTGAAAATTTGGGATGTTTTTATTCAATGCTTTCCTATGAATTTTACAATGAAGTATGCAGAGCGCTTGCTTATTTGGTTCTTGTGCCCTAGATGTACAATGAGCGGCAATATGCGTATTTACTATACAAAAATTGGGCATTCTGTACATATAAATAATGATCAGGTACTATAAGTACCGGCTCTTTTCTGCACCCAATGGTGCAGTGATTCTTTAGTGATCTTCAGTCTCTGTAGGACAACCGGCCGTCTTGTGGAAGAAGATGACACCATTTTATTGGTCCTTCCAACCCTTTCTTCTTCTAGTATGGGAGATGAAGAATCAGGATGCTTATTCTGGCCGATCTTCATATTAACTGCAGACCCAGGAAGGGAGGCCAAAACCTGGAGCCCCAAGTCGTTTTGCACTAGTTTCAGTATTGTGTCTCTCAGCTCTGAACCATTTTTAGCAGACTCTGCAGCACCCACTTCGTCCACCCCTAGTATTATCGATATGTCGTCATTTACTGGATGTCCTGTAGAGTATAATAAGCGAGGAAATCAAAACTCTTGAATGTTACTAAATATTCCCAATTATGAGTAGTCTGCGACCCTGCATTTTAAGATAGTATTGGTTTTTGTTTCATACCTAGAGTGTAATTCTCTTTGATCATTCGAAGAACGGCCAGAACAACAATCCGAGACTCAACCTGAAGAAGAAGAAGAAGAAGAAAAAAGAATTCATAAGTACTATGATATGGGTAGACCAAAAGCAGTTGTTCTAAAGCTTGGTGGTTCCCATTTGGAGACACAACAGTCATCCTGTAGATACGTACCTTGGTGAGGCCTTGCAGATTGATAGCCACTCTTCCACTGATGCCATTTTGTAAGTGTGCTGCAACTTTCTCAAGAAGAAGATTATGGGGTCTCCCAGTGGCAGTTCCTGTCTGGCCAGAAGAGCGATCTTGCCTGGGACCATTATATTGTATAACACCTTCACACCACTCCTCGATTAGTTGCTTCAGATAGTAATCATTTGCATTATACCTGCAAACAACGCTTGATTAATTAAGAGTTCCTAGCTCCATCAGTTATGGAGAGTTGTTATAAGAGAGATGTTAGCATACCCAGCTTTCCTCATTTCTTGATATATAGCCAAACACTGTTGTACTTCTCGTAAAGAACCATATCGCGTACGAGCTCTTAAAAGGGTATTATAAGTCACCTGCAAGAGAAAGGGCAACGGAGTAAGCGTCCTTCGGAGTTGGATGAGGTTAACTGAACAAGCTCTTACTGCTACTCACCAAATCTGGTTTAATCAGGTATCTCTTCATTTCGGCAAATAGTGAGAATGCCAGCTGCAAGTTTCTGCTCTCCACGCAAACCTATAAACACCAATACCACAATGTATATTCAACATCTGAAGCTTGTTTGTCCCATTGACGTAAAATATACTATTTGTCAATTTGCCACCAGAATCAATCTTTGACCACGTGAATAAGTGGAAGAGAATCGTAGACCTTGATAGCAGTCGTATATGCAATACCATCCGGCTGAACTCCAGCCATACGCATGTCCTTCAAGGTCTGCACTGAAAGAAAAATTGGTGCCACGAAGTTGATATCATTGTTAATGGAACTGCGAAACAGTTAAAACCCTGGGAGAGGAATGAACAAGGGAATGAGAACTCCAGCACTCTCCACTTCTCAATTTTAGATATTCATCTTTCTCTTACTACCAGAAAGAGAGCTTTCTACTGTCCACAAACTAATAATCCATATGAGCACGGCTATAGATGGAATCAACAAACAACATATGTTCTAAAGAGCTGGATCCCAATCTCTACCTGTTCAAGCAAAAGATGTTGTTACCTGTACGGCAAGTTCTGCATCCCCTGAGGCTCCACACATGTGAATTAAGATCGACCAGCTTATTTGATTAGGGGGAAGGCCTTCTTCTTTCATTTCATTCATCAAACTTTTGGCACGCTGATAATCTGTCCCACATGCTTCCATCAATATATTGTATGTTGTTGTTGTTGGTGCAAAGGGAAACTTAGTTATGAAGTTCAAATGATTTGATGTAGGCAGAGGATCCATAGGTTCAGACACGTCATCTTCTGTTTGGCTAATGCAACGGTCTCCAAGAGCTTCTTGAAGTCCATTTTTCTTCCAAGATTGGAAAAGACGAAAAGCCCTGTCATATTGACGAGCCTCGACACAAGCATGCAAAAGGATGTTACAACATTGTGAATTTGGCTTGCAGCCTGATAGAAGCATTTCCTCAAATAACTGGATTGCATGCTCGACAAGACCTGCATTTCCACAAGCACTGATCAAGGATGACCATGTGTACGTATTAGGGGTGACACCTGACGACAGCATATCTTCTTTGACTTTTAGTGCCATTTGCCACAACTTTGCATCTGCAAATACCTGGAGAATCCGTGCTTTAGATGAGTATGGATACAGTGGCATGTATTTTAAAATCCGCAAACTTGATATCCATATACTGCTGGGAGATGTTACTTTTATGATGGTACAGTAAGTGAAGACATCTAACTTCAATGTTCCTGCCAGCTCCAATTGTTTCACTTTGTTATACATGTCCTGCGCCAGATCAACCCTTCCGGCAACACAACATGCCTTCAAGATAATGTTGTGAGAGGTTGTATCTGCTGTTACGCCAAGATTCTGGTTCAAGAGAATATCTATTGTTCAATATCCAAGTACAACTTTATCCAAAGAGAAATGTAAATACTATTTGTTTGCCCTTCATGGAGATTATAAATGACAACACATTCAGTATTTTCTGTTTGTTGCATCTTCACCGCATCTTGAAACATAGCGAAAATGCAGTTTGAAGTGTTTAGTTACAGTAGTATCCTCAGATCATAATGTGAAGAGTATATGCAAAAATATGCAAAGAAGTGCTAAAATCTTTAACCTTCTTTTTGTTTGTCTAACTAATTAAACACAAAGTACACAATCAAATGTTTGAGGGATTGTTCGATAATTCATGAACAATTGAAAACAATCCATGTTTGAAACTATGCTGGATCGGAAGCCAGCTAAGAGAGGGGGAGAGAGAGACTTACTTGCATGTTTTGGTATATGTGCATTATATAGGTCAAGTCATGAGCATTAACATTCATGAGACTATTGAAGACATAGATATTTGGGGTGATCTTTTTCTCGAGCAACCCCTAGGGCCAGAAGACAAACAGAACGGAAAGTGTCATATCGAAATGGCATTTGGAGGGAAACCATGTTCAGCAAGTAAAAAGACCAACTATCAAGTACCTCATAGATGAGCCTGGATTTCATTGGCTCCCCACACAGACCACAAACATCAACAATTGCACGGCACATATACATGTTAGGGCTGCTCAAGATCTGCATAAACGCCTCATACGCTGTCAAAGCGGAATCCAAATCTTTCCTCTTCCCGAATTCGCTGATGATGGTGCAGAACAACATACGATCATAGGGAGGTATGCTTGCATACCTGCAAAACAAACATTGGATCTACAATGTGAATCAATGCATAAACACGAAATTGAAAGATTTGGAGCGTAAATCGGTAATGGTAACAAATGATCTTTCATTGGTCACCTCACAGCCATGTCTGGATCGCGTTGATCAACGCACATTTTAACAATCTCCATCGGCGGTACTATATCTTTAATGGAGAATCCTAATCCTGCAAACCAACTGTAGTTGAGCCAATAATCTGAAGCTTTCACGGGAGTTCACAATTCATTTAGGGGAGGGGGCAAAAATAAAAACATTTTACCGGCAAGAATCTCCATGAATTCAACAATTTCTGGCAACTCCTGGCACATCAAAATGCGGCCACACTCTCTCTGGAACAATTCAACAGTCACTTCATCGACAAGCTTCGCCGGCGAAACTCCTAGCCTCTCTACTTCCCTAAACACCTCGAGAACATCCCCAACGTTTCCGTCGCGAAGATTCTGCAGAATCCCTTCCCCCACGGGCTTTAGGGCGAGCAAGGAGAGGAAGTCGGAAGCAGCGACTCCCGAGGCAGCGACGGACTCGATAATCATGGAGAACTCTTGGAGGCGGCCGTCAGCGGCGAGCTTGGCGGCGAGGTCGCTGTAGTACTTGAGCATGGACTTGTCCGGAGGGGAAGTGATGTCATATCGGACGGTAGAGAGGAGAGGAGGAGAGCGGGAATGGACGGTGGGGATGGGCCTGGAGGGGGCGACGGAATGTTTGGGTTTGGGCTTGGGGGAGTGGTGGTGGCGGCGGTGGCCGTCGGGGAGGTGGTGGTTTGGAGGATTGACGATGGAGGAGGAGCCGAGGATGACGAGCTCTCTCATTCTGGGCCAACCGTTTGGTTTGGATTTTTGGTGCCGCTTTGTTTTGGCTTGTGGTATTTTTTTTTTTTTTTATCTGATTCCGCAGGGGGCATGGATTGAATTTGAAAGGCAGGTATTTTGGGTTCTAACATCCACGAAGATCCCCGGTATCATTTCCAATTTATATGTTGGTTGTTTTGGTTTGAACATAGACGGAAAATGTTGTTTTCATATATATTGTTGTGATGAAGTAGTTTTTTTTTTTTTTTTGCTTTTGAAATAAATTGATTCAAGAAAGTCTGTCACCAAATCTATTTTTTGCACACTTGTTATATATTTTTTCCCTCTTCATTTTTGTATAACGCATTCTTGAAACTTTATTGCCTATAGAATTTTTCATATTTTTTCTCATTCTCGAAATGTATACCTGACATATAGTGAAGACGATACGAGTCAACACCTTTTTGAAGGATTAAGGGTTTAAAAATTTAGGATTAGGGTTTATAATTGGGGATTTAAGACTAGGATTCAAACTTGAATGTTTAGGTTTAGGGTAATACATTGATTAGTTGTGAACTTGTGATCATATGTTATATATGCTAAGTCATGATATGTTCACTAAGTTTGCATGGTTAAAATGTTTTGAGCTTACCTTGTGTCTGACTTGGTTTGCTTGGTGACAAGCAAATGGTTAAGTGTGAGGGAGTTTGATAACACGCTTTTAGCACAAGTTTCCCCTTCATTCTTAGGTCGTTTGGGATAATTTTGTTGCAGTTAAATGCTGATTTTATGCTAGATTGCATCTGTTTGTGATATTTCAGGGCATAGTTCGTGATAGAAGTCTTTGGGGAAACTTTTGGATCAAATGGAGCAGAGACGGACCAAGAGTCGTTGATCAGATTGAGAATTACGACCAAGGCAAGAGAGTCACGACCACGACCGTGACATTCTTTGCCAAACCATGACATCCCCTGCCAGGCCGTTACTCGAGGATGGTGAAACAGAGGTAACATATGTAAGTTAAGGACGGACCCCTCAAGCTACGGTTAAGCCAGTAACTCCCTGCTGCAAGTCATGACCTTGGTTCATGAATTACTAAGATGACGTCGCCTGGAGAGTCACGGGCAGACTAGAGAAGTTATGATCGTGAATAGGCTGTAACTCGTGATTCTCCAGCATGGGAGAGAGAAACCCCATCATTCCTCCTGACTCGCTTCTACTGTCACCCTAGGAATTGGCCAAGTGAAACCACTTCCTAAAGCGTAGTATAGCGGGTTTAGGTTTAATTATCAACCCGGGTCCTAGATTTGATGACTACTCAGTGAATTCTTGTTATCTAGCAATGAAACTGGAATGCAAGTCTAAACTACCAAACAAACAAAGCAAGTAAACGGTTGTATTCAGGTTAAGAGAGGTCACCCGGATATGGTTCCCCCTAGACTGCAGTTAAGCCGAATTGTAATTACCAAGTTCAGTTTCTATGATAGTTATACTGCGGAAGGTTCTTAAACAGCCTCTAGTCTCGACTAAAGGTCTTCAGACCCTCTCAATCTGAATCTCTAGCGGGCGACTAACCTCCACCGGAGTAAACAGATTGAGAGGCCTTAACAAACAAAACCTCCACTACCGGAGTAAATCCGATACAGAATAGTGAGTTGGCTCCTCGACTAAAGTCACCAACTCCCTACCTTCAATCAAGGATGCTCTATCAACCTAGGCAGATATTCTCATTCTAGGTTAAAGCAGAAACAACAGGAATTTGATCAGGATTCAAATCATTCAATCAATCAAACCTCAATCGAATATAATCAAATCATAGAATCAGTACTTGGGTTCATACAATCAAAGCCTAACATACAAATCTAGGGTTCTCCATACCCAGATGAATGGGAGAACTACTCCATGGAGAAAGAAGCAAAAGCAGAATCAGACGCGGAATTCATACTGTGAAGGATGGATTCCTGCTCCTGGACGTTGATCGACACTTCTCCAAGCTCAAACTGGCCTCCAATGGTGATGAAGATCAAGCTAGGGCACTTGGAGACTCTTGTTCCTCGCTTTCTCTCTCTAGGAATCGCTCTGTCTCTCTAAAACTCGAATCCCCTTCTCTTTGGCTGAAAATCTGCTTAAAAGGGCATCAGTGGCCAAAGCACGGTCGAGGGCACGGCCGTGTAATGCCTCAGCCTTCCCGTGCTTTGGCTAGTGTTAATTACACGACCATGTGTTGGGAGAAACACGGCCGTGCTTTGGAGAGAACACGGCCGTGCTTTGGGAGAACACGGCCGTGCTTTCAGCCCGTGTAATCAGCTCATGTTTGCCAAACTCGAATTAGCTCTCGGCAGTAAAAGCACGGCCACAGAACACGGCCGTGTAATGCTTTAGGTGTGCCCGTGTTTTGGCTCCAGCTTGACGAAATGACTTCTGAATGCCCCGAAACTCGTGCTTAGCCTTCCCTTTGACGCCTGGGACCTGAAATATGACAAAAGAGCACAACCCGACGTAAAATAGGCCAAAGATACACGACTATGCCCCTCAAACGGATAAGAACTAGGGGCGCAAATATGTGCAATTACATCGTTATCACCTCCCTTTCCATAGTCTCCAAAAAAGTAAGCCCCAACGAGTCAAGACTTCCTCATCCGAATGCAAAATAAGTTCGCGCATGCAATGTGATGGGAAGAATCATATCCTTGGGGGAAGGAAAGGCCGACAAGATTTCTTAACCAAATAGCAACGGGACAGCGAATGAATAAATATTCTAGGGACTCTCGCTCATCAGCCTAATAAACAGGACAAAGGACGAAACCAACTGTCCATGTCTTTGCAAATCCTCATGTACAGGAAGAATTTGAAGGAGAATGTGTTAGAGGAAGAATTTAAATTTGGGAAATAAGCGGAGACCCCAAATTTTGGGCCAAAGGGATGCATCCAGAGGTGACGCCGATACCTCATGACAACGGCGGCGAATGGGTTGCAACACCAATACTAGCCGATTATCACTTTCAATACTTAATAAGATGTGAACACTGAGATTGTGAATTGAAAGTTGATAGATTCAATGGTGTGAAAATTTATGGATTCAATTTTGACAATTATGATGGGATGTAACTTCGTTTTAAAATTGGTTAGTTGGATTGAATTTATTCGGGATAATTCGAATATCGAGGGGGAAACCAATCCAAACAACTTTTTCACACCAGTGTCTAAATCTATCAGTTTCTAATACACTAGATCATTAATACTTAAGTAAGGCAACAGAAAAGAGTCTATGGAATATGACTCTAGTTAGTTTCACTTTTTGGATTATCTTTGCATGCGCTTTTAGCGACATCAAGACATCATCACAAAATTCACGCAAACGGCTGACTTCTCAAGAGAAAATTTGTAAGGAGATAAAATAGGAGACAAATTGTAATGATCCACTAGACATCAGCTAGTCGAATCTGTGGTCGAAACTGTGTCTAATCTGGGACCCATGTGTTCAAAATTGCATCAATGGAACTCCTTGATTCAACTTCGCAATGCAAGCCATGTTGTAGTAATTCACGACCATGAAGCAAGGATTGCCATGCCCATGATGAATTGGTTCCCCTAGCAACATTGAGGAAAGATGTGTGAGGCGCGCTTTCAAATTTTAGCTACGAGCGAAGACGGATTAGTTAAAATTCGCCAACATTGTTTAGCCAGCAACTAGGGGTGGGCATACGGTTCGGTAAAACCGAACCTAACCGAACCGAATATAAACCAAACCGAAACCGAATTAATGTTATTCGGTTCGGAATTCGGAAGAGAAAAGGGCATATTTCGGAAACCAGTGTCCGTTCGACCGAACCGAATTTCCGAATTCCGAACCGAAAAACCGAATTATTATAATTGCAAGCTCTAAATGGTGGATATTTATGTTTCTACTTATTATGAGACTTAAATATTTGAATTATGTTAGTGTTTTATGACTTATGTGTTGAAATGTTTGATTTTATCATTAATGATGCATATTTATTGTTTACATTAGGGTGAAAAATAATTTAAAAAGGAGAAAATACAAGCTAACCTCACTATTTCGGTTTTGTATGAAAAACCGAACCGAACCGAATTATAATTTGGTTTGAACCGACCGAACCGAATTATAATTCGGTTCGAATTTGGTTTGAGGTTTGATAGAATTCGGAAAACCGGTATGCATAATTTCGGTTCGGTTTGAACCGAACCGACCGAATGCCCACCCCTACCAGCAACGCCTGATTAAAGACAGCAAAATCACGGAATCCCAAACCCCTATAAGCCTGTCTGGTCCTAGTGGTCGTTCTTCCCTTCACAAACTAACAAACCCATTAGCCTTGTAAAGACATAGATGATGCCAAGAAACCCATGGTAAATGAAATAGTATACACTGGTGCGCAGAGTTGATCAACGTTTCCATGTCGACTAGAGACAAACATTGGCGTTTCCAACCTTGTAACTTTTTTTGCAACCACCTCTTCTATACAGCGGAAAGTGGCCCGTTTAGACCTTTTTTTATAACGGAGGGAAAACCTATTGCACCAATATGCAACAAGGATCCATACTCAGTCACCTCTACAGTAGAGGTATTTCGAGAGACAACAACTGCCGATTTGGCAAGATTTACACGTTGTCCACTTTATAGCCTCATAACGATGTAACAAATGAAGCAACATACTACAATCGGTTGGAGAAACCCGAGAAAGAGGAAAGCATCATCTGCAAAGACTAGATGAGAAAGGACGGGCACTGATGATTAAATCGAACCTCCTTCAGATCACGGCGAATGAGAGCCTGAGATAGCATGGATGTAAACCCTTTCGTACAAATCACGAACAACAAAGGGGAGAGTGGATCTCCTTAACGCAATCCGCGGGTGGGTTGAAAATACCCATAAGATAAGAAGTGCCATTCTACAAGACCGACATAGATGTCTAGGAGACACAGTTGTAAAGTAAATCAATCGGACGTGGAGAAAAATACCAATTTTCGCATCACACCAAACAGGAAGAGCCATTGAATCTGATCATATGTCTTTTCCATATCCAATTTAACGGCCATAAACCTTTCTCGACCACTTGGCTTATTAACACATTATTAATAATAGACCGGTCTTTTTCAAAAATCCATTCTGGAATGTGCTAAACACCTCCAACAAGATTGCACCTAGACGATCAGTCAATATTTTCGAAATGATCTTGTAGAATACTTGGCAAAGACCAATTGACCTTAACTGAGCACAAGTTTCCACATTGACCATCTTAGGTAGAAGAGTTAACCAAGTATGGTTATATGAATCTTACAAACAAAGGATTTAACAGCCGAACAAACATCAGCACCCACAATATCCCAAAAATACTGGAAGCCGTAAACCCATCAGATCCCGGGCCTTACATTAATACAAAGACGCCCCAAATTTCAGCAGTTAAAAATAGCCCATCAACGGGCCCAACCGGATGGAAGGTTTAACTACTCTCAGGGAACAGTAACTATATATTTTATATTAAACTATTAATAATTAACGTATTTGTTGGTCACTCCAATCCAATCTCAGGCAACACAGGTAAATAGACGGAACCCTAACCAGAGGGGCGCGAATCCATTATCAAATCACCTGGAAGCTCTCCGATCATCGGCGCAGCTCCATAGTCTCTGGGCGGAGCTCAGAGGTTCAATAACGGAAACAAGGTCTTTCCCCAATTCAATTAAGAGATGCCGCCGAAGCAGGCCTCAAAAGCCGACCTGGCGAAGAAGCAGAAGATTGTAGAAGACAAGACATTCGGGCTGAAAAACAAGAACAAGAGCAAAAATGTTCAGAAATACGTTCAGAGTCTCAAGCAATCCGTGCAGCCGAAAGTTGACCCAAGCAAACTCGCTTCTAAGGTTCGATTAATCGCGTCCCGGGTTCTCTGCATTATTTTCTCTTCCGTTCCGATGATTTCCCAAATCCTCTTTTCTGCCGATTCCCACCATTGGGTTGTCGATAAATGCCATCGATGAATCTTAACTGTCATGAGTACCTGGAAATTTTAGCTCTTGTAGCTATATAAGTAGTGAAGTCTTCATCTTTATCATCTCGGGTCTTTTTATTAACAGAAGAAGAAAGAGGAAGAAAAGGCCAAAGAGAAGGAGTTAAGCGAATTGTTCAAGATTGCTGTAAGCCAGCCCAAGGTTCCTCCTGGTAATATTTTCATTCCTTCTACCCTGGGCTCCTCAAAATTTCTCCTGTTTCCATCAGTCCTGATGAATTCCCTGTTGAACTGATGCATTTTGTCTGCTGTAGGCGTTGATCCAAAGTCTATTTTGTGTGAGTTCTTCAAAGTGGGGCAGTGCACAAAGGGCTTCAAATGCAAGTTCTCCCACGATCTCAATATCCAAAGGAAAGGGGAAAAAATTGATATCTACAGTGATAAGCGTGATGAAGGTTGTTTTGCTACAGAATATTCATAGCATTTCATGTCTCTCCGTGTTATTAAACTTTACCTCTATAAATTTGTTATGTTTCTGACTTGTCTTTGGTTGTACTTCTGACAAGATACGATGGACGATTGGGATCAAGAGACTCTGGAGAAGGTTGTAGCATCAAAGAACAGCGAGTATAATCAGAACAAACCTACTGATATTGTAAGTGTCCTCTCTCAATGAAGGATGTATCTATGCTTTGTGGAGTAATAAGGCAGTTTAGCTTTTCGTTGTGAGCTTGTTTGAGCACCTTGAACTTTAGTGTCCTTGAGCTTTTCAATATTGTGCTGGTGAGTAAGAGATTGGTATATTTCTTAAGCATCATCCACTACCAATAAATGAGTGGTGTGTCTCCCAGTAGTGTGGCATGACTGCTTATCTTATTCTCCTTCTGGTGTGTGTGTGTGAGGGGGTGGGGGGGGGGGGGGTACTTGTTGCTTATGTCCTATATGCATATAGGGAGTAACACTTTCAAGATGTGATATCTTCTTGGTTTAGCAATTAGCAGTGAGGTGACAATGGCGCAAGCATAAGATGAAGATCAAGTTGTTGATGTAAATTTGACTAATTGTATGATGAGGAGTTGTCATTTTTATTTAACAGATGATATTTGCCATTTCATTTGACATAACCGCATCTTGATTCTTCTCAAACAGGTATGCAAACACTTCCTGGATGCTGTAGAGAAGAAACAATATGGATGGTTTTGGGTCTGTCCAAATGGTGGTAAAGAATGCCATTACCGCCATGCTCTTCCTCCAGGGTATATCTTAAAATCTCAAATGAAGGCTCTACTTGATGAAGAGTCTGAAAAGTTGCCCATTGAGGAGGAAATTGAGAATCAGGTTTGACATACATATTTATGTTTACTTGAACTGCTGCCTTTTCCCTCTATATAACTAGCATCTTTTCAATGGAGTAGCTGTTATCTGTGATAATTTATTTTTTGTAATTTTAACAACTCCCTCTTTTCTTGGTTTAGCGTGCTAAAGTTGCAACTACAACCCCCATGACCCCCGACTTGTTCATGCAATGGAAACAAAAGAAGATGGATGAAAGGGATGCTAGTTTGGATGCACTTAGAGCAGAGAGGGCTAAGAATGATCGGATGAGGTACACAGGGCTCGATCCAGAGTCATTGACACAAAAGATGTTTCATACATACATATTTGTGTTTTTATTTTCTTGATGGTTCATGCTGCTCCTCTTTGTTTCTATTGCAGTGGGCGAGAACTATTTCTGTCTGATGCTAGCTTGTTTGTGGATGATGCTGAGGCATATGACAAATACCAAAGGGATGAAGAGCCTGATGCTACTACTGAAACAAAGGTATACCTTCCCTTTATTGTGGTTTTCACAGAATATTTAGGATTTGAACTTGAGGATACTGTACTAAAGCAGCAAAGAAATGCATTTGTTTTAATGTGAGTAGATGGAAGCAACCATTAAGATTCCTTAATCTCTCTAGAATTGCTGTCACTGTCTCGTGAGATGTTACCCAGCCAAGAGACATCCTAGTGTTCTCCCAGCTCTTACCAGTGGTTTATGCAGCTTTTTAAGTGTTAGAATTTTGGTCCTCAGTCCTCACTATTGTTCTTCCTGTTGTTTTCTCTTCCACTAAGACTCAGAGCAGCCAGAATTCTGAAACTCAGGGGCCAAGCACTTCAGCACAAGCTGATGGAGATGACGATGACGATGATGATGTTCTGCTTGACGATGATGACGATGATGAGCTGGACCTAGATGAACTCAATGAGCTGGAAGCTAGCTTGGCGAAAACATCGATCAAAATCCAAGAGCCGGGTGATGCGAAATGAATCGAATAAGGGTGGTAGACCCTGCAGTCTGCATTGCCTCTCTGAGATGTTTATTTTCTCTCTACTTTTTTTTGCCTCAGTTCTGCATTTGGGTTTGAGAATGTGAAGCGGTAAGGGCCAATTTTTATTATTATTAGCTATTGCGACAGACTAGAAAGAGTTGTGAAAAGTGAGTCCAGAGGCCAAGTACCAGCATAAGATGATGGTGGAGATCCACATCAGTGTTAAGTTATGTGCGCTATGCCTGCTTTAGTACTTGATGGGAGTGGCGGGTGGCGTACTTTTCACTGGAGTTTCGGTGGTTTAGTACACTTTAGTGCTACTTTTTGAGGGAGGTTGCTGAAATTAAAATGCGTTAAGTGGTGTTGAGTTTAGTGGCAATAGTAAACGTGGTTGATGACTTTAGTTACGACATTATGTTTTTTACCCGAACAAGGTCATCGTTATTACAGATTACAGTAGTGATTGGGGGTTGGGAGGGCCTCTAGGTTGAGGGTTTATAGACTTTCTAATGTTCTTATCTCTTTTATCATTACATAGACAGTTGCATATATTGCACTTCTGGGGATTTTTCCAATAATAATACCTTTAAAAAAAAATTACAAAACTAGCACCCATCCGAAAAAATTGATAGAAATAGCACCAATTTTATTGGAACGCACCCCCTAAGGTGCGTTTTACTTATAAAACACACCATAGGAGTGTGTTCCAAGCCACGTCAGCACACGAAACGCACTAGGAAGGTGCGGTTTACATATTCTGCGGAACGGTCTTCAAGACCGTTGGATGGAGGAGCGATCGGAGGGCTGAACGCGCGCCAGTGGAGCGATCCGCGCCACGGATTGGGGAACGCACGCCCGAGATGTGGTCAAACCTGGGGAAGCACAAACCGCCTCGGGAGGGCGCAGTTTCTCTTTGGGCAAAATTACCCGACCACCCCTGGAGGGTGCGATCTGTTGGGTATAAATACCCCTTCCCCTCTCATTTCTTCACACCACAACCCATTCTTCCTTCTCTCTAGAATTTATCTCTCTAAACCCTCCCCTCCCAAAAGCCTAGGAAATAATGGTCTGTTGGTTGCAGCTAAGTCCGATCTGCCATCAGAAAACATTTCTTAGGTTTTTTCCTCAAAACCCGCCGAGCCGAATCTCTGTCCGAATTTTGGTTTTTTCCTCAAAACCAGCCGAGCCGAAGCTCTGTCCGAATTTGCCGAAAAAATGGCCGATTGGTGGCAAGGAGAGGGAGTTTATGTTGATGAATTTCAAGCGGTACGTACTCATTATTCTGGTTTAATTTTTGTTGTTGTTATAAGCTTTTTAATTAATCTATGTACTAACATCGTTGTTATTTTCTCGTAGGTTGGGGAGGACGTGGATATATACAACCAACGGTATTATCTCGAGCAAGGACCGTTGGATCCAACCGACTTGTACGACCAACCCAACCATCGGTCAAGGGATGTTTGGAACGCTCACCCGGTACATACAATTCTTTACCATTTGTCCTTCTTTTATTTTGTTAATATATTTAGTGGAATATAAAATAAATTTATGTTGAATTTTTAATCGTGTTGGTTGTTTTCAACAATTTAATCGAATACATAGCGCCACTTACTTCGACTCTTTATAAAGAGATGCACGTCTAAGGAAATGGGGTTTTAAGCGATTATCATATCCTCCCATTCCCCGGGAAAATCGGGTATTAAGAGATCCTCGGATCCCCCCTTTTTCTGTCAAAAAGACTGCGTTTCTAAGAAGATGTATACCTCTTCTAAGAGTCTAATGAGTGTTGCTTTGTATTCGATTAAATTATTTAAAACAACCAATACGATTAAATTATTTACCAAACAACCAATACGATTTATTTTGATGTGTACAAAATGAACTTTATTAATTTCAAACATTTGAATATGTATGTTTCTCTTTAAATTATTATTCATTAACAATGTCATTTATTTTAGTTATTTTAGTATGTTTGTTTTACGATAATATGTATGTATCTCTTTAAATTATTATTCATTTAGAATGTTATTATGTTAATTAATTTAGGATGTTTGTTTTATGATAATATGTATGTATCCCTTTAAATTATTATTAATTTAGAATGTTATTTTGTTAACTATATCAAATGTCTTTTTATGATAATAAAATTCTGCTTGAAGTTAAATAATTTAATTTAATGAATTTAGTTATAAGGAAAAAACCCTTACTAAATTGCCATCGACGTATGTGACCCCCTTTCCAGTCTCTTCCGTGTAACCATTCCATCGTAAGCCAAGCGTGAACTTTTGGAATGCCATCTGTGATAAAACCGTAGTTCAGTTAATATCATAAAAATCAAAAATAAAAAATAACAATAAAAAGTAATACAAAATAAACTTACGAGTTAACGTTAATCTCAAAACTACTAAAGAAATATAGAGCTACAACAGAAAATTGAAAAGGGAGAAGGAGAGGTGTGAAGAGAATTGGTTTTCCGGGAGGCCTTTTATAGGCAAAATCACTGATGAAAACCGCTTGGCCAAGATGCGGTTTAGATCCAGGAATATGGACCGCACCATAAAGGTGCGGTCCATTAAAAAGGGTGCTATTAGTGTAAATTTTTTCGGATGGGTGCTATTTTTGTAATTTTCTTTTAAATGTGCTATTTCTGGAAAAATCCCTCAATAGTGAGTACACAGTTTAGGGTTAGACATCCATGAAAAGATGCAACAGTTAGGAAAGGAAAATAAAGCTCGTCCCACATGGCCCATTACAAAAGTTTCTTCATGAAACTTAACACGAAACCAACATATCATACTCGCAATGTATCGCAATGTATGAGGTGGAGTATGAGTATCTACTTCTGATCTGTTCTGTTCTGTTTTTGCCCCATTATATTTCATTTTCTTACAAAATCTATACATATTTCTCATATTTTGACTTTTTTTTCAACTAACTAGAGTCGATCTTTCAACTTCTTAGATTTAATTACTCATTCTATTATCACTATTTTTCATTGATAAAGGAGCACTTCTACTATGCTATATAGTATTGGTGCTTTAATATACAACTTGAAGTTGTACCATAACATTAAATGTATAAGTTCATGTTGTACCATAAAGGAATTTGTATCGTTATGTTATGGTACAACTTTACAACTTGAAGTTGTACCATCACATAAAGGTATAAGTTCAAGTTATATACCATAAAAGAATTTGTACAAAAAGTATAGGTACAATATGAAATTGTACCATAACATTAAAAGTACAATTTCAAGTTGTACCATAAAGGCAAAAACCTATAGCACCAATGTTATATAGCATTGTAAAATTCCTCTTGATAAAGTGTTTTTCCCTTCGTTTTATAGTAATAAGTTAAATTTGCGTGTACGTGTTGACCCGTCCCGTCCCGTACCCCGCAGGTTTTACCTGTCTCGACCCGCAGTAGCGTGGGACGGGGCATGGGTATTGAGGTACCCACCCCACCCCATCCATCACTAACCCTAGTATGTCATCACTTCTCCAACATGTCACTCCCAAGTGTCAACCATCATAACAGGGTCGTCGAAGAACCCAACCGCCAACTAGCAGATCACCGAGCGACGACCTGTCCAAAGCCACGACGAGGGACCTACACATCTACGAGGAACACAGACAATAAAACGACCACAAACAAAGCTTGGAGAGCAGAGATGAGATTCAAGATGATGCATCCCTGCCTTCAGGGGCGGACCCATGTAGTAGAGAGGTGTGTCAAGCGACACACCTCCGCACGAATATTTTGTGAGAGACTCATGTTTTGTCGGTATAATTTTTTGGAATTTAGGACTTTTGACACACCTTGAATAATTGTTATCGACACACCTTTAATACACTATGATGAAATTAGTGTCATAAAGTTCCCAAAATCCGTAAATATATGTTATTTATTTTAAATTTTAGTTAACTTATGACAAATTTGGGGTTCTTTCCATTGCTTAAACATTTAGATGCAAGGGTTTATTGCTCTTAGATCTTAGGCATGGGTAATCGTAAGGAAGTTTTCTCTTTTTTCTCTCTACCTGAATAAGTTTCGTTTCTTCTTGATCCTTTGAGGTTTCACATAGTTGTCCACCTAGTGACAAAAATTGCTCTTTCATTGGGAATCTGGTTGCATATGGACTACTATCTTATAAAAAAAAACTCCAATGTTACCTTTGCCTCTTTCGATCCCACTTCTCGTTGTGTTACACAGTAAAATATAATTAAAATTTATTTATTATTTTATTTAATTTTATCGACTGACACACCTTTACGAGAATCCTGGGTCCGCCACTGGCCTGCCTTCAACATCTAAGAACCACTTCCAGGCCATTGCATGTGAGCAAGCTTTTGCATCTTCAAAAGAACGACGCAAGGATGAAGCAAGAAGGTAGATGAGTGTGAGCAAGCTTTTTCATCTTCAAAAGACCGATGCAAGGGTGAAGCAAGAAGGTAGATGAGAGGTTAGAAGATGAGAAGATAAACTATCGATCTGAGATCTATACCCCCTTGATCTCTAAGCAAAGGCCTCAAATGCACATCTAGATACGAAGTTCAGAAGCACAGGCTGGAACTGAAGCTAACCATCTCACAAGGAGACGCAGAAGGGCAAGAACCTGAAAGAGAAAGCGATAAGGACACACGAAAAGTACGGGGAAAATGAAGAAAAGCAAGTAAAAATGAAAAGGAAAAAGAATTAGGGTTGTCGCCGGTCGTCGGAGTGACACCAGTGACAACACTTAGCAAATCTGGAAAAGGGAAGCATAGAGAGAAGTGAGAGGATTTGTAAATAAGAGAGAGAAGCAAAACATTGCAGAATTGTTACTTTTGTCTCCTGTTATCAAGGTTACCAACTCCGAGGTCGACCCACCAGTTTCACTAGAATCGTAGGTTGAGGTACACGGCGACGTGGGAATTCAAGGGTGGGATTGGTTTCCACGTGGCTTGGGTTTTGGTGGATTGGATCGTTTGGTTAGTTGATTTTTTATTAATAATTTTGGATGTAGATGGACGGAATGGCTATTTTGTTATTCATCCAACATATTTTATTGAAACGTGCAAAATTCAAGTTGTACGACCGTTTTGTACTAAGTGCATAGTTATATGATCATTTATGCTAATTATCCGTAGTCTATTTATGTGAAGAAAACAAGTAAAATTCTTGAGAACATATATCGATTGATAGAGAAAATTTAGACGAATGTGAAAAACTTTTCTAGGTGTATACTTACCGAGAGATGGTTCAGTGAGCCCGGAAAGATCATATATGGATATATGGCATTATAGGCATTTGCATTGTGCATGTATATTTGTGTCATTAATATAAGTTTCCAGTATTTAAGTTTGTAATTTTACTTTAGTGTATGAGTTGTGGTTTATGGGTGTGTTTTGTTGAGTCCTAACGTGATTTTTGTTTGTCTTTCATGGCAGGATTCCCGCATTTGTGTTAGCTAAGATTTATTGTTATTTAGAGAAAAGGTCACTAATGATTTCGTAACGATTCCATATTGCGTGGATGATATTACTTACTATTATTGGAACTCCTAAACAGCTTCCTAAACCACTTGATTGATTAAAGAAATAAGTTAAAATGAAGGATTTAATATTCTTTTATGGATGAGAAATGTAATATTGAAAATGTGTCGAACTGAGTTTGCACGAAGAAATTATGTTGGCCAAATAACATAAGGTCCTAAGATCATTAGAAGTGACCAAAGATCTTTTTAGGCATCAAGAAAAAAGTGAATTATTAGATTCTGAAGTATCGTATGTTGATGTCATTATAACACTAATATATCTTGTTACTCAAACACCATATAATTTTGGTATTAATATATTAGCAAGATTGAATGTTTCCCTCATGGGCATTGGAACGTAGTTGAACATTCAATTTGTTACCTAATATATAAGGTTGTTCTATTAAGATATTATCAAAGAGAATTCTGGTTGACTATTCAAATCCAAGATAATTGTTTTTACCCCATATTGGTCTATTGGAGATAGCTACATCTACACTTATGGCGATACAACTATTTCATGGAGATCGAAAAACAAACTACAATAGAAAAGTCATGAATATATTTGTGATTATGGTTGTAGGCTATGTCTAGTGGAAATGATCCTCATGATAATATATGAAAAAAAATTCATAATTGTCATGCATCAAATTGACAATCTGGAAGATTTGTTCACAGGGTCACTCCCGATAGACTATATTTGTAAAGCTTGTTAGTGAAATTGGAGTTCAACGACTTACAGAAATGAACAAATGTTATTATATATGTAAGAGAACATACACACACTACACTCTATGTTCCTTTACCCATGGTTTCCCCGATAAGATTTTTAATGAGGCGGTCCAAGACAGCGTAATGCGATCAATACGTACTCTTTTTTTCTTTGGTAGGATTTTTATCCCATTGGATTTTTTCTAATAAGGTTTTGACGAGATATGCTTTCATCTGATGGTTATCCAATGGGAGTATTATATAAATATTTATTGTATGTGAATGACCATTGATTGAAATCCTTTTGCTTAATATTTGAATTGTTCTTTATGCCTCATTATCTCCACCCTTCTCTTGTATGAGCACTTCTACAATGTTTTAAAGTATCTGTGCTATTAAAATTGTACCATAACGTTAAAAGTACAACTCAAAGTTATATTATAAGGGAATTTGACCTTTATGTTTGTATCATAAATAGATTTTACAAAAGAGTATAGGTACAACCCGAAGTTGTATCATAACGTTAATGCTACAATTTCAAGTTGTACCACAAAGACAAAAACTAAAATACCAATACTGTAAAATTCCTCCTTTTTGTAATATGTCCTCTTCCTCGTTATTTTCACAACATTAATCCATAAAATGAGGATTTTGCCCGACTAGAGGAGACAAGACAGACAATTAATTGCCTAGTTTCCATTCTCTCAATTTCTTGTGTTTTTCATTCGAGTTTCTAGTTGTCTGCTCTGTTACGGCAACGGGAAATTGCACTAGCCATGCAGGCTAGGAAGACCAAACAGACGCTAGCTTAGTAGCTTTGCATGGAAATCTCAGACTTAATTAGATTAAGAATCCAACTGTGACATTAATTACTAGTTGATGAGCAGGGATGCAAGTCCACCAGGTGGCAATGCAAACTTCCATTCTCACACTGATATGTCAAACTGAAAGTAGAAAGGGAGAGAAGAAGGAGATAACGTTCCAAATGGCCTGATGAACAGAATCACAGAGCTTCTTCAGCCATGATTGAGACGACAGAGCCATTGCTGCATTTTTCACTTCCCTGATCCATTGCTGCTTCTGAAGCTAGCTATCCAATCCAGGAACTTGGATAACATTGTCGCTTTGATTTGGCCTCTCCTTGGAGGTAACCTGCAGGCTCTTCTCCTCTTGTGGGTTTCAGCTGCTATCTGGGGAATGAAGGTACGGGCCATTGCAATTTACAAAAGGCGTGGCAAATAAAAATGACGACTCTGCTTTTCTCTGTTCTCTTCTCTATCAAAGTATGCATATACAGAAAATGTGGGATGCTGATTGCTGAGGGAGGTAGGGAGGTTTTATTTATACACAACAAGGTGTGGCAAATAAAAATGATGACTCTGCTTTTCTCTGTTCTCTTCTCTCTCTCTCAAAGTATGCTTATACAGAAAATGTAGGATGCAGAAAGATTAAAAGGAAACAGAGTGACCTAATAGCTTTTTGGGTTTGGTTGTTTCTCTTGATGACAGTGATGGATGTGGACCAATTCCAGATGATGGAGGAAAAGAACATGATAATGAACTCATTATGCGTAAAGAAGTGGTCGAATACCATACATGAATTCCAACGTCCAACAATTCGAGTTATTACATGTTGGTTTATGACATGGTATCAGAACTGATATGTTCTCGAGGTCATTATCAATTAACTATTATCTTTAAAACCCAGAGTATTTTGGCATACACGTCTTGAAGCTAAACACTCTACAGATTGCTAATAGACTTCTTCATATTCAACATATTTCAGGCCTAGAATAAGAAAAGTCTGACTTATCATATTGTTTGAAACCATCGTCCTGTCTTGCACGTCTGTTTTCACCGTGTTGTACGTTTAAATAATGAGATGGAGCTACACCTCAGGAACCAGAAAAAACAGAGACAAGAACAGAGAGTTGTAAGTCATAGCTTGGATTTGGTAAGCCAGAACAAACAAGAGAGCTACAAAGAATATTTTCTTTTTGGAAGTCAAGGTCTACCCGCATGCTTGCACTACAGTCTGCCTCGCAAAACAATCTCATCAACTATGTTACCTGCATCAAACAACCAACTATTCTTTGATCGAGTTTGTCCCTCAGTGAGATCGACTTAAGGATCTTTCTGTGCCCTCCACAGCAGACATACTTCACGTGTTTCCACGAAAGTTTGACAATTGAGGTAGTAGTGGTGCTCTTTCTATAATGGTGTTCCAGACTTCCAGTTAAACGAGACCTTCGACCAAGAAGGCAAGAGCAAGAACATGTTCTTTCTTCCCCCTCTCAAATGGCAGGCATGATATGTAGAACGAAATCAGTGATGCTAAATCCCTGCAGATTTGGGGAGTGGAGAGTGGTGCATAACTTTGTGATGCACAACTATGAATAATCTACTATCTCGGTGCCGCTTCTCTTATGGTGTGAGTGGAATTTTTTTTTTTCACAGATAAATCAGAAAAATTGTGCTACTCAAAATGATGTTCACTTTAATATATTTTTGGAATAAAATTTTTTGAGGCATTTAGTATCAGTCTATATAATGGTAGTATTGTTTGATATTAGATAAGAGCATACCATTATTATTAGATATATTAATTCGCAAGTTTTGGTTTAAGGGGTCTGGGCATATGCGGGCGGGTCTACCGCAAGTTTGGTGAGCCCCCGGCCCTTTCTTAGTTTCTTTCCCTTTTGTCGTTCGCCTGGCGATTGGGCAAGTTTCATCCTTTTCCTCTTGCCCTCCGTCGAATCCCTGGAGATAGATCAAGATGGAGCTAGACGAGAATTGAAGAGCCAACACCAAACTTCTAATTGACAATCAGATGAGGTGGATTCCGATCGAGTTCTGTGACTTCCATGGCGGCTGGCGAAGTTGGGTTCGGAGATGGATCGTGTTTCCCCCTCTCCTAGCAAACTCTAATCAACCAGTTCTCCCCTGCGTTGATGGGCTGGCGGCTGGCCGAGTTTCCACCGGAACCATCACTTTCTTCCATCGTTTGTTTGTTCTTTCTGCTTCGTCGATATGGCAGCTGGCCCAGTTGTAACATGACTGCGAAGCTCCATCTCCATGGGAAATCCAAATCGACATTGGGCATCCGCAACACCGATACTGTCTTTATTCCTATCAAAGAAACAACCCTTGAAATCAAAATCGACGAAGACGGACGTCCGCTGCATCGAAACCAAGCTTGGAGGCGAAAGAGGTGAGGTCTACCGTCGATTTTGAATCTCCATATCCGAGAGTTTAGAGAAGATGGATACAACTCCAAGGACAACAATGATGATTAGCCAATTTAGTGATTTTCCTCCCTACAACTACAATAGCTCCCTGCCATCCAATTTCCTTAAATTTCTTTAGAACCCATTCCACTCCCCACCTTGATCAAAACTCTTCCCGGAAATCAGAACCCAATCCAAATTTCAACTCTGCCACTTCTCTAGCCAAAACATTCAGCAAGGTCTCCTGCTCAGCAATTTCGTGGCTTGAGAATCGGGATATCTCTGCAATTGAGGTTTTAGCTTTTGTGGATGATAAGCTAGCCAAATTTTTTATTTCTATCATTTTCCCTTTTTCATTATCCACATTTGCATGAGTAACAGGTGTTTACTTCAAAGTGAAATAATGCCACTTGCACACTCTTATGACTTCACTTCACCAAGATCATCATTAAAGTAAACTTTTCTTTTATAACCTCTTTTTTTTTTGGGGTAAGTTTTTCTTTAGATTATAATTAATTTGAGGTCTTATCAATTCTCATCCAAGTTCTTGAGTTCCACTCCATACATACTTTACACATTCGAATAGGTCCATGTAATTTTAGTTATTTTCTTGGGTTACTTAAATTTGGTATTTGTAGGCATTGATAAGAAATAATAGTACAAAAATTCATGACAATAAAAAATTAGTATAGTTGAATTTTTCCCCCGTAATAGTATACTTGATATTGTTACGGTGTTAGATATAAATTTATTGTACATTTAGTTATATTAATTTTTATTCAAATTAATTGTCCAAATTAATAATTTGGAAGGTTTACAAATGACCATATCAGTATTTGGACTCAAGAGCATTAATTATGCATGGTGGTGATAATTAAATTATGGCTACCTATGTAGGCAAAAGAAATATGAAGTTACCTTAAAACGTGAAAAAAAAAAACATTTGTAACATATCATAAGTTATGGGAATCACATACCAGTTATACTTCCATTGGACTATGTGAATAACCTAATTGTTCATTAAAATCTATAAGAACATATTATATTTGATCAGATGGGTTCATTTGGCTTGCTTTTTTCTTTGTTTTAAAGAGAATACATGATATCAAAACAAGAATAAAATATATGAATGAACAATTCAAACGAAATCAATTTATATCCAATAAAAATTATCGAATTAAATTTAATTTGATATAAAAGTAATTGTTTAGATTACCCGCAGCAAAGCGCGGGCCAATTATCTAGTGTAGTATAAAAGGGTATCGTGGTGGGATGAACATACCAACTATAGAATAATTGAATACATGATAGTAATGTTCACTATTTCAATATATGATTTAGGTCATTTTCTTGATAATCCCCCCATCGGAGAATCTCTGTCACATCATTCAGAGGCCTGAGCTATGGCAGTACGATTATAACATTCCTTTCAAAATTTCCTCGTATCACTGACCATCGTCCATCATCTACTTACTTTGTTCGTGTGAATCTTCTTCAGACTTGGCTTTGTGTTTTCCACTATGTTCTTACCATAGTGTTCCTTCCTCATTTTGAAGATCTAGATAGAGTACTCCCTTTAGTCTATGGTCCTGGCTTATGCCACTACCAATGTACCGCTCAACTTCTCACACCTTCTGTTAGGCACTTTTCTGATTTTTCGAGATGCCACTTTTTTTGGACCCTTATTGTTTGACAGTTTTCTCGTCTCCTACTTTGTCGTGACATTTTTTGTCTGCCTTTCGCACTATTGAACCTTCTCTCTTCTTTTCTTGGATAAAATCATCCAAGAACTAGAGCTTGCGATTGAAGGGGAGATCGATCTTGCACCTTTATCATCAGATGACGAGGATGCCGATATCGATGACAACGGGGCAAATATTGTTTAAAATTGTTGTTTTGGAGCTGGTATTGTTTTGAATTCATGTGCCTTCTAACAACTACATTCCTCCTATATATTCATCATAGTTGTAGGAGACGAGTGCAATTTTGTGTTGAAAAGTGGTAGAGGGCTTTGGCTTTGCAAAGGGGCTCAACAATCAGAGGCAGATTATCGGATTTTGCTGAGGTTGTAGCAGGTACAAAATCTTGATTATTTCTGTTGTTGTGGCTCTACTCTTATTTTTCATCTTATTTCATTGCTTAAGGTCTGGGTAAACAAAGCACGGGTACAAGAGCAATATTGTGGAATTGACGATGACAATTCAACTCTCACAAATTGTTATTTAAGCTCGTCTACAAGGCATCTTCAGCCCAGTCCTTTCCGTTTCAGTTTGTTATCATTGAGGCCAACCTCTTACCAAATGCCCAAGTACTTCTCCCAAATTAATTGAAGACGTCGTCGAGTCTTTTGCTCTATCGTCTTTCTCGTTATGTTCAGTCTTCATCTTCCGCCTTTTCCCTCTCTGAAATAGAATCTCTGATTGGTATGGAAGTAGAGGTGGCAAATGGATTAGTAGATTTGATTGGTGGGTCCATGGATCAAATGTATTTATGGATTCATGGATTGTATCATTTGGATTGGTGCGTTTGTTCATGAACCCATGTGACATCTAAACATTGGACCAATATGTTAATTTCAAAAGGTCTAGGTATTAAAATGTCATAATAATAAAAATTAGGTACCAAAATGTAAATTTTCAATGATATTTTCCATTAAAAAGTAAATTTTAGGTATCAAATTGTAATATACAAAAATACACATACTAAACTGTAGTTTGCCAATGATACATGAATCCACGAATCCAACTGGATTTGGATCAAAAGAATTGCATTCGAATTGATTGGATTAATTAGATATTTAAGTGGATGGATTGTATTGAATCGGTGAAGTTGGATACTTTCATGATACTAGTACCAAGCCAACCATATACCCGACGGGGGGGAAGACCTGCAAATCAGTATTCAAAGTCTCGAACCACATATGGACGGCAGCAGCTGAATACGCTTAATCAAAGCTTTACATTGTCTAATCAACACAGAGAACAGTAAGAGATTACACAGTCTGCTTTTAATCCTCGCATTTACATTATGGTATGATTTACAAATCCCCCTGTTCTGGATAGTGCTTCTTCTGGCTGGATCAAGTCAAGTCAAGTCACTTGAGTGGCACAAGAATGGTGTAGATGAGAAGGAAGGAAACTATGACAATGGCTCCAACGAGGGTGAACCTTGGACTCGTCCACAGCCTGAGGTTTGACCTCTCAGTTCTCTTGATGGGATCGACCTCTTCCGACAGAGGGTAGTCTGAAGGCTTGGGGTTCCACGTCACATACTTGTTTGGGGAGAACTGTGAGAACAAGGTTTTCTTCCCCTGCTTCTTGAACTTGGACCAAGCCTTGTCCCAGTCGGTCGAGGATTTATCACCTAGTTTATAGAAGGATTCCAATCTAGTCAGAAGTAAGGAGTCGAGTCAAGCATTTCGAATTGGGAAACTTGGGAAAGATCAGAAAGACAACGTTTCCCGAAAACAGGATTTGCTTATCAAAGCTACATATCAATCTAATGGCTGGGCATTTTCAACAGCAATCAGAAGGGAGAAAGGGATAATCTGAACACTCTTTTTACAATGGAATCAGTCGAATTTCAGACAGCCCAGTTGACAAACTTCACTGGATCACCCAATTTCAAAGCGCCCCTGAAGTGGGTTTCTTCCTACTTTAATGGCGAGAATTCTGTTTTCTGTTCTATCCACGAGCCGAGCAGAAGAATCGCCCAAATGACGACCCAAACACAAACCCAACTTGAAGAATGAGGAAACAAAGAGAGGAGTGCGCTTACCCTGACCGTCGCCGTTTTGAGGTGGTGGAGGGGGGTTTCTGGAACAGTGAGGTGGAGCGAAAAGAGAGCACCGGCGGCTGGAAGATTGATAACAATGGTGGTGGGAATGAGAAGATGGAGACGGAGACGAGGAGCGCAGGGAGGGATCGGTGATGATGGATCGGAGTCGAGCTTGAATATTCATTTCTCTTGCTGCATACACTAACCGGAAGAACAAGAAAAAATTGATTCCGGTGAGTGATTTCCCCACCGGCTTTTCTCAAGCTAAAATTGACTGACGGAAGATTAGAGAAGGAAGCATAGTGAGCGGCAAGACGACGGGGGAATTTGGACGCCGCCAGTCACCACAAACAACCGTGTCTTATCCATTCAAATATGTACGAGCGGTGCTCCTTCACCTCTCATTTTTAGGTATGGCAATGGGTAGGTTCGAGTTTGGTTTACCCTATACCAACTCCTAACCCGCCGAGTAGAGCTTTCTAAAATACCCGATCAAATAACTACCGAGTATGAAAATTATATAATCATACTCTATCCACTGGGTAATCACGGATATTCGGGTAACCATGGGTACGAATCCTAAACTATGAACTTATACACATATATGCACATACATACTATTGTCCATTAAAAATTCTCAATACTTGTAACTGTTCTAGCTTCAACAATCCACACAAATAAAAACAGCAAACACATAATAATTGTTCTTGCTTCTACAATCCACACAAACATAATAATCGTCTACATCTTCATCATCAATAATGGTAGCTAAACTCAATTTCTCAAGCTAAAATAAATTTATCAAGGGAAATTGACCCATTGGTTAGCGGGGCGGGTATAACGGGGCGGATATTATCGATTACCATACCCGTACCCTATCCTTTATTTTGAAACCGGGTATTACCCGTACCCGCCCCTTAACCCGTCAAAGCGGGTAATTACCCTCGTTGACCGGTTACGGTCGGGTAGGGTACCCATGGTTACGGGTTGGATTGACATCCTTCCACGACGTCTCTCCTGCCCACGGACGCCTCTCCGTCCTCCTCGGGCGGACCTAGGGGTGGGCAAGTTACCGCACCGCACTGGAAAGCATGTCATTTGGACCGCCTCGCATATTAGATCAAAATTTAATGAATGCAGTGAAACTAGATCGTTTAGATATATGATTTGGTGCGGATGGGAACACACTGTTTAAATGGTGTGGTTACCCTGATAATCGTTTTAATCGATAATATATTTGGATAATTGGTTTGGTTTGGTTAAACATTTTAGCTTGTTTAGTTTAGGTGATTTGGTTTGGTTTGGTTTTAGACACTCCTAACCAGTCAAACCAAATTAGTCATATATCTAATATATATTATATACATATACTTAATAATTTGCATAACCAGTCAAATTTTCCTCCCTTTTAGACTTATAAAAACTAAAACTTAATATTGTTCATATGTTGTATATTTGTAATTGTAGAGTGTAGACCACAACATATGGATGCTTAATTTAGATAAAATCTTACATTGTGTTGAATGAAAACATGAAAGGAAGGTCTTTTTCAGCCTATGATAATTGCTAAGAGACTGAGTCAATTCACACAAATACAACACTTCATTAACATCATAACGTTGACATATATTTTTGTTAAGTGAATATTTCTATTAACTCTAAGATAATTGTATTAGTTGCATGTATTTATCATTTGCGAATTGACGCATTAACCGGGGGAAAATTCACTTAATGATAATGTGATGTTATATTGATTAATTTGGTTGGGATGCCATGCGTGATAATGGTCAAGCTCAAGAGCCTCAAGCAGATTTGAGTCCAGTCACTGGCTTTACCTTGCAGCAACTTGATCAGCTGAAATGCTTCTTCTCAGGAGCAAGTCAAGCAGCTTATGATCCTACGAGTAACATGACTGTTACGTCTTCTTTTACTCTTGAACTCGAATGGCTAATAGACTCGGGCTGCAATGAACACATCATTATGGATGGGTCCCTCTTAGTCACACACAACTCATGTTATTGTCAGCCGGTTCTCATTCCAAATAGACAAAGTATTCTCGTTCAAACGTGTTGGTTCGGTGCAACTCAATGATGGGTTGAGGTTGAGTCGTGTCTTGCATGTTCCATAATTTTTAATGCAATCTATTATCCGTGAGCAAACTATGTCAAGAGCATCATGTTGCTCTAATTTTCCTTGGTGATTTTTGAGTGATATAGGACTTACTCTCCAAGAGCGTGATTGAGAAGGGGGAGATCCGCGATGGGTTGTAGTATCTGAGGTTGTTTGGGTGTCTGAAAGCACAGGCCATCTTTCAACCACAATCATGTCCCGGCTTGGGAAGTATCTTTCTTTTCATCTCGTTCTTCAAATGAACTTTGTCATTCTTGTTCTAGAGCAAAACAAGTTCATACACCTTTTCCTATTAGCTCGATTTAGACTAGTTATTGATTTGAATTGTTGCACATGGGTATTTGGGGAACATATCAAACTCCTTCTTTCAGTGGATCTCATTATTTTCTCACCATTGTTGATTATTTTAGTCGGGGTGTTAGGGTTTATCTTATTTTGTTCAAGTCTAAGGTTGGTCACTACATTAAGTTATTCTGTCAGCTTGTTCGTACTCAGTTTGGTAAAGATGTTAAGCGGATTGAGGCAGATAACAAGCTGAAATTCAATATGACACTACTGCGAACTATGAACAAACAGGGATTCTACTTCAAATGACGTGCATAGACACATATCAACAAAATGGCATCGTGGAGCATAAGCATCGCCAACACCTTGAAATAGCCTGGGCACTCACGTTTAAGGCATCTCTCCCAATCCGTTTTCTAGGGGCGAATGTATTCTCACCGCGACCTATTTGATTACCAAGTTGTCTACGAAGGCCACGAGCAAAGCCCTTTATGAAGAAATATTTGGCAAATCTACTAGTTATGATCATTTATGTGTCATGGGTTGTCTTGTTTACTACAAGGACACCCATCATCATTTGGGTAAATTTGACGATTGTGGTTATGCGTGCGTTTCATGGGTTATGCCGCAAATCAAAAGAGATATCGTAACTATGACTTGGCTACCTTGTGGGATTCTATGATTGCTAATCACTTAGTCCGTTGACCAATAAATTGGCTGGCTTAGCCATAGAACAAGAGCAGATAAGGTACAAGGCCGTACGATGCATGATCTGATGATATGACGGGATTTTGTAGGCGGGGTTTGTAAGGGTATTCAAGCCCCATAGAACTAGTTATTAATATAGAACATAAAAAATATATATATAAATAAAAGGATGAGAGTTTACCCTGCACAGCGTTTTGAAGCCCATAAAGCGAAAGATTAAACCCTTCATAAAATGGATGTTAGATTTGGGCCTAGCATAATGGACAGAACTAAAGGGTCTATATCCTTTGCGGGCCGTTTTTTCACGAACTGGTAAGGTTTGGACCTAGATGAGAGAAAGGGATCCAGAAAACTTCCACTATAAATTCCAACGCTTCCATTCAACCCTGCCTCCTAAAACCCTAGAGGAAGTAGCAATTCCGCAGAGGAACACTCCTTCGCCAAACCAGAAAATGGCCGCCGCCGCCCGTCCCCTCGTCTCCGTCCAAGCCCTACCTTCAATGAACGATATGGCCGCTGATTCTCCGGCCACCGTTCCTCTACCCGACGTCATGAGGGCCTCTATCAGACCCGACGTCGTGAACTTTGTTCACTCTAACATGTCGAAGAACAGCCGGCAACCCTACGCCGTCTCCAAGAAGGCTGGCCACCAGACCTCCGCCGAGTCCTGGGGTACCGGCCGTGCTGTCTCTCGTATCCCCCGTGTTCCCGGTGGAGGAACTCACCGCGCCGGTCAGGGAGCCTTCGGAAACATGTGTCGAGGCGGTCGCATGTTCGCTCCTACCAAGATCTGGCGCCGCTGGCACCGGAGGATCAACGTCAACCAGAAGAGGTACGCCGTCGTTTCCGCCATCGCCGCCTCGGCAATCCCTTCTCTGGTGATGGCTCGCGGCCACCGGATCGACACTGTCCCCGAGCTGCCCCTGGTGATTAACGACTCTGCCGAGGGGGTCGAGAAGACATCCACCGCCATCAAGCTGCTGAAGGAGATCGGAGCTTATGCTGATGCTGAGAAGGCGAAGGACAGCGTGGGGATTCGTCCTGGAAAAGGTAAGATGAGGAACAGGAGGTATATTTCTCGCAAGGGACCTTTGGTTGTGTATGGAACTGAAGGCGCTAAGCTGGTGAAGGCCTTCCGCAACATTCCTGGAGTGGAAGTGGCCAATGTGGATCGTCTGAATCTTTTGAAGCTTGCCCCTGGTGGCCACTTGGGTCGATTTGTCATCTGGACTAAGTCGGCTTTTGAGAAGCTTGACTCCATCTATGGCTCCTTCGACAAGGCTGCTGAGAAGAAGAAGGGTTATGTGCTGCCTAGGGCTAAGATGGTGAATGCTGATTTGGCTAGGATTATCAACTCTGATGAGGTTCAGTCTGTGGTGAAGCCCATCAAGAAGGAAGTTAAGAGAGCACCATTGAAGAAGAATCCTCTGAAGAACTTAAATGTGATGCTCAAGTTGAACCCATATGCCAAGACCGCTAGGAGGATGTCCTTGTTGGCCGAGGCCCAGCGCGTGAAGGCCAAGAAGGAGAAGCTCGACAAGAAGAGGACTCCCATTAGCAAGGTATATGATCACTTTCTCTTAGTCTATTATTCCTTTATTGCTGTATGGGTTAAAGGCTTGGTTACATGTAATTGCCTTCTCCACATTGTTCCACATTGTTAATCTAATCAAATAGGATCTAGGTATGTAGTGAGTATGATTTTTAACAATGCTCTGTTCATAATGTGTGCAATCTACCAGTCTTTTTTGTTGCTGGATGATAGTAGGGTCGGTCTTTTTTGTTGCTGGATCTAGGTATTGGATATGTTTTTTGTGTTTGGGTTAGCAGTTTGGAATTCTCAATCAGCTGCTTAAGTTGATCCTGGTCTAGGGTTTCATTAAGGTTGGATTGGAAGAATTTCTTGAACCAGTATACTGCTATTGCCCTGTATTGGTTACAGTTTGATCTGCTGGTGATGCCAAAGCTTGTTCTTTGCACTTGTTGTCTTCTGTTCCCCAAAGTTTTAGCTAGCACTTGATCTGGTTTGGTTTTGAAATTGTTGTGTTTGTATAAACCACCTCATCATTACGTTAATGAGTTAGCGGGTATTGTTATATCCCACATTGCCAAAATCAAAAGTGCATATGATATAAGAACTATGTATTCTTTCATTTATACATTGTTACGTTTGTGTGTTTCTGAACCTCAGTAATGCTCATCTGTTTCTGGTTTTGTCACTTTGGGGTTGACTTGGGCAGGAGGAGGCGTCTGCTATCAAGGCTGCTGGGAAGGCCTGGTACCAAACGATGATTTCTGAGAGTGATTACACCGAGTTCGAGATCTTCTCCAAATGGCTCGGTGTGTCCCAGTAAATTTGGGGTAGTTTGTTTGTTTGTTTGAGTTGTGCTTTATCCGTTGTCTACCAGTTTTGTTTATTTGATGGATCATGGATGTTAGGGATTTTGATTTTGGTGGACGTGAATGGCAAAGTTGTTCCTTATTGCGGATTATTACTATTATTATATACGTTACTAGCCTATAGCCCGGCTCGTTGGCCGCATTTGTTTAAGGAAATGGAGTTATAATATCTATAATGATAGTGTCGAGAAATGAGTCTTGTTTTATATTATCATAAGATTGTTGCAATTTTGCAATTCGTTGAAGACGAACATGTAATATGAATGAACATTCATAATAAGTTAAAAATACATTTGAAGATTAGCTAATCACAATAAAAATACTTACATGAAATTTTACTAATCACAAATCTAATCTAGTTGAGTATTACGACAAATAACATGCAAGTCCAAAATAAGAAAACTCAATACATTGTCTCATTGTTCATGACATGGTACTCAATTCAACAAAGGCAAAAATAATTTCACCAACACAAGTTCACAATAACCAAATGCATCGTTCCAGGGACCGACTGTGACCATGACTTCAAATGTCTGTTCTCCAAGCATGTTCAGAAGGGCCATATAGTCAGCATTGACAACATCTGCATGACTGAATACAGATTCAACAATCGTTCGTAACTGTGATGACGGGAAGACGATGTCAACACCAATGAATTCGTCCTCAATTGTGAGGTGGACGAAATGGATTCTGATCCAGGGGAGCAGGACGTCGTCAAATTCGTTACACGTCCGGATAACAAAAAAGAGGTGCCCTGATGTAAACACAGAAACGAATATTGTCAAAGCAAATCGATAAAATGCAGCATGCCACAAAAGGCGTACGATTAAAAAGAAATTTATTTGTTTAGTTACCTGATTTTCGACATCCACTTGCAACATAATGAGATCGATGGTGTCGGCACGCTCACAAATTTCAAGAGCATCATCATATTGCAGATTAGCAATAAAACCATGGGGAAGCCTATATATTGGACTGTAAGTTTTGGCATTAAGTAGTGAAAAAGAATCGAAATTACATGATGTAGTATTTGTTGGATGCATGAGCAGTACTTACTGATTGAATTGAGGCAGGCCCGCCATATTGAATGCAATTCGCACGGTCAATGGAACCGAAGTGTTTTGAATGGGAAGTAGTAAACGGAAATTGTAACATGAGAGAAAGTGGTATCTCCATTATATAAAGGACAGAAAGTGATTCTACACACGTGATTTACTTGGCCGCATGCAGTGGAGTACGTGTGTGTGTGGAAAGTGGGATAGTGGGGGAGTGGAGAAGGATTTGTGGCCTCGTGGGGGAGTGGAGAAGGTTGGCCATTTAGAGTTCAAGAGGCGGGTGTGTCAAGGAACTCAAGACCCACCTTTTTTTTTTTAGGGGAACGACCCACCTTCTTAAAATCAAACATGCGCCTTCCTTTTATTTTGTTGCAATTAAAAATTCAAAAACAAAAGAAGGTAAGTACAGAATAAAATATAAAGAGAAGAAAAATCAGTTCACTTTTCCCAAAAAAGACCTAGCAGCCGCCCAAATTATGCTTTTTCAGTTTTAATAATTCTCACTTTATTCTTTTATCTCTAATAAGTGAAACAATAATTGTAAAAAAAAATAATTGTTAAGTCTACCAAGTAAGTCAACACCGGTTTATGATCGGTTTTTAATATCGATTAACCACCGGTTATTTGATAAACCTTGAACCCTTTACTAATCCGGATCGATGTCCGGTTCCGTTTTAACAACATTGCTAATTGCGACTGTGTCAACAATTCTTGTCCAAAATTGCCTCTCAAAGTTGCTAATTATTATTTGATGCGCCAACCCGGCCGGCCCGGCCCACACCACCACTAATTAACATGAAATGAAAATCATAATGAATGTATTTAATAAAGAAATAATGGCTTGGAATGCGGCAGCCTTCACCTCATAGAAGATCCAAAAAAATCGGATACTGGGCAGTGGAGAAGGATCCGCCCAAGGTAGTGTAGGTTGGCCTTTTTTTTATGGGAATAGGTTGGCCATTTAGTTTCAACAAATCCGGCTGGGCATTCCCTCTCTAACTATATTTTATTTAACTGAACCATGCTTGGGTTGTTTTGTGGGCTGGGTTGTGGTGTTAATTTAGTTTAGTTCAGTTGCGACTATGGAAGTTCTTCTTCGTATTGCAATATAACGGTCACACTCGCATACCCTTCGGTAGAGTAAATTGAGGTACAATTAAATATAAAGTAGTGTGCATAAATCACATTTCATATAATTGGCTGTTAAAAACAGGAAAATAATTTGGACAAATTGAGAACTCAAGATTCAAATTGTAACGACCCGATAAATTTGACAGTCTTAGTCCTCAAATCGAATAAAACATAATACATCAATAAACCACTACTCAAAAATCTCAGTGAACACAATGTTCTGCATAGTCTTCATCGGTTTACCTTGAGAGTCACAGCTAAGAATCTTGAATCCCCTTTCCGACGTAACTCGAGACATAGCAACATACAACTGTCCATGAGAAAATACTTGTCTTTGCAAGCAGATGCCAACGTGATTTAATGTTTGACCTTGACTCTTGTTAATTGTCATTGCATATGACAGTGCAATTGGATATTGCCTTCGAACCAGAGTGAAATTTAAGCTCTTGTAGTGGACCGATAAACTTAGGCGTGGTAAGAAAACTGTATCACCAACATGTGTCCCGGTCAAAATTTGGACCTCAATAAACCACTTACCTAATCTCTTAACGATCATCCGAGTTCCATTGCAAAGCCCAGTACTCTGATCCAGATTTCGAAGCAGAATAACAGGGCACCCCAACTTCAATTTCAACTCATGTTCCGGAAAATTCCCAATCTTTAAAGAGTTCAAGAATTCAACTGTGTAGTCCCCTTCTTGAACATGCTGATTCTTGGCATCAATCTCTAGCGAATCCGAACTAAAATAAGAAACTTCTTCACCAGGAAATAGACCCAATACATAATTGTTAATGTCCGCAACAGTGTCATTATGAGGGGCTAAGATAGCTCGCTCAACCAATTAGGTTGACATATTTTCAGTGGAGAGTAACTGACCATATATTTCAGCAACAATATCAGGAATTGGATCACTGCGACGGGGAACACAAATGTGTAGAGGTATCGGGATAATTGATTCTCCAAAAATATTACTATTTGTACCATCACCAATTTCCAAAAGCCATTTGCTAAAATTTGAGATTGCTAACCTGGCCGATGCTTCAGAATGAGGCAATTTTAATCGCATGTTCTCGGTTAGTTTCAATACTGTCATAGACCGCCACAAATAAGATCTCTTTATGGAAGAATTAACAATTTCAGTCCGTGTACCCTTCGTGATGATAGGTAACGTCTGTCGGAAATCACCTCCAAACACAATAGTCATACCTCCAAAAGGCTTCAACTCAGAATCAACATGCTTAACTCGGAAAATATCCCTCAATGTCCTATCTAGGGCCTCTATGTTGTGTTTATGAGCCATCGGTGCCTCATCCCAGATAATAAGTGAAGCATTGAGAATCAATTCAGCTACCTCAGAACCTTGCTCAATATTGCAAGTTGATTTTGTATCACAATCCAGGGGAATGTGAAATCTTGAGTGTGCAGTTCTTCCACCGACCATGAGCAGTGCAGCAATACCAGATGAAGCAACACATAATACTATCCTCTTCTCAAATCTTAATTGCTCACAAATTGCTCGCCATAGAAATGTCTTACCAGTACCCCCAAATCCATCCACAAAAAAGCATTTACCCTCATTGGTATAAACAGAATGTAATACCATATCGTAAGCGATTTGTTGTTCTCCATTCAACGGTCTACTATGTCGATCCTCAGAACAGTCTAAGTCATCGGGTCCATAATTCATCTCCATATCTATCAGCCTGTTTACCGTATGTGAACGCAAACACTGATCGGGAACAGGCAACCCAGGGAAATCTGCTAATGACTTCGAAAATCTCTCCATCAATTTGTCAATATGAATAAGGCACAACTCCTTAATTTCATCCTCCGACAAATTCAACTGGGGTAAATTCAGCTCTCTACGTCGTGAATGCAAAATGCCTTCACTTAGTAATTCCCAATTCTTTAACCAAAAAGAAGTCACATCAGCCACCTGACAATGAATAAGAATTGTGACAAAAAGTTTTCTAAGTTTATAACCAGAAGGCCAGTGCGAAGCTTCTTGGACACAATCGTTCCATTCAAAATCTCCTGATAACAGTCCCCGAGCAAAACATGCTTTTTGGAATGTTTCATATACCACCCCATTCACTGTTCTAATATCATCATAAGAACAACAACCCCTAACAACATGCAATAGCATTCGCAAATAGTCACACCAATAAGATAACACTGGGTTTATAAAATAACTATAAAAAAAAGAGGAATCGCACAAATATTGATTTGGTTTTTATTCATCTTTGGAAATTAAATCATAATTCATATGCATGCATAAAGTTAATAATGAGTGTAGCATATAAATATACATATAGCCTGTCATTAAGAATCTGAGTTTGGTAATATAATAAAGGAAACAACAACGTCATATAGATAAATACGATTTACTTCAGCCATACCTTATCTTGTTACAATATAATATTGATATGCGCTCCAAATCGTAGTAACAAATATCGATTGTAGGGTACAACCCATCGATTATCCAGATCAACGCCGCCACAGTTGAAAACTCTACCATTGTTCCGCCGACGATATTTAGCAAACCCAGTTTCATCAATAGTTGTTTGAGAAGAGTATTCCTTGGGGTAATGCTTACTACATTTCCCATTCTTCATGCACACATTATTATGACGTACTGTACCACACGGGCCATGCATCATTGAACTTGTGACAACTGCATACAGTTCAGGATCAAGATCAAGATCCGGAATTTCAGCACATATTATGGAATCAATAGCCGCAGGACCATGGAATTTATTCTCCTAGGCCAAAAAAAGCAATATGTGTGCATGAGGGAGACCCCGCTTTTGTCATTCAATTGCTTTGACATCTGTACAGCAAGATGCAAATAGTGGAAAAGGAATATTAGTTCAATGAGGTAAGAGAGTAATGGATGAACATTAATAGATAAATAACGAATGAATAAGCACACATACATGCATTGATTTTCCCAAATATTTGTTTCTCGCGAATCTCTAACATAAACTCATCAAGCTTGATTTTGAAAACTCTGGCGGTGATGTCAGCCTGGTCAGGATCTTTGCCACTGTACCTTCTAATCAAATCAACCATTGACTGTATCTCTGGCCAGTTAGAATTGCAAGTGAATGTTATAAACAAATCAGGATAACCAATCCACTTGCAAATAGCCATCGCATCCTGAAAATTCTCATACTTGTATCTTGGACTACAAGTGTGTGAGGCATCTAAAATAACTGGCTTCCCAGAAAGCTTGATATCACTATCCCCTCGCAAATAAGAATTCAACAAATCCTTGTAGTAGTGTCCTCTTAGCTTCGACTGATGGGTACGCATCCAGTCTAAGCGTTCATCCTCAATTAACGCAAATGCATTCACCATATATTGTTGAAACAATTTACCAGATAATAACAGAGAATTCGACTCCTAGAGACGGGTTTGAAGACGATATGCATAGAAATCACACTGGGTTATCATTTTATCTCCAACACTGATATTAGAGCTACTGTGACTATAGCTAATGCAGGGATGCCACCCATCCTCGCCATATGGGAATAAAATTGGATATTGTAATGCCATCAGACTTGGATGGTATACGCTAATCCTTTCCATTTCTGAACCCTTCTGTTGAACAATTATATCTGGAGAAAATGATTGCTCTCCTGTTTCATCTACAATCAATGCTGCAATCTCATTCGCAGAGGGCAAATCATATTCTCTACTATTAATTTCACGCTTAGCCAATAGTTTCAGTTGAAGCTCCTGGACACCAGAGTTTTGTATCCTATCTCGCGCAGAACGAAATGTACGTACCAGGATATTATTGTCATCAAACATATGCTGGAGGCCTTCAACAATACACTGGCGCAACGGATTCTTGGCAGGATCAGTGGAGTAAAAGTCCATACGATTCTGCACCTCGTTATCTGAATCGTGAATGTAAATCTGTGCAAATTTCGGACTATCCCCATCACCAGGAACCAAACATCCTATTCGATGATAAATCTGACCACTGATTGAATATACATAAACTCCACGACCATCATTAATAGAGTGATTGACTTTACCTCCGAGAGAAATAAAGCAAAAAACCCCATTATAGGCTCTGATGTTAGTACGAAAGTGACGCGCTAATGGTGTATCCCCTTCAAGTAGAGTTTTAAGAAATTCGGGCACATCTCTGCGGGGAGGCAATTTCACTTTACCATGTTTGCAACATAAAGGAAATGCAGGCAACACATCATTCCGTGTAGATAAAGTACTCTCGAACCGCCACATAACTGCTCCACAATGTTGACACGTACATGAAGGTGGACCAATATCAAAAAATTCAACCAACGGAAGACCTAGTGAAATAGATAAGTAATATTAATAAATTTTTGTCACAGTAATTCATAAATTGAATGAGATTGAGAAACTGTGAAGCCGATTTAGGCGCGCTACAGTAAACACAATTATTAAAATAAATGTTCTCAAGGCAAGATAGATTGGTATACCGCTCATTTTAAGTAAGAATAAGTCAAATTTCAGGAAACACCAAAGTTTGTTCATAACACACAAATTTGCCGTTGACACATCAACATCTAAAAACAATCCACTATTTGCATAAGGTGACATGAAGCGTACATCACTAAATTATATGCATGGCATAAATGGGTACATTATATGTTCTAAAACCAAAATAGGAAACAAAATATGTTGACCAGAACACAAAAACATATATCCAATGTACAAAAACTAAACCAAAATAGAGATGAACCATTTCATGTATAATAGTGGCCATTAGAATCCACATACTTTGATTGACTTCTGTTGGAAAGAAACTTCGGCCACGTCTCTTTCTATGCAGATGAATACGTCGAAGTAATCGACTTTGCTTTTGTAATAGAAATCTAAACTCCGGCTCCAAAACTATGAACAACACCAAAACACATACGATATTAAAGAAATAAATAAAGATTCAACAATCTAGAATAGCCTAATTTGTAAGACTTGCTACAAAATTTAGCAAACAACAACCTTGGTGTTCAAAAGGCAAGCCCCTCCTATGAACCTTCTGTTTCAAAATATGATGTCTTCTCTTACGGGCGACTTGGGATAGTGTTCGCCGAAGTTGAGAGAGTTGGAATTGTAAGGCAGCTTCTTCTGCAGAATTTAAATATAAAACCATGTATTACTCATTGAATAGATGAACTAATTAGAAAAATTAAAACACAGATAACACACCTCTCTCAAATGCTTCTTCCTCTTCAGCAGATAAAACACAGCGTTGGTACCGATCTTCAGGATGAATAAACACTGCTCGACGTTTCCCTAAACAAATGAGATTCAAGGGAAAATATTAATGTCAGTTTGCATTGAAGCAGTTGCGTGCTAAACCATGACACTCACATGGTACAGACGATCGATAAATCTGTGGTTGGGCAGATGGGATGACATTTGCACTATCCATATTAAATTCTCCAATAACCTGATGCAATCTGAAATAAAGGTCGTGGTAAATGATACACCCGTTCCAGTAAATTTTGCAGCTGCCATTCATATAAATTAATTAATTGTTACAACAGAAGTTGAACTCCTCACCAATTATAAGTTTGTGCGAGTTAATGACACATACAACACACCACACAAATATAACAGTCGAAGAAAAATATAACTATATAAGGCATAATTTAAATTGATGAACAAAACACATATAACAGAATGGCTTCCAAGCTTGGGGATGCAAAGGAAGAGCGAGAAGGACAACAATGTAATGGCCAACACAAATATAATTCAAAGGCATCCATAAAAACCATATCCAAAGAGAAGTTTGAAAAAGAAGCAAGCTGGCAATAAGAAAAGCACTATAAGTGCTTACCAATTCTAGTTCTTCTAACTATACCAAGCTTATCCTTTCTTTCAATTATGCAGTTTACGCTTTGTACTTTTAGCACAAATGGATTCCAACTCTAATGTCACAATACAAATACAATGCAAATGAAGTTGAAGAACAATAAAACAAACTAATGGAGTGAGATAAAACTGTCCAATGATCTTATGTAATAACGGGGAAAAAGCCTTGTAGAACCAATACACTAACCAGTGGAGCATGCTTATCAATACCGCCTACTTTATACTTCTTTAGTGATTAGAGCTGAAAGTACATTATCAGATCATAGCCAGTCCCATTAGATTAATTAACCTAGAAACATATGAGAGAAAACCTTACTGATCAAGTTGGATTTCGACATTTACCTGCAACAGAGTTAACATCAGAAAGTAAATTGATTATGTCTCATACGTGGTGGCGGGTGGGGGACGGCGCGCCAAATTTCGTCGGCGATGGGCTGGTTCTGGACTCAAGTAGGCTGGGTCTCTGAAGTATGGGCTGGCGAGAGAAATGGATCCCCGAGGCCTTATGGTTTACGCTTTCCTTTTCCCCCGCCAGGCCAGCGGTAGTTTATAGCCGGCCCTTCGATTTACTGACCCGGAAAACGACCCGGACCAAGTACCTGGCTGCCGCCGCCGAACGTCTCTTTCTTTCCTCTTCTTTCTCTGCGGCCCGGAAAAACTCAGCTCAAAATCGGCAGTCGGCTGCTCTCTGGAAGACAGTCTAAGCGAAGTGGAATTTAAAGTGAGCAGCTTTGTTACTTTCAAGAGAAAGGGAAAAATCAAAAATCCCCTTTTGATCTCTAGAGAATCCAATCAACAGAATGAAGCGAGGAAGGTAAGAGAGAATAAAGAAAACGGAATGAACCAAAGGTAAGGGAGATGAATCTTTGCAACCGAATCCCTGAAAAAAAAACCCAGAACCCGAATCCCTAAAACTTAAAAGCAGCGACAACAACAAACAGAAATATGAAAGAGGAAGAATAACTTACGGCAAAACCAATACCGATCTAACGCTTAGAGAACGGAAATCAAAGGTAGATGCAAACACATAAAAGAACCAGATGATTGAGTCAAGGTTTGGTTTTCTGAAGGCCAAGAAACTTATTCGAATGAGGTGAAAGAGTGGAAGGAAGGGAAATCGGAAATAAAAAATACAAATTAAATGAGAACGTGGGCCTGGAAGGAGAAAAAAATGGGTAGTGGAGAGTTTTTTATACAAATTAAATGAGAACGTGGGCCTGGAAAGAGAAAAAAATGGGTAGTGGAGAGTTTTTTTGTTCTGAAATCAGGCGGGACTCTTTTTTCCCCGCTTAACACTCTGCCACATCAGCTTCCTAAAATCACTCTATGGGCAGAAAATTTTGAATGGGGGTTGCAGTTTTACTTTTCAGCTATAAATTATACTGTTGATTGATTATTAGGCAAAACACACCTTTATAGCCACAACTTTCTCATTATTGTCAACAATAGTCACTTTGGATAAATTACGCAAAATAGTCGATTACGTACAAATTTTTCGATTACTCTCATTTTACAGTCAAGATTGGGTATCAATTACTCTTCGGTACTTAATTGCTCCCACCCTCTACCTCGTTTGTCTTATAATGTTCTGTTCTTGAAATGCTTGTGAAACCTTCCCTTCCCTTCAAAGTTAAAGTTTTGTTTTGAAGGATGGTGAGTAGGGATGACAATTCTGATCTGACCCGTTTTACCCGACCTGTTTGATCTGTTTTGGGCGGGTCCGACCCGGCCCGTAGACGGGGCAGGGCGGGCATGGGTACCTCCCATCGATCTGACCTGCCCCGACCCTCCCCATTCTTGACCCGTTCATCCCTAAATTATATGTAATCTTAGTCAAATTATTTAGGATTTCCTTTTATTACCTCATATTTTAGCTGTAATAAACTTGTAAATAAGTGAAAATCTTAATTTCTCCAATAATTTAACTACATTTCATCATATTATGGTTTCTTCCTTGGTATTTTAATGAAAATAATGAATATTTAAATATCCATTGGGTCGATCTGCCTCGACCCGCGTCCCGTGATAAAATACCCGACCTGCCACGGGGCGGGTATGGGTATCGAGATACCCGCCCCGGACCTGCCCATTGTCATTCCTAGGTGAGGGGGTTTCTACCGGTCTGAGCCGTTCTAGTGGTTAAATGATTGATTATTGACGATACATGCCAAATATGCTCAGAATGGTCGTGCTCTACTTCTGCAATACGATGCCCAATCGGAGGAATGGCGAGCAGCTTCCACTCCAATGGCTCCTCACCACAACGAACATCTTCCTGTCGAGGGATCTACGGGCATGCGACGTATTTCCACTCTGTAATCTTAATCTCATGATGGCTTTTGCCCACAAGGTGGGATTTTGGTTAGTTTTGATGGGCATGGCAGCCGGGAAGCGTTGGAGATATTGGATTTGTTGTGTTCTCTGCTAGTGGGACTCTACTGTTTGCATACGGTAAACATTATCAAGGTATTACTGACTTGTTCTTGATTGAATTATTAGCATTACGCGATGCAGTTTCCTTGTGTTTAACACATGGTTATATTGTTGTTAATTTTTGTTAGAAACTATGTTTTCTACCACGAATACAATTTTGGACTTATTTGTCGCATTATTATTGTTTGGGTATTTGGATGTTATTTGTAGGTTTTGGGGTTATTTGGGAGTATTTTGTTAGGATTAATTATTGGGGGTAGTTATAAGGAATTTATTGGTTTATATATTATGTGTTAGTGGGGTTTTTCTTGTTAAGCAATAACAGAACAATTATTCACTAAACCAAGAAATCTCCCTCTGTCCCTAGCCAAATTCCCCCCTCTCTCTTCCCACTTGTGTCGTCTGTCTCCCTTTCCTCTTGGAGACCTACTTTTGCTTCCTCATCCCAACTTCTCTCTTTCTCCCCTTATCAAATCCCTAATTCGCACCACAATTCTCAATTCTCTATCAAATCCCTAATCTATGAACCCTAGACGTACACGCCTAGATCCGTATTTTTACAGTGGTATCAAACCTGGTTGCCGTGGGGTTCCTGAAGATGACCACTTCGACAGACAAGCAGCAGAAATAACAGAAGGATATCGTGGTGCTCAAGGATGTGTCAAAGGACGAGTTGTTTCTCAAGTCCCAAGAAAGTATGGTGGAGGTTTCGACACTAACTCAAACCACATCGCATGGTACCGGAAGGGCGATTGACGTGATAGCGTTAGGATCGAGACTGCGATCGCAAAGATGGTGAAGGACCTGGTCGAAAGGTTTGGGTAAACTTTGACCCTGGCGTTAGGGACGACCCTAAATGAGATCCTCGTGTCAGGGAGAAGCTGCGACAAGGGTTGGTTGTGGCGAAGGAAGCACCGGAGCAGCTGGCTTCGGTCAGTGAGGAGTCACTGTTGGACTAAGAGGCGAAAAAGGAGACTGCCGCGGTTGCTGATGCAGAGGCTATGGCCTCGATAGAGGGTGGCTCGGACACATGTGACATTGCGCTAGGGCTCATCAGGGGTCGAGAAGATGGCATCCTCGGCAACGAGAGGATCGAGAGGAGGCGGTGCGGAGTTAAGCCTCGATGTTGCGAATTGGGCATGCCCGAGGTTCAACGGGCGGGTCTGTTACCTAGCCCGATGACCTAGGACATCTTGGAGTTTCACGGATTGAAGAAGCAGGCGGGCTATGAAGGTGAGCCTTGGCCAGTGGGCAAAAGCGCTGGGTGGACTAGAATAATAGACTACCCGAGTTATACCGACATAGTCCCGGGGCGAGAAGATGAGGAGCTAAGTTTGACGGGGTAAGGAGGCATCTGGGCTGACTCGGGACTTTTAGGGGCTGCATCGGGTTGGTTCTCCTATCCAAACCTTATTTTGGCGATCGACCTAACCCGACCGGTCCGAGTGGAGTCGTTCAAATCTAGGCGAGTCAAACCTGAACCGAATCTGGTTGGACTGAACCGAATCTCCAGAAGACGGGCAACAATGATGATGGACAGTTCAGGGTAGCATGGGTTTACTAGGGGGAGTAGGGAGCATCTTTAGTACATTTTGATAGAAGCGGAAAATGTATCAATTATGAGAGTGATAAACAATATACTTTGAGTGTCATCATAAATATCCCACACTTGAACTGTGTTTGTCCCCAAGCAAACAGTACTTATGTAATTCATAGTCACTACACTAGTCTCTCTAGATCACATGAAATCCCTAGGTTAATTGATTCAAAGTAAGATTAGCAGTGAACTTGTAGGTTCATTGTTTCTTCACTTCGGATTAGCACTTTCTTGAGTTTCTTAGGTTGTGCTTGAATGAGTCCCCATATATAGTGAAATCATCCATGAATACCTCCACTATGTCATCAAGGTAACCATCAAAGATGGCTATCATGCATCTTTGGAAAGTAGCAGGGCATTACATACATCAAAAGGGATTCTTCGATAGGCAAAGGTTCAATAGGGGCATGTGAAAGTTGTTTCTATTGATCTCCAGGAGCAATGGGTATTTGAAAGTAACCAGACATTCATCATTGAAGCAATATAAGTCATTTCCAACTCATTTCTCTTGCATTTGATTGATGAATGGTAGAGGTAAGTGATCCTTCCTTGTAGCGTCATTAAGCTTCCGATAATCTATGCACACTCTCCATTTAGTTACTTTTCTTTGAGGAAGCAGATCACCATTATCATTAGGTAAAACGATCATTCCTCCCTTCTTTGGCACCACTTGAGTAGGGCTAACCTATTTGCTATCGAAGATGGGGTAGATGATTCCTGCTTGAAGTAGCTTGATTACTTCCTTCTTCACTACTTCTTTAAGATGGGGATTCAATCTCCATTGAGGTTATAGTACTGGCTTATGGTTCTCTTTAATTAGTAGCTTATGGTGTTCCTTAAATAGCTTAATCATTATTAAAAAAATAGCTTAACATTTGGTTCTTCTACAGCCGGGATAGGGTTGAATTGATAGTGACGGGTAACTTCTTTTCACCGACTAGGTATGCATCTTGTCCTTCTAGCTCACCTGCTTCATGTGTGGGATAATCTAGTACTTGGGAGTATTCTCCTTCTCCTTGTAGTAAGCATTGTTCTAATGGGTCATCAGTTTTTATATCATCGATGGAGAACACTGGTTTGAGGTAATCTACTTCTTGAAAGTCCACTTCATCCTCTTCACCCAGGTTGAGCAGCTATGCTTGTGCTTCGTTCTATGTAAAAGGTGGTGGCCTCTGTTCCTATTTTAAGTGTCAGGTTTTGGTTGTGCACGTCTATCAGAGCCCTTGCTATCGCGTCCAACTTCAACTAAAGCATCCTCATATACTCCCTTAGGATTTCTAGAAGTTTTATCTGCTAGTTGAATGGCCATTCGAGTAGTTGCTAGTGGTTTCTTTGTCTTGAGATGTTTAAAGACACATGCATGCATCACATTGATACTAGCTCCTAGGAAATCATTAAAGTTCATTATCTATATTGTGTAAGGCAAAGTAAAACTTCTTGGATCCCTTAGTTTATCTGGCGGAGTATGTTGTGAAACTACGACAGAGCAGTGTTCGCTGAGGCTGGCGGATGTTGCACATTACCATTCCTTCTTATGAGTTAGGAAGTCCTTCATATGTTTAGAATACTCCAGGATTCTTCCAATTACTTCTATTGAGGGCATTTCCACATGGAGTTTGGTTATCATTTCCATGAACTTCCTTAGCAAGATTTTCATCCGTCTTCTTGTTCTTCCTTAGCCTCTCTAGGTATGGGGCCTTCTTGTTCTTCTCGTGGTATCATCAGGGTATGGAGGCGATTTAGTTTCTATTCCAATTCTTTTCAATGCCTTAGTTGATTAATCAAACAACCGCTCCTCATAGGTTTCTTAGAAGTAAGTCATCTCTTGTTGTGTATCATTAATGATTAGAGGTTGATAACACCTAAAATTGGTGTTACTTAGACCTCATTCTCGAGGCCTTTGCAAGCTAAATCACTGTGTCTAGTTCACATATCAAGCAAGTTTCGGCCTATATTCGTTTCTATTCGTGAAACACCCATTTTGGCATAGGTTAGATTGATATGAAGGTTTTCATGGGGAAATCAACCCCACTTTAATGTATTTTATGCTTTTTTGGTTTTTTTCCATGGAATTTCAGGTCTTATATTCATTTACAATCGATCAAGAATCGATTTGGAGTTCATCCGGGCATGTTTGCATTGAATATGAGCAAGAAGGGAAGGAAAGGCATAGGTCACGACCATATCACGACCTTTATCAGGGCGTGATCATGTACGCGACTGTGAGCAGTATTCACAAACTTCAGCAAGAAGACAACAAGAGGCAGAATATCTCGACACCAGACTTGCAGCCAATTGGCTTTTCGACCGTGAAAAAGATCGTAGCCGTAACATAAAGATTACGGGTGTGATCTCATGGCGGAGGTCGCTATCTTTGCACTTGAAGATGATGGCAAGACTCAAAGTTTCAGACAATTGACGTGTTTAGGCCTATCAAGGCATGGTCACAGCCATGCCAAGGCCGTGACATGCCAGTAACCATCGGGAAGCCATAATCTGCTGCAAATTTTGTATAAATAGCCCCTTTTTGCACTTGACAAAGGAGAGCCGACCTAGAGGGAGAAATTAGGGTTCTTGGGTAGTTTTTAGAGAGATGAACACCTTGAGAGAGCTTGGGAATGGTCAAATCAATCCAGGTATCTAGGAGAAGGTGTAATCAAGGAGTAAAATGATGATTCCAAGCATTTCTCCTCTTCTTAATTTGTATTTCCTTTATCTCTTTAAGTGGTCATCCCTTTAGGTAAATGCTTGCCCCAGATAAATTGCAAAGCCAAAGTACCAAGGGGTGACACTCTACACCAGACACAATGCCAGCAATCGCTCATCCGGGAAGGAGCCGTCGATCTCTTCCACAAAGTTGATCATCGGAGGGGATTCCAGCCGTGAAAGGTGATCTGTAACAAAGCTCTCATGCTCCTGTTCTGATGCTACCCAATTTTAACAGGACCTTTGAAGTGGCGTGTGATGCATTAGGATTGGGAACTGGCACGATATTGATGCAAGAGAAAAGGCCAATTGCATATTTCAGCGAGAAGTTGAGTGAATCTACTCTTAATTATCCGACATATGATAAAGAGCTCTATGCATTGATTTGAGCTTTGGATACATGGCAACATTATTTGTGGCCAAAAAAATTTGTCATCCATAATGATCATGAGTCTCGCAAGTACTTAAAGGCCCTACATAAGTTTAACAAGAGGCATGCTCATTGGGTGGAGTTCATCGAATCATACCCTATGTGATCAAATACAATCAAGGCAAAGAGAACTTGGTTGTTGATGCCTTATCGAGAATATATACTTTGATCACTACTATGGATGAAAAATACCTTGGATTCGAGCAAATCAAAGGCATCTATGAGAAGGATTCTGATTTTTCAGAGATATATAAGCTATGTGAGAAGAATGGAGAATGGAAGTACTATCGACAAGAGGGCTACTTGTTTCGTGGTAATCAGCTTTGCATACCACGTACTTCACTTCAAGAGTTACTATTGCAAAAATCTCATGGAGGAGGATTGATGGCACACTTTGGTGTAGCAAAAATATTGAGCTGCTTCCAAGAGAATTTTTACTGTCCTCATATGAAAAGAGACGTGGAGAGCTTGTGTGCTAGATGCGTGGAGAGCAAGCAAGCTATATCGAAGGTGCAGTCGCCTGGATTGTACACACTTCTACCCATTCCATCGGCACCATGGGTCGACATTTTTATATATTTTGTGATGGGTTTGCCGAGGACTAGGAGAGGACGAGATTCTATCTTTGTGGTAGTGGATCGATTTTCAAAGATGGAAATTTCATTCCATGCAATGAGACTGACAATGCAGTTAATGTGGTAGATTTGTTCTTTAAAGAGATCGTGAGACTGCATACCATTGTGTTTGATCGAGATGCAACTTTCTTGAGCTACTTTTGGAAGATGTTGTGAAGCAAGCTTGGGACGAAACTCTTGTTTTTTACTACTTGTCATCCTTAAACGGATGGCCAAACTGAAGTGGTGAATTGAACTCTGTCCAAATGTTGCAAGGCGCAATCAAGAGAAACATCAAAACTTGAGAGACTGCCTACCACACGTGGAGTTTGCCTAAATTTTGAACACTAAACCTTTTGAGCTCGTGTATGGGTTCACTCCACTTACACCATTGGACTTGACACCTTTACCTTTAAAGGAGCAAATCAACATGGATGGAGGCATGGAGCCAAGAAGGTCGAGTATGTGAAGAATCTTCATGAGAAGGCACGATTAAACATCGAGAGGAGAACCGAGCAGATTGTAAAGATTATCAACAAGCATAGAAAGCCTTGACACTTCGAAGCAGGAGATTGGGTGTGGATGCATATGAGGAAAGAAAGATTTCTCCATCAAAGGAGATTCAAATTGCTTCCAAGAAGTGAAGGTCCCTTTTAAGTGATTTCGCAGGTTGGGGGTAATGCCTACAAGCTTGACCTACGAGAGGAGAATGCGATAACTGAAACTTTCAACGTTTGTGGATGATGATTCGGATTTGAGAGCAAATCCTTTTCAAGAGGAAGGGAATGATGAGGTCATCAATACCAAGCCTATTTAAGAAGAAGGCCCAACGACTGGTGCCAAAGCTAAGACTCTAAGAGAGACAATTGCAAGTTATTTTGGTCCAGAATTGAAGGATATGGTTGTGGAGTTACATGGAAGAAAGCCCATCACATTGCTACGATTTATAGACCAGAATGAATAGAAGATGGGATTGGGAGAAGTGAAGAAGGATTTGGCCTGGAATCTCCATGGTGTAAAAGGAATACAAGTGTGAAAGGAATCGTAGGTGTGAACACTAGAGGCGGGCTAATGATAACTAGCCTTTGATTGAAGGTCGTGCCAATTGAAATAGGTATTCCGAATTGGTATCCAATAGATTCCCATGTTCCGATCTTTCCATTTTTTACCCATTTCTTGGGGAGGGTCTCCCAACTATATTTAAAAATGAATTGGATAGATTCTATGGTTTAATGAGTCAAACTTATTTCCATTCCCTTAAGGATTTGACTTAGTCTTTTACTTGTTTGTTAAAGATTTGTTTCTTTTTCTTGTACGATTTGGTCATTTGTTTGCTTTCTTTTTATGGTTTGGATTTGAGTTAGAGAGTCTGTAAATAGGGAGCCGAGTTCCCCATTATAATCATCAAGCTTTCATTTAATCAAATAAAAGTGAGTTTATCTCGTGTTCTTTAAGAACGTTTTCTTAAATTTTCTAATTCGAGAGGTTTGAGTGTCTCTTACCAGCTAGAAGATCACATCTAGTTATGGTGAGTTCGACTATATCGATTGGCCTTTCCCATAGGGTCGGGATTGTTTGATCGATTTTCCACGATTATCCTTTATATTTGTGTTGTTGAAGAAAGAAGATAAGGCCTATAAAAAGTTCAACGTGTGCAACTCTGTTGTTTTGGTCCGAATTCGAGGTTCTCTTCGAATTAGGGTCATATTAGCCTATTATTGACGAAGATGATTATGATGAAGAGTCGAAAGTGGGTTGACCTCTACAAAGAAGAAAGAGATTGGTGGTTGGAGTACTTTTTGTGCTATGGGTTTTGTGTGGCGTGGCGGCGTTAATTTGCACATATCTGGGTGCTAGGAAATTTTTTGGATGTTTTTCAATTTGATGGGCGTCTATTTGTAAAGATTCTCGAAGGTAGTAGGAGGGGTGGATATAGAATTTCAGCACCACTGCCTTGTTTTCTAGCGGCATGGACTGTAATTACTTCACCATCGCGGCATTGATGGTTTCAACGTTCAACGTTTATTCTTGATCCCGACGTCATGCCATGAGATCAAACTCGTAGGGGATTCTAACAATGAACTAACGAAAAGTGGAGAAATTATTTTGAATTCTTCCTTTGGGATGACTCAACTTCATGCTTTTTCTCGAAGTTGGCCGACAGTGGGTAGACGCCCACCAAGAGTGGTGTAACTTTGGATCGTTGTTGCTAGAATGACCTTTTATTTCTTTGTATGCGTTTTGTGACAGGGCAGGGAGAGAAAAAGTAAATTAAAAGAATAATTTAAACAATTAATTAAAGTGGAAAGGAAAGGACATATTAGTGTTTTCTTTTCTCTTGCACTCTTTTTGGATGGAAATATTAACATAAGGGTAAATTTGTTATGTTTTGATAAATGAAGGTATGAAAGTGCAGAAAATTGATAGATGAATGTATATTTGTTAATTTATAATAATAGAGGGATATGAAATATTATTAGCCTATAAACATAAAACGATGAGAACTAGGTTTCAGGCCTGCAAAAATAGTGTTTTGAAGCCCATGAAGCGAATGATTAAAGCCCATCCTAAAAACGGAAGTTAGATTTGGGCCTAGCATAATGGACAGAACTAAAGGGTCTATAGCCTTTGCCGACCGCTTTTTCACGAACTGGTAAGGTTTGGACCTAGATCAGATGAGAGAAAGGGATCCAGAAAACTCCCACTATAAATTCTAACGCTTCAACTTCCGCTCAACACTGCCTCCCAAAACCCTAGAGTAATTCCGCAGAGGAACACTCCTTCGCCAAACCAGAAAATGGCCGTCGCCGCCGCCCGTCCCCTCGTCTCCGTCCAAGCCCTACCTTCAATGAACGATATGGCCGCCGATTCTCCGGCCACCGTTCCTCTACCCGACGTCATGAGGGCCTCTATCAGACCCGACGTCGTGAACTTTGTTCACTCTAACATGTCGAAGAACAGCCGGCAACCCTACGCCGTCTCCAAGAAGGCCGGCCACCAGACCTCCGCCGAGTCCTGGGGTACCGGCCGTGCTGTCTCTCGTATCCCCCGTGTTCCCGGTGGAGGAACTCACCGCGCCGGTCAGGGAGCCTTCGGAAACATGTGTCGAGGCGGTCGCATGTTCGCTCCTACCAAGATCTGGCGCCGCTGGCACCGGAGGATCAACGTCAACCAGAAGAGGTACGCCGTCGTTTCCGCCATCGCCGCCTCGGCAATCCCTTCTCTGGTGATGGCTCGCGGCCACCGGATCGACACTGTCCCCGAGCTGCCCCTGGTGATTAACGACTCTGCCGAAGGGGTCGAGAAGACATCCACCGCCATCAAGCTGCTGAAGGAGATCGGAGCTTATGCTGATGCTGAGAAGGCGAAGGACAGCGTGGGGATTCGTCCTGGAAAAGGTAAGATGAGGAACAGGAGGTATATTTCTCGCAAGGGACCTTTGGTTGTGTATGGAACTGAAGGCGCTAAGCTGGTGAAGGCCTTCCGCAACATTCCTGGAGTGGAAGTGGCCAATGTGGATCGTCTGAATCTTTTGAAGCTTGCCCCTGGTGGCCACTTGGGTCGATTTGTCATCTGGACTAAGTCGGCTTTTGAGAAGCTTGACTCCATCTATGGCTCCTTCGACAAGGCTGCTGAGAAGAAGAAGGGTTATGTGCTGCCTAGGGCTAAGATGGTGAATGCTGATTTGGCTAGGATTATCAACTCTGATGAGGTTCAGTCTGTGGTGAAGCCCATCAAGAAGGAAGTTAAGAGAGCACCATTGAAGAAGAATCCTCTGAAGAACTTAAATGTGATGCTCAAGTTGAACCCATATGCCAAGACCGCTAGGAGGATGTCCTTGTTGGCCGAGGCCCAGCGCGTGAAGGCCAAGAAGGAGAAGCTCGACAAGAAGAGGACTCCCATCAGCAAGGTATATGATCACTTTCTCTTAGTCTATTATTCCTTTATTGCTGTATGGGTTAAAGGCTTGGTTACATGTAATTGCCTTCTCCACATTGTTCCACATTGTTAATCTAATCAAATAGGATCTAGGTATGTAGTGAGTATGATTTTTAACAATGCTCTGTTCATAATGTGTGCAATCTACCAGTCTTTTTTGTTGCTGGATGATAGTAGGGTCGGTCTTTTTTGTTGCTGGATCTAGGTATTGGATATGTTTTTTGTGTTTGGGTTAGCAGTTTGGAATTGATTTCATGTAAGGTATATGATCATTTTCTCTTAATCTATTACATAAATTTAAGGGTCATGGGATTGATTTCATGTAATTGGTTTCTCCACATTGTTGATATAGTCAAACAGGATATAGGTGTGTAGTGTAGTATGACTTTTAAGCTTTAACAATACAAGCTTCACACTATTCCTGTTTTGGTTGGTATAATCAAATAGGATCTTAGCCTTTTTGTTGTTGGATGATAATAGTGTTGGTCTTATGCTGCCGGTAGCATACTGAACGGAAAATGGTAGTTAGGCAATTGAATTATGGTCTAAGATATATACATATAGAGGTATCTAATTTTTTTGTTCTATTGCTTTTGGTATTGGATGCCTTTGGTGTTTGAAACTTTAGGTTTGGTTAGCCTAGCTGTTTGGAATTCACAATCAGCTGTTTATGTTGGACCTGGGCTAGGGTTTCATTAAAGTTGGATTGGAAGATTTTCTTGAACCAGTATAATGCTGTTGTCCCGTATTGGTTATTGTTGTAATTGCTGGCAGTGCCAAAGCTTGTTGTTTGCATTTGTTCACCAATTCTCTGCAAGCAGTTGATCTGTTTTGGTTCTGAAATTGTTGTGTTTGTGTAAACCTCCTAACTATTACGTTAATGAGCATTGGTATATCCTGCATGACCAAAAAATGAAGTGCATATATTTTATAGTACTCATTTGTTTCCTGTTTGTCATTCTGGGGGTGACTTTGGCAGGAGGAAGCGTCTGCTATCAAGGCTGCTGGAAAGGCCTGGTACCAAACTATGATTTCTGAGAGTGATTACACCGAGTTCGAGATCTTCTCCAAGTGGCTCGGGGTTTCCCAGTAAACTTCTGGTAGTTTGTTTGTTTGAGTCATGCTTTATCCGTTGTCTACAAGTTTTGTTTGTTGGATGTTAGGAATTTTTATTTTGGTGGAGGAGGTGAATGACAAGGTGGTTCCTTATTTCAGGAGGATTATTACTATCATTTACATTACTATCATCGTTAGTTGTTTTATGGTATGTTATTATGTTATAATGAGATGTTACCAGTGTACGGTTCTTTGGTTTTTCAGTCTTGGGATGGCTAAACCCTGTTTTGTTTGAGATTAATTACCTTGTCTAGGCTTAAGGGTGCTTGATTACATAGAAGGCACATACTGGTGTGATGTTCTGTGTCCACATTTTGGTTTCTGGTGAAAATGGTGGTAACAACTTGTAGCTTTAGTCGTCTAACAGAGGGGTTTTTCTTTTCTTATATATCATACAAGTTGGTGAGATTGCCATTTTCTCCCGCATCTAGTTGAATAGAGGATGTAGGGGTTTGGATGTTTTGCCTTGATTCTAGCTACAAGAGAAAAATGATTCTTCATATTCAAATACCCTTTCTTGATCTATCATTTAGCTACTAATCAGTTTTGTTTATGAAAATCCATGTAGTTCCAATTACTGGTCGAGGGACTAGTTCTCAGACTTGTACACTTTCAAATTGGTTTAGCTCTACTTGCATTAGCATGATTTCAATATTTATCATTTACATTTTCCTTCACATTATTTGGTTTAGTTGAGGACAGAAGTGCACAAAAAAATGCAGAAATTGCTAGTATTTTTTTTATATATATAGTGAATGGTCGTTTCATTAATACGAAACAAGGTGTACATAGTTGTAGCAACAACTGAAAGGAAGGAAAAAAGCCCATTGAGCAAGAAGTCTAAACATATAAGCTTATAAAAGCCCAAAAGCCAAACGAGGGCCAAATGCCTGATCCTAACATTTGGATCCCCAAAGCCTACTGCTAGAAACCCTAACTCAGTCAGCCCAATCATTGAGTAGTGGCTACCAATTGCATCCCCACTCGAAACGCTTGTCGCTGCTACCGATTGCTAGTAGATGTGTTGCTCTTGCTCTAGTTACCAGTTGAGTTTATAGATCACATATCAACTGCGGAGCTGGATGTCGCTTCTGATAATGAGGTGCAGGATTGCTCCTAGCTCCTTGCTCTTTATTCTCAATTTTTATACAGAGTGGGAGGTTTTTTCTTTAGTAACATTTTCTAGATTTTCTTGTTGATCACTAACTATCTATGATGGAATTTGGGTTCTTTTACTATGTCAGTTTGTTTATTAAAGATTCTATAGGGATTACTTCTATTCGAGCAGCCTTAGAAGATTGTAGAATCAGATTTTGTATCAAACTTTCCTGGATGATAGTGTTGAAAATGAAGCAATTACATCCAAAGGGGTGAAAGTAGCTCAAGGTCGCTCGCTAAGTGAAGGATTCTCCCAGCTAGATGAGAAAGCAATGGAGACTCGAGGACATCACCTTATCCACCATTATGTCGACTTGCTGTCATACTTGATTAGTTCGTCAAGGGTTGATGGTGTTGGGCTCTATGATGGGAATGGTCCTGACGCTGAAAACCGAGCAATATGGTTGCAGGGTGGAGTTGTTGGGGAACAGAAGGGTAATTGATGTACGAGTTTCTTGGGTTGAAGTCTATTGAAGACTTGTTTGGACAACTCGTGTAGGCGTACAAGGTCGAGGATGCTATGAACCTGTTAGAAAGTAGAAACACATTTATTGCTTATTTTTGTCATTTGAGATTATTTATCGATTTCAGACGTTTTGCAATTCTTTGAGGAATTTCGGGAATAATTAGGGAGTAGTTTATCAAATCATATTAGTGGGGTATGAAATAGTTATTAGTAGGACTATATAACCTGTAATTAGTAAGATTTACACATTAAGCAATTACAGACGAAATTATCAAACCCTAAGCTCTTCCTCTCTCTTATACTCTCTCCTGCGAGATTCCTCTCTTCTTCCCTAGTTGCTGTCGCAGCTTCCCATTTTCTTCCCCCTCTTATTCTTCACTTCAATCCCAATCCTATTCCCCAGCTAGATCAACGCTTAATGGATCAAGTTAATTCCCCCAATCCTACACAAATCCGAGAACTCCTTGATCTCGGTTTCTAATATTTGGTATCAAATCCTGGTTGGCGAGATCAAGTTCGTTAAAACTCTCCACCGGGACCGATTTGAAGAAAGCTCAATGATGCACTATCGGGTTTTGGAAGAGACACTAGTTGAGCCCAACAGGTGTGGCGTCGTTCATTGCACTATCGGGTTTTGGAAGAGACACTAGTTGAGCCCAACATGTGTGGCGTCGTTCATGCACTATCGGGTTTTGGAAGAGACACTAGTTGAGCCTTAGTTGGGTACTCCTACAAGGTGATGCTAGTTCGTCTCTAGTACAAGTAAAAGTTTCACCCGTAGAACTGAACACCTACTCGAGGATGTGTTTTTAAGGGCACGGATAGAGCTTCCAACCCCACTTAAATTCATTGACCCTCCACACGAGTTAAGGTAAAGGAGTAAAAAGAAGTACTCTGACAAGTAACAGAGATACATTACTCTTGCTCAACCAATAAGGGTCGACCTTGAAAAATACAGATTGGAACCCCGCCGATGAAAAGGAATGGAAAAGAAAAGAAAAGAGTAAGGAAAAAGGGGTTCCAACGAATCTAATGAAAGGAAAAGAGCACCCGAAAAGATGAGTTTATGGTTCTTTGTGTTAGAGAGTCTCTTCATCCACTAATCATTTGTCTTAAGTCTAGTGTTTTGCATGATCCCAACTCGGGACTGAAGTTCTCGCCGAGGGAGTTAGGGGATGTCTTGTGTATCGGCTGACCTCGTAAATCACTATGTGGTCTAGAAAACCCACCACCGACGATGGTGGTTGAATGTTGTTGTAGAGGTCTGGTGAGCTGCATTGGTATGAGTTAGGTTTGCTTGGGGATAAGCAAATAGTTAAGTGTGGGAAATTTGATCGCTTCAATATTTGCACATGTTTTTCCCAACATTCTTAAACTGTCTGAGGTTCGATTCTCTCATTTTTAATCGATTTCACGCTAGGTTGTGCTTTTACATCGTATTTTAAGACCTGGATCGAAAATGAAGGTTTGGGGGCAAGTTTTAGGTCAAAATAGAGAGCGGGTGAGATATGGGAGATGGAGGATCCGATTCCCCGGTCAGGCTATCCAATCCTTGATCGGGGATCAGCATCAGAGACTGGGGTTGGCAATCAGGATACCCTCCGGTCGGAATGCTTCATTCCCCCGATTGGGGATCAGGAGTAATGTTCGGGGAATCTCCCCTTTGCATAACCAGTGGAAACACGGCGTTTTGAAGATCCTCAGTCAAGCATCCAATTCCCCGGGGGAGTATGACCGGAAAAGGTCATATCGCGTTTACACAAGCTCAACTCGAGATGTTGGAAAGGAGATCAATTTTGGAGAGCTGAAACAGAGTTTTAGGAAGAGAAAGTGACGAAGAGTGATCCCTAAGAGCCCTAGATCAAGTCTTCCTACCATCGGAGTCGATTCAAGCCTTAAGAAGTGACGATTAACAACTTGGAGAAGATTTCTTCCGTCTACACGATGACTCTACATCCAACATTTCTCTTCACTCTCTTTCTATGGAGTAATCCTCTCTATCACTTTGGAATGTAAGAATCCTAGAGTTGTATGTTAGGAAGAGTTGTATGAACCCTTTGTCTGGAATGATTGATTATCTTTTATCCAATTGAGCCATTATGCAGAATGCATGAGTCCTTATCAAATTTTTGTGATTCCTACTTTAACCTAGAATGATAGTCTCTACATAGGTTAAAAGAGAAGTGTGAATTGGAGGTAGTGAATCGACTACTTTAGTAGAGAAGTCTATTCACTGCTCTGTAATGGTGTAAAACCCAGTAGAGGAATAAGGTTGGTTACCTGATACCGGTGGAGGTAAGTCGCCCACTGGGCATTCTAACTAAGAGGGCCTAGAACACTTTAGTCGAGACTCTAGACCGTTTGAGAACTTTCCGCAATAAAAGAATCAATCAAATTGAGTTGGGAGACTTACAATTTGTCCTAACAGATCTAGGGGGACTCATACCTGAGTGGACCTTCTTAATATGAGAACAACTGTTTGCCTTATTTCTTCTTGTTTTAGTTTAAAAATCAACTTCACTTGACTTTCACGGCTGGATAATAGAATTGCACGAGTAACTAGTACACCTAGAATTTTGGTTGACATATAGAACCTGAACCACTATATTGCATTCCTAGATTACGAATGTACTTCGTCCTACTTTAGTTGTGTTGGTAAAAGCGAGTCAAAGTTCCTTATTCACAACAGGTACCTTGCAGACGAATGATTCATAGCATACCCCTCCATGTGAGGGTGGTCCCCACTGACAAAAGGGAAAAATACATCTGCAATATTTTTCAGGGATGTCGGAATCACGAGAGATACGTTTATGGTCTTTTTGTTCATGGATCGCTATGACTCATATTCAATCGATCAGCATAGAGACTCTAACCTTCCTGGGTATATATCCCTCACAATGGGTTACACATTTATATCCCATGCACTTAAATTTCCTCATCTCTCATCCCTGTATAGAGTTTCCTTCACTGACTTGATCGCCGGAGAGCATACTCGGGGCACTCAGCCTAGGGTTTGTTCTATCTTATAGGTCAGCCGACCGAGAGCCGATTGGATAAAATGAATGCACCATCCCAAGAGGATGATGGCTCCGGAAAAAAAAAATTATAATGATCTAGTTCTTTTACCGAAGCCAACCCAAAGCACCTCGCCCCGAACATTACGTCTTGTAACTTTAACCAAGGATTGTGAAATTGTACTAGAGTTATACCGAAAAAGTTCACAGTAGGATATTATGTACTAAAATCATGGTTTAACCGTAGTTCAACTATTTCCTACCACTTAAACCGCCTACCTTTTAAGACGCGATATCCAGTACTTCCTATTTGACCGACAGGTATGGTAGGTTCCTTAATCAATGCTTCAAACTAAATCAGTTAAGTTTTTCAAGTTACACATCCATATTTTCTAAGATAATTTTGGTATATAATAATGAATAAATAAATGAATATCAAATATTGACCAAAAGTTTACTCATTAAAACATAGTTTACTCATTAAAACATTTTCTTACTAAGAGTTTATGATTTAGATAATTTTGGTTGATATATATGTTGAGCAATTTTTATAATCTCAAAACAACATATGAAATTTACAAATTTATATAATCTAATTATTATTATTTTTCAATGTTTAAGCTAAAATTAATTTTGAGTGTATGATCGCATTTGCTCCCAACCAGTCAAGTGGGGAACGGATCAGATCAATAACATTAGGGTGAGTAACCATGAGTAACCCGTCCACATTAGCATATCACCAAATCTTGGAGGTTCTTGGATTGTTTACCACTAGGGGTGTTCGTTGAGTGTGGTGAAAGTTCTTGGATTTTGGGGTGTGGGTTCTCCTGCTCGCCTTCACCAAGATTTGGTTCCTTGGCTACTTCTACTTCTTCAGCTCGGAGCAATCTGATTCTCATCCCTGACCACCGCCATGTAATCCCACATCCGAGATTCAATGTGTTGAGCGTCTTCGAGCGACTCCCAGGAGGCGGCTTATAACATTGCTGTGTTCAATAGCCATGGTTTCGGTCGGTTCGGACGAGCTGAAAGTGCTTGGTGCTACTTTATTTGGTTTGGTTGCAAGAGAGATTTTTGTGTTTACTGGTTGTGGATCTAAGTGTTTCAGATCCAATGTAGAGGTTGGTTCATTTGGTGTTCTGTGCTTCCCCTTTTCTATCTCTGAAATCCCGTTTGTTGCAACTTTTGCTTGGATTTCTTTTGTAATCGATCTTACAAAGAACAATGCAAGTAATCCCATTGTAAAAAAAAAAAAAAATAGTCAAGTGGTACTATGTGGTAGCAGCTAGCAGGGAGCCAAAATGTCACAATTTTGCCACCTTTGGAGTGGGAGTGGGCGGGACCCACAAACAGCTGGCGAACTTTTAGGTGGGAGGATTTATCGACGTGTACGGATATTGCCCACTCGAACCTAAGACATCCGTAAGTGCATGCTTTCCATACTACATCATTCGTCCATTCTTCTTCCTTTTTTTAAATAAAATTGAAATCCCGATATTCAATAAAATATAATACCATATATATTTCCCCATAAATACTATATATAATAAAACGCAAAGGGACAAAAATCCCATGACTGTTTCTCTCACTGTCGAGTCTGGGAACTCCCCCCACAAGAAATCAGTAGTACTGCTCCTACCTTGTAGCAATTTGGAATTTTGTTGTTATTTATTTCTCTGTTAATTAATAATAATAATAATGTTTTATTATTTTTTACAAGTGGTTAATAATTAGGGATGACAAAGGATCGGGTCGGGAGCGAGTAGTGTATATTTGTTACCCTATCCAAAGTAGTTCGAGTTTTACCCATACCCACATAAGAAACAGGTAGAAAATCAAAACCATGTCCATACCCGTTCGGGTTTCGGGTATCCACGGTTATCCATGGATATTAATTTCTCTTTATAACTCCAACCAATATGTTAATATTCACACGTATTATCACATTATATAAGAGGAAAAGTATGACAATAATTCACTAGTATGAAGAAATTAATTAAAACAACACAATTTCATGAAAATGTTATATTTATATGCTAAATATAAAATATGTTCAAGACAAATAATGATTATTTCTAGATCAAATACATATGCATGAGTGTAATCGGGCGGGTTCGGGTTGGATAGTGAGAAAACCATACCACCCATTACCCGCAATATTCGGGTTCGGATTTTACCCGTACTCACTAAAACTTCTTCGGATTCGGATTTTACCCTACCCAATTAGGTCGGATTCGAGCGGATACCCACGGTTACGAATATTTTTGCCATCTCTATTAATAATAAATAAAAAAAATGTTTCGGTTGTGCTCCAAGTTCACACTTTCATTTTTGTTTCTATCAGCTCCTTCTTCTTTTTTTTTCCTTTCTTTCCTTTTCTTTCTTCTTATCCTCCGCCAACCTATTTCATCGAGTAAAGAGACAAGATTAAGGATCGTAAATTACCTGAGGAAAATCTAAACTACAGGCGCAAAAAAATATCCGAACTAAATTGTCATTTTCAGTTGACAAACAAAGCAGTATATAGCGATTTGTTTAATCATGAAGGAGAGTGTTTTATTTGGTGTGATGAGGTGCAAAATCAAAACGGTGCACTTGTTCTACAATTTCCACAACAAGAGTGGAGTTTAGACGACTCCTCAGTCCTCATTAATTGGCTCTAATCATCTCAATCTGGTCAACGTGGTTTCTCATCTTTCCTTTTCTCATGTCACTCTCGAATTTGTGATATTTTGATTTTTTTTTTTCATCTAATAAATAATTTAAAAAACATTGTTATTTAATCTTAAATCTTATCAAGGGTTGATAATCGGTTCGGTTCGGTTAGTCGGTTATCGATTAATCATTAAATACTTTGTGTTCACCGTTAACTACACCATTTAAATTAGTCGGTTAACTGTAATCATATAGTCGGTTCTCGGTTATTTTGTCGGTTAACCGAATAACCGTTAACCAAGTGATTCGGGAAAAAAATTAATTGCCTAAGTTTCAAAATAAAATTCCCATAATACCACACTTAAAAAAAAAACCAAGTTTGGCACGTTTCGCCACACAGACAATCGAACCACATAAAAGTTCATAATAGAGAGTTCGTTAGCGCATTCACCCACTTGGTGAAAGCATGTATATCAAATGAGGAGTTTGAGATGCGATGGGAGTGTTTGATTACTGCGCGTGGTTTGTATGCAAATAAGTGGTTGCGGGATTTGTACGCTGACAAATTACTTTGGGCAAAGGCATACTTGAAGGATATTTATTCCGGTGGACTCCAATCAACCCCACGATGTGAGTCATGTAACCATTGGATAAATGAGTATGTGGGAACTCAATACAGCTTGCAACGTTTTGTTCAGTGCATTGATGAAGCACTAAAGGGGATGCGTTTCACGAAGGTGCGGGATGATTATTCTTCTAGGCACACGAGGTTGGTCTGCAAGCATGCCCTTCGCACATGGGAAATGCAAGCTGAAAGTATCTACACACATCGTATATTTTCTATCTTTAAGTCTGAACTAGAGAATGAAGCTTCTTATGTATTAACGAAGACAATAACTAAATCAGATGGGACAGAGACATTCATCCTGAAGCTGCATGAACCCGAATCGGATAAGGAGGTTAACATTTACTACGACCAATCAACATCTAAACTGTGAGTGTACATTATTTGAATCTAAGGGGGTTCCATGCAAACATATGCTTACAGTCATAAAGAATAAGGGACTTACAGCACTACCCTCGACGTGGCTCAAGTTTCGATGGACCCAAAATGCAAAGACACTATCTTGTAATCCTAGAGCTGGAGGTGATGTGGCAGATAAAGTTGGTCGACTGATAAGACATGAGGGATTGTCTCTAAAGTGTAAGCGTTTGTGTGACATCGCGTGTGGTAGTGAAGCTTCTTTTAATCGTGCCTCTAAGGTGTTGGATGACCTTACTCAATGGGCAATTGAGTTTTCGAGGGCGAGAATGGACACCACTGCACCTGCAAACCCTCCAACACCCCTTCCAAGTGTGAAAGACCCAAAAATTGGGAAGACCAAGGGAACAATCAAGTTAGCACGAAGTGCATCCGGCAAAAGAATAAGAAAGTGTTTGAAATGTGAGAAATTTGGTCATTTTCGCCTGAAGTGTAAAAAAAAAAGAAGCCAAAAAAGCATAAATTTCTAGTACCGTTTTTTAGAAGTTTATATTTTGTAATTATGATTGCAGCGTTTTATTTTCGAATTATCTTCATAATATAAGCGTTAGTTGATTGTTGGTTTATATTAACTGGAACAGAAAAAATGATCCACCTGATATAAGAACAGGTCGACCATTTGTTAGGCGTGGTCTAGGAGTGGGCAACGGGATGGGACGGGATACCCGTCCTGTTTAAAACGGGTACTCAGTCCCATTTGGAGAGCAATCACCATCCCATATCCCAAACCCGTACTGATTAACTGATCCCATTACCTATACAGAACGGATAACGGATACCCATACTACCCGTAAATACACCGAAGCCGGCCAGCTCCCACCTTAGACCTCTTATTGTTCATAACTTACGAAACACAACAATGCTCACAAGTCGCAGTGGTAACTGGTATAATGGTACTAGTCAAAACCCAAGCCAACTCCAAAGGTCACACCAATAGTCCCAAGTCCCAACCAAACAGCTAAACACCCATAGACCACAGTCTCTCTTTCTCTCTCTTTCTCTCTGCCTGATTACTGATTCCGCCCCGGCCGCCCTCCTTCCACAGTGCTAGCCACGCCAAACAAATGCAAACACCACTCCCCTTGCTTTCACCTCTCTTGCTCTCGCTCTTCTCCACTCTCCTACTTCCTCTCTTGTTCGCTTTGCTCCTACCGTCCGCTCCTCCTCTTTCTGTCTCTGCGTTCCTCGCCATGGATGCGCCCTAGACGGCTACCAATTTCCTTTCCACTTTCCCCACCCTTCCATTTTCATATATATCCATCCCTCCCCCCAACCTCCCTTCCTCTCTTCCATATTCTTCTCCTCCTTCTCCTCCTCCAATCTCTCAGTCACAGCTCCACCGCTTCCTTTTGTTTTTCCCTCCCTTGATAGTGAAGCAATGTTGGTGGATCTCAACCTCAGCGTCGTTTCCCCTTACCCCGGCGAGATGGACGGCGGGTGTGGTGGGAATAACAGAAAGCGGGGTTTGTTGGACTTCTCGTCGTCTAACAACAATAACCAAGTGGAGAGCTCCGGGAGCTTCGATTCCTCCTCCGTCGTCAATGTCGACCGGAATGCCGGCAATGCTGCTGCTCCCGGCGACGAGGACTCCTGCTCCAACACGGGCGACGATGTGTTCGGCTACAGTTTCCGTATCTTGACGGAGCAACAGCGGGACATGAAGAAGATGATGGCACTTGAGGATGAGGATAACAATAATAATAATAATAATAATCATGATGGGACTATTCAGCTCTTCCCCGTCGGCGGAGGCGGTGGGGGAAGGGGAGGTGGAATCGACGCGCTGGCTCACTGTTTGCGCTCCAGGAGGCAATGGCTGGATCTCGGTGGGAGGGAGGTTGAGTATGGCGGTCTGGCAGAGAAGATTGTCGCTCAGGTTCAGCAGCAGCAGCAACAGCAACAGCAGCAGAAGCCTCCGGCGAAGAAGAACCGCCGTGGTCCTCGCTCCAAGAGCTCCCAGTATCGCGGCGTCACGTTTTACCGGCGGACCGGCCGCTGGGAATCCCACATTTGGTAAGTTCTCCCTTCGCTAGTTCGTTGGTTAATCCGATTGATCTGTTGGGTGTTTCTGTCACCGAGAATTGACGATTGGGGGTTCCTTCTTGTAGGGATAGCGGGAAGCAAGTTTACCTTGGGGGATTCGACACTGCTCATTCTGCCGCTAGGTAGCCTCGAACCAGCCATTGTTGGTTCATATTGTTTTCTTGATCACGTTGCTGACTTCTGGCCCAATTTGATGGTTACTTCAGGGCGTATGATCGAGCTGCTATCAAATTCCGTGGAGTCGATGCTGATATCAACTTCAATGTCAGCGATTACGATGAGGATATTAAGCAGGTAGAGACTTACTAGGATTTTTTGGATGGGGTTGCACGCAGGACCGAATCTCGTTTGTTTTACAATAGGATCAGTTGCTAAATTGGGTTTCTGCTCCTGGGTTTGATTGGAAACAGATGAGCAATTTTACCAAGGAGGAATTCGTTCATATCCTTCGTCGCCAGAGCACTGGATTCTCAAGGGGAAGCTCCAAGTACAGAGGAGTGACACTCCATAAATGTGGGAGATGGGAAGCTCGAATGGGCCAGTTTCTGGGAAAGAAGTGAGTGGCCACTCTATCCCTTTCGTTCAGTTTCTTTGATGATTACTTGATTCTGGATTGACATGGATGCCTTGTTTGATTGGTGCTTCGGACCATCGATTTGTGCATTTGCTTGCTTGCTCATTCTAGATATAGTAGGCTTCTATGAAATGAAACTGGGAATTTGAAAGAATGAAGAGAAAGATAAAAGAGTGCTGCTAGTTGGGGACCTGGTTTTTTTTTATTGGGGTGGTAATTTGATTCCTTGACCTGCAGGTACATATACCTTGGCCTTTTTGATAGCGAGATAGAAGCCGCGAGGTCCTTGTTATGAACCATTAATCGGATCTTAGAGTCGTCTTAACAATCTTGACTGCTTGTAACCTTAATTTTTGCCAACTTGGGATTGAGATGGTTTTGGTTGGTTTTTCTCTGGAAACCAGGGCCTATGATGAAGCTGCCATCAAATGCAATGGGAGGGAGGCTGTCACCAATTTTGATCCCAGTTCATATGATGGAGATATCACATCTGAGGTGATCAAGCCTGAAGGTACTTGTAATATGCTTACTACGACATCTAATTACTAGATAGATACCGAATCCCGTTGATTATATTACATATGCTTACAAGAATCCTCCATGATTCTTCTGTGACAGATCAAAGTCTCGATCTGAACTTGGGCATTGCACCTCCTGATGCAACTGAATCCAAAAGGCTAAACAGCAGTGTAGGTGGTGGCTTTTGCCTACCAGGTGGCCTGGATTCTATGTGCTTGGACAAGATCCCCAGGGTAATACTCTATACACTTCTACATCAACATCATCTGAACAATCGATATACATCTCAAAGAATTTTGGATAAAAAAAGGGTATTGAATATTGTTTGCTCTCTTTTGATTTGCAGATCTTCAACTCTACTTCAGCAGCAATGAACAGTCATCAACTGTCCCGTGGTCCTGCCATGGGGGCTGGTCCAAACCCCGGTTCCTTTCCTATCTCTAAGGTGATTCTTCCATCTTCTGCTACGTTGATGCATGTAATTTTGCTTGGCTGAAACACTCGGCCTAGCTTCTATCTTAAGGTGGATCTTAACTGAGATGTCCCCATTTTGGTTATAAATTATGAAAGCAGGAAAGAGCAATGGAGAAGAGGGTGGGGATGGACCCTATGCTAAACTGGGCATGGAAAATGCATAGTCCATACGGCAGGGAAAACATCGCACTGCCATTCTTCTCTACTGCAGCATCATCAGGATTCGTCGCTTCTTCGACAGCTACTACGACTACTACTACTGCACCGATTTCAGCTGCAGCAGCTCCACAACTTCACTTCCCAAAATCGACCATCCTCCACCACCATTACTCTCCTGCGTCCGGCACCATCTTCTGAGTTCTATAGCTAGCATGGAACGGGAGAAAATGATCCCAGCTGGAAGTTTCATCGACTCGTCTAACATTTTAGCCATAAGTATCAGAACCTCCTTCTCCTTGTCTCCTCAATTTTTACTAGGGTAAAAAGCTGAGAGAGTGTAATTTGATTGGTACGCTCCAACTCCAATTGCAACTATGTTCTATGTAGGAGAGATGTAATTTTCCCCTCCCCTCCCTTTATCCCCCAGCTTTTTTTGCAAAGCTCCTCTATCACAATTGGAAATTTTTTGACCTTCGCGGCTCTGTGTAAATATATGAATCAATTGTCATTTCCCACCTACTGTTCGTCTGTGCCTGCATTCTCCACTACAGGGGTTATAACATCAAATTGCAAATGCCTTCTCTTCCCACCAATGTAAGATAGCCTAACGGTAAAGCTGCTGCGACAGTAAAGGTTTGGGTTGCAGATCCAGGTTCGAATTCAAACGAGGCCCGTTGGTGTTCCCAGAAGTATAAGGCCTGCTGGGGGCGAAGCTCCATTGACGTCGAATCGAGTGCAATCTCATCGTTTCCGGGTGTGTCCCTTGTGTTGCTGCCGATCTAGACGACTAGAGCGCCCCCGTCGATTCGAATCCCCTTGCTTCCTTCAATGGCTTCTTTCTTTTGATTGTGGAACCAGAGGTGGAAAAGAGATGGTGCGGAGAAGAGAGGTCGGACCTCCTTTCCAGAAGAAGAAGAGATGGTGCGGACCTCCTTTAATTAATAATTAATTAATTAATAAGTTATAAAGGTTGACCGGCTGATGTGGCAATTTTCGTTGACTGCCACGTCACAATATCTCTTCCACATCTGCGTAGGATATGCCAACTCACCATCATCTAACGAAAGTGTTAATAAAGACTTAACGGTTAGCTAATAATTTGTATTTTGATAATTGTGACTATTATTTCTCGTTGCTTAATAGTTCTAGCTAATATATTGTATTTATAATTATGTTAAGAGTAATGATAAAGTAATTTTAGTTTGATTATAGAATACAAGAGCTAGACCGAAAATGGACAAAAATGAATTTGAGAGGTATTTTCCGGGGAAATTAATGATGTAGACTTCTTCTTGTTCATACTTTTTTTGGGATGTCTTCATATTCATACTTGTTGGTTTGTTGCTATGCCAAACCAATTGACCGCTACATTTTGGTTAAGGGTTATAGGTATAATATGCTCCTCTACTATAACGTTTTATCAAACATGCTCCTCTATTATTTTTTACATCAAACATTCCCCTGTACTTTGGAAAACTTATCAAACATGCCCTTTTGCTAAAATTTCCATCCAAAAATCGTTAACCAAGACCGAACTTTGGTTTGGCGGCCCAAATATCTAAAATATCTCTAATAATTTCACTCTAGAGTTTTTTTTGTTCTTTTGTATAGCCAAATAATTATAAAAATTTCACTTTGATGAGACCTAGAGAAATAAAGCAAGGATCAAAGCTGACATTTCCCCTCCCATTTATAGATGTCAGGTCGTCTAAATCTCGGTTCAACCATGATTGACGATTTTTTCAATGGAAATTTTAACTGAAGGGCATGTTTGATAGTTTTTCCAAATTACATAGGCATGTTTGATGTAAAAAATAGTAGAGGGGCATGTTTGATAAAACGTCATAGTAGAGGGGCATATTATACTTATAACTCTTTTTGTTAATCATGAATCTTGGGCACTTGTTTTGGCCAATACCAGTTGGGAAATTCCTACAATACTTTGAAGTTACTGTAACTTGATGTTTTTGACCTGTTATAACAGGTTTCACAAGTCGTATTACGTAAAAAATAATAGGCATTACGTAATGTGTGTTTATCTTACGTAATATTTGAAAATATCATTACGAAAATCTTATGTAATAGACACTCATTTACGTAATGAACTTGTTAATTCTGTGCAAATTTTTTAAAATTTGATTTAAAAATAAAGGTCCAAAGTGATATCAAGGTGGTAATGAGTGTAATCGGCCGTATGAACTTTTTTTCTTCCATGTTAAACAATAAAAATACTTGCCGATTAAAAAAAAAGTAGAAAAATAAAAGGGCTTTTAATATCACCCTTTAGTTCTTACACACTCAAAATCCAGATCACGTTATGCACCGGACCCTAGACCAATATTATGCGATTACATCTAATTTTTATCAATATTTCATAGTTTTTCATTCTAAATTCAGATACACTTATTTTCATGCAATCCTTTTTGGTGGATTTTACTCTGTGTTTACAAAAATGAGTGTATAATATGCGCTAGGAGTGATATTTGGTTAGCGGTTAATTCATTAAACTATTCAATAACCAATGATCAATGATTATTACCGTTAACCAACCAATTATAAGTAGTGGTGAGATTATAAATAAGTCGGAATGACTTGCGTGTATTAACCAATTATAAGTTAGTCGTGAGATAATCGATAGACTGTAACGGTTTACGTGTAACCGATAATCGAATAATCGGTTCACCAACAACTAACATAGTATATATATATATATTTTTCTCTTCCCCATCGGCCATGTCCGTCACAAATAAACTATTGATCTTCGAACAAACAATCTCCCCCTTGCTCCGACCTTCTTCATTCTTATCCAATTTCCTCCTAGTGTGAACCCTAAAATTGAGAAAGGCAAAGAGCACCACCGACTTCATGATTAGAATGTAAACATCAAGATTGAATTAAGAAGATCATATATCTCCTGCTAGAGTTCACTCTTCTCCTTTCTCTCTCTCTGCTTTCTTCTCACTGTCACAATAGGAACAATAACTCGAACTCAAATCACTAATCTAGCATCTCTCCAAAGACTACGACACCAACAAAATCCTAACCCACCTTCAAATAGAAACTTCTTAGTCTCGTCTCTGAAATATTGGGGGGAACAGCCAAAACCGAGCTCATCTTCTGCATTTGTGCATGCAATGGTGGTGGTAGATCGAAGCATTCAAGCAGAATTTGCAAAAAAAAAAAAAAATGCTCTTAATCACGTGCTAGTAAGTTAACCAAAAATTAACGAATGACCAATTATACGGTTACCGGTTAACCAAAACAATTGACCGAGTTAGCGGTAAACACAAATTGATTAATGATTAACCGGATAAAATTTACGATTATAATTGAACAAAACCGACTAACATCCCTACTATGCAATCAAGTCTAAAATTAGACTTAATAATCAAATTTAAAACTGAAATTGATAGTAATAGCATAATACGATGATATAACATAGCACTACAACTAATCTATACATTATCCATGTCATATATCCTTGTAGCGTTGCCACCGCACTAAAGCTCACTTCTTATTATTTGAATATTACAACAGATATAACATAGCACTATAGCTAATCTATGCATTATCTTATAACACTAAAAACGAAATCGACAAGTGGAATCATTTATAATATGAACAAGGGACACGACGAATTTCAATTTTTAACTCCGTCATTGTACACCCTATATCCTAAACTCTAAGCTCTAAACCATAATCCTAAACCCTAAAATTCAAGATCATAAATGATTTATGTACGATTCCAATTATTTTCTTATTCATTGCATTGCAATCAGAGATTGAAATATTTTTTTACGTAAATCTCTTGGTCAAAATGATGATTATGAGGTGACAATGATGGATATCCGTTCAATGGACCCACTTATGTTTTGTGAATGATTTCTTTACTATTAATTTGGTCTTTTCTCTTGAATGTATAAGAGAAATTAGATTATTTCTATGCACGTTCTTAGTTTAGATATACAAATTTTTTAAATACGAAACGTTATTTGGTGACACTCAAACAATGCACAGTATATTGGTTTCACAATATACTGTACCCATTGGAAATGTTGTTTGTGTCATTGCCGTTGATCACTGAAATATTGTCTAACAGTGAGTATGAGGCTTTAATATATAAACTTAATACCTAACACAATTTAGTGACACTTAGTTGTTGCTATCTCAAAAGATAAATTTCAACTTGCAAACCCATTTATCTAAGCTTATAGAAATGTATTATCAACCATTTGCAAGCTACAAATTCCTTATAACAAAAGAAAATGAAAATGTGGTTTCTTGTTTATTTTTCTTCTATAATCAAAGATTATCGGCATCACCAAGATAAACCTCCATCAATATTACCAATGACTCAACTAAAATAAGTTGCACAAAATTACAAATCCTATGTTTGAATAAATAGAGGAAAAGATCTTTGTGGACCAGCAGAAAAAAGCGATTTTTCTCCAAGCATTATTATTATTACTATTATGAAATCGTTGGTATGACTGTGTGGCATGCAAAAGGCTGTTGTACCTTTCAACGTATCAACAGTGCCAGTAAAAAGGACTAGAAAGAAAAGAAAGAACACAGTGGAATAATTGATGGCGACTTTGAGAATTGTTGCCCAAATTTCAATTACCCAGCAAACACTACAGTACAGCGGAACCAGGCTAATCAAACAGAAAACAGAGCCCACAGTTGGCAACCCTACTTCTTTCTTCTACATCGATTTAATCCAAGTTAGACTCTCTGTTTTGAGGGTGTGAATGTGATGTGATATTAGACTGACCCATTGCATTAATAACGATTTTTTCTTTTGCCGGGCAAGGACAGCAAACAGGAAGAATTTTGTTCATGTTGGTTACTTGATATATAGCTTGTCTTTTACTGCATTAATTAAACCAGTTTTTTCTTATCACACCAATTGACCAACCCGATTATGGTGCTCGCACGTCATTTGTGTGAGAAGGTGCTTACAGACAGACGTTTGACGTCAGTGGATTGGTCGTATGTGATCGGCAACCATTGAGTAGATGTGGCGAAAAAGAGAGAAAAAGACGGAGGATAATATTATTGTAATTTCTTGATGGAGTTTCACGGTCGCGCGATGCGTGAAGCGCGGCTTGCGAATTTCCTCGCGGTCGATGTGAACTGTAGTCGTGATCGGACTGGGAAAAACTCTCTGCTTCTCCACGACCGACTGGCTTCTTCATGAAGTCCGCGCACGAAACCTCCAGCAGATTCGCGGCCGCAATCTTGGGCTCTGAGGCCGCGATCTTCGCCTTGAGTTCGCAGCCTTTGTTCTCGGTCATGATCCCCTTCTCCATGTCGTGATCACCAGCTCATAGTCATGCTCCATTCTATGCTATTATAAATCGGATAATGTCGGTCTTACAAGCATCATAATACTCGACAAAAACAGGATTGAATTTACCATCGGGGAGAGGAACGGATAGAGCAAAAGCCATTATGCTTTTTTAGCATTGAAACGGTGGAAGGAAGGGGAAAAGAAGACATTGATCAATCGTTTTAGGCACCCAAACCGTTCATATGTGAAGAGGAGCCAGCCACACACCCAATAGTCCCTCCGGTTCTAAAGAAGACACTGCAAATTTGCAGTACCAGAAGAGCCAGCCTACCCTGCCAGCAAAGCATATCTATGTATCTCGGCCGACAGAATGATGAACAGTCATACGAAATCGACCCATCGTTTTCACAATGTCTTTTTACACACAGTTGGGAAAGCTGGGGGGCGGGAAATTACCCCAGATACAAACATATGTGTCCTCTCTGGGTTCCTTACACGTGTAGTCCTCTGGTTATAATACTTGGGAAACAGAATTGAATTGTCACCATCGCCAGCCAATTCACCACCATCATCGTATTAGCTAGCGGCGTCCTTTTGACCACATGCTGCTCTTCGTATCAATGGCGTTGTTACGTACGTTTGTTGAATCCGTATAATTGTCTGGAAGTCAAGAAAGTGGCTCCTTTTTTTTCATAAATAAGATGTATAGTAAAGTGATGATGAGGTGACTTTCACGCTACTTATACGTATAGATTGGGCTGGAAGGCAAAAGGTTGCTCTGCCCTTGCATTGATCAGTCATTCTCTCTCTCTCTCTCTGTGGTAATATGATGTCCCATGCGTTGATTGAAGGGAGGAATTCTGGATGCATGAAATCGTGCGAATTCCAGCAGCACAGGCATGCAGATGCGGGCTGCAGTGCAGGGAGGGACATGTTATATATATAATATATATAAGATTACCCAAAACCAGCCGTACGTTGATCTCAAAATCAAGTGGCCTCAAGATTGGTTTCAATAATTTCATTAAGAGCTCATGGTAATCCCTAAATTGGGGATATACAACAAGTCTATTACAGGTTTATTAAAGCAAAACAAGTTGTTGAACTACTTTGTGTTAGCTACAGAAAAATCTTAGTACAATCATGATCAAAGCTTGAATTACCAAGTCTGGCTAATTCTATTAGTATCCATTATCCAAGCAGATCTTACTACTTCTCCAAGACACCCAGAATTGAAACCCTAATTGGATGGAAAGCCTTGATGTTAGGGATGGCAAATTACCCACCCATGGGTAATTATACCCAAACCCAAGTAGACCCATTGATAATGGGTTGGGTATGGGTGAAGTGCATATGGATTTGGGAGTTTATAAATTGGTTTGGGTTTGGGGCTTCCATAATCTAAATGGGTATGGGTTGGATATGGATATCCATTTACTTGAGGGTGTTTTAACTACACATGCAAAAATTGGACCTATTTGTAAAACTTGAAAAGTTTAGGTACCAAAATGTAAGACCACAAAAATTTAAGTGCCAAAACGTAATTTTCCATCGATATTTTGATGACTTATATGCAAAAAAAATTAAATTTAGGTATTAAATATGCATATCTATTAAGTTTGGGTACCAAACTGTAATTTGTATTTGGGCATGGGTACAAATCCAAATCCATTTGATATAAACCCAACTCAACCCAAAGTAAATGGGTATGGGTTGGATAGTAAGAAACCCATGGGTATGGGCAAAGTTGCCATCCCTACTTGATGTTGTTGTGTTGGTGGCGGAGGTACTTGTTGAGCTCAAGGCGATTGACTGGAGTCTTCAATTAATGGAAGGGGAGGCTATGAGACAGGCGATCTTTGATTCGGATTGCAGAAATGCGATTAAGAAGCTGTTGAGGATGGAGGCAAAGAGGACTGAGATTGAAAATCGGGTGAAAGAGATCCGGGATGCAGCAAGTTGATTGGGGCCGATCAAGTGACAATTTGCCAAGCGAACTTGTAACTGGGGCGGCCCATACCATAGTGAAATGCCGTTAAAATCGCGCTTTAAAACTTAAAAGTTTACGTTTTTACCCTTTTAGGTTACCAAAACGCTTCTACGTAGAATCACATTTTTCCTTTACAAGTGTAGTCAAAATTTACGTTTTAAAACTTAAAATCTTACAATTTTACGTTTCTAGCTCATCAAAATACTTCTAAGTAGAATCTCACTTTTGACTGCAATGCCATGGCCCATGTTGATTGCCACTAGGAGGCTCGGGAATCTGGGTAGACATACCACCCATGTTTCTGTTAAAATCTTTGGACTGTAATGCACTAACTCAATAGTAAGCAAGTTGATTGGGGCCGATCAAGTGGCAATTTGTCAAGCGAACTTGTAACTGGGCCCATACCATGGTAAAATGCAGTTAAAATCATGTTTTAAAACTTAAAAGCTTACGTTTTTACCCTTTTAGGTTACCAAAATGCTTCTACGTAGAATCACACTTTTCCTTTGCAAGTGTAGTCAAAATCTACGTTTTAAAACTTAAAATCTTACAGTTTTACGCTTCTAGCTCACCAAAACGCTTATTAGTAGAATCTCACTTTTGACTGCAATGCCATGGTCCATATTGATTGCCACTGGGTGGCTCGGGAATCTGGGTAGACATACCACCCATGTTTCTGTTAAAATCTTTGGACTGTAATGCACTAACTTAATAGTAAGCATACATATGGTTTTATAAAAAATAAAAAAAAAAATTCTAACCTCAATACCATCTTATGGGATTGCAGTAGGGATGTCAATGTGGCGGGCTTGCCTAAACCAACCCTATCTCCATTTCCAAATACCAAAAAACTCATACCCACCCCATACCAATGCGGTGGAGGGTTTTCCAAACTCATCCCCATATCTGCGGTTTTCAAATACCCATGGGTAATACCTGCCCATCAATTACTCACCATTAATAAAAGAATATGGTGACAAATATGAATACTACCCGTCCAAAAATATGGAACTAAAACATAAGAGAATGAAAATTACTACGATTTGGTTGCAATCAATTACATTTTAACACTTTATTTGTTCCTTTTATTTCCCTTCATTCCATTGACAAGTTACAATAAATTCCTTATATTTTATTCATATAACATAATACCTTTAGTGGGACGGGTTCGGGTATGAGTATGCAGCGTGAGAGTCCAAAACCATACCTGCCCCATACCCATCAATTTTTTACGAGTTTTTCCCATATACGCCTCATTACTCAAAATGAGAATTCTCTATGTTGACTGGATCGGAGGCAGTCGGGTACCCACGACCATGAGTTTAGTTGTCATGACTCATCCCTGGATCGCAGTAGCTTGAGTCCACTAATAGAACCCAGGCTTAAGCTCCATTAACGGTCCATATAAAAAACGATTTCCTGCAAGTAGGCTCAGAACGCATAAGGCCCAAAATAAGTATTTGGGGTCCATCATTTAGGCCTTTAGGGTTTACTCCATCGTCGCGTGGTATATATAATCTTAAATCTTAGCAGCCTCCCTCTTCCTATTAGTTTTCTTCCTCCAACGGAGCAGAAGCAGCAGCCAGAGGAAGCTCAGCTCGGCGAACAAAAAATGGTAAGCGCTTCTCAACTCCTCAAATTAGCTGTCATTACTGTTGAATTCCTCTGTTTCGTGAGAATGGTTATTTATCTTCCCCTGGCTTTCGATTGTTCCTATCCTGTGTTTCGGTTGGTATTCGTAGCCGCTAGATTTACAGACGATATCAGAGAACTACTCTAATAGCTCATTGTGACATCAGAGTATGAGTGTTAAAAAGGATTAGGGTTAAGTTCAGAATGAAACCCCAGACTCTAGTCAGGTGTCGATCTTGATGATTCCGATTGATACTGTTACGAGACTGGCAAATGAAGGTTGGCGCCCATCGTTACAGAATTATCCCATGGCATGACCTGCCTGGAACTGATAGCCTCTGTTACATCTGGGTGCTAAATAGTATATACTTTTTTCAATACTTTCTAGTGTCAAGGGTTCACATGAACTCCCCAGACTCCAGTCAGGTGTTGACCTTGATGCATTTTGGTTGATACTGTTACGAGTCTGGAAGATGGAGGTTGGCGCCCATCGTTACAGATCTATCCCCATGGCATAACCTTCCTGGATTTGATAGCTTCTGTTACATCTGGGTGCTATATGATTGATCTAAGTTCAGCTGTTGAACTTGATTGACTGTTAGCTGTGTTTTGAGCTTGTTCCTTTGTTTGTTATTCATACGTTGTGTTTGTCTGGTGCAGTAATAGTGGACAATTCTTGGTAATATTTCACCATTTATTTTCTCGGTTTGATATTTACCGATTTGCTTGTGTTGAACAGCCGAAGCAGATTCATGAGATCAAGGACTTTCTCCTCACAGCTAGGAGGAAGGATGCCCGTTCTGTGAAGATCAAGAGGAGCAAAGACGTGGTGAAGTTCAAGGTCCGGTGCTCCAAGTACCTCTACACCCTGTGCGTTTTCGACAACGAGAAGGCTGACAAGTTGAAGCAGTCTCTTCCCCCGGGTAATGATGCTTTTCACCCCTGTGCTGTGGATTCGATATATCTCATTGTTGTATTCGTATGTTTACTTATGCATGTGTTTCCCTGAAAACCCATACTCTAAGTAGAGTTATATTGTTCCTACTATCTGAGAATTGAGTGCCCGATGGATATATATATATATTTTGAACTAGGTCTGAATCATGGTCTTTGTTTTTGTATGTTTGTTACAGGTTTGAGCGTGCAAGACCTTTGAAGAAACTTTGGATTGAAGGCACATTTTTGTTGGGAGGTTTTGATAGCTGTTTGTTACCACTCCAGCAAAAATGTCGTTTTAAGTCTGGTTGTTTGTGGTTTTTGTTGGATCTTCTAAAATACAGGCGTGATGGTGTAGCACTGTGTTGGTTTGTAGCAAATAGCATGAATCCTACCCTATAATATTGCAGGTTGAAGTAGTTTATGAGTTTTTAAGCTCAATTATTCCATTGTCCGGTCGAAATTTTATATTCCCAGGAAGTTTGGTGTATTTTATGTGCTTGTGTCAACAGCTCTAAGTTGCCGTTTGGATTTAGGAAAAAGCTGTTGAAAGACAAAATACCGTTCCACAAGCCAAAGTAGTCTGTGATTTTGCGCGCCATTATTCAACCCAACATAGAAGTGGTAGGAAAGTACAACGTTTACAGCTGCGAATCATAGGTAGTAATTCTTTTCCCTCAGCATAGGATTGTGTTTCATCTCTCGCTCTTTGACTATCAAGGCCACCTGAAAACAAAGAAATGTATGATGGACAGTTGAAAAGAAATAGTAAAAGAAAAATACAAAGAAATTTCGAGCAAGGCATCTGAATCGCACCCGAGCTCGGAGAGTTTCAAATGAGCATTCGCATAATCTTCAAAGAAAACATCTTCGTCCTGAAATGAATAAAAGAAAATTTCAAAAGAATTAGCGTTTTACTACCAAGTATGAAACCATGTGTAAACGAAGCAACATCGTCGTGAAAATAAATATCGAGTAGTAGCGGGCGACTCACAGCCGCATATTTATGAACTAAAGAACGGAATGTTGGATCCTCAAAAAGAGCTTTGTCGGTTGGAAGCTGAATCAAGCCTTGTTTCCCCCCACTCAAAAGTTCCCTACAATTAGTTCGAAATGAATTGATGAAAATGCATAAGCCAATTGCTTTTTATTGTGCATGGCATTATGAGCTTCAGTTTGAGAGAAGATCTTGCCTGAAATATGAATTATCAAAGATCAAAGGATTGCTGGTCCAAGGCCCTTCAAACCCAGACCTTTCCTTATGGCACCTCCCCTGTACATAATACATATAATCACATTCATACTCAGCCTTAATAATAATAATAATAATAATAATAATAATAATAATAATAATAATAATAATAATAATAATAATAATAATAATGTACCAGAGTGTGGCCACCGGATAGAGCGACTATGTCTTTGTCGCAAAGGCCCATCCGGTAAAACACATCCCTTAAATGGGCCGGGCCTGTGAGAGGATAATTATGTTTTTTTACCGCACAGGCGATATGAGTAAGAAAGGCTTAATTGCAAGTTTGGTCACTCGAATTGCTATAAAATTTCACGTTTGCCACTCAAAATGATTTATTCCATTTATAGTCACTCGAATTAGTTGAACAGTTCAAGTTCAGTCACTCTCCGTTAACCTCCATTAACTTTGTCTGACGTGACGGTCAACTCTGACAGTTGACCGTTAAATGTGTGACGTGGCAAATAAAAAATAATTAAAAATAAAAATTAAATTTTTAGAAATTACACATCATTATCACAAAAAATTATAATTATAAAAAATGAAAAAAAGAAATTCTTTCCACGTAATTATCAAAAAACAAACAACACGTCACCATCATCTTCCTCACTAGTTTACGTATACATATAAATACCCCTCTCCTCCTCCCTTAATCCTCCATCAACAACCAATACGTAAACACACTTCATACACATTTCCAATAAACACCTCAATAATAACAACAACAATAATAATAATAATAATAATAATAATAATCCCCACCGCCATTCACAATACCATAAACAAAATCCGCCACTAGAATAAGAGATCACACAATAATGGCGATGAACAAGAAAGCAATCGGAATAGGAGTCTCCATCATCCTGGTGGTCGGAGTCTGCATCGGCGTGATCGCCAGCGTCTCCAAGACCCACGGCAAGGGCGCACCCACGGAATCTGGCCACTCGAAGTCGGAGAACTGGTAAAGAGATTTAGGGGTTTGGAGCTTTGTGGATTCGATGGTCTGCGACCAGACCCCGCCGACGGAATTCGAGAACTCGAACACGGTCGGGTCGAGCCCCATTTCCGTTAGGTGCTTGCAGGCGAGCAAGCAGCTCATTTCGGCGCCGACGACGACGATTCTCTTCTTCCCCTCCGCTCATTCTGGGAGTTTGTGTTGTTTGTTTTTGTGATAATTACGTGGAAGGAATTTCTTTTTTCATTTTTTATAATTATAATTTTTTGTGATAACGATGTGTAATTTCTAAAAATTTAATTTTTAATTATTTTTTATTTGTCACGTCACACATTTAACGGTCAACTGTCAGAGTTGACCGCCACGTCAGTCAAAGTTAACGGAGGTTAACGGAGAGTGACCGAACTTGAACTGTTCAACTAATTCGAGTGACTATAAATGGAAAATATCATTTTGAGTGGCAAACGTGAAATTTTATAGCAATTCGAGTGACCAAACTTGCAATTAAGCCGAGTAAGAAAACACAATTTTACTGCAAATGGAAGACAATTAATTACCTTGAGTAGCCTGAGGCAAGCGTCCCTCTGGTGGGGGTTCAGATTTATCCTGATAGCAAGTAGCAACATAACATATCATAACAACGTGTAAAATCTGAAATTAGATTTTTTTCCTTCAAAACGCAAATTCAATATCCAAGTTAGGGGAAAGTCACAAACTGGTCTTCCGGGATGGAACGGAATCTCTGGCCCTCCGGTGATCTCGACGGCCACAACTCCGGCCAACTGAATTTTACCACAAAATAAAAAAATGAGAGTTTAATTTAATACCGTTTATTAATTAACAGCACAAAATCAAGTGGCCAAGGACCCCGAACGAACCTGGTAGAAGTCAGCGTAGGTCAAGATGGGGAACTGGGCCTTGATGGGCTCTAAAAGCCGAACTGCTATGTCCAGCCCACTATTGGCTTCGTGGGCTAGCTCCTCCCCATGCCTGATTGTCCCAAACGGCCCGCCCGTCTTCGTCTCAACATCGAACGTTCCAGCAGAGTGCCATCTGCCCGTACACATTTATTTAATTTTAATTATAAAAATAAATGTAATCAAATCATGCTTGATTACCGAATGAGAAATATGTATTAATCAGTACGCTAATCGGAGGACGATTGGAGCACAGTGCTTCTCGGCGACGAGGCCTCTGAGCTTCCGCTTGCATTTCGCCACCGCATTCTCGTACTCCCAACTCGCTTTCGGGTAAAGCTTCTCCTCCGCCATCCTCGTCGCCGGCGCCGGGATTCTCTGTATCCTTTACTGGCGCAATTTTCGGGAGCGCTGGTCTAGTACTGAAGAAAGCTAACGCCGAAGCTTCGCTGTTAAATAATAGGACGCATATAGTTAGTCGATTGGATGGAGGAGCTTTCTAGTAAGTAACAAATTAAGTTGGTTCCAGAAATCCCAGTCAGCGTCAATTTTGTTTTAATGATTAATTTATGTTACAGTTTAGAGAGAGCTTCTGGCACTTTCCGGGTGTCGATTCTGGAGGAGCGGAGTCTAGAAATAACACGAAACAGGCAAAAGGATAAAAATTTAGAAAGTAGCAAGTGTTACTTCACTGCAGCCTCGAAAGCAATTTGACGCGAGAAAAACATGTTTGTCATTCAAATCGTAATTCAGCGAGTTAACTTGGGATTAATGAGGCAAACTTTGACCTAGTTCTGCTCAGTGACGTGTTGAGCAGAACTCGTGATCCCGTGTGCTGATTTGTTTAAAGCTCTCGAACTAGTTTGACTATGTGGCTCCTCGAGGTTAACTTGCGAGCTAAAATCCTTTAGAGGTCACTAGTTGATCTAATGATTATAGTTTGAGGAGCCCAACTTGATAAAACCTTCTACTTTGTCTACACTTTTATTATCGCATGTGTAATGTGTTCCGGTATTGTTGTGACAATAACGGGTACAAACACAATATCATGAAAAACAAAAACATGCTTTAGTTGGCAATTTTGAGAAATCATTAAAGTTGATAATTTTATGTGTTCAGTTTCTTCATTAGATCCTGTTTAGTCTCAATGTTGAGACGAAAAAAGTTGACAAATAAGACGAGGAATAGTGTGGCATGACGAATTATGAGAAAATTGAAGGAGAAGAAAATTTGAAAATAATATTGGCAATAAGGTTTTGGTGATGAGTTATGAGAAAATTTTGAAAAAATAATATGTAGAAAGAGGGTCTAGTAAAATTTAGTCATAATGAAATTATTATAACAATTCAAGACGGTCAATTTGACCCTTGAACTTTCATGATTTGGTCCACTCTGTACATGAACGTTACTTTTGGTCATAACAGTACATGAATTTATATTGTTGGTCATTACGGTACATGAACTCCTTATTTAATAGTGATTCGAATTATACAGTTCAATATGACTAACCAAAGTAACAAACTTAGTAACAACTAACAAACTATGCTCTGGAATAAAACGCTTCCGCCACACAACATGATGTCAGTCAACTTCAGGGACATGGGTACAAATAGATTACCAAACTATTTTAACTAAGTAAGCAATGGCTAAAGAGGAACAAAACAGAAGTCAAAGGTGATTAATCATATTATATTTCCTCCTGGGTATGATGACCAAAAAATACTATATTATGCTAAACGCTTATTATATATGATAGGCTACTATGAGTTCTATATATTTCTCTCTTGAAAAGTCTAACTAGTCTAACCGATTGGTGATCGATTGTGAGAGGTGGATGTGCCTAGTTTCACCCAAAAACAAATCAAATTTCTTCTCCATTCAGATTGTCTCACCCTGATTCTTGCCCTTGCATCTGACCCTCTGCATGGCTAGGGATTATCCAAGACATCCTTATGCGCAACGGCTTAATCAAGGTGGCTTTCTTCGGACGCAAGCTCTAACTAGTCTAACCGATTGGTGATCGATTGTGAGAGGTGGCTGTGCCTAGTTTCACCCAAAAACAAATCAAATTTCTTCTCCATTCGGATTGTCTCACCCTGATTCTTGCCCTTGCATCTGACCCTCCTGCATGGCTAGGGATTATCCAAGACATCCTTATGCGCAACGGCTTAATCAAGGTGGCTTTCTTCGGACGCAAGCTAAACAAGAGAGCGGATTGAGTGGCCAAATCGTTAGCTAGGAATTTACTCCCTCCAGATTGGATGACAATTCTTAGGATTATTTCACCACTCTTGTAATCTGCTACATACTGTAACTGATGTCCCATGGGTAATGATATTGGATGTGATTCTTGGTAACATTGAAGTATTACAAATCAATTGTATTGACAAGAAATCTCACATAGTCGAAATGAATCCTTCATACTAGAGTTCTAAATAATCCAAATACTCTAAAAGTGTATTGACAATAATCCAAAGTTGAGAAAATTGAAGAAGCTTTAAAAAAGAAGTGAACCACCGAGTTTGACTTTCTATTAACTTTTTAGAGACGTAAACTAGAAGAAAAGTACTAAAGTAGCAACATCGGGCAAGCAGAATTTGTTTTGAAATAAATTGGGGAATGACTATTTATTAGTGAAATTTTTTTCAATTTTTTTATTAGTCAAATTTATTGAAATACTAAGAATTAGTCAAATGTTAAATTTTCAGTTAGCAATTTTGTTAGTAATATTGAATTAGCAACATGATACTGACTTGGAAGAGACACATGAAGTTCAACATTCCAAAATTTTAGTATTTTCACTAAGAATTAGTTACAAAATTATTAACGATAACGTACAAATGGCTAATATTTTGATATATTACGAAAGATTTGGCTAAGTAATAGCATTTTAATAGGTTTGAATAATATAAAAGAATCTGAAAAAGATTTGGATAAAAAATAGACATTATCCAAATAAATTGGTGATAAGGGTGAGGGCAACTGACCACATGATTCTAAACTGATACTACTATTACACGAAAGATTAAATTAGTTGTTATATATTTAAATAGTAACTAGAAATTAACCGTGATTAGGAAAGTCGGAGGACCATTATCGTTCAACGAGTAGGAATTGAAAAACACAATTAATTTGAATATAAGATATCTCTTCTGTATCATTTTCCTATTGCCCTTTTCACTCACTCTAATATTCTAATTTTGTTTTCCACACAAAGCTGTTAATAAGCACGTCAAATAATGCATGAAGTAATGACTTATAATTGTCTCTCATCGAAAGAAAGATGAGCATCTAGGAAGGATCTCATAATGACACCACAAAGCTTATTACTCTTCAATTCCAATAATTGTTCTTAAATCAAGAGGTGTGTCGAGAAGTACATGAAAAATGGCCAAAATATAATTTTTGTAATAAAAAAGGTTGGGTAAGTAATGCCAATACAGAAAAACCGTTTGTTATGCATAGATCCAATGTCATGCTCCACCGAGAAGCACATTAAGAAAAAACATAAAACACTAGGTTGTAGTTGAGATTTGGATCATCGCTTATAGGCATGTTTGCTAATTTGTGTGTCTGACATTTTCATGATATGTTGCTTTTTGTGATCAAGTGAGCTAACGGTTGACATAATAATTATTTGGAAAAACCGCAAAAGTATTTAAAAAGTGGTACATTTATTTTATATGGTTTAGTTCGTTGTTGTTCCCATATTTGAGTAGTATGTCAGGAGAACATACAATATGATTGGACAAAGATAAAAAAAAATTCCCTTGGTTCAACTGTTCAAGATCCAGCGGTGAAAGCTCTGCTATGTGCGGCACTCTAAGATAAAAATCTATGTTAAAGGGTAGCTCAACAAATTAATGACTTTTTGAATAATACTAATTTGTTTGGTTCCATTAGTTGATAGGTTCAGGGGCGGATCTACACTATGGCTCGGGGGCCCCCGGCCTCCCCCGAAAATTTCGAAAGTTACGTATAAGTTGTTCGTGATTTTTGAAAATTACGTATAAACAGAAAGTAAAACATAAAAGAGTAGTCGCTAATCATAACACATTTACCAGTGCAGCATAACGAAAGGACATGCTTAATAAATCAGGGGGATGCTGGTTCGATACTCATGACAGACATATTTAACATTTTTTGTTTTCTACTTGTACTTGGCACGAAAATTCAATATAATTATCTAGTTTTCATATCTTTTACTTAAAATCAATCCACGTTTTAAATACTCTTTTGAATATATATAATGAGTTTTTTTCTCTTTTCATTTTTAGCTCTAGAAAATTGTGTAAACTTTACATTACATGTTTTAAGGACTATTTTGAATATACAATGAGTAAATTTTTTCTTGTAATAGATTGTACACATTGATTTTTCAGCTATAAAAATCATGAAACATGTTAGGTATTGGAATGTATTATTAATTTTGTTGGTAATTAACTCATTTATAGTCAAAATGACATGATAATTTATTCGTCTTAAATCGTGTTTGAAGTAAATCTAATTGTCTTAAAAAAGTGTCTTGGGCAATTTTGATGATTAAAAGTACTCTTTTTAAAGTTGGAATTATATTTTTGTGCTTTTTGCCTCTTACGGTAATACGAATAAAAATTTCCTGCCCCCCGAAGCTCGAATCCTAGCTCCGCCTCTGGATAGGTTACTAAACTAAATAAGAGTTGTGTAGTTTAGCAAACCTCTATGGAAAGTTAATTAACAGTAACACTACTTAAGCTTTATATTTATTAATTAACATCTTGTACGAGTTTTACCAAAATAATATATTGTGTAATCATAGTATTTGTAGATAATATTTTTATTTTTAACAATATCATAGTATTTGATATGTGTGATTTCTTCTTATATAATATTTGATAGAGGTTAAAACATGGGATTATGGTTGTGGTAGTTCACTCCAAATTGGTTAAGTATCCATTTACTCTTTTCTTATTAAATAAATAAATAAATAAATCAACCTTCTACTTTTCTAATCCTGTGAAAACATAGATTTGAGGTTACGTATTCTCAGAGACTTCTACGACGCTGTATACGGCAAAAGTGAGAGCAAAAAATATGTCGATGATTATGGTAATTATTAGCCCGGACGGGTCTCTAACTAACAATCGAGAAATGAATCAAAACAAGAGCTCATTAGACTCATTGGAAGCCGTGGAAAGATGACAAACAGGAATAATGTGAAGATGAATTCGCCGAGATGTAACTGAAGAAAACCTTTACACCAAAGTTGGGAAGAATAACAAAACTATTTTCTGGATTTATATAAAAAACGAGGAGGACAGAATGTGAATAAAAAAAATAAAACATCATGATATTTCACAAATACTAGACCTCCCCCCCTAGTATTTCTATTCAACCACATTTGTAGTATTTGGAGAAAACACACATTCCAATTACCATGTTTCTTTTTCTTTCAACCATAGTATTTGTACCCAAATCCCACACTGTGTGAGGTTGATCCTAAAAACCACACTCAAATATGCATTTCAACTCCGGATTCTCATAGCGCGATTTAACCAATATATATATATATATATATATATATCTACATAAATATTAACAGAACAATCGATGGAACAGAAACGATAACATGAGAGAGTCCAGCCTAGCTTATACATTTATAATTTGAAGGTTCCAAATTATAAAGAGAAGGGTAGGGTTTGGGAAGTGTTGTTCATGTGCATAGTGGGAGGGAAGTTGGGAGAGATATAAAGCTGATCTCGTCTCTTTCCTTTTTGCAAAGTTACGACAAAGATCCCATCTTTAACAAAAGCCAACAAAGGGTAAGAGCCCAAAATGCACGTCGTCGTTCAAGTGAGAAAGCCAGAAAAAAAAAAAAAGGGTAAAAATGAACTAAAACCCCGCTGGATACGAACACCAAATAAAGCTTCTTCTGAAATGGAGGACGACTTTTATTAGTTGGGAAATTTGTTTCTTAACCTCTAATTTGGCAAAAATAGAGAGGAGCTTTACTTTTGGATGTATGAATTAGTACAAGAGGACGATACATGCGATGAAATAATAGATTTTGCTAAACAATCATTGCTCCCCTGGTGGTATGTTCTCTGGACTGGTTACTTCCTTCCTAAGGATCGTGTTCTTTGAACTAGGTAGAGGTTCGCTTGACATTAGAGCGAACCACAAATGAAAGAGTCAGATCGTGGTCGAAACACTTGAACAACCAAAAAAGTTATTATGGTTCACAGTTGATCCTGGTAAACCACCCAGATTGCTGCTCAGCAGCCCTGCGATCTACTTCTAATTTAGGTTAAGGACTTCAAACAATCATAACTTTGCACTTGGTGATTCGTCCGTCGTGATTTTCTTTTGTTCTGCTAAAGTTTTTAGGATCTACAACTTTTACTAGGAAGAAAGTTTCGAAAGAAGACATTTTTTTCCCGGAATTAAGGAGTTTTGAAAATGACTTTAGATTTAATTTTCACATTTCCACATACATTATGAAAAAACTTCTATAGAAAAATTTGTAGTCTTTAAAAATTTAATCACAATAAAAAACTTGTGATAATCAGATTGTGGAGCACGAAATTACGATTTTTCAAAGTTTAGCGAAATCGAAAAATGACCATTTGGGGTAACAAACGACATTTTTTTGCAACAAACGATCGGATAACCGAGTGCAAAGTTACGATCATTTGAAGTTCCGAAACTAGATTAGGAGTAGATCGCCGGGCTAGCTATCTTGTTGGTTTGTTAGGGTCAGCCACGAACTGTACTCATTTTTTTTTTGTTTTTGGTCGTTTCGGTCGTGATCCGGCCCCTTCGGATGTGGTTCGCTCCAGCGTTAAGCGAACCACTACCTTCTTCGCTTGACACTAGAGAGAACTGCTCCAGATTTGCGTACTTTGAGATTTTTTTTGAAACAGTGTATTGTGCGAATTTTGTTTTATAACTTGGGTAAAGACTGCTATACTCCAGTAGTATAGTATACTCCACATGATCTAGCCGTTAGATGTACTTTGCTGACCTCCAACCATCTCAACGGTCAATTTAAAATTTCCATTACATTGAACTTTGGGTTTGAGTTTAGAGAACCGGGACTTATGGTTTGTCAATTAGAGGTTAGGATATATTATCATACCTCAAAGTCAGTTAAAATCATGCTCGAAATAGAGATATCTCACTAAAGGTACCTGAAATATAATATACTCCATAAATACATCAGTATGACCTTTATAACTTGGGTATTTGTTTATTTCTTCCTTAACTATCATGGTGTTCTTCAATGTACAACTTCGATGGGAAGTGGCGCGAGCCACTTTTATGGTGTTTTTCGACTCTTGTTTTTTTAAGTTTTAACAGATTGTTGTGCTTAATAAAAATAATTAACTAGCTACTTATCGGTGAAAACATAAGTTAAAAGAAAAATATTTTACATGATATGTTTTCAGAAACTGATCAAATATGGACTGAAAAATTAGTAGTTTATGGTTAATCGTTATAGAAACATTGATTAACTGATGATATATCGTTTATGAGCTATAACATACAAGACATATATAATACACTAATTTAGAAATGAACTTATTACTAACCGTAAATAATTTCAAATTCATATAATCCATCATCAAAGTTCTAACAAACCAATTCAAATATCTCACGAACGAAATCATAACCTTTTATTTACTAAGTTCAAGTTAGTATTTAGAGTAGCAATCCGTATTGGATCACATAAAGTCGACAAAGAGAGTGTAAAAACAAATAAAATGAAACATAAATAAAAATTATAATTCAGGTTGGTTAATCTTAGTTTATGTCAAAGTAATTTTTTCTCAAACATTTATAATGTCTAAAACAGTGAAGTAGCATACCGATCAACTACTATAGTTGACTGTTAAACAAGTGATATGATAATAATAATAAATTATTATTAAAAACTAACGTAACAATTAAAATAAAATTCCAAGTAAACATTATATCCGCCCAAAATAAAAGTCCAATACTCAAAAAGAAAGTTCGGAAACAAAAAATTAGGTCGATTGTCGAAGGTAATTTAGTAAGAAAACCCATCAACTTGCGGAAAACAGTTGATTGTCTTAATCAAATGGACGATTGAAAAACGGAAACCATCTCCGGTAAGTAAATGCAATGCAATGCAATGCTTTCCCTCTTTCTTTCCGACCAACTTTACCAATGAATGATAACAATAATATTTTCTTTCTTCTCCGACCACTTTTTTGATTTTTCATGACATTCCCTTAACCTCTGTAGTCTCTGTTCTCTGTGCACAGATAGGGTTAGAGCGAGAGAGAGAGAGAGAGGGCTAGCACTTAGCAGTAACACTGCTTCGTTGGTTTCGCTCGCTTTTTCGGCTGTGTGTTTCTTTTCTTTGTACATATTCGGTCTACGCTTTCACCCATCATCTTCTTCCTCTCCATCTAATTCGTCTTCGAATCAGTTGCCGCCGTCGGAGATGGCGACGGAGCGGCTTCTTCTCCTCTGCCTAGTCCTTTTCTCTTCACTTCTTCTTCTTCCACGCCACGCCTCAGCTCAGAAGCCAGGTTCGCCAACTTTCCTCCCTCCCTCCCTGCTTGCTTTCTTCCCTTTATTTCCTCTGCGCTCTTGATTGCCCTAGCTACGCGGTTATACTCTCTTGTTTTGTCGCCGGCGACCGAGTCAACGTGAGTTGACAAAGAGGGGTAACGAGGGAGCTGAATTGTCAGCCAGTTCACAATTTCCCCCTTGTAGCTTATCGTGACCTGCAGGAAAGAGTAAAGAAAAAGGGGCCGGAATTAGTTTGATTTTGACGGGTTTCTTTGAATCTTTGACCTGACAAGGAAAACTGTAGTACTAGTAGTAGTAGCGGAAGTGGTTGGTGAAACGGAGGTGTCCAGTCCAGTACTGTCTAATTCCCGCAATCTCTTCTGTAAAATTGGTTGTCCAACTCGCCTTCATTTATTGCTTCTATCCGCAAGTTCTTAAATGATGCCCAATTTCCATAGTGGAAAGAAATGTCTTCACGAGGTGTAGTGTGCGGAATCTGTTTCTAGTTTTTGCCCCTGGTTGCCCAAGTTGATGTTACTCGAGAGCTCGAATTGGATGTCTAGGTCTAAACGTGTAGTGCGCAGGTTGCAACCTAGATAATAGCTGAAATGTGATGGAGGTAGGCATCATCTCAACCTGGAGATTGAGCTGTGAACTGGAATTCAAGTAATTTTGTCCGGCTTTTGTCGAATTTGAATTCGGGTGAGCTTGTTTGGCTATAATAAGCTAGCATCTTTAGAGTTATGGCTGAAGCTCCTACTGTTGAATATCTCTATGGGTAATCTCTGCAAGTTTATTTTTCTGTTAAAAGTGAATAAGGAATCGTTGTATATATTAACATGTTGAGACATGTGAAACAGGTTTTGTGAGTTTGGATTGCGGGGGTAACGGAAATTATACCGATGAGCTTGGGCTGCAATGGTCGTCTGACGACAGCCTTATGTTTGGAGAAACCACAAACATATCGGTTGCAAATGAGACAAGGAGGCAATACACGACGCTAAGGCATTTCCCTGCTGATTCGAGGAAGTATTGTTACACATTAGGTGTCACAAGCAGGACGAGGTATCTGTTGAGAGCGACTTTCCTGTATGGTAACTTCGACAACAACAACAACGTGTACCCAAAATTTGATGTCTCAGTTGGAGCAACACGCTGGTCGACCATTGTTATTTCTGACGCTAACACGGTCGAGTCTATAGAGCTCATATTTCTCGCTTCTACTCCTAATATCAGTGTGTGCTTATCCAATGCTACAACTGGCCGGCCTTTCATATCTACCCTCGAGCTCCGACAATTCAATGGTTCCGTTTATTACACACCATCTGAAAACCAGTTTTACCTCAGTGTCTCTGCCAGAATCAATTTTGGCGCAGATAGCGCAGCTCCGGTCAGGTATATACTCATATCTTTGATGACCTTTATTTAGCTTTTCCATTCTATTTTGGGTGTTGAGGCCATAGATGATATTCTCTCTTCGGGGTCGATATATCATAGCAGGGGGGTTTACATCTCAGCTTAAATTGATTGGAAGTAGTGGTAATTGGATATGCATGGTTAAAGTACTTAGATTTTCATCCTTGGTAAAATTGCAATGGAAGGTCTGTTGTTGACCGTTCCTCGTCTAAAATTATGTTCTTCAGGTATCCTGATGACCCATTTGATAGACTATGGGAATCTGACACACTGAAGAAAGCAAACTATCTTGTTGATGTTGCTGCGGGTACCCGGAAAGTGTCCACGAAGATGCCAATTGCTGTAAACAGAGATGAAATGCCTCCTGAGAAAGTGATGCAGACAGCTGTAGTTGGCACCAATGGATCACTAACCTATCGGTTGAACCTGGATGGTTTTCCTGGTGATGGTTGGGCTTTCACCTACCTTGCAGAAATTGAAGATTTGCTTCCTCAAGAATCCAGAAAGTTCAGGCTAGTACTTCCAGGGAACTCTGATCTGAGCAAAGCCATTGTTAACATCCAGGAGAATGCTCAAGGAAAATATCGTCTCTATGAACCAGGATATACCAATATATCCCTCCCCTTTGTTTTGTCATTTAGATTTGGTAGGACTTCTGATTCAACAAAGGGGCCGCTGTTGAATGCCATGGAGATAAACAAGTATCTCGAGATCAATAATGGATCCCCAGATGGTAGGTGGACCTATAATTTGTTATTGACATCTATTTAGACTTCTGCAAAAATGTAAAATCTCCATGCTTTTTATTAGCTTTGCAAGCTTTCTTGGCAGTACAATTCAACTCTAACAACCTTTATTGGCTATAAACTGTGTGAACTCAGGAGATGTTATCAATAATGTGGTTTACCTAAACCCGTTAGCGGATTGGGCAAAGGAAGGTGGTGACCCGTGTCTTCCAGTTCCTTGGTCATGGGTCCAGTGTAACTCCGATGAACGACCAAGAATAACTAAAATGTAAACACTTTTCTTTGTCTAATTTCTATGTGCAGAATACCATTTCTTCTTCTGCAAGTTACTTCCAGCCCCTTTAGGGATCTAAGAGAACTGTTAGGTCATCAAGTCTTAACAACTTTATTTCCATGGCAGCTCCTTGTCTGATAAGAATTTGACTGGAAACATTCCTTCAGATTTGACAAAGTTGTCAGGCTTGGTTGAACTGTGAGTTTTCAGAGTTCTCTTCTGACTTTTAGATTGTCATTACGACAGAAGTAGCTTAAGCCTCTCATTTACCTTAGACTAAATCTGTCTGCCGAATGCTTACAGATGGCTTGATGGGAACTCACTCACTGGACCAATTCCTGATTTTAGTGGATGTCCAAACCTGGAGATCATGTAAATTGGCTAAGCTCTATCATCCATTTAGTATTTAGTTATTTTGGTTGTATGAATGTATTTAAGCTAACTAGATCCTTGTTTTCATGTAGCCATCTGGAGAATAATCAGTTGACTGGCCAGATGCCTTCGTATTTGGGAGACCTACCAAATCTGAGGGAGCTGTAAGTTATCAGAACTTTCAGTAGGAATTATTTTGGTCTTTTGTCTCTGGTTTGCAACCTTAAGAGTATAATTTGCGAACCTTGATGGTTCAAAATGGCAACATAATAGTTCATCTTACCAGGAAATGATTCCTCTTCTTGTAATCAGCAAATATCCCATAATCCTTCACCAGGATTTGGAGGGGTTTCTATCATTTTGATACCAATAGCCTTTATAGAGTAAATAAATTGTCAAAGGTTTGATGCACTTGGCTTGTTTGATCATTGCAGGCACGTGCAAAACAATATGTTATCTGGAACAGTACCATCAGGCCTCCTTAACAAAAATATAGAATTGAAGTGAGTATCATTTTGGCTTGTTCTAATTGTGTATTGGTAGAAATTTTCTGATGAATTATGTTCTGGTCTCAGCAGAATGAGAAAAGGAGCAATAGAATATAATAACCAGAAGTTTCTATGTGACAACTTGTGAAAAACACGGATATTGGGGCACTCGTGATTATTCGCAACAAGATAGGATAGGAGAGAATCGAGAAGATTTGAGGAAATTGGGTAGAATTAGGGATTATAATTAAGAACAGATTTGGGGATTAGGGATTGGAAGACAAATTGGAGCCGAATAGGGGAGAATAGTCGGCAGCCTTGGGAGAATGGGGTTTTGGGGATACTTTTCGTGTTATACTTCTTTCATAAATCTCAAAGAATACCACGTACATATTTGTAGGAAAATAACCAAAATCCTAATAAGGAACCTAAAATAAAATGAAAAACGTGTTTCTAACATAACTTTGCTAGAAAAAATGAAAAACGACAAAAATGAAATGACAGTTTTCTTTTACACAGACAAATGTGCATCGAGTAGCCACACGTTATTTCCTAACCTTCCGAAAATCTCTACTTTAATGCAGTTATTCAGGAAACATCAATCTTCATGAAGGGGGTGGCAGAGCAAAAAAGAAGAGTATGATTATTGGTTTATCAGTGGGAGCAGCTGTTCTGCTAATAGCCTTAATTGCAGCTTGGATATTTATGCAAAGAGGGAAGAAAAAGCATTCTGATCAAGGTAAAATGTGGAACAAAATAGTTTGAAGTTGTGTTTATTCTGTTTGGCATCTTGGTAAAGCTTGCTGACACTAGTGTACTTTTAGACAAACTACAAGGAGCCTTGGCTGTTCAAAAGGTAGTTTCTGGCTTAAGTGATGCTACTGCAGAAGGGGCACATTACTTTACTTACTCTGATATCATAGAAGCAACCAAAAATTTCGAGAAGAAAATAGGCTCTGGAGGTTTTGGAGTTGTTTACTATGGAAAAACGAAGGATGACAAGGAAATTGCTGTTAAAGTGCTAACAAGCAATTCATATCAGGGAAAGCGAGAGTTTGTAAATGAGGTAGCTTCCAATTCTTGAGTATGGTGTTTGTGTGTTCTTTCTCACATGGGAAGGATGGACAGCCTACTAACCAACCATGTGCCTTGCTTGTTTTATTTGCCATTTTCTGTGCATTTTCTCTATCGTTCGGATTGATTTCTACCAATAGGACTGATTGATGTGTGCCTCCATTATGTAGGTCACTCTTCTATCAAGGATACACCACAGAAATTTGGTGCAGTTTCTGGGTTGTTGTCAAGAAGAAGGCAAAAGTATGCTTGTTTATGAGTACATGCACAGTGGAACTCTCAAGGAACATCTTTATGGTAGACATTCAAGTGCTCTCATTTTTATGCTGAATCAGCTTGGCCTTTATCCTCACATTTTGTTGAACCTCTAAATAGGGCCTCTAATACAGGGAAGAAATACCAATTGGATTCAGCGCCTAGAGATTGCTGAGGATGCAGCAAAAGGTTACTTAATCCTTGCACTTTGAACTACTTGTTTCTGAATATTAAATGCTGGCTTTAAGTGATTGGTGTGCGAGTTGTGATCTTATTTTGGTTTTTCATCACACTCAGGGATTGAATACCTTCACACGGGTTGCGTCCCGGCCATTATCCATAGGGATCTCAAGACCAGCAATATTCTTCTTGACAAACAGATGAGAGCAAAGGTATCAGATTTTGGCCTTTCAAAAATTGCGGCCGATGGGGCTTCTCATGTCTCGAGCATCGTTAGGGGCACTGTTGGCTATTTGGATCCTGAGTAAGGGCTTTTTCTTTGCTTTCTATTTTCTTTTCTTCCATTCTGTTCTAGGTGTGTCTAACCAGTTTGGCCCGGTTAACCATACCAAAACAGAAACCTGTGAAGCAGTTGATAAGTATATTTCGTAACTGAACCGTTCTGCTAAGCCCATAATCTAAACCGAAAACCGCAAAAGCGACTTTGGAATCTACCAATCTTCGAACCGCGGTGTCAAGTAGCTAGTACCACTACTAACTTCACTTTCCAATTTTGAAAGGGATTGGTATGGACCGGTTTTTCTTGTGTTCTTGGGTGAATATGCTGAAATTCAGTTATTTCTTGCCGTTTTCATAATTTGTTTAGTTAATTTTTGGCGATTTATGGCTTCCGCCTTCTTGTTATGTTTCCGGTTTATGACCATAAACCATAATGAATGTAAACCTTAAAACCGGTAATGTTGGCAGTACTCTGTTAATGATATTTGCTTTCCATGATTCTTAGGTACTATATCTCTCAGCAGCTAACGGACAAGAGCGATGTGTATAGTTTTGGGGTCATTCTCCTGGAGCTGATGTCTGGTCAAGAGGCCATATCCAATGAAAGCTTCGGCATTAACTGCCGCAACATCGTTCAATGGGTACGTACGTTAAGTCTGCTTAGTTAAGACTCGAACAGCTGATACAACAACGTCTATACTGTACGTCTATTGACAAAATGAGACATCAAATGATACTTTTGCCTTCACTGCTACTGCAGGCAAAGCTACACATTGAGAGCGGCGATATCCAAGGAATCATCGACCCGATACTGGGGGACGAATACGACATTCAGTCGATGTGGAAGATAGCAGAGAAGGCTCTGATGTGCGTCCAGGCGCATGGTCACATGAGACCTTCGATTTCGGAAGTTCTGAAGGAGGTCCAAGACGCCATCTCCATCGAGAGGGAAGCCAAGGCGGCCAGAGAAGGCGTCTCGGACGACATGTCGAGGACGTCAGCTCATTCTTCTCTCAACACGGACATGGGCGGAGTAGCAGATAATTTCCTTTCTCTGGGTGACTCCATGGCTAGGCCAACCGCAAGATAGCGTGCCTCCTGTACCGGCAAAGTATAACTTGTGATATTCTTTCGACGGTGTTGTTAATTGTGCCGCTCGCTTTCTGATTCACTATACATATGTGTTCTTTGCGGATTAGAAAGCGGATAGAAAGCTGTAAATTTTGTTGGAACCTTATTATTACTGTCCTCACTTGTGTTGGTTGTAGATTTTTGTACTGGTGAAAGATATTATTGTTCCTCAAAAAATAGATCCGAATTCGAAGATTGGAACCTCTTAGGTTTTGGTATATATGGTCAGTATGAAACCGTGATTATAATCGCTTTTTGCAAAGAATATTTTGACCTCCACATTATTATTGATACATCTACAAATTATTTTGTACCACATTAGTAATTTATAGAGGATATAATGTTCTTATAAGACCATATAAATTATGACATTTAATGTTAAATAATTTAAGTTGAATTTCATAGGTCTTCACTTTTAAGTCCAAATCGCTAACTCCTTCGCGAGAGTGGGCATGAGTCAAAAGGGATATTGGCCCTCTTGTAAGAGGTCATGTCATGCCTCATGACCCACACCAAGCTGTCGAGAGAGAGAGATCTCGTGGGCGCGAGAAGAAGCCATGACCTTGAGACTATGCTCCATGGCCTCGAATGAGACTCCATATCGTGAAGCAAGAGACCGTGCCATGAAATTAAGCCTCATACTCACGAGATCGAATCCCCAAAAATATACTAAGTTTCAGATGTTCATGACTTTTAAGCTCAAACTACTAAGCCCTTTGCGAGCGTGGACATGAGTCTAAAGGGACATGGCCTTCTCGTAAGAGGCCATGCCATGCCTCTTGACCACACTGACGTTAGAGACACACCTTGTGGTCGCGACTCGCGAGAGACCTTGAGACTATGCTCTATGGCCGCGAACGAGACTCCATAATCGTGAAGAAAGTGATCATGCCATGAGATCAAGCCTCATATCACGAGATTGAATGCCCAAAAATATATCAAGTTTGAGATGTTCATGGTCATGTTGCGAGATGGGAATGAGCATGAGTTAGAAGTCCATGGCTGCGAGTTAAGGGGGCCATGGGCGCTGACTCACTTCTACTGTCACTCCAGGAATTGGCCAAGTGAAACCACTTCCTAAAGCGTAGTATAGCGGGTTTGGGTTTAATTATCAACCCGGGTCCTAGATTTGATGACTACTCAGTGAATTCTTATTATCTAGCAATGAAACTTTAATGCAAATCTTGACTAACAAACTAACAAAGCAAGTAAACGGTTGTATTCAGGTTAAGAGAGGTCACCCGGATATGGTTCCCCCTAGACTGCAGTTAAGCCGGATTGTAATTACCAAGTTCAGTTTCTATGATAGTTATACTGCGGAAGGTTCTTAACAGCCTGAAGTCTCGACTAAAGGTCTTCAGACCCTCTCAATCTGAGTCTCTAGCGGGCGACTAACCTCCACCGGAGTAAACAGATTGAGGCCTTAACAAACAAAACCTCCACTACTGGAGTAAATCCGGTACAGAATAGTGAGTTGGCTCCTCGACTAAAGTCACCAACTCCCTACCTTCAATCAAGGATGCTCTATCAACCTAGGCAGATATTCTCATTCTAGGTTAAAGCAGAAACAACAGGAATTTGATCAGGATTCATGCCATTCAATCAATCAAACCTCAATTGAATATAATCAAATCATAGAATCAGTACTTGGGTTCATACAATCAAAGCCTAACATACAAATCTAGGGTTCTCCATACCAAGATGAGTGGGAGAACTACTCCATGGAGAAAGAAGCAAAAGCAGAATCAGACGCGGAATTCATACTGTGAAGGATGGAATCCTGCTCCTGGACGTTGATTGGCACTTCTCCAAGCTCAAACTGGCCTCCAATGGTGATGAAGATCAAGCTAGGGCACTTGGAGACTCTTGTTCGTCACTTTCTCTCTCTAGGAATCGCTCTGTCTCTCTAAACCTCGAATCCCCCGACTTGTGGCTGGAAATTGGCTTAAAACCAGAAAATCCCGACTCACACGGGCAGGCCACACGGCCGTGTGGCTCACCCAGTTGCCCGTGTGAGTCAAAACGCAGCGCATCAATTAGTTGAATTCCAGGCTTCTTACACGGCCAGGGTCACACGGCCGTGTAGCTCACCCAGCCTGGCCGTGTGAAGCCTCGCAGAATTCCACACGGCCAAAATGCATCCTCACACGGCCGTGTGGATTTTCTGCTCTGCCCGTGTTTGCTCTCGCACAATCCCACACGGCCAAACTGGTCACTTGCACGGCCGTGCGGGTTGTGGGTGTGCCCGTGCGACTTCCTTTGTGACTTGCCTCGCGCCCGATATTCGCCCAATCGACCCCGAACTCGCTCCTAAACCTTCATTCACTTGCCAGTACCTGAAATATCACAAACAAGCACAACCTAGCCTGAAATCGGTCTAAAACATGAGAAACCACATCTCAAACGGTGTAAGAACAGGGGTGAAAACATGTGTAATTAACAGTCTATCAAACTCCCCCACACTTAACCGTTTGCTTGTCCCCAAGCAAACCTAACTCAAACCAATGCAACTCTCCAGACCTCTATAGCAACAAACACCCCAGATCGTAGGTAGAGGACTTCCTAGATCATTTAGCAGCTTACGAGGTCAACCGACGCACAAGTCATCGCATAGCTTCTTCGGCGAGAGCACTAGTATCGAGTCGGCATCATGGCAAATAGTGAACAGAGGACAAATGAATTGTGGATGAAGTGATTCTCAAAAACAAAAGATCATGAACTCACATTTTTCAAGGTGCTCTATTTTCTTCTTGAAGATGGTTGGAACCCCATTTCTTTCTGTTTTGCTTGTTTTCTGTTATTTTTTCCTTTTTTATTTTCAAGGGTCCCAACCTGCTTTTCAGAAAATGGGGCTCCCACCTAGCAGAGGTTTTTCGAGAGCCCGGCTCTTACCGGCCATGCTAGGATCGGATGTCTCGAGCCTCGTGCGGGGGAAAGACATGTAAGGGGGCTGGAGGTAGTAGGTGGAAATTGGGAACGGATTCCCGTCTCCCCTTACACACTTGCGCCCAATTCGCACGGGAGACGTTATTTTGAAGCACATTTTCGAGCACCTGTTAAACTCAAAACATGAAACAAGAGTCCATGGCAGGTAGAGAGTCCACAACACCACACAATTCAAGGGTCCTAAGATCACTAATTCACTCAATCAACCAACACAATATGAAGAAGAAATGAGATTTCTTAAATGCATCAACATCCTCCATAGTGCTACACTACCTCCCTAGGTTGCATATTACTATAAAGACTGTCAATTCAAAGCATCTGAGCAGGCAATTGCAAGGAACACGTACTTGGAGCCCTCAAATTAAAAAATTTGGACAGTGGACTAGGCTCCAAGCACACAAACAGATCTAATGCAGTCAAAAGATAAACATCCCCCCACACTTAAGATCGACATTGCCCTCAATGGAGAAGAGGGAAGGGAAAGGGGAACGATGTTACCGGTATGCATGGACTGCAGGAGACTGGAAGCGGACCAGTCGGAGTGAAGCGGACTGGAGAGAGGACCAGTCAAGACAAGCATAGCTAAAGGGGAACAGAAGAGCTCAAACACAATATGTTAGGTCCAATGGTCAGCCCAATAATACATCATCCAAAACAAAAGAAAACAAACCAAAACCAAAGACTCAAAACACAAGAAAGAAAGTCAAACCGTGGTGGGGTTGCCTCCCCACAAGCGCTTCTTTACCGTCTTTTAGCTGGACGCCCATGGTGGATACTCAGGGAGGTGCAGGAACAGGTGCCTCCAAGAGCGGATCCACCTCACTCTTGAGGTACAGCTTCAGGTTGTGGCCATGCACCCGACGGATGCGACCACCATCATCGGTCAGCTCGACCTGGCCGTCTGGCAAGATGCAGGCGAGGGAGTACCCGGACGGCCAGGGTGGTCGTGGTGTAGGAGGTGGGACCAGCTCGTAGTGGTCTCCACCCTTCTTCCGTGCAGGCTTGGCAACCTGCTGCTTCGGCTGCCACTCCTCCTTGAGCTTTTTGTTCGGAGGCGAGGCTGGATGGAGTGGCGGCGAAGGAATGATAGGAGGGTCCTGCAAAATAAGAGGTGCAGAAGGATACACGACAGGCTCGTGTACCTGATCAGACATAGCATGCACAGGGGTGACAACAATCATAGCACAGTGATCAAATTCAGTCACAGAAAAAGTAGCCTGTTCATTCCCAGCACGCAAGATCAGTTTACCATCATGCACATCAATAAGTGCCTTAGCGGTGGCAAGAAATGGTCTCCCAAGAATCAAAGGCACATCCACATCCTCATGTATATCAAGAATAACAAAATCAACGGGATATGTGAATGCACCTACTTTAACAAGCAGATCCTCTATGATCCCCCTAGGATGCACAATGGAACGATCAGCCAGCTGAATGCTCATCCTAGTAGGGCTAAGTTCACCTAGGTCTAGCTTTTTATACAACTTATATGGCATGACATTTATGCTAGCGCCTAGGTCCGCCAAGGACTTGCCTACATGCATGCTGCCAATAGTAAGAGGGATAGTAAAACTCCCTGGATCCTTGCGCTTTTCGGGCAGTCCTCACTGAGCAACACTGTTGAGAGATCCCCAAGTTTCTTCTTGTCGGTGAGGAGGTCTTTCATGAACTTGGCATACTTGGGCATCTTCGACAGTGCCTCCACAAACGGTATGCTGATGTTGAGCTGCTTCAACATTGCCATAAACTTGGCAAACTCAGTCTCCAACTTGTCTTTGTGTAGGCGAGTGGGGAAGGGAAGCTGGAGTACATGCTCCCGAACCACTGGTTGTGGCTTGGGAGCAGGGGTTTCCTTCTCCACCCGGACTTCTGCATCGTCGGCTGGAAGTGCTGAAGTAGGTAGTGGTTCCTCCTGTTTGGTCGGGACAGGATCAGCAGATATGGTCTTACCGCTCCTAGTAAAAATGGCATCCAGCTGCTGGAGCTGGTGAGGATCTCGAGGATTCGGGATAG